CACCTATAGCCGCATCTTCAACTCAAGCGGATGAGAATACTGCCCCCTTTCTTACCAGGAATATCCGTTACCACTACACATCAATGAATCGATTCGAGCCCCGAAGGATTGACTTGAATCCGAACTCTAAGTACTGCTACCGTCACAGGCCTGACCTGAAATGTCGACGTCAAGCGGATGAGTTGACAATGGACAAGATGCAGCAGGTAGGTCACTTACACCAATCCTGCTTCAAGGGAAACGATGTGGGATGGGAAGAGAAGGAGTGAAAAATAAAGGGGGGAGGGAATAATATCTCTGGCTTTATCCTATCAATTCGACTAATTCAAACGAATATAGGAACTTCACACTCTCTCACAAGTTGACCAACAAAGCATCGCTCACTTTTGGTCTCTGTTTTCGACTGCTCCGTCCAAACACCGAAACCTAATGCTGCAAGGACTCCTAGCCCAATGTTGTTTCCCTCAGCTCTCCTTTTTGGCTGCTAGCGTTCGCGACTTAATCAGAATTGACTTTCTTTCGGCTCTCCCAACGGAAATATCTTTCAAGATCCTTTCCTACTTAGACACAGCATCATTGTGCAAAGCGGCGCAGGTGTCACGCCGTTGGAAATACCTTGCTGACGATGATGTCGTTTGGCATAGAATGTGCGAGCAACATATTGATCGCAAATGTCAAAAGTGTGGATGGGGCTTGCCACTTTTGGATCGCAAGAGGCTCCGAGATTCAAAACTCCAGATGCAAATGCGAGTCGCTTGTCGCGGTGTGGAAAAGGAATTGTCAAGTGACATCACGGAAAAGGCTGATGACGTAAAAACTCATCAGAAGCAACTCTCGGTCCCGTCAGACTCGCCAAAAAGATCGCAATCTCCGAGCCATTGGCATTCAAGAGATGAAGACTACTTCAAAACTCGATTCCGGCCTTGGAAAGATGTGTATAAAGATCGGTTTATGGTTGGCATCAATTGGAAGCATGGTCGTGCCACAACGAAAATATTCAGAGGCCACACGAATGGAGTTATGTGTTTACAGTTTGAAGATAATATTCTGGCTACAGGATCATACGATACCACCATCAAAATCTGGGATACAGAAACAGGCCAAGAGTTGCGCACTCTTCGTGGTCATCAATCTGGAATTAGATGTCTTCAATTTGATGACACCAAGTTGATCAGTGGTAGCCTTGACAAAACCATTAAAGTTTGGAATTGGCGCACCGGGGAGTGCATATCGACCTATACAGGTCACCAAGGTGGGGTGATTTGTCTCCACTTCGATTCGACCATCCTTGTCTCGGGCTCAATGGACAACACAGTAAAGATATGGAACTTTGAAGATAAATCAACCCGTGTCCTCCGTGGCCACAGTGACTGGGTCAATTCAGTTAAAGTAGACACGGCCTCTCGTACTGTATTTACCGCCTCGGACGATCTAACCGCCCGTCTCTGGGATCTCGATACAGGCAATATCATCCACACTTACCAAGGTCACGTAGGACAAGTTCAACAGGTCCTCCCACTACCGCGTGAATTCGAATTTGAAGAACACGATGCCGAATGTGCAGACGACGGTCAAAGCACAACTTCGGGTGGTGTTAGTTCAGAAAATGAATCTGATCGTCATCGTCATCATCATCATCGTCGTCGCAGTCTTTCTTCGGAGCCACAGCACGAACAACAGCCCACGGGCAACCCACAACCCTCACATGCAATGTCACCACCGTTCACTGATATATTCAAAAATGGCCGCCCGTTACCACCACGATACATGCTCACTGCCTCTCTCGACTGGACCCTTCGTCTTTGGGAGGTCACAACCGGCCGATGTCTGCGGACGTTCTTCGGGCATGTAGAAGGAGTATGGGCGCTGGGGGCAGATACTTTACGCCTTGTGTCTGGCGCTCAGGACCAAACGGCCAAGGTCTGGGATCCTCGCACTGGGCGGTGCGAGCGGACCTTTACGGGTCATTCAGGCCCGATTACTTGCATTGGCCTAAGCGATAGCCGTTTCGCAACGGGCAGTGAAGATTCCGAAGTTCGCATGTATAGCTTCAGGAGTTGAGATATAGGTTGCCGACATCCCTTCCTTTCGTTTTTCTCCTCTAACACCGATCGGTGTTCCTGTGGGGTTTCAAGTCGAGTTAGCTGGAGTTTATTGTTATACCCAAAATCGCATGACTATGGGAACATTGAATTTGAGGACAATGAAATTTCTGCTTCGCCCCATGGATAAAATAGGTCTTTTATGTTCACATACCACCATTCTGTCTTTGTTGGTTTGATGCGTTTTAAACGGTCTTGGAAAATATAGACGTGAGGATTTCGAGGTATGCATATGAAAGAAAAGCATTCTCCCCTCCTTTCAAACACGCGCTTGATGGCTCGTTCCTTATATCGAATTACCTATATCTTTTTTAATATATAATACAAATTCTAAACTCAATAGAGCCGTTCAAACAATCTATATGAGATCCCCCCCTCTCCCCAAAACCCCCTTTTTTTCAGGCATTTTTGACCCATGGATGACTTTTATGCACAAATATGTCTTCTCCTTAAGTTCAATCGCCCCTCTCTTTTCCCTTCTACAAGAGTGGATTGGCGGGTGGATGTATCCTGTCCTCCATCACGCCATCTTCCTATCCGCTCAAATGTCACTTAAGTTCAAGACATGCAAATATTTACCAAACAAAGGGCTACAGCCGATCAATCGGTTAATTCGATTAACTTTTAAACATGCTGCGCAATTCTGCAGTCAATGTCCACACGTCTCCCAAAGTTTACCTGAGTTATCAATGAATATAAAAGGGAAAGGAGAAATTATGCTTCTATGCTTACAACTCAACCCCAAACATCACCGCCTCATTTCATTCCTTACCACATAAATACTCCACAACATTTTCACATCTGTCGGTCCCTTTCTTTTTTCTCGCTCAATTTCTCTACCTTTGCCCACAGCCCAGCAAGTATAACCATACACTTACATATATGCACAGGAAGAACTTCGCTCCCTCGAAAAAATGCAACGCAGATCCAGAAGTCCCCAAAACAGCTCTAGAGCAGGCTCGAGACAAGGCTGGCACTACTACTCGGAACCCGAAGAGACCTCCAGCAGCTTACTGCTGAGGAGAACTAGAACTGATAGTGCCTCTAGAAGTCCGCCGCCATCATACACATCCACCTCCCGTCTAGCGCACGCTGATGGCGTTCTTCCGATTTACTATTTCCCGACGGTAGAACCTCTACCGCCCAATCATGGTTTAGAAATCGTACCAAGGGGTGAGTTTGTTTTCCCTATTTTTTCTTTATTTTATTTCGCCCTCTGGGAAACACAATTCCGAATTACTACGACCATAAGCGAACACGAGCTGACCATATACAGAAATGATAACGTGTGGCTCCGAAGAAGCGAATTGCTCGAGAATCCCATATGAGAGGAGAGAAAATACAAATACGGAGCCATTGCATGGTCCGCAAGACAGAGGAGAAGAAACTAAGAAGGCAAGCAGTCATATCCCAAAGAGAAACAAGACATCACTTTTCCCACGAGAAAACGAATCTTCTAGTTCTTTTTCTGACCATTCGCGCCGAGCCCAATGTCAGGAACCGAAGGGAAAAAACTCAACCACCCCGCAACAAAATAAATCCTCTGCTGTTGATTCTGAGCAACATCACAGTTCCTATCATCAAGAAAGGGAGGAAATATTGATTTACCCAGGCAAAAGGAATTCAGGCGCTACCCATCCTTTTCTTGCTCCTCGCCTCCCTCAGGAAAGAGAGGAAATATTAATTTACCCAGGCAAAAGGAATTCAGGCGCTACCCATCCTTTTCTTGCTCCTCGCCTCCCTCAGGAAAGAGAGGAAATATTAATTTACCCAGGCAAAAAAAATTCAGGCGTTATTCATCCTTCTCTTTCTCCTCGCCTCCCTCAGGAAAGAGAGGAAATTTTAATTTATCCAGGGAGGAAAGACTTTTCCAATAGTCCCTCTGGTCGCGAGGAATTATGATATGGCCTCCGTTGCTACTAATATAAACTGGGCCCTCCGACAACAACGGGAAATGAACACTACTCATTATGAAAAGGCAGAGGGCTTAAAAAAGCGGTAACTAGCGGGGAAAATAACCTCAACAACGCCATTCTGCAAGGTGTGAGAAATCCATCTGGCATCTTCCCCAAAACCCTAATGGCTCTTTTCGGGTACAAGATCCTCTCTTGCCGAACTGTCTTCCGGACAGAAAAACAACTCCCGGGTAAAAGAAATTATGCACTTACAAAGCCAGCCATCCTCTTAAGGCTTCTGATTCTCAAGAGCTGAAAGCTCGGCGAGTGCAGCCTTCGAGTCACATACCGTTTCATTAGCTTCTACCATTTACGTCATCCTATCGCCTTGGGGTCAATTAATGTTGAATATTTTTTATTACATTTGTTTACAACATATCAATTTCCGAATTATATGCTTGACTTGCATTGCGACTCTCGATCTTGTTGCTTCTGTGATATTAATTCCATCATGCATGACTATTTTCAATACCTTCCTGGATCCTCAAGAAATTTTCTTGACAGGAAATTGAACTTGAAACGTTAATATTCGGGAGACGGAATCAATTGCGTTTTTTTCCAGTCGTTCTCTTTCTGAAATCTTTGGAGTTTCATGTCCTCCTTTGACATGTAGGGACTGTTGAAATAGGGTTACTATGCCTTCCCACCTACGGATATGATATTGAGTGATATATGACCATTTATAATATGAACTTCTTTATGTACAGTACAGTATAATCCTGTTTTGCCTTTCACTTCCACGCACCAGGGACATACATAAACCGAGAACATAATGAAAACTAGGATGAAAAAGGATGAAAAATGCAAGGGAGATCTCACAGTAAGCCGTAGGATCCTATCATACATACCAGGTCAACAGGCAATAAGGAAATAAACTGTATAATACATAATCACATAGCCAAACAGCCTACACCCACCCCCACCTTGTAAACATTTCATATCCTTAAATCCTTACATTTCCCTCCGCCCTCGCGGCCGCCATCCGTAATCGTCGCCGGTAATGATCGCGGAACTTCATTCGGATAATGGTTCCATAGCCCACAGCAACTAAGAAGACCCCGGCCCACGCACTGGTTAGTATCAGGCCCGTTGGGAAGATACCTAGAGTGGTGCCTGGTAAGACGAATGCAGTGGCTGCAGCTACGATGCCCGGGAGTCTAGAGTTGGCATCGGGCATGGTTATGTTGACAGGGGAGTTGTCTTTGTTTGTAAAGAATCCTGCAACATAGGATAGGGTGTCTGAGGATAATGTGGTCATGACGGATTTCTGGTTTTGCGGGTTTGAGGCGCCAACGGTTATGTTGGGGATTAGAAGGACGCGGATGTCGTCTCTGGAAACATCAAGTTAGGGAGATTTTCTCTTTCCCTAGAATGTGGAGGAGGAATTACTCATGAAAATGAGGGGTTTATCGAACAGGGACGGAGTGACATTGGAAGCAAACATACTTTGTCAGTTTGTCAACTTGTAGCTGCGTGGATATTTGCCCGAAATTCCGGAATTCCTCTAACAACTTAATCTGGCCCTGGTCATTTCGAGTCTTATCAACAAGTCGACGGGGATTTGAAATGGTAGCCTGCGGAATATTCATTTTCAGTGCGTACTCGGAGAGTGGGATTCCTGCAAACTCTCCCACCGCCTCCGCCAGCTTGTACACTCTGATATCAGCCTCGAATGCGCCAGTTTTATTGTCGAAATAAGGTATATTGAAACACGCCGCCATGCCAGATGGGTTCACAACCATCTCCAAATTGTCGAGGGCCTTGAGGCAAGCCTTGTCTGCAGCTGCGTTGAATTTTTGTTCGTCAAATACAGGTGGAGGAGCCAACCCTGAGGTCCCGGCTGGCGGATTCTGTTCCGTCGCTGACTGTGATGGAGCATCCTGCTGAGGTGACGCTGCTCGCTTCTCTACGTCATATCCAATTCGAAGCAAGCTGAATGCATCGCGAAGGGTGGTTTCACGAAGATTCGTAGACTGATGGAAAATTGGCCGCTCCAACATCCGTTTCGCGAGGATTGGCTGGATGGATGCGAGCAGCACGAATGCATAGAACGGTACTGATGCTATTCGCATCATGAAAGGCCTATTACATATGCAGTAGAACAGGACAGGTCATATGTTGAGGAAAGACAGATTGGAGTAGTAAATGTGGTGAAAGCAACCGAAATATCGAAATCGTCACAGACGGACACAGTCCAGCAATGATTGCAGCCGCTGGCCAGCAGGGTGAAGAGATATCAACAACAGCGACTAGCTGCAGCGCAAAACCATATGTATAGCAGATTGATGCTTCTGCCTTAGAACAGTTATTTGGTAATTATCACCACCGACAGAATAGGAAAAGGAAAGACGAATCCAAATGTATGCAAACCTAAGCAAACGGATAATTAATGTTTGGAGGGAACTAGGAAGGAGAAAAAAACAAAGGGGAAAGAAGATCCAAAATCATGGAGACTCTTGGGGCCAGGACGAAACACAACGGCTTCATCTTGTTTTGCCTTGGGGAAAACCTGAACCAGACGGTTTTAAATCAAATATCATGGTGCATGGAACGCATGATAGAATAGGCACTAGCATGACTCTCAACAATCTCGTTCCCCAACTGAGCAATGAGAACACGAAGAAAGCGGACAAGGCATCGCGTGCTGCAGTTGACGTCGCACTACACTGGATCTCCGTATAAACTCAGGTATTCTGCGCGGCGGCACATTTTTTGGAAGGCTAGAGACTGTGCCCAATGAAGCTCGGTTTACATGCTCGGTGAAGAACTGATCTTAATTTCATGGCCAATCACCAGAGGCACTGTCGCATCGATCCAATCGACAAGATCGGTCATTTGGGCGGGGAATCCTAGACCAATAATCCTGGAACGCTTTGGTCTCCTGTAAGCCAAGAGATCAAACCATTGACGTTGCAGATTTGGCCAGCTACCCAGCCTCATCCCGGGCATATCGGAGGGCAGAAGTCGGCACTAGCTCAAGCGCTCATGAACTCATTTGTGGAGCCAGCAGAGAGATAATCCCGTGTCAATCGCGTACATACCATCAAAAACGACACGCCTTCCACCAAGAGCAACCAGCAGAAGAATAAAGATGTCCGTCCATACAAGAGAAGACACCTCACATTTTGACTTTCTCTCGTGATTGAAGTTTTTCTCTTTTGCTGCTCAGCCAAAGTGCTATTTTAGTTGGCTTTATGGTTGTGGGGTCCGGCGCTTATGCCGGCGCCAAGCTGCAGAGGAGCCAGAGTTTGATAACAACTCAACACCAAAAAGAACTCGCGCATGTGCTACTGTGTGTAGAGCGGATATGCTAACACGAGACAGGCCACCCTTGCTGTATTCTGCAAGGTGTGCAGTCTGTCCTTGTGTGTAGCGCGATCTTCTACCAACCGATCGGGTGCTCTAACCATGCTGCAGCCAGCAACCCATTGGGACTTGATTTTTACTTCCAGTATTTGGCTTGATCAGTGCATTTCATTTGGGCTTGTTCTTCCAAAAGAAAAATAAAAATAAAAATAAAAATAAATAAATAAATTGTCTTGATCAATAATTAACGTGAAGGTGAGATTGTGTAGCAGAGAAAGCAATTGTTACATTGACGTTTGAGCTTCGTCTCGTAAAGCTATGTATGCATCCCTGGGAGGTCCCGGTTGACTGGCCTCGCTTGGCGATGCGTTTGGATTTTCATGTCTGCAAAAAGGAATTTTTGCATTTGTGAATTTCCCTCGGCGAAACAGGAACATTTATAATCATCATTATCATCGGTATAGCGCTGTGGAATTCTCTAATCCCCGAATGTAAGTTGCTGGCGTGTAACTGTTTTTTGAATAGCTGCAGAACTAATTTACCGAACCGGTACCTGATGCCGAACGGGAATATCGGTGTTAGCAAAGAGGTATATCAGCCAGCTGTAAAGGAATTCAAAACACAATTTATGGCATTGGTTCTATCATGATGTAACCTCTGCAAATTTGTAGAAATGAATCTAGATGTCGAACACCCACGTGATATCGCAACCCCTAATCCAAGATGTCAAGCCAGAATAACCGACAATCACAGAACATTGTCCCATGGAAGGACGTCAGGCACTGACTGTAGGTTTAAAAAGACACCATAACGAGCGGGGAAGCGGCAAGGAGTGCCTGCCACGGGAAAGAAAGTATTGTCGACATCGCTCCTGCTCGGCCAATAGCTCCCCCGATGGCATGTATGTATATATAACATCTCTCCCCACTCGTCTCCTTTCTCCTTATTTTCTTTACTCTGCCGCGATACTTTTATTTATATACGCTGAATATTCGCTTCTGTCAGTCACTCGTTTAGTGTTTGAGTTATTTTTTCTTGATTGCGGGATCTAAGGCCCCTCATTGCCCCTTTTCTTGTTAGCCAAAGCAGCATGTTCACTGCCATTCCTTTGGTCTTTCCAAATTTTTCCTGTCTCGCTTTAATGACATAGTTTCTTGGATTTTGAACGGTTCTTCGCCCATAATCCATCTTACCCTGCCATTCCAATACGATATGTTTTGCGCTGGACTATGCCGTATCTCTTTGGTTAAATTTGTCGTCCTGCGGATTGCAAAGTGAGAGCCTCAATAAATACACAAGCAGTAAGTCACAATGGCCATCTGGATTATATATCAAACGCTCACTTTATCGCAGTAGATCTAAAGCACTACCGTATTTTATACGACTCGCCATGGAACTGCTTTTCGTAGCTAATACTCTCGGCCGGGCGTGTTGCTCCTGTTTTCGTTCTTCTCCGAAGAAGCGCGCGCGATATACGTCGTGGCCGGGAAGTGAGGATCACGAACTCCAGATACACGGAGGCCAGGATCAAGGATTTCGAGGCCAGGGTGCCCACTTGTCTGCAAATGAACGCTCGGGCCAGGGACATCATTTTCGACAAGCGAAAATGAAAATGGAGCCACGATACCAAATGTCAGCCGCAGAACGTGCTAAAGTTGGACTAGCTTTGAATCATCAGAAGCACGATATTCCTCAGCAAGCCGACCCCGCTCCAGCTCAATTTCCAATGCCAACCGAGAAGGGAAACAAGGGGAGCGGCCAGGTCAAAGGGGTTCCTGCCGTGACCAACAGCCAACAATCAGACCCATCCACGTCTGCCGCTACCAGAGAGCCAGGCACTGCAGTAGAACAAACAAATGCATCTCGAGACGCTCAATCAGCAGATGCCCTTGTGCTTAAGTCTTAGCCCCCATGAACAGGTTCAGTAAATCTCAATTGTCCGAAAATGAGGCCAAGAGAGAATGACAACGGAATGCAATGCCGTTAATGCGAAGTAGTCACGTATGTCCTTACTCGAATAATCGCATTAATGAGGCAAAAGAACTCAATGACACCTCAAACTAGGAGCCCATGCTTGGTATGTATGTCCGCCCTACCCTCCATTCTCAAAAAGAAAATAAAACAAAACAAAATGCCCCTGGAATGCATTAGGACCTGGAGAAATATGGCTGGGTTATTGAATGAAGAGAATCGTTAATTCAAGTCCGTTGAAGTAGCTACCTACTTTGCTGCCAATTTACCAGCCTGGTATTTGTTTCCTAGGCTAACATCTCACATTACAGGCTAGTTCAAGAACAAGAGACATTGGTGGAAATGGATAAGTATGGAATCCAGGCGAACAACCTTAGGTCAACTTAGAATGTTTTCGCAAGACGGCAAATTGAATAATTAAAGACTAATAGGGATAGGTGGTAGGTTGAAGATATAATGAGCCGGACCTATCTCTCCTTGTTCATGATTTTAATGCTTCGTTTTCTGTTATATGTCACCAATGTGTTCTATTGGGTGTACTCAGAGTCAGTGTTGTTGGTTTTTTTTCGCAAGTTTTCGCTTTGCGCCAGTATGCAGTTTAGTTAATGGAATTAGAAATTACCACTGCCCGGGAATTTGAACCCCCCCAGATCCAATTAGCAACGCCGAAGCCAGAAGTTTTAGGACCAATTGTTGTCGGCAGGGTTGGTGTTGTGATCGCTACCAGAGGCGAGGTTATGCTAACAAGTCATCGGCTTGTACACTGAAGAGCCAGTTGATGTTTGAGCTGCCGGTGTTGAGATATCAAAATCTGGTAGGGAGTCAGTTCCCAGCGGTCACTAGATTTCACCACACCAGGCTGGAAACCGTCGATCCTTAAGGTTTGGTACGGTCTTAGCCGTTTAGCCAGGATCCTCAAAAGTGCGACTATCGTAATATGAGGCCAAACAAACGATTCGAGATATCTAATTATATTTGATGATGTTTATTCTTTCGCCAAACAGTCATAAATGGTATCAATAAAGCACACATACAGGTTGGGCGAGAAGAAGCTATACCATGCAATCGGGCCAATGCCCGATTGCATCGTAGACAGCTAGCCTGATCATGATTGCCGCAACCATCATCCAACTCCAATCGAATCTGTCGGCTCTCTTCGAAAACTTGGCGGCCATACTGGGCAGGGATTAGGAGCTCCAAATAGCGGATCCCATGCGGCTCGAGCCAGCCGGTGGAGAGCGCATGGGTGTCCACTTGAATAAGGTCCACTGGAATAAGATATCAGCAACTGCTAGATATTCCAATTTATGGCGATGGTCGCTTAAATTTCCAAGAAGAATGTTGCTAGGATCTATAGCAGGGATTAGGGTGGTTCTCGATATCGCTAAATCATACCTGACGTAGGAGATCACTTACCACAAAGCACGTAGGGAACGAAAAAGATGACCAGTGCAATATTAAACTGAGGTCCAGACATGTTTAGGTCCTCTACTAAAAATACCACCAGGTAACTTGGTCCTAAGCAGACACGTTTGCAGGCTATATAAGGGCATTACCTCAAGGAATAGGCACACCTGAGAAAGCCAAGCATGAGCTATCATTCGACCTCGAGAATAATGACCGAAAAGATTGAGCTCTCTGGAGTTTCCCCTGTTTTAGAGCATATACTCCGTACTTAGAGGTACATGGCCGAGAATGATTCTGGCCATCGTCTTTCCCTTCAAGCACTTCCTTCGAGGTAGAAGATGCGAAGTTGAGAAATTCCTCGGGGGCGATGCAAAGAGTGGCGAACGGATGGTTTTCGAACTGTTGGTTCTGGATTTGATGATATATGCCATCATTTCCAAGACAAGCCAACCGTGTCGACAGGTCCCACAGGATCAACACTCCAAACGCTTCCATCGACACGATGGCAAAACATGAGTTAGGCATCGTGGGATTCGACGTGAAAAACGGGCTCCAAAGGTCAGTATATAGGGTACATTCAGCGAAGCCCTGAGAGCTTCGCTTAGGGCAGTGATAACCCGGCGCAACACCGCAAGGTAACAAAGCCTTAGCGTTAAGGTTCCGTTGGTTTTTGCTGTGCCTGTATCGGACAAACCACCAGAGGATGAAGGCAACTTTAGATGTATTCGAAAAAAAAATTCCAAGTCGACTTCTAAACAGATTTGCATGCTACAAAGATCATGTCAGCGTCGTTCCAGAGGCATAAGAATCAGAATAGCCTCTGGTAATGCATCGATGTCCAGCCAGGCACTTCTTGATGTGGAGGGAATCCGACCATGATTCATGGATGCAAGTTCTCCAAGCTCCAGCTCGGGTGGTTGTTGTTCTGGGTGTGGCTTGGGGCTAAAACGTGGTCCCGTGAATCCCAAATGTGCACCACATTTTTGGCCCACCCACCATCACCACCATCACCACCACCACCACAAATCCGCCAATTCTCAGGATCAGTGATAGTTCCCTGGCACGGCGGTCACCAACAGAAAAAGCCAGTGAGGTGACTTTTCCAGCCCCAGAGCAAGACCTGCTTGTGCTGTGGGGGTTGTCAATGGCGGTGCTGCGTTCTCGATTTGAGACACATATCCAAATTCCCGGCTCGGTAACCCTCCTGAACATCCATCTACTCGATCAGAGACTATGTCTTGGAAATTACGAAATAAGGCGTTGAGGGTGTAGCCATTGCAAAGAACTCTTTACATATCTGATACCTTGTTGGCCAATGTAGGTCCATCATGGGTCTTGCCAACAGCTCATCCGGGAAGCTCAAGCTCGACATGGCAAATCAAAGCATCTTCACGGCCCATTTGATTGTCTATGAACCGTCCATGATCTCATATTTCGAATGTGGAGTACGTATTCACGCTATTTATAAGTCGCGACCCTTCCCGTCGACTTTAGATCATGCCGTGATTACTGGCAAGTCACCCAATAGCATCTCGAGAGGGCCCCTTGATTCTCGGAGGCAATGCGAGTTCGGCCTTATGACGAGATCATGCTTCCTCCATATTTGAAGCTATGAAGCTATTCTATTGTTCTGCCCTTCTACTTTTTCCAGCTGCACAATTGCAGCTGGAGATAGCCGCTCTCCCACAGGACCTACCACTTCAGCAGGGGTGGGTATTTCGATGTTTATGAAGTAAGAGCATCCATAACACGGGCTTACATTCTACAATTGGTGGTACCAGCTTCATACATGTCCTGCAGTCCATGCGTTTTCTTTCTTATTTGGAAGAGAGCTCCTTCGAGTTCGTTGATCTATTCCGATTGTCCTAACTCGCCCTACCTGCCCGCGGGGGATCTAAACTTCCGTCACATAAATTACGATACTATTATTGCTTTTGGGTTTGCATTTAAGCGAGTTGGATTACTGATTCAGATAATGGGCTCCCGATTCATGGCAACCCGATTTGTGTTTAACTTTTCATGCGAAAGAAACTTGTACATGTACCACCATGGTCCTTTCAAGCGGGGCCGGCTACCTAGAGTCACATATCGAATGACAAGACTCAAGAAACTGCAGTATGTCGTATTTCCTTGACCAGCTCATTTCGCCGTCAGGATTCATCCTGCTGCTAATTTGACTTTAAATCATGGTCTGGAATCCACCCAATAACCCGGGATGCACGTTCCGGTTCCTTGCCATGGATTTTCGAGTTCCGGTTGCCTATAGCGTCCTTTACACACCCTCAAGGAACACACGAATAATATGATCCTTTAATCGACATTTAGTTCATGGTATTCTTGACATCTGCATGACTTTTTAGCGGCAGTCCAACATGGTTCGCTGTCGTCCTCGTATAGCCATCAAGAAAAGACCTCACATGTCCTGATATGGATTGTTGATGATGTCTCAATGACTTCCTCTCGCTTTAAATGGTTCCAGTGGCTCGTGTATTTTGCTTCAGCCGGAATTCCCTCTTTCTGATATCCAATTGGTTTCAATTCTAACGAGGCTTTTTTGTGCAATTTGATCATTTCGTTTTCTCTGCCGTCGTCGATCGCGTGCATCCTGTACCACTCCGCTGATACGTTTGATACAGGTGCTATCCCCACGTCTCTCCTTTCTCCTATACATGCGATGTCAATCTCTTTGGCTAACTAATTATTTCCGTCAGCCAAATTCTCGTTAGAAAAGCATATAAAACTTCATTATCGACGCACCTACCTTCTATGCTAAAAATTGATTTTCCTTTCAAAGTCCATGATAATCCTTCTTGCGTCTCCCATTCAGTAAACCTTACATATTTGTCCTATTATACTTGAAAAGCCATTTTTCTGTTCAACAGTATCTCATTTTGGATTTCCTTGTTGCGACAAATCTTTGTTACCCTTGCCTACTGTTATTATTACACCAAGCTATGACTCTGCGAAAGAATGCAGCCTCTTCCTTGTCAGTAATCATATACATCTTTTGGGTACTTTTAGGTTCGTCGATATGTGCAGCTCAATCAAACACATATCATCCCATTCCCGAGAAAGGCCCCCTGGGATACGTGTCGGATAAAAATTGCAAGCATGGCCCTACGAACCGAGCCTGCTGGGGTGGGGGTTTTGATGTAGCCACAAACTTTGGCGTGAAATGGCCAGATACAGGAAAAGTGGTGGAGGTTTGGCAACCTTCCTTCGATCCATGGATATACACTACATTACGAAGCCAGATGGCTGACCCAGGTGCCGTTAGTATCATCTTGAAATAACCAATACTACTTTAGCCCCTGACGGCTTTGAAAGGCTGGTCCTGGCGGTAAATGGACAATTTCCCGGTCCAACCATTAGAGCGGGTACGTCGAGATCTCTGCAGTGATGTGTTCCGTTCCTAACAAACATTTGCAGAATGGGGCGATACCGTTCGAATCCATGTGAAAAATAATATGCAGAATAATGGGTGGGTTATATGGCCTATTTAAACGTATTTGCCCTAATTTTACTAACGATAGCTTGGTTGTGCAGAACAAGTATACATTGGCATGGAATTCGTCAGAAGTACACAAACCAGCAAGATGGAACGAACGGGGTCACAGAATGTATGTAGCCCATAGCCTATTTCGATGTTCCACAGCGAAACTAACTATTGATGCGAAGGCCCTATTCCCCCCGGCGGATCAAAAACGTACGAATTTAAATGTACTCAATATGGGACATCTTGGTATCATAGCCATCATACTGTGCAGTGAGTTTGTTATCTCATAATTTCACCTCGGAGCTTATTAGGTTCGTTGATTTAAAATTTCGCAGGTATGGCGATGGAGTTTTAGGAGCCATTGTGATCTCCGGCCCAGCTTCAGCCAACTATGATATCGATCTCGGAGAGATGTCTATCCAAGACTGGTATTATCGCACGGCATGGCAAAACGCACTTCTTGGCATTCCTCCTGTTGCTGACAATGGCCTCATAAATGGAACCATGGTGAACGCAAATGGCGGAGGAAAATACCATGAAAACGTTATTAAGAAGGGGAAGTCATATCTCTTACGGTTGATCAATACATCAGTGGACAATTATTTCAAAGTCCATTTGGATAATCACCTTTTCACGGTGGTTTCAAGCGACTTCGTTCCCATCATGCCTTACCAGGCTGACTGGTTGTTTATTGCAATCGGTATGTACGACCCAGTTACTAAATATTTTTTCCATTCCACATGCTAATGAAGCAGGGCAACGTTATGATGTAATCATTCACGCCGACCAGGAGATCGACAACTATTGGTTTAGAGCCGAAGTTCAAAAGGGATGCGGTGAAAACGCGATGAACGGAAAGATTAAAAGCATCTTCAGATACGAAGGTGCAGACCCAAATGCGAATCCCACGTCTGTCGCAAGCAATTATACCCAAGGCTGTGATGACGAGGAGGGTCTTATTCCATTCGTTCCAATTGATGTGCCATCTGAGCATTTCAGCCAACAAGCAAAAGACCTTAACGTCTCTTTTCAGTCCGAAGTTAGTTTGCCGGGGCAAAACATAGTCCACTGGAGAATAAACGGAGTCCCTATTGAAACAGATTGGGAATACCCTACTCTTCAATACGTTCTTGATTGCAATACAAGCTTTCCTCAAAGATTGAACGTAATCCCATTACCTGAACCAAATGTGGTATGTCTCCTGCTTTAACACACTTCATTCCATTTTTGTTTTATTGCGAGCACACTCTTTCCCAACACACGCCCTAATAACTGTTACCAATAGTGGACGTACTGGATTATCGAAGCTAGCTTCGAGAGCACAGTTAACGTTCCACATCCAATCCACCTGCACGGGCATGACTTCTCCATCCTCGGCACGGGACGAGGTAACTTCCCGGGACCCGAAGGACTCAACTTTAAGAACCCAGCCCGTCGGGATTCTGTTATGTTGCCTGATCATGGGTGGGTTGCCATCGCATTTCCGACAGATAACCCTGGTGCATGGTTAGCGCATTGTCACATCGTAAGAAACCCTTGTTTGCTTGCACACCTGTAAATTTTACTCAAAAAGTTACATACTGCGTGTAACCCCTCCAATGAATGAACTCGAGTCGTCTGACAAAATGAATCCCGGGGTAGGCATGGCACGCACACGAAGGACTCGCAGTCCAATTTCTCGAACGCAGCTCAGAGATCCCATCCGCACTCAACATCGCTCAATCATGGCACCATACATGTGCCCAATGGAAAGATTACACCTTGGATGACGCAATATACCAACAAGATGGTTCCGGAATTTAGATCAGGGAGGATGGAAGATAAGGTCATGAGACATACTTAGGAGGGTATATCTACGATACCCTCTTTTTCCATTCATTTCCTTTGCTATATTTATTACCTGCTTAGACTAAATTGGTGAGCGGGGGAGGGATATGCTGTATGGGAAAATCAAATCGAGTCAGGTAAAAGGTCCTTCTAACCATTAACAATACTAGTATTAGGATATTTATTAATCTAATTTGTGGCGTTTGTAAATTTGAGAGTATTCCCAGTGTGCCCTTTATTTCAATTTTCAATATACGAATTGTCATTTTAACTTCATATTATATCTCCTGCGATAACCTGTGCATAGATCATCAATATTACAGGGCCCAAACAACGTTACTGGCGTCTGTCTTGTGACTGAAAATATATTTCAGCCCTCGTTGGTAAATTGCAAGCCAATCCAAGGGACAAAAAAAACAAAACAAAAAAAATTTTTGCATGAAGAGCAAGATCTCCGTTCAGAATCCATGGGATGAATATCACCAAGTGACACAAACGGCCCTGCATCGCGACCAGTCCATACGACAACTGTCCACATCATCGAGCCACATCAGAATCCAGATATAAAACGTAGGGCTTCGCCTAGATCTCAACAGATATAGGTCCATCGTGTCGATCTGATCATTTGGGCGATCTCCAGCTTCTTTCATGTAAGCTCTGCCCCGTAGTACAGATAATTTTTGTCTCGGTCCTGAGGGCTAGGACAAAATGTTAAGCAAGTCAGTCGAACAACCATGGAACAACCTAGGAAACAAACTGTGACCCACTCAACAAGCGGGCTAAACATGCATTGTTCCCACAAGTAGCTCCAACACCGCAACAGGCCATGCCGATGTCCATGAGGAGAAAGGCTCCCACTCCTTTCGATCTGCTGTGGTTGTTCGGACGTAACTTCCTCGAAATGTTTGAAGGCCAATCAGGCTCTCGAAGAGAACGAGGAGCTGCATCCGCAGGCACACGACATAGCGCTAGACATGAGGTTTTCCGCAAAGGACGCCAATGTGTCGGGCATCGACATGTATGATCCTATGATATCGTTGATAATACCAACTACATGGTATACTAGATCTTTTTCCGATTGAGTTTCAGACGTTCACAACATTTGAAATGGGCATGTTGGACACACGAAGGGTGGCTGTGCAGCAATCCATTTTACACTGAAAAACAAAATGGGGGAGAAAGAAAGAACAAAAATTGGGAATCGCTGACTTCTTAATGGAACTGCCAGTTGGTTGTCGGCTCTTCAGAACTATCCGCCCGTAGGTTTGAACCAAACGTCGGACGAACTTGAGATCTCTAGGGCTGACGTCATCACGTGGCCGGGCGGTCTTCTCTCCGACGCTTTGCTGCTCCAGGCTCCAACTTTGCTCCATGGGCTTCGTGGAAACAAATGTCCGCTTCAAGCGGGCTAACTCCGTCAGATTCATCTGCGGAATTCAGGGTTGATTATTCAGGGTGGAGCTACGTCACTGACCCAGTTGGTTTTTCGACAGGGCACCGAATAGCTATATAAGTTGTCGCATTCCAGTTCCTGAACTCCAGGCAACCATTCCTGACCATTTCCTGAAATTTCAAAAGCTTCCTCTTATCAGACTCATTTTTCTTTACTGTTGACTGGGTTTTCCAAAGGGCGCAAAAGAATTGCGCAAGAGACTCGTACTTTTTACATTCATATATTGCGCCACCCTGTGTCTCACATTTCAACAACGATGTCCTCTTTCACTGATAAGTCGATAAACATCGCCTTCTTCGGCTCAACAGGCGGTTGCGCAAATGCCTGTCTGACTTACACTCTCAAAAACGGATACAAAGCAAGCGCCCTCGCTCGGACTCCCTCGAAACTTCAAACCCAACTCTTATCCCAAGGACTTGACCAGGCAACAATCGACAATAATTTAACAATCATTCAAGGGGATGCAACAGACGTTGAAGTTATCAAGCGCACTCTCTCCCCAGAGAAAAACAACGGCAAAATGGTCTCCCTCATAATTTCCGGATTAGGCGGGCCTCCCAAAATGACAGCCTCGCTTCAACCCATCACCCTTGAAAATCCAAACATTTGCGAAAATAGCACGAATGCCATCCTATCCGCCATAGAAGTACTGCAGCCGTCCACGGCAACCGAGAAGGAAAAGCCCATCCTCGTGGCTATCTCCACTACTGGCATCTCATCCGGGCCAAGAGATGTACCATACCTCCTTTACCCTCTTTGGCACTTCCTCGAAGTCCCACACAAGGACAAGAAGAAGATGGAGCATGCGATTTTTGATTCACCCTCTAAACAGCTTCTGAGAGGCGCCATGGTCGTACGTCCGACATTGCTGGTTGGTGACCATTCCATCACCAGTGGGAAAGGGTGGAAAACGTTGAAGGTCGGGACGGAGAAGAAGCCGGCCCTGGGACATTCGATCCAGCGGGCGGACGTCGGAGAGTGGATATTTCAGGAAATGGTTAAGGCGGGAGGGGAAAAGTGGTTGAATGAAAAGGTGACATTGAGTAACTAATGAATTAGCGTGTTTTCCCTACCATCGGTTTTGTGCATTTCTCCGCTCTCTTCTTTTACACGTGTGGAAAGGCTCTTTGTGTTTTCGAGTTCTTCCTTTCTAAATATCTACGGAGTTCATGACTGTTGTTGTGTATATGATACCTTCCCTAAACAGTTATGTCGATTCGACACCACATTTGTTGTTGCCTATTCATGAACTGAGATGAATATAATATATTTATGTCAATTCGCTTGTTGCCTATGGAAGGAGAGTTAATTAGTAAAATCAAGTCCCCGAAACTGTTCTCCTATCACACATAATGCGGTACGGAGCAAGGATTTCCAAGGACGAAGCAAAATCGCGCCGGGTGAATCCACACTCTCGCTCCTCCCTCTGGCTCCAGGCAGATATTAATTACTAGCCCGAGACCGGACACCGCCACGTTTCATGTAAGGCTGGGCCGCTTAGAACGGAGGCAGCAATATTTTTGGACATCACGATACTTACTTAATAGCTAAGTCTCATGTAGTTAGCTTTATATCCAAAAAGGGAGACAACACAGAGCTAGCCACCCACCCTTGACCACCAACGCAAAATCAGTGAAGAGAAGTAAAATTTTGAAAGATATATCTCCTATCTCTATAACCAACAATATGTAAAGAGCCAGACTCAGCCTATGGTAACCAATCACAGCAATAGGAACAAGACTGGACATTGCGGAGGGGCTTGCAAAATGAATCTATACTAAATGAAAGAATAAAAGGCTCTCCCAATCATCCATCAACAAGAAACCGAGAAAACACGTGCCAATAAGAATGATAGGCTATGAAGGGACAAAAGGTAATATCGACCTTCCACAGAGGTCATACAGTTCAAATAACATGTAAGAAGAACGTACTGTACATGCATGTGTACGGCCTCGCCGAAGCTAAGGAAGAGAATGGAGTAACCAACCAGCACTTGAAACAAACATGCTCTCTCGTAAAAAAAAAAAATAGGAATATGCATAAAAAAAAACTTGACAAAATATAAAAGCAAAAGAAGAATGATAATAAATAAGAAGAAGCAGAAGAAGAAGAAATAGAATAGAAAAATGAAGAGTCTAGCTCGGATATCATCCCTCGTACAGCCGTTGGGAATAGGAGATATGAATAACTCTAACGCCAAGTAAATATAATGATAATAATCACACACACCGAGAAGGAAAAGAAAAAGAAAGGAAAACGCTGTCAAATGCCAGCTATTCGCTTACAAAAATCAATGTTAAAGCAAAGGGTTTACTAAGATATAAAACAATAGTTTTAAGGGAGCTTTTTGATATTACCATTAGTCCCGGGAGGTCCGTCCTCCCCGAAGCTCGAGCTCTCAAATGCTTGGTTTAAACTCCGAAACGAGAAACCGCTGCTGGCAAAATGCACACCAACTAGCCACGCAGTGACTATGTTGGCAATGTGATGGAGGAGGTATGCATATGTTACGCCGTAAAGAGCTGCATATACAGCGAGAATGATAAATAAGGCGGACGTGACATGTCGCAACCTAGATTGGAAGGACAATGTTAGGTTTTGAGTAGACAAAAACAGCTAACGAATAAAAAGTCAATGTGGAGGAGCGCCCAGAATACCACATACCTCGAGGTTATTCTTGGAATCATATGTCCATTTGTGAGGGTCTCCACAAGTAGTATAAATGGCATTATAGACAAGACATTGTGATGGGATGAGAACGGCGTCCACCAATGGACAGCAAGGTTGTGAACCCAAACTGCAAACACTGGAACATTAACCGGTAATATCCACAGCATGAGGATGAAGATTGAATGAACGTAATTATAGAAATTATACTGCGAGTTAGATTTCTGCTCTCATGTATCAGAATCAGGTAGTTTTACTTCCAAATATGAGGTAGAAATAGTAATTGCTCACCGATTCTCTCGCATATTGTAAAGTCTGGACGCAAGTTGCCAATTGCACAAGGCATGCTACAAGATATGCGAACTGATATGGAATCACAGTTGCCACAAAACAAAGTAAAACAGCAGAATTTATGATCCTTTGCCTGGAGGAGAGCGATGGGTAAATTGCAGCGGGTCTAAAGTAAAGTCAGTTAAAAATTCAGTCACGACATGGTGCTGCTATTGCTGTGAGTCCTCTCACCTTGGGTCGTCATGTTTTATGTATCCTCGACGTGATACCAACACACTACGGATTGTAGCCAAGCCATAAATCAACGCCATGACAACGTAATTTACCACAACGCATAATCCGATGCTAATGAGGCCAAACAAGGGCACCAGGAACCAGAAAAAGCTGTCTTGAGATCCTAGGAGCAAGTCGTTCCTCGTGAAATCTATGGCAGATTCGGTGGAATTTGATCGCCAATCTGTTGATGCTTTCTCTGAGTTATCCATTCCTGAGTTAGATGTTGCCAAAGACGCTGAAACAAATGTCAATATTATGAATAAGAGCGGTAAGGAAATTCGGAGGCAAAGGTCTAGGGCCTCCGAGAAAGGGATGAAAATGCCTAATGACGTCAGAAATTGGTCAAAAGCGCCAAGGTAGGAGGACAAACCTGTTGTATCATGTATCTGGAACTGCTTCCGGAGAACCAGTGCAGTCACAAGAAGTGGGAGGGCCGCAAATACCGTACGATATCGCATGGCAAGTTTCCCCATGCTGCCAATAATGTCTACACGCAAAGAAAGCTCCGTTGAGGCATTACAGCTAGGATCGGACCAGAGCTGAAATGAAATACCACGCATAGCAGAGCGGTCCCGAAGATGTGGAGGCATATATGGTGCAACACCATGCAAATTTATATCAGCCTCTTTGACATTGACGAAGTACTTCGATTCATGTGGTTCCGATATATATTGTCGTAGTAGGGGCGTAAATAACTCAGCATGTTCGCCACACGGCTGCTTCCCGACTCTCAACTTATAAGCCAGGAGACTTGAGTGGAGAGCGGGGATTTTCACTTCAGTTAACATGGGCCGTTCTGCAGGAAGTCGAATATCGAGTCCGGTAGCCAGCAGGCGGCCAAGTCCAACTTTGGTTTGGATGAGAGCGTCGGAACTGTCTGAAAATTCCGCAACAAGCCAACCAGAGGAACGCTTGGCAGCCTTGTCAATAACAGCTACAAATTGATGCTCCATCAGATCTTCCAAGTTATATTGCAGATATGAAAATGGAAGAGCATCATCGAAGGCGAACTTGGACGAACGTGTCGATGCTGGAAGATTTATTGCATCCTCCATGGCACTCTTGCAAGCCAATCGAGTGGAACCCGCGCTGCCGCCGGAGAGATCCATATTCGAAGATAGCAAAGCAGCCGAATGTCCAGCTCGCAAAGGGAATACGCTACAAAACAAGACTTCTAGTTTTCCATTGCCACCAGGAGAATCGAGAAGCTGATCTGTAAGGAGAGTAAACTTTTTCCCTGAAGCGCCTTGGGGAGGAATTGGGAGTAAATGCGCTTCGGGTAACTGGCGGTTACCAAAGCCACGCAAGACTAGTCGCTGTCCTTGGGGAAGAATCGAATTTGTATTATCTTCCAAAGTCAAGAGAGTAGAAGGGTCTGTGAAAACCGTAAGTATGGACATATGAAGGTATATTTCAACACGGAAAACTAACCTTTTTGTGGGAGAGACCTTTCAGAAATGGCTTCCATCCCCGTAAGGTACCATTTTTTGAATACACTCATTCTCTCCGCTCTCTGTTTCGTTTGAGATGATCGCCGTACATCCACCAGGTCGAAGAGTGAGCGAATGATTACTTTTCGGAAAGAATCACACCAAGCGATAGAAAGATGGTCCATTCCGGTCCAGACATTTGGTATAGTGGATGTGAATACGGTAAATCCATGGGTTTCTGGAACAAGAGATGATAGACTGGTGTAATCAGAAGGAACAATAGAATCCCCACCACCTCCCGCGATAGATATTAAGGTAACATGCCACAATGGATTGTTGTTGGCCCACCTCTGAGAGTATGCTTCACGCCAGTAATCGTTAATCTGCTTGTATGTGCGGACAACATCTCTATCAAACGAAACGGGAGGCCGTGCATGAGGGGTTGACATTGTGATGATTGTGTTCACCGAATTTGCCTGGTAATTCGACATTGTAAGCACAGTTCGAGCAACGATACCACCCATTGAATGGCCAATGAGGATCACGGAGCTAGGGTCTGGAAGGTTTGGGTCTCTTCCAGGGCGTCTAGGATCATGATAAAGTGAAAGTATATAAGCTAGAGCTTCGTTGACGTATTCCGCCTGATCCAGCAATGTTTGTCCATGAAACGCCGCCATATCCTCGTTAAAATCCGCCATGAAGAAATCTAAACTTCGTGTCCCGGCATCGAGTTTCTCCTGGTCATTGCTTATTGCATCCTGGAAATATAACGAGGCTTCCGATGCTAGCGAGCGGCCTTGCCTGTAGCTACCAGCATTTCCAGGAAGGAACAATACTGGCACACCCCTAAGCTGCTCCAATAGTTAGCATTGAGTAACGCTTGATGTCCCAGTATACATAAATCGAAAGAAAATATTAACGGCGGGAAAAAAACGTAAACTAAAAAAAAGTATCACCCTACCCCAATATCTTGTTCACTATATTCGTCAACCGTCCGCTCCCGATAGAGGTAGAGACGATATTTGCTCGCGAAGCGAGTATGCTCAGTATCGAATCCTATGAGTTGAATATAAGTTGGCATCATTCGAGGCGTTTTGCAGCCTTGCGGGTCGATTTGGCGGTTCATGTAGGAGTGAATTATTCCATAAAGAGAGATCGCACTCAGGACCGTCAGGGATATTGTTAGAAAGGAACATGACCACAAATTTCGCGGCCGAGACCTTCGTAGTTTATGCCCCTCCATCGAATTATTTATTATTGGAGAGAAAATCTGGGATTCGAATGACATGGCGTTTTCCTGTCGATTCGTGGAGTTCGAGGGAGTCGTTTGCCTTGTATCGCCCGCGAATCCACGGGTGCTAAAAAGCGATGGATTGGCCTCCTCCCCGCTATATAAATCGGTCGCTTGCTGCTGGTTCAATTGCGGAACAAACAAATAGCCTGTATCATTGTCAATCTCAGGCCCATGTCTACTTGCGGGCGCGGCGTCCAGATATGTATGCGACTGATGGGGCTTATGCGAGCCGGAGAGGCGCCTTAGCATTTGAAGGAGGCGCACTCATCCGCGACTCGGTCACGACAGAGCACAAGCCCACAGGATTTATGGAAAGGCTAAGAGAAGGTAAAAAGGGTGGGAAAAGGTTGAAGCGGGAGAGGAGAGGGGAATGCGGCGGGGGAGGCAAGCAAAGAAACAGGGAAAAAGAATCAAAAAGGAGCTTGAGATAAGGAGCTTGACAGAAAAGACAAGCAAACCTTATTTTGGGAAGGCACGCACGGACCACTACGGATTATGTTCGAGTCCCTTACATCTCAACTAACTGCATTATGTGCGGAAACGTATCTTAAAAGCGAGCTTGTATACTTTCTTTCTCAAAAAGTATTTCGGTTTAATTATTATACATGGGTATCGTCTTTACAGAGCACAAAACAGATTAACGATGTCTAATCAAGTGGGCCGACTTTCACTTCCTCCCTACTCCTCAGCTCCTCCAGTTCAGATTCCTTGGCCTTCTCTCGGCCCAAACGCCGTTTAATGGCGACTATATTCTTGAATTGGCCCTTTGCTCCGTGCTTGACCTTCGTGATCATATCTGCTGCCTCTCCTTTCGTAATTTCTCCCGGTTTAATCTGGTTATCGAAAGGGAGGTGCTTGTTAAGAAATGCGACCTGCCCAAGGCTGGCGTACTTCTTTCTCCATGGTTGCCATTTAGCTATAAAAACTGGGATAAATATGCGGTTGGCTAGCGTATCAGCAGCGTGCACTGCTTGAGCGAATTCAAGTGACGAGGCAATCTCTCGCGGGCGGCTAAATGGGCTTTTTGAATGAAGATTCGGGCTCAAGGCTCTGACGTGGGAAACCGAATACAAACCGGAGTCGTCTTTGATGATTGTAATTCTTCCAGGAGGCGCATTCAGCACGTACCGATCTGGCGCCACTGATACCCAAGCATTTTGGCTTAACGAACGAATATGTCTTTCACCTGATGTATCCCGGAGTAAATCATTTACAGAATCATAGTCAGTAAAATCAACAGCCACTTTATCCGCAGAAATAGCAGAGAACTTCGACTTCGATTTGAAGCTATAACTTTCACGGTTTTTGAGTTTTTCGATGTCCTCCATCTTTGCTTCATCAAGACCTTCGTCCGGGTGAAGACCAAACAGGGTTGGTGTGCTGGTGATACCAGTGCCAAGAGACGCAACCATATCAATGATATGGCAGTTCTTCTTCCCTGGGTATAGCCTTAATCCTCTCCCAATCATTTGGATCAAAAGGTTTTTGGACCTTGTCGGACGTGCAAGAAGCACACAATCAATATTAGGGATATCTGTTCCTTCTGTGAAAAGCCCACAGTTTACCAAAACTGGGTATTCTTGGTTGCGGAAAGCTTCCAGTTCATCTGTTCGGATATCTTTGGAAGTCTGACTTGTAATATATCTCGCATCGACGCCAAATCTGCGAAATGCTTCTGTGAGGCACCTTACATGCTCAATGTTGACCCCAAAAACAAGAGTTGATTTTCTCTCGCTCGCCCTGGAGAGCCAAGCGCGAACAGTAATATCATTCACTGTGTCAGTGTTAACTGCTGCTGATAGCTGACCAGTCTGAAAGTCACCATTAGGGCCATTGGAAACCTTTGATAGGTCAGCCCTGGAATTCACTGTAGTGAACACAGCATCTGCAAGCCACTTTTCTCCAATCATATCGATATAGTCTTTATGGTAGACGATATGGTCAATAGCAGCCCCTAGTTTTAGTCCATCGAACCGCGAAAAAGTCGCCGACACGCCAACGAGAGCTGGAGACCCATCGGACACTTCATTCAATCCGAAATATCCAAGAACTTCTTTATACGACGGAGCCACGATATGGTGCGCTTCATCCACCAAAATAAGTTTATATCTCTCCGGGTCAAACTTTTCAATTCGTCCCTTTGAAAGGAGGCTTCGGATAGATGCTATGGTTATTTCAGCGGTTCCTGTTGCGTGACTCTTGCCCATTTCAATTTCGATGGTCTTCCCCGGGTACGCAAGCATACAATGCTTTGCTGCCTGTTCAACCAGTTCTTTGCGATGGACTATAATAAGGGTTCGGTTTGCGACTTCATCACGGGGAGGAATGCGATCGATCAGCTGCGTAAAAATTACCTACCCAGATATTTAAGTTAGCGAAAGAGCCAAGATATCGGGGAGAATATGAAGCGTCATCCTCACAGTCTTTCCACTCCCCGTTGCTAGCGAAACACCCAGTCTTTTGTGGCCCTTCTCCAAATATGAGAGGACAGACTGTATACATTCTTCTTGGTAACTCCGAAGGTGAAAATCGGACAGTAACGATCCAGGAGAGTGGGACTTAGTAGGTGTAGCTGCTGCTGCTACTGCTGAGGAAATGAACCTATGGCTAAGGATGCTGTTCCTGTAGATAGCAGCGCATTTGAACTCTCGTATACATTTCGTCAACCACCGCATCTTCCATGGCTGTTGTTGATATCAAACTGTCAATGGCGATGGCCGGTATCAGGGTTTGGTTGTATGTAACATGGATGCAAACACTGCAAACTCTTAGAACCGCTTTTTCTCCAACTGCTCCAAGTTACATAAAAAGAGCATCCACCGATCACTATTACATTCCCAGGACTGACTTTTTTTGTGTTGCATTTCTTGGTTGGGAGTTGATGTCATGTTTCTACCAGTATTTTCGCGAAGGTGTCCACGATATGTTACACCAGTAGCCGTTCTTCGCCATGAGCAGCACATCAAGTATCTATGAGCCAGTGGAAGAGGACTCCTCCGATAATGACTCCCTTAGTCGCAGGATATTTCCCAACGGCTTCACTACATCATCTCCTCCGCTACAAGATCTCAGGCTTGCGTCAAGCATAGAATTAAGTAGCCCATCCAGACCTCAATCAAGCGGTTCAACCGAGAATCTTCAACCACGGAGAGACCGTTCCCATATCAATAGGAAGCTTCCCACTGAAGGCTATGTGAAGCTCTTTAATGAGTTCACAGGAAGCGCAGTTTTGGGAGGTGAAGGCACAAGTGAATCCATCTTCGCACCTTCACAGATCGGGGTTATTTCTTGGAGCTCCCACGAAAAGGAGATATTTTTCAATGCCCTTGAAAGGAAGGACAAATGTGCGATTCCAGAAATAGCCTCTCTTCTGGGATCAAAATCCGAGATGGAGATACGAGATTATCTCGATACTCTACGCCGAGGTCTCGAGACTCAGCAACTTAAAACTCGGTATAGCAAAACCCTTACTCTCTCGGACATACCCGCAGCCGCGGAGATAAGTGAAGAATGCTGTCAAACTCTAGAAGACAATGCGCTAGCATTATCTCGACAGGACGAGCAGACCACAAATACCATAGGTAAGCGGAGGTACGGAGAAATGTGGCTTGTTGATCGCCACGTTGCGGCGATGGTTGAGGATCAATTGGATGCTGAACGGGAGCGATCAAACGATGGAGGAAACGAAGAGGAGGGCAACTTACGTCCACCGCCAAGCATACTAGCTACTTCGCAGTTGCTGAATACGGCGAACTGGATTCTACTTTCGGAGCGTATATTTATGAATTCCGGCAAAAGCAGAATTGAGGATAACTGGTGCCACCTTAGAACCGGCAGTGAAACGCCGTCTTTGACCTGCGAGGCATTTGCCGACTTCTATGCCTTGACAATTAGCCTCACACGCCGCCTGGTGCATTCTTCAATATTCTTTGCGATGTCACGTCTACGCTCCCTGGAGCGTGGTGGATATCAGCGCGGGAAGCTGGTAAGAAGTGAAGATGTAGGAGCAGCGTTAGACGTACTGAGGATGAGCCACAATTCCCGACAGTTTTGGATCGGTGCTCCCCGACGCCATAATTTAAACGTCGAGGAGATCCGCCATCGCAAAGGCTTCAAACCCGTTTCTCTCACGTACGACAAAGTCGAGGAGGACCTGTCTCTGGAAGGCACCAGATCAAGGGGCTCCCGTGCCAGCAGCATTGCGCAGTCAGTGTTTGCATCGGAAAACCAACCAGATGCTGAGGATTTGTCCGACAGCGAATCCTCTGAATATGAAGTATCGAACACTTCTTCACCAAACAATACCACATCCCAGGATGATGAACCGCTATCCGATCCTGAAGAGGAACACGCCGCATCCATAGATCAGAAATCAAGCCGTGTTGAAGAGCTTCGGCTATGGAGACAACTGAGTCAATCCCCGCCACGATCCCTCCTGCGTGAATATGAGGATTCGGACACGGGAGGTGACAATAAAACCACAGCGACGAGGCCACCTGGTAACCGGAAAACAAGAAAGGATCTGATAGACTGGCGAGACCGATTATTGTATCGGAGTGAATGGGAAGAATTCGGACCGGATATCGTCCTTCTTGAAGAAGAGTTATCCGATAATCGAAGAAAGAAACGGAGACTTGGGTAGTGTAATTATTGCCTGATATAGCTGGATTGAAGAGGCCGTATTTTCAACTGGAAAAAAGGCGTATGACATTGGCATTTATACTTTAATTTACAAATATATATGGGTACCTACGTACGAATACGCAGATTGCTATCACGATTATGAATGTTACAATACTACAGTACATTTTCCTTCAAGCGGTTATCGATTATTCCACTTGCCATCCACCATCAAACCAGTCATATCTTGGCATATTGATAGAAAAATTGATAGAACCATTGATAAGGACATAAAACAATCACCTTTCCTTCTACCAGTACAATATATGAGTGAAAGCCGTTTCATGTTTGAAGGACAAACCACAAGGAGTAACAAGGAGCCGCGCGATAAAAGTTGAAACGAGAACAGAATTAAAAAAAAAAAAAAAGAAAAGAAAAGAAAAGAAAAGAAAAGAAAAGAAAAGAAAAGAAAGGAACTGATTACCCGGGCTGCCATTAAGGTCGAAATGAATGCAGAAATTTGTATGTGAAAAGTTCGCCTGTGGAATCAAATCGTACATTTTGGGTTGGGAAATGACGAAAGAAACAGAGTCCAAAATTAACTAAGCTAAATCTTTCAACACCCGAACAATCCAACAGCTTTCAGAATCGCGAGATGTGATCAAGGGCGTCTTTAATCGAATTTAGTGTCCAAGGGATTGAGGGTTTCTTTCCCTCTTCACTCCCCAAAACGTCCAGCTGTGGAGCAGACAGACAAAGTGTGCTCATGTCGAGAATGACGGAGGAAAAGGAGAATGCGCACATCAATAACAAAAACTCCGCCAACTGTAGAACCGCCCCCAGAATTGAATAATAAACGAAACCAGAGATGAAAGCTACAGACCCCGATCCAGAGAACTTGCGCCGTTGGTGGAGAAAAAGAAAAAGCGAGAAAAAAAACCTCGTCAACGACCCAGGCGTAACGTAGTGGTTCCGACAAGCACCCGATTTATCAACGCGGTCTTTTTAACACCCAGATCGTACATCAAATCATCCTTCATTCAGCAACTCGTATTCTTCCCACTCTCCGCCTTCTAAAATCTTCAAGAGTTATATCTAATCAATTATTGAATTACCCTTAGATCTCAAAAGCTTTGTACTCCCCGCCTTGCAAGCTGGGCGGTTGAAGGTTCGCCGCTTGGCCAGCAGTAGCCTGCTGGAACCCATAACGTTCACCAATGCCCAGCATTTCCGCATTGACAGCCATAGCAACTCCTTCCTCAGGTCCCTCCAAGCTGGCGGATTTTAGGAGATCCTGAACTTCCTTAATTCTCTTTTTAAAGGCCATGCGGTCAAGGAAGAGCTGTTGCCGGCCTTGCTCCAGATCTCTCCGTTCGGCTTCAACAATTTTTTCGAGTTCGGTGAACTGAGCAAGCTTGATGTCGAATTTTTGCAGAGTTATATTGACAGCCGCAGCGACGAGACGAGTCATTTCTCTTTCTTCGTTGGAGGCAAAAGCGGCTGCACGGGCAGCAGCAGTGGCCAAACCAATAGTTGCAATAGAAGGGCGCGAGGATTGTTTATCACTTCCTGTACTCCGCACAACAGCAGATGATTCAGGTTCATTTGCACCGTCGATCTCCATCGAATCTTCAAACTTCAGAGTCTCTCCTGCTTTGCCTTTGTCTTTATCCTTGGTCTCGTCCTTGTCCATGTCCTTGTCCATGTCCTTGTCCTTGACTTGATTGTCAGTACCTGTAAAGCCTTTGTCGAGTTGTTTCTGGAGTTCGCGACGTATTTCCTCAACTGATCGACCTGCAGCAGCAGCCGTAACCGCTGGTTCGGCCATCTCGGCTAAGTAGGATACAACGGAGAGGACAGGGTTGTCAAGTTGGCTAATTGGCTCTCTTCCACTCATCGCGCGGCTTAGAGAACCATCCTGCGTATCTTCCAAATATTTATCCTCGATTTCTAGCTGGAGGAATTTCATGACGCATTCTTCTGGTGTGCGTGTGCCAACATGGCGTGCGATTTGTCGCCAGTTGTCATCAAAATTCTCCAGACCCTCCAAGAGGAGGAGAAGTTCGGAGTTGCTCCATGGAGCATCCCGATCGGGGATTGTCGTATACGGACTATCTTCCAGTTTGACAAAATCGGAAGCATGGTGAGATGAAGGCAGTCTGCCTTGAAGGAAGCAATTCGGGCACAGATCGTATTTCGTATCCGGAGCATTGGAATTACTCGACACGGGAGCAGATTTGGCGTAGTGGAATCGTAGCCGTGTGCAGTCAATACCGCAGGAATAGCAATGGAATGTCTTCCTTGGTTCTTTCGCTGCAGCTTCCATTGTCTTGATCGAAGAATCGCCACCAGTTCCATTTGTGGTCGCGCCTTCCCCATTTGTCTGCTTCTCTTTGTCCTCAGCTGGAGTGATTCCTTTCCCCTTATCATCATAGATATTGCGACGAATTTCCAGGTTGAGATCACCTTTTGGAATTGGAGTAGCAGACGCGGCTCGTTCAGTAGAAGGGTGGGGTTTACCGGACGTGACGATAGCGTTGGGCGCCGGCTGGAATGGTTGTAAACCTCGAGGAGTGTCTGCGGTGACTCTGAAGTGACCTGTCATGGGGGGCCCAATATTGGAGGGTCTTGTCTGAGGGTCAACCTGTATTTCAAGTTAGACAAAACAATATATGCTCAAATTCATTGCCATTTCACCGCAAAAAGGCATACCTGGTAGTTGATCAAACCCCAGTGCTCGAGGAATGAGTGCACACGCATAATAGCACACACATCACCTGCTAAGTTTCGTCGACAGGCAGTGACTGTAAGATACTCGACAGGGTTCAAGCGGTACGTGTTGATCATGAAGTCGCGATAATCCTTGTAAATGGCAGGAGTTTTGCTGCGGTTTCGACTGTTGAAAAATTCCGGAAGAGCTTTTTTCTCAACAGTATGAATCACATTCATATCAAACCAACTCGTGTAGCTTGGAAGGATGATAGCGTGTGTTTGGGCTACCAGATGCGAGCGCGCTGAAGCCTCCAAAGAAGCTTTAGTCTGCGGCGGTTGGTCATCAGCGTTTTCGACTGGCTCTTGTTGCGTTGCCGAGTTTTCACCAGTTTCGTCTCCCACACCGTTTTCTCTATTTGCATCTGCGTCCGTTCCCCCCATTGTCTCGTCTTCCTTTTCTTTCTCGTCGTCTTTTTCTACCTCTTCGTTCTGGGGCTTGGGAGAAGCAAGCACATCTAACGGATTATCAGAAATCGAGACGTCTTGGTCTGCTTTAGAAGGCGTATGAGGTTGAGATGGGGAACCTAAATTACAAAGCGTATTATAAGCATGCGCATAACCAGATGAAAATGCTGCCGGGCGCATCCTACCTGAGACGCGGCTAGGGGATAGTGTGGCGGCAGGAGCCTCAGTCACCGATTGCCCATCCTGGGGAGCGGTGACGGTTGGGCTATCGGTAGCCATCTCGCCCGAGGTTGCATTTAGATCCTCCATTGTGGACGTGGCACAAAGAAATCAAAGGTTACAGGTTACAGGCTTGCTCGGTCCAGGCTATCCGCCTGCGCAGGATAGGAGAAGCTCTGTCAAATAGCAGCGATCCCCAAAGCCGTATTCGGAAGCTCGAAAAAAAAAAAAAAACGCGGCAACTGGATGGCTTGGATAATAACAATTAGGCAGGTCTGGCAGCAATGTCAAGCCTGATGGGATGGGTTGTACCAGCGTAGCTGCAGTGAACACGGGCAATCGCCAAAAATCTTTGGGATTGGAGGCTCTCCACGCTAGCCGAATCCAGTACTAACAACGAAAATACATATTACGGCAGCCGTGTAAAACCAAGTGTGTCATTTAGGATTAATTATTGACCGAAAGAAACGCGACTCCAAACGCGTTTTCGCGATGTCTAGCAATCTAGAGGAATTCGACGCATCATGGAATCATAGCGATAATCAACACCTTTGATTGATTAGCGCAAATGGTTTGAATGATGTATATCCTCATGATTTTCGAGCGATATGATCCGATATTAATCCTTGGGCCACGGACAGAAGACAGTTTATCTAAGGAGGTACGTGGACTACCTTGAATTTCAAAAACAGATCAAGCGAATTCTCGTGGATTTGGCATGAATTTCTGGATTTGGTCAGGCGGGCAAAGTTAATTGCTAATAGACCTAACAATTAGAACCAGCTTTCATATACATATTTTTGACAATATGCACGACACAGCAATATCTGCTAATCTATCATCCGAGACTCTCATTCCTTCGTCATCTCCTTCAGTCAATATGGATATGCAATCCCCTCCTAAACATGACACACTCCTAGGTCATTACGGAGGCTCACCTCCAGATCAAGGGAAAAGAAAACCCGATGATATCCTTACTACCACACCTCCCAAACGCTTGAGGAAACTTGGACCCTTTCTTGATGAGGAAGACGACGAGCACGACATATATCCATTTGCCGATTCTAGCGTAAACCCTATATGTCAGGATAAGAGCTACAATACCAGTGCATCATTGGATGCAATCCATATAAGCGCGCCTTCCGGTTCCAATGCTACCTATGGGATAAGAAATCCCCCCAAATCCATATTTTCGACACACGTGAATGATGTGTCAAAGGAAATGGTGACTATTTGCACATGTTTGGGTAAAGTCGTTAATCTGCGAAAGAGAACAAGGACTGCCCCTGTTTCTTATGAGCAAACAATTGCAGAGCGTTCAACTACAGTTCCAGGCAGAGCAAAAAGAAGTTACTATGGAATCGACATTCACAAATTACTTGACGATATCGCAATCGAAGATGCACAGGCAAGCAGCCGCCGTTTACAACCTTCTCCTCACCATCTATCTGTTGAAGTGGCGAATGATCCTCTGAAAAGTAATGGATCAAGCCTTATGTGGACTGAAAAATACCGTGCACGAAAATTTAAGGATCTTATTGGTGATGAGCGGACGCATCGCTCTGTTTTACGCTGGCTGAAGGGATGGGACTCAATTGTATTTCCGGGCCTAACAAAATTAAAATCAAAAGTCTCCACAAATGATTTCGAAGAACGGGCTCACCGGAAAGTTTTGCTCTTGACTGGACCCCCTGGCCTCGGTAAAACCACTCTTGCTCATGTCTGTGCAAAGCAGGCAGGATATGAAGTTCTTGAGATCAATGCAAGTGATGAAAGAAGTCGAGATGTTGTCAAAGGTCGAATTCGAGATGCAGTTGGCACTGAGAATGTGAAAGGGGTGACCATGGATGCTGGTGGTAAAAGGATTCGAAAGCCCGGCAAACCTGTTTGCATCGTCGTGGATGAGGTCGATGGGGTTGTAAGTGGCTCAGGTGGTGGTGGTGAGGGAGGTTTCATGAAAGCATTGATCGACCTCGTTATGTTGGACCAAAGGAATTCCAGCAACGCCTCGGAGTCTATTTCGACTCGCAACAAGGGTTCTAGAAAAGGAGAGAAATTCCGCCTCCTTAGGCCGCTGATTCTCATATGCAACGATGTTTACCACCCTAGCCTCCGCCCATTGCGAGCTTCCTCAATCGCAGAAATTATCCATGTTCGTCAAGCTTCTCTGGACAAGGTGGTTTTGCGAATGAAAACTGTGTTTGAAAAGGAAGGCATCCCATATGATGGAGACGGAGTAAGACGGCTTTGCGAAGCTTCGTGGGGTCTGACTAGCACCAGGGAACGTACAAACAGTCGCGGTATTGGTGAGGGTGATATTCGAGGAGTCCTTGTAGCTGGAGAATGGATAGCACATACGCTCCGTGCTGCTAGTCTAACAGCAGATATCAGACTCACGAGACAGTGGGTAGAGAAACACATCCTAAGTGGCGCAGCAAGAGATGGCCTATCAGCTCGTGGTTTAGGACGCGGCGGAACGAAAGATATTGTTGAGCGGGTGTTTCTTGACGGAGCTGGTTTCCCAACTGCACCCACGTCTGCGCAAACTTTCCAAGACCCATTGTTGGGTGGTGACACCAAACTCCCTACTGATGTCTCTGATCTTCGCAAACGACATGCGATTAACAGTCTGAGGGAGATGGTTGATGCCGCAGGCGAATATGACCGCTGCATTACGGAGTGCTTTACGACTTATCCAACCAAAACGTACCAGGATGATACTTTTCTCTCTAAACCTAACGCGGCCTATGAATGGCTGTATTTCCATGACATGGTATCATCCAAGGTTTACACGAATCAAGACTGGGAACTCAATCCGTATCTTAGCCAGTCTGTTGCCGCATTTCATCATCTCTTTTCCTCTTCCAACAGACAAACCTGGGATGGCGATAAAGCCCACACGAACAATGAAGACGACGAAGACGACCATCCCTTCTCAGGCCCAAAGGCAGATTTTGCAGCTTTTGAAGCGCAGAAGCAGAACCATGCCATCATAACAGAATTCCAGTCGACCTTCTCCCCTCCCCTTCTCCGCACGTTCCGCTCCACTGAATCGATTATCATAGACCTTATTCCGTACCTCACCAGAATGCTAGCCCCTGAGATAAAACCAGTAGTTGTTGGAGGAAGTGGCATTCAAAGAGGGGTCGCTAGCGTTCGCAAGGACACAGAACGTGCGCTCGTCAAGTCAGCGGTGAGAGTAATGAGTGGTATAGGGGTAAAATTCGAGAATACAAGGGTAGAAAGTGAAACTGGCGTCCACAATGGCTGGGTTTACAGGATGGAACCGTAAGTCTTCCCTTCCTGTCCCGAGCATCTACACAAATTACGCCTTGCATAGACAGCAATCTCTCGGATCGTGTTAAACATCCCCATACTTACATGATCTCCGCCAGACCTCTCGACACATTAACCATGTTTTCCAAGCTAAAAGGCAGCGGATCCACACCTGTCCGCTACGCAATCCGCCAGGTTCTACAGCAGGAATACGAAAAGGAGATCCTGCGTCAACGTTCCCAAGCTGGTCAAGCACGATTAAACGGGCCCCAGCGCGACAATTTCTCTCGCGATGACAATAACTGCAAGGAAAACACCAACCCAGATGGCCCAAACCCACCTAACTTTTCCTCCAGAATGAACGGACCCAAACGAGATTTCTTTGGCCGCGTCATTGTGAACGAAGCGCGGCCCAGTTCTTGTGTTGTTAGCGATGATGCCGCTGCCTCTCCATCAGTTAAAGCAATGAACAATCCGGTATGGGTTGGTTTTCACGAAGGTTATTCGAATGCTGTGCGTAAACGCGTGACGCTTAATGAGTTGTTATCGGGGTTGTAGAATAGAAGTATGCGGGCTGGTTGGTTCGCGGGCCTCTAACTTAGCGTGATTCAAACCATATGACATGTTTTTAAGTAGCGTTATATTTTTGTTTGCGGTATACGTCCGTTTATGAACGTAGCTTTGTATTTTCATATTTCATTCTGACCCTCCCGTTGGATCGGGTCTACCTAAAGCATCACCAGGAGTTTCAAATTGACCGTTCTTTGCTGAAACAAAGCAGGTGATTGTTCAATGCTCCAAACCTAAGGATTGATAAATCCACTTAAGTGGCAATTAGCGTGTGTCCCCAAGTTGGATCTGGTGGAGCACCTCAAAGTAGAGGCTAGGCGATCGTCACCCGCCGACAAAACCCTAGAGACCCGCTAAAAGCTTGAACTAGCTAGCTCAAATGTCATATTCAATCGTATATACATCACAGAATGTAATGTGTAGCGATGTCGAGGAAGAAAAATCCGCTGCCTGTTTCTTCACATCTGCTGGCTGACATGTTTCCGCATGGCATTGGCGGGCCGCGGCCATGGTTGTCGTCGATTGGGCTAGACTGCCAATCTCAGCCACCAAATTACTCCGCACTTCCAGTTGCATTTCCCAGCTTCTTCCAAAGGGCTGTGTTGTTTGTCTTGAATCAATGTCCTGAGTGAGATGAGCTTGACTGCCCAAGTGGTGCATCTCCCAAAATGACCGAATCCACGAGCGAACCTGCCGGTGGGGGCACTCAAATTGACGATATACCATTTGAGGACAAGCCATCGCCATGGCTGAACATGAAAGCCCAATATTTTTGCGCCGTCGGTTGGGCAAGAGGCCTACCAACAGGATCTTATGCGGACTTGGAAGCTCAGTCGTCGTTTGCTGACCCTGATATAAGCGGTCAGTTCAAAGGGGGAGCATGCATGGTTATGATCGTGAGATATCTAGATACTCCCGTCGGTAAGGCTGTTGCTATTTATTTGGGCTCAATGAATTGAAGAATACGCAGCTAATCCCTTCTTTGCCTGTCAGGTCCTTATGATGAAATCTTGTGGGTCCCTGGATGGTTTGAAGTCCCGCCTAAAAAGGCAAGCAACCCGCGGGTAACGAGGATATACGTCTCCAGAAAGGAATCCATTTATAATGGTAAAGTTTTCTTCCGGCAGGATCAGTGCTGCATCCCATACCGATTTTGGTATATCTGCTAATAATTGTTATTGTACATAATTCAGGGCGCAAAAACTGGAATATCCCTAAACATGTATTGTGTTTCGTTTTCCCTATATCATGCTTCTTGATATAAGAATATTGTCCAACTAACAGAGAACAACAAACCAGTTAGCAAATTTTAAATTCACCCCATCAGAAACGCCATCAACTATGCCCTACTCCAGCGTGGAAATATCTTTGCCCTCTAACCCAGATCAACCATTTGTCGCCCTTCAATTCTCCCCGCTGACACTAGTATCCAAACTCAGCTTCCCGGTTCACACTTCATATGTCCCTGTCAACCTGCTACTGGGGATGGCACCTATTCCAGAAAGCGAGTCCTGGCGAGAGGATGCTTTGGTCGGGACCAAGGAATGGTGCCACACAAGAGTTGATATCTCAGGATGGGGTAGGATGATGCGTGTCGAGGGAAAGCTTGGAGACGGGCAGTCCTTCCCTGAACTTTCAATGTCCAGTTATTGGGTGTATATCAATGACGCGAAACTGAGTTGCATGTCGATTTGACTCTGAAAGGACAGCACTGATGGCCATTATCTATTCGTCGTCAAGGGGAAAAAATCATCTATGCCTCTTTAGGGAGAATTTTGCTAGCTTCCTCCTAGAGGAGAAGTGGTTAGGGTCAACAAGCAAGGTGGTTCGTTTCGAGCCTTACGATCATTCTATGTTTATCGAATTAGCTTTTATTTCTATCAATGCGATGACTGAACTATTGTGATGGAATGTCTCCGTCCACCTGCAGTCTTTCAAGAATCCCACCAGTGTAGGATTCCTCCTAGAATTCGCGCATATATTGCCTCATAGCCTTCCCCCAACACAGTTCCCGTCTTTCTAGACTGGTAATATCAAACTAAAAACTTTTCCACTAGGCTAAAAGGAAACATTTCCTATTAGGACCACTAGGGTCAGTTTGTTTTCGAGGCGCATGCTCCGATCGACACCTCCTCTTCGCTAGTCTATTAAAATCTCTTCGGGTCTAGTTTCCGATCCCCTGATAACTCTCGCCAGCATCAAAACATCGCTACTTCTTTGATTCTATATACTTTGAATGCCAGCCAAAGAATGCTATGGAGTCTGAGTGACATAAAGTCCGTTCCATGTCTTCCGCGGAAGACGCTACACGCTCGAGCATGTGCCTGCTTCACGGCATGTTTGCGGAGACATCTCGCAAGGTATCGACTACTTAATTCTTTAAAAATGATGCTCAGTAGCGCATCACATCGCCTGAGGCTGACACTGAGGGGTAGCGTAGACTGTACAGAGTGGCGCAGGATGGTTTGGTCATCATCATTGTCCTTTGCGGCGCATGTTCAAGGATCCGGGATAGGAACTTCGAGTCTAGATCATTGATGTGATGGACATACAAATGGTGGTTGGTCGAGCACTCTCAACAAGTCGTGACAAGTCTCCAGGGTATATGTTTCGTTGGGGAAAGAGCTGAGAGATGGCAATAAGAAGACTACGGATACAACTTTTACACATGCCATACCTCGGTGGACATCGATCAATCGGACAAAGACCCTTTCCCACGATACTGAAGATGACTCTCAGTACCATCGATAGACAAGGGCTTGTCCAGCTTACGGTCAAAACGTGCTGGGAGATGAAAGATCTAAAAACAATAGTGCATAATTTGGAACTCTTGACGACGACCTAGACTTTGACCATAAGCCCACTCAGACTCTTTCACGGCAGCCCAGTGCGCCAGTCGGCTATTTTCCGTTTCATCCATGCCTACGCAGTAAACCCTCAACCCTTGTTGACTACGAGTCGCTTCAAGGATCCCGGATCATGCCACGCTGAGCAGGATTTGAAGGACTCTTCGATGCTGCTGGGACAACTCCCGCATAATCTCGAAGATTATGAGAAGCAGCGTGTCTAAAACCCATTCGTGCGAGGAAACATGGATGCCTGGGATCAGGGGGTTGTGTCTGATTAGAATCAACATCCAACTTCTCTGGAGGGCTGATTTATTGTTGCCGAGGATGACGATGATGATGATGATCGGCAGGTCTGCAAGCCCTGAAAGCCAAGTCAGCGCCTAACCGTTTCGAAACTTCGGGAAGAAATGCCAGCCCGGGCATCCCCTGTCTTGTCTATCCTTGATCCCAGTTAGGGCAGAAAAAGAAAAGAAGAAGCAAAAAGAAAAATGTTTGAACTACATAGTAGTTATATCCCAATAAACACAGCAGAGCAACGAAATTGAGAGTAAAAGAATGACAACACTCACTGACTACCCTACGTGAGGTTCATTGAACTCAAAAAACAAAAGAAAAAAGGAGAGAAAAGAACAAAAGTTTCTGCCTGGTTCCTCGTAATTGAAATGCATCCTCGAATATAGTAGTACCTGCTCGAAGTTCATCAAGTGCTGTAACACAGCATGCAAATTGGCAATGGAAAATTTGTCACCTGGCATGCATACAGGCTGCAACATTTCCAGAGAATGAGGAGCTCATGATAGAAGAATATCCCAAAACCAGATATTATGTGTATTAAATTTCTTGATAATGATAGTATTAGGTGATATATCAAAGGAAACTGATAAAGCTGGGCAAAACAAGCAATTTAAAAAGTAGGAAATGAAAACAACATCAATGCATCCTGAGAATCAAGATAAAAAAGACATGGGTATCGCGCAAACTCATTCAACAAATTAGGATTTCCAGTTACCAGAACCCGTAAAATATCTTCCTGCAAAACCAAAGCATTCTATCCATTGTCCACAGTAAATCAAAAATGAAAAAAAGAAAGGAACAAATTAGGTATTAAAATATCAAAGACACGATGCGGAACTGCTATACCCATGCACTTTTCACAAACACGTCCTTCTTTTTGGCTGATTTTCAGTTTCTTCTATCAGGTAACTGGTCGAATCCGACATTAGAGTGCATTTGTCGCGCATTGATAATTATCTGTTCGCGAAGTATGAAGCACGGGCCTCCATTACAACCTTATTCGAGCTCGATTGGGCCTTGGTCTGAACAGGTTTCTTTGTCGAGTGTTGGAGGATGGCCTTCATTCTAGCGATAGATGATGAGCTGCGAGTTGAGGATGTCGAGCTATCACGACGAGCGGCAAATGTGGAGGTGGACTTGGAGGAAGCGTCGGACGGCATTTTCGACTTTTGTAAGAATATAAAAAACGCTTATCGGACAATAACAACTTCTGCTGTTGTCGGCTCTAGGAGGGCTTGATAAGGGGATGGCTTTTCCGATTCACGTGAGGGTAGTTGATATAAAGCTTGCACAGGTGTGGTTGTTTTGTGAAGAGATATCGTGAGGGTATGAAAATCTTCTCGTTGTGAGGATTCTTTGGGAAGTAGAGAGCTATTTCAATGTTTGTTTTCTTTTCCTTTGAATTGATGATGGATAGTCATAAAGATGCAGGATAACAGAGGATTTGATCCCCTTTTTATACCCATGAATTCAACAACATAACCTCACAGGGCGTAGAATTGGCATCAGTAATTGACATTTGGGGAGTAGAACCAAACAATTAGTAAGTCACACCCAAGGCGACAGCCTGGACTTTCATCATCGCATGCATGGATGCAGTTTTTAGTTCCCTTGACGCGGTCGATACCTTTCCTTCTTAAACGCCGGTTCCCAAGCGGCTGGCGTTTTGACCCTTGCTGGATCCTGTTAGGCCACCACCAGCGTCATGCTGGTGGTAGGTAGAGAGGACGAACCAATCCAGACTCCCAACAGATCCCTGATAGGTGACTAACCCTTGTTTGCTGGCTCGACCAGAAGTAGTATGTCAGCATAACGCTAACATCGCAAACAGCAGAGGACTGGGCGGGTCTTTTCGTGTGCATTCATAGAGTGGACCCATTCCAGCCATTCCAAGTTGCTCTCGACCCGGGCCTGATGTCCCAACTGGAAACTGAACCCAGGCCCGTGTCCTGTGTTAGGCACAAATGGTGATGTTTGCGCAGAGGTTGAGCAAGAGATGTTAACCAATTCATAATTCTTGCGCATTCCAGAAGGATGCGGGGTCAATCAACATGATAAATCCGCGGTGAAGAGAGTGTGTGTTCCCACATCCGCCATTCTTCTGAACCTTCTTTGTGGTGCGGTGACTCGACATCCCGTATTCAACGTTCTTGATTTCCAATCTTGGGCGCGGACGATGTTCCACGCCTGAGGATGACCTCTAGTCCTGCGCTAAAAAAGCCAAGCCCCTTTGCTGAAATAATCTCATGATGCTGAAGTTGAGCTAGTCATGTGGGACGTCTAAGTGGTTGTATTAGCATGAGGCATATATGTGCGTTGCGCTAGTCCGTGATAGGCAGCCTAGGGCCAACAAGTCATTGAAACTAGTTAGTCAAACAAACAAAACGAACTTCACTTGACGTCACTTGAGTCCGTCGCAGTCATGGTGTTGTTGGGAATCGAATGTAGTTCCAATTTTCGGTCTGATGAACCGTCACAAGAACGCTTCGCTCGCTACTCTCTTCGTAATTGAGAGCGATGATCTGTTCGCTCCAGGCAATGGCATCCAAGTTACAAAACATAATTATTCACAAAAGAAACATACATCCATCTTCAATTTCCATCTAAGAGCTATTTATCCTTTCAAACACTAGTATATCTCACAGACAGACAGGCACTAGTAGACAGCAAGCTTCGAATTCGATCCCTATACGCCTGCAAGCAGGTATGCGAGCTGGTAGTCAAGCGAAACCTCCGTATATGATAGAGAGTTGACAGAGATCTTGCAGGTAGGCAGCCAGAAGTAGGCGGAGATATCTAGATTCATGCTATCCATACATACATTAGCACATCACCTTAGAGAGGATGGTTCAACATTAACCATTATTTCACCATGTCCTAACATGTATCACTTGGAACTTTGGGCTAGCATGAAGATGGAAAGAAGTGCAATATGGCGGATAAAAAAGCTTCGAGAAGGAATTCAACATCACAGGTCACTGGAGAGTCAACGGATTTTCAATGAGAATCTCTCCGTTTGGGATCCAGGCATATTTAGCGTACATCCAACCGGCATAGGGCTTTCTCCACCCTTTATTGGCTTGATATTACCTCAGAGTGCCTGGATCTGGACAGCGGTGGAGAGGGCAAGAGTCATCACCACGATTGCACTGTGTAGCTGCTAAAATTATCCAACAGGGCCGTTATTTCATCATCACACAATCACGGTGCCGCTGTGATCTGGTCTCCAGCTCAAGGTTCCTGCGTAATTCCGGACAGCGTCAGCCTCGCCTTTTCGTATTTTTCTTTTTCGTTTCCATTTGTCTTGTTGTCCGTCGGGTCGATTGACTGGAGCTGATTGCAGGAAGTGTTGTTGATACTTTTAACTTTCCGATCAGTCCAGCAAAACAGTTTTGGAAGTTTTGATTCCATTCCTCTCTTGTTAAAGTATTGGTTGAAGGTTTACTTTTTGAGGAACTGATGGATATAAGTTTTGCTGAAGTACAGCTTGCCAGCTTGAAAATAATCCGGCCTCAAGATTTGGAAACGGGCTGAGATTGACTTCACCATTGAGTCCCATTCAACTCTAGCTGTTCGCAATCACAACAAACAGCGGTAATATATTATTTTAACCACTGCAGAGCACCATAGGAATGCACCCCAACGTCTAGAGAGATTCATGCGGAGGGATATACAAGCCCGCAAACCTGGTAGGAAGTTCAAAAAATAATAATGATAATAATAATAAGTAAACCCCAAGCATTATAATAGGGACAGGAGAAGAACTTTTGAAAAAGGAAAAAAAGAGATGATGTCGCCCAGGCTCGAACTGGGGACCTTGAGTGTGTTAGACTCACGTGATAACCAACTACACCACGACACCTTCTTGCTGTTAGGACCACCAGAATTTAGGAACTAAATGCATTTCGACCCTGGCTCAACACCGTGTGCTATAACTGATTTTTAGATTAAGATGTTTTCCAGAGATATATACCAGGCATACTATTTCATTTTATTCATGTGATGAATGTTTGTTTATGTTTATACTGTACACATGTATGAACAGCGGATTCAGGACGGCGATACTAAAAGTCTAAGGACGTACTAAGGCCCCAAAAAGAGAGAAAAGCGCGAAAGAATAACTCCAAAAAGAAAAAAAAAAGCATGAAAGCCATAAATGAGTATGTATACTTATCGATATAACAGGAGATGAACAGGAAGTGGCGCGACTAATATTACTTCTTCAACTTCTCTGTCAACTCGGGAACTTTCTCGAATAAGTCCCCCACCAATCCGACATCTGCAACCTGGAAGATAGGCGCGTCGGGATCCTTGTTAATTGCAGCAATAACCTTGCTATCTTTCATACCGGCAAGATGCTGTATGGCTCCAGAGATACCCGCGCAAAGGTATAGTTCAGGAGCAACGTTTTTACCGGTCTGGCCGACCTGAAGACTGTTATCGGCGAACCCGCTATCTACGGCAGCGCGAGAGGCACCAATAGCAGCACCTAAAGCGTCTGCAAGTGGGGGCATCAGTCTGTCGAATTCCTCTTTCGATTTAAGGCCCCGTCCTCCAGAGACGACGCGGGAAGCAGTGCCAAGATCGGGGCGGTCAGACTTGGCCAAGTCCTCTGATACCCATTCTGTTGGTGATGGCACTTTGGGGTCCGCGCCATCAACGACTTCCGCTGTGCCGCCTGTTGTCTCGCCGGCTTGAAATGCTGTTCCTCGGACGGTTAAGACCTTCACGGGGTCCGTGGATTGGACGGTAAGGATAGCATTTCCGGCATAGATTGGTCGGACAAAGGCTATGGGCCGGATGTCAGCACAAAGAAAGTCATTAGATCATATGATATGGGGGAACTCACTATCCTCACTTTCAATGGCAGTGATATCAGATATTTGCTGGACGTCCAAAAGGGCCGCAACTCGAGGTAAAATATTCTTGCCAAAAGCACTGTGACTGGCGATGACGTGTGTGAATCCTTCTTTTTTGATATTCTCGACGAGAAGCGGGGCGTAGTTCTCAGGCAATCCCTATATTCGTCGAGCGAGCGCATGGTTAGTATACATACATTCTCTCCCTGCTAGCCCATGTAATAACCAGTACACCCAATATGTAACTCCGCAGTCTCTCCAAGTATACAAACACTAGCATACCTTGTCGTAGGCCGCATTGTCCACCGCAAGGACCTTATCCAGACCCTTGATCTTTGAAGCCTCCGCCGCTGCACCGTTTTTCACACCACCCCCCGCCACAAACGCTGTCACCGAGCCTCCCAATTTCTGTGCAGCAGTAATTGCCGAGAGAGAGGAACCTTGGATCTTTCCATCACGCTGTTCGAGAACCGCAAGGGTAGAGAGCAGCCGTGAAAGTGCCGAGAGTTGTGACCGACGAATGGATTGTGATCGTAGCGGAGTGGTCGCCCGAAGGATCGAGTGTCTGGCGATAACGGAATTCATGGCTGAGTACGTGGTGTAAGATAGAAGCGTATATCTTCGCCCTTTCCGCCTCCTGATTCGCACAATAGAAACTTGCTAGGTAAGATCAATGGACGAAACGGAGAGATACCGATCTCGGGATCCTCGCCGATTCTGAGGGGAGAAGTTGAATGCCGCGAACTTGAATGACTAAGCATGCTCGGAAATTCACGGTTAAAACCCAAGAGACAAACACAAATCAAAATTCCTTCAAAGACGGAGAAGCAGTATGCTTCTGGATTATGAGTTTTATGTTATTATGACGGGTCTGGAAACTTCGCCCAATAGGCTCTATCATGATTTAAAAATTGCAGGTACTCCAACTAGAAGGAACAAAATATTTTTTAAAAAAAGGTAAAGGCGCCTCAGGAACCCCATATTTGAATAAAAAGCATGTAAACAAAAATAGGAAAGCCCATGATCACCTTCTTTTCCTTTTATTAGAATCAGAAGACTCAGGAGCCTTGGTGAGGGTAGTCTTGTTCCCATTGACATTGTCACCGTCTGATAGAGCTCGAGCTTTTTGAGCTTGAAGCTTAGCTTTTCTCGATGCGATCAATTCATCATCTTCATTATCTTCATTCTCAGATATCTTCAGCTTCTTTGACTCCATAGACCCCGATTTCCCAACCGATTTGCGCTTCTTGTTCATTTTCTTGGAGCCCTCAAGAGTCATAGAATCCTCATCTTCTCGAACATCACCCTCATCAACCCATAATTCACTGGCAAGCCAAATTGGCATAGCCATTGTATTCGCACCTTTCAGGTGTAAAGCCTTGATATTCCTCCATCCCTTCGAGACATACTTTTCCGCCATACCCTGAACAACAGCCTCAACATTTTCCACCAGCTTCTCGGGAGTAAAGTTCGCAGAACCAACGCGCACAGAAGTCGTGGCCGCGGATGCCAAATGTACAGGGACGCTAGACAGAGTCTTCTCGATCTCTTTCGCAACGACAGCCGGCAATGCAACGGCAGAGTACATTTCATCGGACGCAGGTCTCTTCCTATCCTCCTTCTTCACCTTTTTACCCCCGACCTTCTGCACTTCCGCAATGCGAATCGGAATTGGGCGCTTGCTCGATTTATAGAAGATCTTCCCCAGGGTCTGCACCAGCCTCATGATAATCCGATCATCGGCCAAAAAGACATCATGCTCTGACAGCAACCGTCGTCGACTCTCGAAGCTCTTATATTTGGTCTTTAGTTTGGTGTATCCGATGACCTTGGTAATGCGCGACGACAAGTTTGTCGGGAATTGAGGGTTGGCAATAACATCCTTCACCGCGCGTTGTGGGTCGGCTGCTATGAGGCAGATGCTGAGAGAAGGGGAGGTGTTCAGGGAATGTGGGACAACGATTTTGCCTGGCTTTAAACGGTTTTTGTCTACGATATGTTTTTTTGTTGTGAGGACAAGCCAGATGGGAGTAGCATCTACACCGTCCGTGTCGTCTTCATCGTCGTTATTGGCCAGGAGATCCTTCTTCGTCGATTCCAGAGCTTTCCTTTCCTCTTCCGTTTTTATATGTCGTAGAAGCGCAGATGATGCCCGGGTGACCTGTATATATGAATGGCTCTCACTATTAATATCTAGCTCGCCTCTACCTAATAAAGCACTGGTTGAATGGGCGGGGTTAGGCAAAGAATGAAAAAGAGACCTACCTGATCATTATTCAATTGATAAGGAGTCCCGGAGACGGGTTTGATGGTAAGGACACCAGAGGTCACAGCCATGATTTTCTCTATCCTATCACTTTCTCCTCTTGACTACGAGTATCCTTTGTTAATCTCCAAATTCTGCCACAATTGAAAAAAATCTTCGGAGTACGGTCAAGCAGTTTTTCCGACCACACTAGGTGAAAGGTTATTCCGCTCTAGTCTTATCATAGCCTGGGTTTAGCAAATGAATACTCCAAGTACCAGAACTAAAAATTGTTCACAGAGAACAAACATATGTATAAGCCGCGTTTGTTATATGAGGTGCTGACAGCTAATATAGAGTGATATCAGTCCACACGTCCTTCTGACTCTGTGGGGAAGGAAGAATCGATACTAGTATTCTTCAACACACACCATAAGCCTGGGTATGAAGTAGTTGAAAGAGAGGCTAGGATTACATAGTGCTTCAGGAGCAGGATACAAATATGAGATTGTCCTAGAAATCCTTCAGCGTGGGTTTGCTTTCTCCCAACAGCCGTCAAGTAGAAGTCTATGACCATATACGCAGTTGATGGAGTGCGACTGGGCAATGACATGTCTTGAACTGTCGTCATAGAATTCATCAAAGTCTAAAGGTATAGAGCCAATTTGCCGGGCCATACTGAGTTCATTGGATTTTTTACCTTTTGTGATGCAGAGTTATATACTGCGTAGCCCCGAAGAGGCTTGTCATGGCTGTTGAGAGTGGCAAATTGGATATTCATAGAGTACTAGTACTAGTATTTATTCCTCTCCACTCTCTCTCTGTTCGCCATCTTCAAACGACAAGAATTTTAATGAGCTTACACCTTTTTGCTATTGTTGGCCAGAATGGGCGGCAATATTCTGGGCTGTTGCCTTTGTGGGTTCTTCCTTGGAGACTTTGAGGACCTTGACTCCGGATCTTGGTGGGAGCACTATCGTGTGGGTAAGTGCAGGATTTCATTTCGACTGTCGGCCGGAAAAACTTTTTGGCGGCTTTCCAACATCTTTATCCTTCTTGAGGAGATAGTATTTTATACTTCTCTAGTCCTTCCCCCCTAACTAACCCTACCCTCACATCGGTGGTTGATGTATGTGCACGAATGTATGCGGACGAATGTATGGCGGTTCCAATTAAGCGGGACTTTCCATTTTGTTGAAATCACGTTCAACTGTGTCCCTCATTCGATCTTTTGGATACCGCTCGCGAATAATTAGTACCCAGATGCCGTTAGATTTGCTAAAATTAGGGAATCAGTACATCATAACTTTACAGAACCCGAGGTTTCAGGTGTCGGGCAATTCGTCGACCCCGGTGCCGAATCTTTTGTTCTCCCCGCAAACAAGGACAGCCGCTGGGATGACCCGGGATATCAATCAGCTCCAAAGGTTGAATTCAGTGCTTTTCATCTCTGTTGGCCGTCGAAGCGTCCTGGTTTTGTTTTTCATGAAGCTTGCTGGTCAATTCTTCAACAAGTCTATCAAGACAAGCAAATCCCTCTGGCACGCATTCTGGAAGTTTTCCACTCCCTGCCGGTTTCGCTTACAGACAATGTTCCAAACCGGGACCATAACTATGAAGGCTTAGTTACTCTTGACGATCGATGTTTTCCATGGTATGACGAGTTGAAGTACAATAACTCTATGTCACCGAAGCAACAGCGTCTGCACCCAAAAGCCAACCCTTACGAAGTGGTTGATATTGATGATTTTCTCAAGGACATTCAACGATCCCCACCTGGCTTCAAGTCGATTTATACTGCCACTTCTTCCCCACCGACAGGGGATTTCTTCGTGCGACTCCCATTCGAAATTTACAATGAAATAGCGTCCTATCTGCCAACAGCGGATGTTTTGGGACTTCGTCTGGTATCAAGAGCATTTGTGCCTATCTACTGGAGCCAGGCATTTTGGAGAACAAGGTTTTGGCCTAATTCTGATCGGGGATTTCTATTTGAGATCTGGCATCAGCATGACATGGAGGACTGGAGGGCACTCTACCGCCGTACAAGCAATTCCCGTCTTCCGCCCGGACTACAGAACAGGCAGAGGGTCTGGAAACTGGGTCTAGCATTGAGGAACATTTTAGACGCGAAGTGGATGAATACCTCATCAGTATCATGTCTTGAGGGCCTTACACAGGCTGACTTCAACTGGAAAAGGGTTTCTGGAAAATTTCCCGAAAAGCCCCGCCCTACCTCACTCAACAAGTATCCAATGTTCCACTATGGTTGCCAGGAGTTCAAAAAAGGACATGTATTAATCCCACATGACCTTGCTCAGATTGTTGTCTACCTGGTCCGAGATGGCGATGCACCTTATATTTCTGGGTTAAAATTTATTTCAGCCGGTGAACAGAAAATATGTTTAGGATATTGCACCGATGAGTTAGTTGTTGTGGATACACCGGCCCTAAAAGGATTCACCGTAGCTGTCGGATTGAAAGGAATACGTGGATTACAGATTATGGCAATACCAGAGTCATTGAAGAAATGGATTGGTTCTCATGATCGATGTCCCCAAACAAAACGGCTTATCACTGACGGACCTCTAATAGCACTTGAGGCAGGTTTTGATGTAAGCAGAAACCACAAGCCAGCATCCCCCCACTTTTCCTTTTTTCATTTATAAATTTTCTTAATCGGCTTCATCGCTGAATGGGAATCTCTAGGGGTTCAAATTGGTCAGCCTTGCAGCGGGGGAGGAGCGAGCTTTTCATAACTCATCCATTGACTGCAACAAGTCTTTGCACAACCACGCGTTATGGTACCCTAAGATCCCTAGCCGCGACTTTTGTCTAAGTGACATGTGTCTTACAGGGCAAAGCGTTGCTCTTGATGAGTATCGGCCTTTATGTTGGGTTCGTTTTGGTGGTCTCCGTGGTGACAGGCTTCGATCTTTACGGGAAATCACAATACCGAGCTGCGGGCTACCGTGGATTCGATTTCATTATGCCCAAGGCTCAAGCCCAGTTACTCTTGGCCGTGGACGTCCAGAACCTAAGCAAGTCTCTCGGTTTTCTATCAACGGGCCATCGGGGGAAATAATTGAAAACATTGAAATCCAAGTGACCGAAAAACAGACACTGAAATCTTTCAAGGCAAGTGTCCTTATGTGTCCATATAAATGATCAGCCCCGACTTCTGGCCAGAATGGAGCTCCTTCCTGCTGCGAGATTGTTTTCAAATACCTGATGTCAATTAATATCGATGGTTAGATTTCAACAAATCACGGGAGGGAATTTCTTTCAAGCAAATGGGGGAAAGAACCTCCGATTAGGCTAGCATACCCTCCAGGGGCAGTCATCACGGGGATCTTCGGGAGCTACGTAAGTACGATATGATTGATTTACCTCTACATTGAACAAACGCTGATTACGGAGTAGGATTGGCAGTTTGGCCTCATGAGTTTGGGCGTAATGTCGGTGAAAATCTAAGTAACAACATGGAATGCATTTAACTATAACAAGTGATTGGAATCCCAATTCCCCAGCAATGCGATCCTTCACCGCCCTCTAGCATGCACCCCAATAATACCCCTTAAGTGGATGAAAACAAAGATATCCTTTCCACGAGTTCCTCCAGCGCCTTGTGGATCTCTTCCTGGTCGTTTTTTATATGCATGAGCTTCCCATCTGTGAGAGGAAAGTCCTCTAGTTCCTCCCCTTGGTTCCCACCAAGCTGGTAGATTCGACAGTAACGGCCGATTCCGACTATCCCATACAGAGTACGCTCCATGTCAGGTTTAAATCCAGAACGGACAATATTGAGATAGGAAGTCAGTTGCTCGATGGCCCCCTTCCACTGGGCGTTCTGCCCCTCGAACTCGGCACGCTTGCTCTCACAGAGAATAACAAGCTCTTGATGACCCGCATTATTCACACGGGCAACTGCAATATTCCCCCGCCTGCTACTGGCTGCCGAGAGTGGTATCTGGGGGTGGAGCACAAAAGCATCCTTCGGGTGGAAGTACATGTTCAGGATATTCAGCCACATGGTATCGACTGCGTTTTCAAGGGACGCCTTGGTGATACCTCTATAGAGGGATGCGACTGCTTCGGCTTCCATATACTTTGAATATAGTCAGCATATCTTCGCGCAGCGAAATTATCAAGGACAAACGCACAGTCATTTTGAAAGTTTCAACTTTTAAATTCGGATAAAGTTGGAAATTGTCTGGAACTGTGGAATCAAAGTTGCTAATGCTTTGTCAATATTGAAGTGTTTAATAGTTATTGGTAATTTGATTCTTCAAGAAAGAAGAGAAGAGTTGTGTATTCTGTCCCCTGGCCCCCCAGTTTATGGTACGAATGTTGCTGAAAAGTAGCAAAGATTCTCTCACTGAAGTTATTCACTCGGTGCTTGATCATTAACTTCTTGAAATGAATGCAGATTACCAAGTCAGTCTGTGAATGATTCGATCTCTATTAGATTAGCAAGCGCTCTGATAGAATTCACATGAACTGGCAATGTACTGTGTTCACTTCACAGCATCCCACAGTTAATGAGAGATTCAAAGATTATCTCTCATGGTTAAAACGCTCCATCCGACCACAGATGTAATTACCCCTTTTAAGAGAACATTATGAACGGTGCGTCGGGGATGCAAATGATATATCCAGTGGAAACACGGTTTTACAACGATATGATACGATAAATCAAGGTATAGAATCAAGTTCCGTTGGTTTGGCTATATATATATATATATTATTGGACATTCTCACGCCTAAAACATCAACATTCACCCTCAGAGCCCTTGCCGATTGAATCCTCCAGCCCTTATCACTTGGAGGCAGCACAAGTGAGCGGAGCAAGAGCCCCCGGCCCCTACGTGTATACCAGTTCCAGTGAGTGGATTTACCATTTCAGGCTTGAAAGAGAAAATTCCTGCACACTCATCTGGGACAACGAAGCCAACTAACATGGCTTTTCCCATCCCTTCCGCAACCTTTAGAACCTAGTATACACTAGAGGTTGGCTTGCCGGGACATACTTCTTTCCTTCCACGTCCGCAGAGACATGAACGAGGTTCGTAGGTTCAAGAATGACTCTGCCCTGCGTCTCGAGGAAACGCGATTGGCAAGGATTGAGTTCCCCAGAGAAATGAGTAGGGGTTCAAGACTGGCGCGAAAAGCTTAGATGAGGCATAAGTGACAAGCGTACCAAAGAAGCAAAGTTAATATCAGTTCAAGGAAGAATTGTCAGGAATGTCCAGACTGATACGGATAGTGAACAGTGAATCCATCTGACCATTGGGGAATTTAATTAATTATTTTAGTTAAATTATCAGGGTCCGTGTTGTATTGTGACTTCTCAATATAACTTAACTCTCCCAGCATCACGCCGCAGGTTACTCGTTGCCACTCAGTATCTACGCTGTAGATGGGTTAGAGTTAAGGTTACGATCTGAGAAAAATAAACAAAAACACTTGATTATGATGGACGACTAGTGTGGTTAATTTTTAGTAGGGTGTGGGGACTCAAACTTTTGCCAAGAGAAATCCGATCGGTGGTTCTCTGTTCCAGAAATCTTGGAGCCCAATCGATCGACCCATCTAAAATGAAATCCCACTAACCAACTATTGAACGACTGTGGAAATGACTAATAATTTTATTTTTTCCTAATCCCCTCACCTGGGCACACAGTGCTAAAAAGTGCAATTGATTGGTGGTTGAACTTTTGCACCACGATGAGCTTTTTTAGCACCACGCTCAACGTCCCGCTCTCACCCAAATGCATGAAATGCGATCCTCGCCAAAAATTTCCGCGAGAGAAAAATTATTTCCACCCAAATAAAAAAGCAAAGAGGGAGAGAAGAATAGGAAAAAGGAAAAAGGAAAAAAAGCAAGAATGCACGAGAGGAGCCACACGTCGATATCAGCAAATCAAGTTTCAGAGAATTCAAAAATCAATCCGAAACAAATAAAAAAAAATAAAAAAAACAACAGGAGAAACAGGACCGTTGAGAGAAAAAAAGAATAAGATGGCCCACTGCTCACACTCTTTGCCAGAACAGCCTGGACCCGTCAACATGCAGAATCTCATCTCAGGGATTCCAGTCAGCTTGCGTGGATGCTGGGTATGCAGCCGGTAACGGAAAAATGTTTCCAAGATTCGTGTCCCACTAACTAACGACCTACTAGGTATAGTTGAGACAGGGGTCGATTGTTGCTGGATGATTGACATATTACTAATGTGGGCCTGCTCCACAACTACTAGTTACCTCAACACACAAGACAAGGAAGTTTTTGTAGAAGAGTGAATATGTGCTTAATACGCTGCATATATGTTCAAATTTCTGAGCTTGAGACAAATCATCCTTGGATCATTGTTCATCCGCGTAAATTGAAACGCGACACGTCAACCCCACTGATATTGTTTTGGTGAGGAGCACTAAATATCTAGTGTGCCACTAACGAAAATACCAAACGGAGCTGCGATTGCCAGCAGCAGCCCTGTTGCCTTTCTGGAAAGTGCCCGACTTGCCAGTTGGCACCAGCCGTTGGTGATATAACTGCTGGAATGGCATTATCGGGTTAATTGGGCATCAAGGATTCAATTCGATGAAAGGGTTTCAATCAAAACAAAGAGTGAGCCGATGGCGACGATAATTTCCACGTTGGCCTAAAGAAATTCTATTTGATTTTGCCATTCTTTGAACAATGAGAAAGGGGGGAGGCGGCAGGTGAACAAAACAACAAGAAAATAACGCTGGAAGACAAGACGGTCCCACACCAGGCTCCAGGGCTGTACGGGTCTGTACGGTGTAAACAATTATCTCAAAATGGTAACGGTTGCTGGAACTTGGAATTGTATCAAATGCCCCTCATTGGTTTGATTCTTGGTAATCGAGAATGGAAAGGGGAGGTTACGTTTTGAGTTTTACGCAGTACCTCGATCTGGATGGGTCAGGCACTGCCGCACTGGAAGGAGTGTCCAGCCAGCTGATTGGGCGCCAGGCAAGCGCCTCGATGGCACAAACTCAGCCCACAGCCAGGAACAGGAATGGCGTGAAAAAATCGTGGAAGAGATGAGAAATGAAACAGAAAAATACTCGTAATGTGAGATGCCTGTCACACTCTTGCTGAAAAAGAAAAAAAAATTACCATTACGCAGTATTTTTGTGGGTTTCAAACATCACTGTATGGAGTATTGTATAGGTATTCTGCCTTGCTGCAGAAACCATCTCACGGCTGGTCAGTACATAGTACTGTGTAGCTCACTGAGTGGAAAGGAACACATGGCCATGCCCATACCAAATGCCTCACAACTCACATCTTCGCAAACAGTGCTCAGCATACTCCCACTGCCTGGATTCACCCAAACAATCCTTGGCGACCACTGGTTGGCAAGCGGGCCGCTGAGATTGCGCCCCACACGATGGCTGGGATCTCTGCCCTCATTGGCTAACATTCCTGGCTTCTGTCCCGCGGAAGAGGGCAATATCAGATTGCGCCGTATGGGGGCGCCCGGTCTAGGTCTGTCCAAAAGTGTACGCACCGTACGGGCATCGTACGGACTGGTTGATGTACTGTACTATGTGTACTGCGTATTGTACTGTACGATCCAGTTGCCGACGGTTACGAGAATTACGTACCCAGGCGCCTGGTCTCCTGACGAATCCGGCCTCGTACTACGATCGTGACCAACCCGGTACCAGGCACCGTATTGTGGCTGCCCCGTCTCTCGCTTACTGCGTACGGCCTCCTTCCCATCCCATCTCGTCGCTGACTCTCCTCTTCACCTCTTCACCATCGCTCGCTCTTCCGTCGCCCGTCGTTCTCTACCCACGCCGTCTCTCGCTTCGTCTTTTTCTTTCCCTCGCACTTGGAGGACCCTGTCGTCTTCCTCTCACACTCCTTTCGGAAAGTCAAAATACAACAACTTCTGTGTTCTGCTCTGCTTCTCGCCAGCACTCTCACAGTGTCTCTGTTCACTCCTTGCCAATCCATCCGACGCGCATATCAATCGACTGCGTAGGCCTTGACGCATCGAAGCCGTCATTGACTACTGCATGTACAAAGAACTTAACCCTGACGTTCTTATTACCTGTTGATATTTGACTTGTTCCAATGTATGTTGCCTCGCCCCTTTTCACCATGCCAATTCACACAGACCAAGGCTCATCGTTCATCCACATCTTTGCCGCTGCGCACATTTGCAAATGAACTCCGTCTTGATGATTCTCTTTTCCTTTGTGCTCTTCTACCGGTAGTTGGCGCTAACAATGGATATTTTGAATAGACCATCTTGGCCTTTGCCACCTAACTGCATATATCTATTGTCTCTGACAGAAAACAAGGGGTCTCCGAGAGACCTCGTGCCAATCCTTACTTTCAACCTGTGCGACTTGACGTCGTTTGAATCGAGAAGTCTCCAGCTATGAAGCTTGCCATCTCCGTTGTTTTGACCGTCGCTGCAGCCGGCTCCCTAGCCGCTGCACAATCCCACAGACACAATCACCATCGCCATCCGCATGTGAAGCGCTCACCAGATCCGACTGACGTGGTTGTCGTTCCTGGGCCAACTGTCTATGCCTACGAGTTCGAGGGTGAGCTCATCAGCAAGAGCCAAGCTTGCGATGGAATCCAGGAAGGGGCCCTTCAGTGGGCCGATCCTGATAACGCAAAAAATGCTTGCGATCCACAACCTTCAGTGACCCCACCCAAGGCCGCTGAATTCTACGAGAAGCCTACGACAACTCATCCTGCTCCGTCAGCGAGTTCTGATCCTCCCAAGGATCAGGGTCCCAATCTTGACTTGCCAGAGGTCAAACTTCCGCTTCCCATCCCTAAAGCGCCATCACCGCCCCAAAGCGGCGCCGGAGTCGAGCAAGACTTCCCCGACGGACAGATTTCCTGCTCTAACTTCCCCGCCGAATACGGTGCCATCTCTCTCGACTGGCTCGGCCTTGGTGGATGGAGTGGTATTCAGTACGTCACTGTTCAGGGCTCGTCAGTTACCGACATTCGCACTGGTATCCATGGCGACAAGTGTGAGGATGGAGCCATGTGTTCTTATGCTTGCGGACCTGGTTACCAAAAGTCCCAGTGGCCTTCCACTCAAGGTTCTACTGGCCAGTCCGTAGGTGGCTTGAAATGTTCCGGCGGCAAGCTCTACCTCACGAATCCAGGACTTTCCAAGAAGCTCTGTATGAAGGGTGTTGGTGGTGTCCAGGTGAAGAATACCATGAGTCAAGTCGTCGCCGTCTGTCGTACCGATTATCCTGGTGAGTTTTGATCTTTCCCCTCCTTTTTCTCTCACTGGCACATGAAGAAGGAAGAACCTTGTTCTAACAATCCGTCTCAGGCACGGAATCCGAAACCGTTCCACTCTCCGTTGGCGGAGGTTCCATCACGGAGCTTACATGCCCTGATTCTGGAAACTACTATACCTGGCAAGGCAAGGGCACTTCCGCTCAGTACTACGTCAACCCCAAGGGTGTCACGATTCAAGAGGGCTGCCAGTGGGGAGACGGAAGCCGCCCAATCGGTAACTTCGCCCCCATCAACTTGGGTGTCGGCAGGAGTGACGGAACCATATTTTTGTCCATTTTCCAGAACGCGCCAACAACCAACGCGAAGCTTGATTTCAGCATCAAGATCGAGGGTAGCAATTTGAGCGGGGCGTGCAGCTATAAAAATGGCATGTTCCATGACGCGACAGGATCCAATCCGAATGGATGTACCGTAAGTTATACCCCTCCTTTTTTTGGCACATTTGAGTTTTATTCACGTGACATAACCTTCATTTTCCAAAGCTAACCATGTCTCCAGGTTGGGGTTACGGGCGGCACAGCAACCTATGTGTTCAGTGATTAAGTTTATTTTTCTTGCATTCATTCCCATCTTTATAGTCCAGGAAAGCCGAAAAAGCTCATCTATGATGAGGGGAGGGAGATTGAATAAAAACCAACAATCTATCGGAATTATATGCGAGGCCACTTCTATCAATTTATATTTTCCCCCATTCTTCTATTTCTCCTTTTTAAAACTTTTCTCGAAGTGCCCCGCTCTCTTCTCCCCTCGATTCCCGCCTCCTTTCTCCCGTTCTTCTTGAGATGGTATGAAGGGCGGTGTGGTGTCATGCTGAAAAACGTTGTCAGACACCCTCCTGCTCCTCGGGAAGATAACCTATTTACCATACTTACTCATTTTATTATACTGTGTTGCTTACCTCACTTTTAACTTGGCCTCTTTTTCTTCTACTTTATTTATTATACCAATACCCGTGTTTTTGCTATGATGAAACTTCTAGTTATTCTATATATCTTATCCTAACGAACTTTGCCTTAAAAAGCTTCCGGGATTCTGACCCCCGTCCCTCGTTGCGCTTGCTCCACTTACCCATATATATTCAGTATACTACGGCGTGCAGCTAACCGGATCTAGATCTTTACATTTATTCTTCGTGCAGAAAGGCTACAACGGATGGAGAATATGCTCAAATAGCTTCTGTCGAGGAATACTCAAAAAAAACAATCAAATGGATCTGAAAGGAATTGAGTACATGCGTAATGACAGCGTTCAAACACGTAAAAAAGAAGAAGAAGAAGAAGGGGAAAGCAATATTATCGATGCCCTTTTGAAGCACAAGATCGCACAGTTCCATCCGTATTGTATGGTATGTGATTTAATTTTCTCCCCGTGGGAGAAACGAGAAACGAGTGAAAATCAACACGGCAGCGTCAAGGATGCGATATCATGACGTTTCAGCGCGTATCTTGATCAAACCCTGCCATATAACCTTCCGTAAGAGGGCGACGGGTAAGGAAGTGCAGGGCAGGGGGAGTGCGTGCTGATGAACATGGATAGAAACAAGGGGGGATGACTTTGGGCAAGACGTTTGGTTGGGGAGGATGGAAGGATGACGGTGGAAGATGAAAGTGTTGGAAAACGTAGTTGGTTATTCGTTGATGAGCTTTTGGTTCCGAGATATATACGTACATATATATTAAATTATTCCACTTACGAACTATCTCGTATGCATTCCCACCGACGGTGTGAAAACACCAACACCAACACCAACACCAACACCCGCCCTCCCTCGGGCCCCCCCCCTTTTTCTTCAGATGAACATATATAAAAAAAAAACAACCTACTTAAACCTCCCGTTAACAGCCTGTCGGTATCCCTATCGCTCGCTATAATGCCACGTGACCACACATATTTAAGAAGCAGTGCTGCGCGGGCTAGACGGGCGACTTGTTCGAAATGCCTAGGAACCTGGTTTAGAGGTAAGTATGTAACTAGGTGTGGCCAGTCGACCGGGGGGTTGCTGATTGCTTCCGTTTCCCTCGATGGTGTTGGTAAATCCAGCAGCTTCTTCTTCTTCTTCTTCTTCTTCTTCTTCTTTTTTTTTTTTTTTTTTTCCTTGGGTAATTGGGCGAATTGGGAAATATACGAGTCTGCAGTGTGTTGGAGATAGGAGGAATATGTATGGAAAATGAGGTCCCAACATAGTTTTTCATTCAACCCTTTTCAGTTATATCCATCAGAATCCGAGATATCAAAAATAGAGGGGTATAGAGTCGTAAGGGATATATAGCCAAAAAAAAATACACTCTCAAGAGGAAAGCACAGATATACCAAAAACAAATAAATAAATAAACAAATAAAAGTAAAAATGGACCATCACCCGCTAATACCCATCCGCCTTTATCTTATCCCTCTCTTTTTCTCCTCCTCCGACCTCTCATTATTAACCTTCCACCACCAACGATGCGTCTCATCTCCCTGCCCCTCCTCCCCGCCCTTCTCATCCCACGGCTTCGGACTCAGAATATAATGCACATTCTTCACCTCCTCATCCCGCCAAATCTCGCTATGCACGCCTTCCCACCGCAGCGTCTTCAGAGCATTATAGACATACGGCAGCGGCACCCAGCGGCCCGGGAACAGGTCTGAGAGCAGCGACTGGTCGGCGAAGGCGTAGTTGGACGTCGCGGACGGCGTCTGCAGGACAGCGAGGATCTTCTCGTAGATGGCGGTGGAGGGGTTGACGACCTGGAGGCCGCCGTTGAGCACGCCCAGGCCGGCAGTTGCGGGGGCTCCTTGCGTTTGCGCGCTGGCGGGGTCTGCGTGCTGGGTTGTCAGGGCGCAGTTGGATGGGGTCCTGTTGGGGGTTTTGTTAGGACCGCTGCAGTGGGTGTCATGCATGCATGTGCGTGCATATGTGTGTTATGTTTGGGGGGAAGGACAAGAAGAGGGAGGGTGGGGAGGCAGCGAACCAGTCTTTAGGATAGTGCGGTTTCTTCAGCGGGTTGCACACGCACGCATGGCTCGCGGCGAAAACGCGGGAGCCCTCCCCCTTCAGCGCGGAGCTGTCCAGCTCCATCTCCATCAGCTCGTCCATGTTGCGAAACACCAGCATGTCGCTGTCCAGCTGGACGACTCGGTCGTATTCCACGAGCGAGAAGGGGGCCAGCTTGCTCCAGCAGTCGTAGAAACGGGTGTCATTGCTGTAGTCCTTGTGGGCTGCGGGGAGGAGATAGGGTATATGTTTGGCCGGGATGTTTCTGGCCTGAAGTGCCGCATGTCCCTCTGGTGGGAAGGAGTCCGTGTAAAGCGCCACAAGGGGGTATCTGGAGCCGACCTTTTTCAGGGAGTAGTCCAGGGTGAGGAGGCCCGGGAGGTAGTCACAGTTGGTGATTAGAGTAGTCCATACTGCAGCAAATCTGTCAATAGAGGTTGCACATATGGGGAAGGGGGGCCGGGGAAGGGGGGAGTGTTGTATTTTTGTGGATAGACAGATCCGCACCCTTTTTATGCGCAGCTCCCTCCGCCGCGGGGCTGGTGGCGGTGGCTTCTGCCATTAACATAGATCGTAGTTTGAAAAATGAACAGTCTCCAAATGGAGTACTAGTACTCCCTCGTAGCGGCCGTATAGATATAAAAATAACGGGTAATAGTATTCATAAAGAGCCATGAGAAGTTGACCATGAGAAAGATGAACAGAGCGGGTCCATATCTTATTAAGCATTAACTAGCTAGTTACAATATTTTACTTTTCCATCCATCCCCACTATGGAGGTGTGGAACAGGGTGAAGTAAGTCCTTGCATGTACGCACCAGAAATTTACAAGCCCGCTAACAAGCCCCCAAACAGGTGGGGCAGCTTAGGGGACCAAAGCCACGGAACTACTCATGCTGTGAGGAGTGGATTCTTTGAGCTCCAGCATTGAAATTTCTGTTTGTATTGCTTGCGTACTGCGTATTGCAATGCCTGATGTGCTGCTTCGCACCTCCGTGTTTCCGCCAATTTGGTGACTATATTTGAATTTTGAATTTTGAATTTTTATTGTTTGGTTCATGGAAGGTTCTTATCAGATCCCGATCGTATCATGTGACAGAGGGGAAAAGGAGTTGTGATTTCCTGTTCGGGAATAGTCGATGTTGGCGGCTCCAATGCTGACTTTCACGTGATTGAGAGCAGACGCGTTGATGACTCAGCCAGGGTGGGCCAGGTTTGTTTAGTTTGAAAACTAAATAATTTATCAAACGACACGATTGGGACGCAAGAGGGTTTGAGATACTGCGTGGATCCAGGGATCGAGAAGAGAGACTGGCTGATATACTTATATACTTATACTTTGGGCTGCTCCCGCTCCTTGCCGCCATAGCAGTCCGTTTGCTGCCCGTTCTTGTTCCGTGTCCGTCGTAGCCGCGCATCGCGAGCCCTGGCCGGTGGAGCTGTTGACACGCGTAGAGTCGGCCAAGCGTGTGTTCCTCGCCCTGGCGTCGGCTCAACTCATCTCTCATCTTCCCTTTCCCACACCACCGCCTCGTCTATTCCTTCAATTCTTTCCTCTCTCCCCCATCTCCTCGAGAGATTCCTGTGTTTCCCGTTTTTCTTTTTTTCTTTGATTTTGTATTCTCCTATCCTTGTTTTCTTTTTGTTTTTGTATTTCCTTCTTTGGTTTGAGCTTTTTCCATTTGCTGCTACATAAGAGTGCTTCAAACGTGGGCCTCTTTTTATATATCCCATTCCACGGGCCATTGGTGGAATTTGACGCGATTCATTCAGTGTCTAAAGATCTAGAAGAGATAAATTGCTCGATCAATACGTGTTCTGGTTCTTAATCGCTTAGAGGGATGGAGTTGGAATCCTCTCCGCCTAGAGCAGACACCCTGCCGCCTCCCATCGCTGGCGTGAAGAGGCCTGCCTCTCTTCTCCCAGCCTTCGAGCCCTCGTCTTCCCCGTCTCTGCCTCGACCCTATAAACGCTTGGCACGCGAATCCGGTGATGATGTTTCGACATATCCGACCCCAGTCCCAACCTCGTCAACGGCAATATTGACTTCCTCCCCTCCTCGCAGGCAGGCAGTCCGCCCAGGACTTAAACGAACCCTCTCTGTGGCATCTGAAAGAGCTCCGTTGTCTACTGTACCTTCGATAATGCTACCACTGTCAGGGGAGCCTATTCTAATGGGTAGATCAAGCGGTTCTTGCCATTTTCAACTGTCAGCCAGCCGATTGATATCGCGGATTCATGTCCAGGCCACGTATAAGCCTTCGACAAACCCGTTTGATAGAGATAGGATTGAGATTCTTTGCACTGGCTGGAATGGGATTAAACTCCATTGCCAAGGAAAAACTTATGAATTGAACAAGGGCAAAACTTTCACGTCTGATATCAAAGACGCGGATGTGATGATCGACGTCCAAGATGCTCGAGTGTTGGTCCAGTGGCCCAGACACGAGCCAAAAGACTCTGCTTCGACGAGTACCTCCGACCAAACCTGGGAAGAGAGTTCCCCCGTGAGAAAACCTGGTACTACTTCACACCCACTTCAAGCCAGCCCTCTACGAAGCCGTGGACGACTTGCTTCCCCAATATCTCCGTCTCCTGCTGTTCAGGCCCTTCAACCTCCTGAACCGCCTCTGTTGACTCCCAGCCGCTCAGTGCATAGTGCCGTGGTCGTGTATGAGGATGAGCCTTCTCCCACTCGTCAAAAGGACTCGAAGTCGATCTCTCAGCTTACGGAAGTAGTTTCGAGTCCTTTCCACAATGAGAATCTCCGAAACTCCATGTCTAGCTCTTGTGACGATAAGGCTGAAGAGCTGTCAGAACACGACGAGGAAAACGACCCGATCATCCACTCCTTTGGACCCTTTGGGGATAATATCCTTCCCCGCATGGCTTCATTCAACACAGGAATGTCTCCGGTTCGATCTCCCGTCAACATACGCAAGCCGGCTGTTTCACCACGCCAGCACACTGCCGCAAGTAAACCTGTTAAAACGGAAGATGACCAGCACTCTCTCAAACAGAACGTGCAGAACCACGTCGTAAACCAGCTGGCGTTTTCTCGATTGTCATCGACTCCACTCTCGACGATTATCAGCCACCTCCCACCCGAGCTATGGAAGAAGACCCCTTCAGGTGATGGCGGGTTTTCTAGCCTAGAGATCAAATCCATCATCGGCACAATTGCTTGCATCGGCGAAGTGAGCAGGGAGGGTAAAGATGCTGCAGGCAAACCCTTGGAAAGCGAGTATTACTACATTCCTGATCTCGACGAGGATGAAAAGAGAAAGGAGGCTGTAGTTAACGACTTGATGAAACCTGGCCTGCGGAGTTGCAGAAAACAACACAAGGTTCGAGCCACTCCCCCTACCCGTTATTTTGGTTTTTCTTTGCTCTTTTCTTCTGCTTTCCTTTTTTATTTTGCTAAAGTTGAGTTGTTAACTCAACAACGCAACAGCGATATTACTGGCGAAAACCCAAATAGCGAGAACCGCGCGAACGAGAAAACTCAATGGTTTTTTTTTCGAGCGATTTGAATCGAATACTCTGAACTGTCTGGATTTTCATGAATCACTGACCTGACTGTACGACTACCCCCTTCGAAATGCACTTATGTTAAGGTTATTTCCGCTGCCCTTAAAAAGAAACCAATTTCATTTCTTAATTTCTTAATTTCTTAATGTTCTTTTAAAACAAAGGAGACCCCAAAAAGTACCAAGAGAAGTAATTCTACTCCTTCACAATTATTCTTCTCACATCAGTTTTTAGCATTAGCATAGCGTTGTTAGGGGCTTTTATCCACTATTTTATATATATCCTTTCCCCCTTTGTTCTTGCTTTCGCCTTTTCCCTGTTATTTTTGTTGAGAGCTTTTCTTTCCGTTTCAGTTTCTTTTTTTTTTTTAACTACAACCCCCTTTGTCCTGATCTGGTATTGTTTCCCAGTGCCGCGAAGTATCTGTGCTGAGCTCATATACTCATTATTACTCCACCATGATTATCTCCAAACTATGGCCCTCCCGATAAACATCTATCAAACCTTCTCCCAACCTTACTCCTGGCGGGGCTGCCGTATCGGGTTGGGGAATTTGGATGGATGATATATGTATGTATTTACAGTATGTAGCACTTACGTTTTCAGCGTTTCTTCTTTTTGCTTTTCTTCTGATTTTTTCTTTTTTTTCCTCCGGCCCCAAGCACCTTTCACTTAGCCTCTCCCTCCCATCCCGATGAAGTTACAAGTACTTAGGTAGCTCGAGGCCTCAAGGCGAAGTGCGCGGGTCGATGTTCTGAAGAGTAGAGTGCTACAAATGCATCTGATTATCTAAGGACAATCAGGACAAACACAATAAATAACTTCCCATACTCAAAGCAGTACGGTGGCACAAGTATCCAAGTTCGCCCATGAAAGATGTTGTGGCTTTGTCCAGATTTGTGAATTCATCCTCCTTGCCTGTTCCTCCGCGTTGGATTGCGCGGCTTATTATAATCGGTGGGAATTGCTGCCTCGGCTCGGGCTCGCTCCCCGCTCGATCGGATACGAAACTCTATTATCACGATATCCGGCCCCGGATTCCACCATTGGTGGGTCGAGCAGAGCATGGAGATGTCTGCCGTGCTCTGCCATGCTCTGCCCTGCCATACATATCAACCCGGTTCCCATCGGGATCGCTGCCTGGCGTATGTTCTTACGGGCATGGAGCAGGGACTTATGAACCGCGCGCACAGGGCGTTTGCGAGTTTGTTGATCGTGATGATTGAATCACTGACGCTTAAGCCCAGGAGGCCAGCCAAATGGCATCCTGCCAGGTATGCTTACAGTTGTCAGATATGCTGAGATCAATGTGAGCTCCCCGCAGCCATTTCAACCTTGGCTCGGGCTAGAAATAGCATAATGAGCCAGCAGCTCACCAGCATCCTCGGATGCTGGTAATTTCCCCCCTTCCTCTCCCTCGTTGGAATAGAAGGTTCCTCACTGTACACGATTAGACTAATCTTGGAGAGGACTTCTACTAAGAGTTTGAGGCGATGGACTCGTTTCGATTACACCCGTGAAATAACGGGGCTTCGTTCTTGGCTTTGCTTCCTTATAACTTGATAACTTGCTATCTTACCTTCGACATATTCTCAACTCAAGTTCTTGATTTTCGCTGTTGAAACCTCTTTTCTCCTCCGTGTTGAAATATTTTCCAAAAAAAATATACCCGCTTGCGACGGGGATATTTGAAGCCCCTTCCCCTTTGTCCCTTTCACTCTACCATCCTTCCTTCCGTGTGTATTGGCGTAAAATAGCCATGGCATCGAACAAACGCTATCGCCAAGTGGAGGTGGGCAACAGGAACTATACGGAGGCCGCTGTGGTGATCATTGGCGCTGGGATGTCTGGTAAGGTACCCCTGTCCGCGTATATGGGGTAATCGATTGCTAACGCAACAGGGTTGCATAGGAATGTGCACGGCCATCAGTTTGTTGAAGAACGACATCCACAACTTCGTAATTGTTGAAAAGAGCGGAGGACTTGGTGGAACTTGGCGTGATAACAAATATCCAGGCTGCTGTTGCGATAGTATGTCCTTCTTCTTTCCGAGGGACACCCCCTCCGGCTCTCGTTTGATGGGGGATATTCCGTGCTAATATCCAACAGTCAATTCTCATCTTTATAGCTACTCTTTCGAACAGAACCCGAGCTGGTCAAGACTCTACCCCAGTCAGGAGGAGATTCTAGTACGAGGCTTGCTTTTTTCGCTTTCTTTCAACTTTTTTCGTTTTTCTTTTTCCTTTTCCTTTCCCTCTTTTTCATTGGCTCTAACCAAAGCTATCACAGATGTACCTTCATGATGTAGCCGAGAAGTACAAGCTGTTTCGTTATATTCGATTCAATTCCACCGTTGAAGAAGCTAGATGGGACGATGACGCCCGTAAATGGCGGATAGTGGTCAAGGTAGCAGGGGAATCGAAAGACGCGGAATTTGCAGATCAATATACGCTCACATCCGATTTCCTCGTGTCTGCCGTTGGCCAACTCAATTCGCCCTCCTACCCGCCAATTCCAGGAATAGAAGATTTCCAGGGCAGGATCATTCATTCTGCTCGGTGGGATTGGACCTACGATATCAAGGGAAAGCGTGTTGGCATTATAGGGAACGGTAAAATCTCCCATATCTTTCCTTCCTGTTTCTCGTCTTCTGCGTCCATGTTGCTGATGACCATTTCTGTAGGAGCTACGGCTGCTCAGATAATCCCCGTAATTGCTCCCGATGTCGCTCAACTGACTGTGTTTCAAAGAACACCTAACTGGGTGATACCCAGATTAGACACTGGCATCCCTAAACTTGTTAGGGCATTATTCCAATACTTCCCGCCTTCTCTTTGGAGACTACGTAGTTGGATGATGGACATGCGAGAGTCTTCCCACGACGCCATTGCAGACCAGAACTCTGAATACGCGGTACGCGCCCGCACAATCAGCCTCTCATTGATGAAGAAACAGCTCCCCAACCGTCCGGAGCTGTGGGAGAAACTAGTCCCCAATTATCCCATGGGCTGCAAGCGCGTCATCATTAGCGACGATTACTTTCCAACTTTCTTGCGCGACAACGTCACCCTTGAAACAAGGCCCATCACCGAAATAACCGAAAACGGCATAAACGTCGACGGCGCCGCGCACGAATTCGACGTCATCGTGCTGGCCACGGGTTTCCGCACCGTCGAATTCATGCACCCGATCCAAGTCTACGGCATCAACGGCCGAGCACTCTCGGATATCTGGTCCGGCGGCGCACGCGCGCTGTACGGCATCGCCGCCGAATCCCTCCCCAACTTCGGCATGCTCTACGGCCCCAACACGAACCTGGGCCACAACTCTATCATCCTCATGATCGAGGCGCAGGCGAAGTATATCCAGGCGATGATCAGCGCAGTGCTCCAGGCACGCCAGGTGGGCGAGTCGCTGAAGATCTTACCGGATCCCAAGCGTATGGATTCGTTTAACGACGAGCTGCAGAGTGTCCTTGGGACAACATCGTTTGCGCACCCGAATTGCCACAGCTGGTATAAGCGCGCGGACGGCCGGGTTACGAATAATTGGTCCGGGACTGTGGTGCAGTATCAGAAGCTACTGTCTAGGGTTCGCTGGGCGGACTTCATACTGGATGGGTATGGTGCGCAGCAGCTGGCGGTGAAGCAGAAGCAAAAGCATTTAGGACGCGTGAGGGAGGAGTCTCTGTTTACGAATCGGGCTTGGTTGGTGACGATGATCGGGTTATTGGGGATTTGGGGCATGTTGGCTGGGAAGGGTTCGAAGATGTTGACGAAGCTGAGGGCTTTGGTTGGTTGACCTTCCGTTTTATATCATGTTTCCTCATTTTTGCTGTATCTTTATTTTTTTTCCAAATTCTCTCTACTATCTTTTTTGAGAGAAGGGCGGCTATATATATTTAAATACCTGGGTCGGAAGCCGTTTGTCCATACACCTGCATTCTTTTTTGTTGAACTGTTGACTCTTAGTATATTTCTCGGAGCAATACGCCAATGCCTCAGCTCATCATAGATGTTAGATTCAAGGCTCAGATGGTCCATAGGGGACTGGGCAACCTGTAAGTATCGCTTGTTATCTAGATAGATAGCTTCTCGCATTAACTCCATCTGGAACAAAGGGGGAGCATCAAAGTCGACCCAGCCAAGATAAGAACATAGGTTTGTAGAGTTGGTGGAAACTTGCCGCAGAATTCTTCCTAGTAGGTATTCGAAAATAGCTTAGTAGATAATAAATAGGAAGGACGAAAGAGAAGAAGGGAAAAAAAACGTTGAATTGAATGAAGGATAGTGGAGGCCCTCTAAATGAAATTTTATTATTTTAAGTCAAGTCTGAAATATCATATACTCTCTTTTAAGACTAAGATATGTATTGATTAATGTTGGGGGGATTGGATTGGGTGATTCGTACCCTCTATACCACCACGGCGCTGGTGGTGATTGAGCTCTTTTGCCCTAGTGGCCTAATATACTAAAAGGTCAAGGATTTATACAAGGGAGGAGATAGACTGTCTAAATATCTACCTGATGGGGATTCCGGTCGGTAATTATATAGCTATTCGGAGAGAAACGGCTAGTTAGATGACCCAGGTAAACCTTCTTTGAAATGCATCATGCATCCCACGCCGTTTTATACCGCATTCTTGCTCAAAGTGGCTCGTTATGTAGTTATTTCGTTTTATTTATGCACAATTTTTTTTTCTATTATTCCGCACTGGTTGATTGGAGTTAAACACTGCTTGTTTGAGCAGTTATTCAGTCAGAAGTCTCCACAGACTCTCAACACGCTCCTGTTTATTTTCAAATGACATGAAAACCCCTTCCAGCACTTCGGAATGCCATTTTCCCGCTCTCCGCCAAAAGATCGGCAGGGCTTTCTTGGACACCGGAGTTTACTGATTCGATAGTCGGGCTGTTTGCTTTAGTAACTCCGAATATCTCCAGCCATGACCCAGGTATTTTGCATGGACGGTGTTCTAAATAAGGAAGAAGGGATTCTCTAGGGGCAAGTCGGTGGCTGAAAGTCACCGAAGCGTGGCCATGATGTGAAAAAGCCGAGTCCCTTCCCCGGTCCATACTGATATTTAACCCGTGTGGCAGCTCAAGGAAAGCCGAGTCCTAAGTTCATCAAAGACGGGATGAAAATGTGAGAGTTCGCGACTCTCCTACTTGAATCGCCATAACTATACAGATTAATCTCCGCAAACTTCGAAAACAGCGATTGGTGACCAACATGGCTATCGCGTATGGGACGCCCAAGCTCGTGGCTGCAACCGTGCTTGCGGTGATCACAGCATCGCTGGTGCATTTCCTAGCGCGGGGAATCGCGGCCCGGCGCAGGTTCTACAAAATGAAGGCCAGCGGGATTGTAAGTGTGGATTTTCCGCTTGGGTGTCGTCTCCAAACCGGGCGTCACGTTTAAATGCCCAAGACTGGAGCAGAGACTGACGTCCCGAACAGCCCATCATCGAGCCTTATTCACCCTTCCTTGGCCATCTCCCATTGTTAAGGAGCTTGAAGGAAGGATTGCCACAAGACGCTCATCGCGTGTACACGTCGATCAAGATCGTGCAAAACTGGCAGAAATACTTCCCCGGTGCGGAAAAATGCCCACCATTGATCTATATGGATGTGTGGCCATTCATGGCGCAGCCCATCATCATGGTTATCGACCCTGAGCTCTGCTCCCAACTTACGCAAGAAACACCGCAACCGAGACACCCTATATTCGGATGGGCGCTGACCCCAGTGACGGATGGCATCGATTTGATATCGATGAACATGCCTGATCATAAAGTATGGCGCTCTCGGTTGAACCCGGGATTTTCGTCTCGGAACATCATCCAAAACATGCCCGCCGCCCTGGAGGAGGTTGCCATATATGCGCAGAAATTGAAAGACACTGCGGATGCAGGAAGTCATGAATGGGGCAAAATGTTTACTCTCTACGAGGGAGCGGTTGCTCTGACATTTGATGTTGTTTCAAGATTTGCACTGTAGGCCATTACGATTGAGCATTTTCCTCTGGGGAGGCGAGGGCTCCCTCTTCTGTCTCGCTGTCTATGCTAATGAATCACGGATTCACAGTGACCTTCATCCCCATGAGCAAACAGCTGGTCCTGGACCGCTGCTTAATGCTTTGAGAAATTTGATTTCTTGTGTTAAATTAAAGAATGTCAAGACCAGGCTGGAACGGCTTACTCCGGAGTTTAAGAGCTTTGTATCGCAAAATGCAGCGACTATGCGAGATATCCTGTTGCCGCAGATTCAGTTGCGCTTCAGCGACACTCTCGACTCGAAGAATCAGAAAACCGTTATCGACCTTGCTATCAAAGACTTCAAAAAAAGTGGGCAGCAGCCAACACCCGAGTTTATCAACATTCTCACCAGCAATCTGAAAGCGTTCTTGTTTGCTGGTCATGACACCACGGCTCAAACTATGTTAGTTTATTTAGATATATTTTTTCCCATCGAGTCCAAAATCCCTCACCTCCAAGAACTTGACTTCTAACTACGATCTTAGTTGCTGGATATTCTACGAAATTAACAAAAGTCCCGACATCCTGCAAAGGCTGCGCAAAGAGCACGATGACGTACTAGGCCCTGACCCAAAGATGGCATATCAGGTCTTGCAGCAGAGCCCACACAAAGCAAACGAACTACGCTACACGGCCGCAGTCATCAAGGAAACGCTCCGAATCCATACCCTGGCTAATACATTCCGACAGGGCAGCCCCGACTTCAACTTCTCTCTTGACGGCATGCTGTACCCCACCTACGATTGTATGATCCAAACAGCCCCGACAATAACTCACATTCACCCAGATTTCTGGCCTCGCCCGACAGAATTTATCCCAGACCGGTTCCTGGTTCCGGAGGATAATGCGCTGTATCCTGTGAAGAACGCGTGGCGGCCCTTCGAGCTGGGAAACACCAAGTGCATTGGCCAGGAGCTAGCCATGTTGGAAATGAAGCTCGTGTTGGTATTTACTGTCCGTGAGCTGGACTTTGATTTTAACTACGAGCAGTGGGATGTGGTGCAGAAGAAGGACACGACAAGCGTGGCTGCAGACACTGTTAATGGCGAGCGCGCGTACAGGTGTGGCGAGGGCATTGGAGCTATTAAAGACGATTTACCGGTGAGGGTGAGGTTTAGAAGATAATTGGATGGATCGTTGCAGGATATCTTTTAAAGAATAACGAAGCATGACTACTTATCATCAAACAATGGCCTGTATACTTGCAGTGCATATAGTCTTAGGATGGCGGCAAAGGGCGGCACCCCTGTGAGCTGGCTGTTGGATGGATATCGTGAAAAAAGAGAGGAAAAAGAAGGGAGCAGCATCGACACATACTAGTTATGCATTCCACCTCCCATGAAGCACGTGCTGCGGGTTCGATGGGTTGGTTTCTGCTCTGGAAAAGGGGGTCGGACTTGTGGCTTAAAAATTGATCTCCTCAGGGCTCGTATGGGTAGTTAATGAGATCCTGAGACTCTACCATCCCATCAGCTCCTTTCACGGACTCCGGGGGGGATCGGATGATAACTTCCTAGTGTATTCCCTATAAGATCTGGTCGTTTAATTGAATGGATTTCAAAAACAGCAGAATAAAACGAGGGATGGGGAAATCGAGCGCAGGCGGAAACGAATGCGCATGAGATCATCAACGGGCGGAAACGGGGGGGGGGGAACGTTGGATGAAGACCAGGACCTGATACCCCAGGCATCAAGATGATGTAAATAGGGACGGCGAGGCGAAAACAGGAAAATATGAAAAGGTCCAGGCTCGGGTCGAATTTGTCTTGGGCCACGAGCTTTAAAAGGGAGAACGAAATCATGATTGTATTTATTCCACACTTTTTTAATCTTGTTCTCTTTTGGTTGTAAAAGAAATTGTTTACGGCAAGTTGCATAAATATCAATCAACTTCGTACAATATCAAAAGTACCAAAAGTACATCACTTCTCCCCCCTCCCCCCCCATCTTGCTATTAATTAGAAGACATTCTACTTCCACTATCGAGTGGAACAACGAAAGCAGAGCACCACGCCGGAAAGGAGGCAAAAGGGAACAATTTCTCAAAAAACCAACCTCAAATCATCTTCAAAATACAAAATGACATCGAAATCCTCCCGTCCCGATTCTCACTCCCAACATGCTCTCGCCACCACCATCAACACCAAGATACGCTCCTCATCCCGCACTTCGAATCCCGAGCAAGAGTCGAAGCAACGCCACTCGCCCACAGCCACATCTCCGAGCACCTCAAGATGGCAGCCGAAGGTCAATCGGACGCAGAGCTTGAACGAGCAGGATATGAAGCACCAGTTGCAGCAGCGGTTGACGGGGCTGGAGAAAGACAGGGAGAGCGGCTTTACGGAGATTGAGAGGGGGGCAAGGAGGGACAAGGAAGGGGCTGTGGAAGGAGAAGGGGGAAGGGGACGGGCTTGATGGATGAGACTGTGAGCTTGGGGGATATAGGCTCTGGGCCTTGCGATAGATGGTGAATGAATGAAACGAATTGAATGAAGGCGGCAATTTGCTGGACACACACATGCGGGAGGGCGTCTGGGTATTTCTGTTGCGAAATTGCGCTACCAATTGGCATCATCGGATGGACTATCAGATCCCCAGGGATAGTGAAATAAGGAGGTCACTGTTAGTTAAATATGCGGGTTGTTGTGGCGTTCAGCACTGTTCGTGGTTAAATATCTATATAAAATGTGAAATCGGCGGCGGTGTTGGCGGGGGTTTGGTTCTGATAACCAGCTTAAGCAGAGGAAGTTTATATCTGACAAAGTAGGGGAAAAAGGAATGTATATAGTTATTCTCCACTCATTGTGCTATCCTATCGCAATATTTTTGTATGATAAAAAGCAAGATCCTCACTCGAAGCATCCGGATAGCTGATCTGATATTCCTATCTGCTCTGTTCCCGGTTTCTCTCCAGCTTCCGTGACGCCAACGAAATATTTAAATCAACAGCTTTTCGTCACCCAACTCCTTTTTCCTCCAACCAACAACGAACACCCCTCGCCGCTGTAGCTGTGAGGTTCAACGGCTTTGCATTTCTGAGTCAACAAAAATCGCTGTACTCCTTCACCCCCTCTCTTTTTTGTATCCAAAAATCTAACCGGCTTTAACCTGCCTGTCTGTTCGCTCCGCACCCCAATGAGGTGGTCAAGCCCTCCTGGAATCTGTGGTTCTGCGCTTTTGAGGGGATCTCATCCGGTTTGACCACTTCCCCGGTGCGGCAAACAACAACAACAACAACAACTGTGATAGACCGAGGCGTAGATGAAAGATGGATCGCGCAAGGAAGAGTACGTTGTTAACTATTCAGAAATCAACCGCATCTTCTTCTACTGTTGATACTAATTTTTTTACCCGTTGTGCAGGAGAGCTGCGCGACCTAAATGCACGGGCATGGGCTAGGGAGACGGGTATGTTCAAACTGCCACCCTCAGACCCCCGCAAACCCCCGTCCTATTATTATAACTCTCGATCCCGAGAGTATGACAAAGATCTAATGTTCGGGCTAAAACAAAGATTAATAATATTTGCGTTCATATAGGTATCTTCCCGGTCAACAAATCTCTTGACTCCGCTTTGAAGAAAAACACAGCCTTTATCAAACGTCTCCGAACCGGTATTACCGCTGCCGCCCTCCCTACTTTCCTTGCCGATATCCGCACCCTATCATTGCACAAGTATCTATCCGAGATCATATCCGCTGCCTACGAAGGATTTTGCAAACTTAAGACCCCCGGAGAAATCGCCGCGGCTGTGGAAATCGCCAGCGCCCTGCACCAGCGGTTTGGTCCCGATGAGTTCACCAAGCAGCTGGGATGGCTGTTGGGTCGCGGCCTGACAACACCGGATAAGGCACAGTTGAAGGCATGGACGCAAGATGTGCGTGAGCGGGAGGAGAAGGAGCGGCTGAGCAGGCAACGAGTTCTGTTGCGTATCGTGACCGAGTTATGGCTTGTGGGGTTTCTGCGAAGCTTGGATGACGTAGAAAGACCGGATGATCTGGGTACAAAGGGCCATGATGGTGCGGGTGCTATTGGCGGTGGCAAGGGTTCTTCTCCTTCTGATGGGGTTGCGAAATCTAAACCAGCTCAAGCTACCGCGAAGGCTGACCAGGATAAGGAGGCGGAGCCGTTTCCGCTGGAGGTTCTGAAAGACCTTTTGGGACATGACCGCGAGCATGTCAATTTACCACTGGCGGTTTTGTTTGCGAGGACGTATAGCTGGGATATCTTGGGGAGCAAGGGGATGGAGGGAGGCAGGAAGAATGTGGAGGCAGATGGCGCGACTACGGAGTCTCCAATCAAAGATGGGCCGGAGATTGGATCTGGCGACGATGAACCTAATGCTGAATCAACGGGAGACGATCCACCGCTAGCATCTGAGAAGCTTCAGCTCCGGTTTAGAAATATCCTTAATCGGTATCTGGAGGATGTTAAAGCCCATGTTGTCAGCGATCAAAAAGGCCTGGCAACACAAAGTCGCAAAAACGCAGAGGCATATGTGAAGAGTGGTGAGATATTCGAAGATCGACAATCTAATTTTGAGAAGCAGTCAAAGGCGCACGAAAAGCTCGTCTCGAATACTCAGGCCCTTTGCGAAATTCTCGGGTCCGATATGCCAGATCTAATGGAGAAAGAGACGGGTGATTCCACACTGGGTGGTGGCAGTATAGGCCTCGTAAAGACCGGAGAATACTTACGTGGACAAGGTGAAGGCCCTGGGATCTGGGAAGACGAAGAGGAACGTCGATTTTATGAGAATTTGGTGGATCTAAAGGGTAAAGTCCCAGCTGTTCTACTAGAGGATGGAAAAAAGAAAAAGCCTGATGGAGATGATCAAGTAAAAAAGAAGGCTGATGGCGAAGCTACAAATGGTGTGCCAGCGGACCAGCTTGGCAAAGGGGATGCCACAAAACCGGCCCTGACTGCCTCAGAAGCTGCCAATACTCAAGAAGTTGATGATCAGTCTGCCTCTATGGTTAACAAAACCGTTGGTGCTCAAGTTGATGCGTTGTTGGCAAAACTACCGGAACTCCAAACTAAGGATTCGGTTGATCAGCTAGCGCTGGAATTCTGCTTTCTCAACTCGAAAGCGTCTCGGAACCGGCTGGTAAAGGCAATCCAGGAGGCGCCCAAAGGCCGCACTGATCTGCTTCCTCTTTATGCCCGCCTAGTTGCTACCCTTGGCCAGTATCTACCTGATATCCCACAGGGCCTTATCAGCTATCTTGACGAAGAATTCCGGAGTCTCCAACGGCGCAGACAAAAGGAATTTCTAGGTCAGGTCCGCACCAGCAATATTCGATATCTAGCTGAACTGACAAAATTTGGTGTTGTCCCCGAACATGTCATTTTCCACTGCTTCAAAGTCAGTCTCGACGACTTCTCTCGGATGAATATTGAGATCATTGGCAATCTCCTGGAGAATTGTGGTCGATACCTGCTCCGAAATCCAGAAACCTCCCCACGGATGGCATCTTTCCTGGAGACTCTTGGTCGAAAGAAAGCAGCACAGCATCTTGGCCAGCAAGAGCGCATGATTATTGAGAATGCGATGTACTACGTCGATCCTCCGCAGCGACCCGCTATCCAGCAAAAGGAGCGCACTCCGATGGAACTTTATATCAGGAAACTACTCTACCTTGATATGAATAAACGGAACTACCCTAGGATTTTGAAATGTATCCGGAAACTTCACTGGGAGGAGCAAGAGGTGAGATTTAAGGTGAACTTTTAACATTTTTTTGTTGACAATGTATTGACAAATCTAGGTCGTCCATATTCTTGAGCGAATATTTAGCAAGCCTGGGAAGGTGAAGTACAGCAATATTCATATCCTGGCAATTCTTGTCAGCGCCCTCTACCGATACCATCAGGATTTTGTCATTGGAATTGTAGACAACATACTCGAGAACATTACTCTAGGGTTGGAGCAAAATGACTTTAAATTCAATCAGAGACGGATCGCTGAGGTTAAGTATCTGGGGGAGTTATACAATTACAAAATAGTCGACTCACCACTCATTTTCGATACGCTTTATCGAATCGTTACGTTCGGGCATGGTACGTACATACATACCTTACTTAGCACACCCGCCAAGCGAATTGCTGACGTGAATATTAGAGGGAGGTATTCCGGCTCCAGGGAAGATTAATCCTCTTGATATGCCTGATGATTTCTTCCGAATCCGATTGGTGTGCACTCTCCTTGACACTTGCGGAGTATGTTTCGATCGGGGATCGGCGAAGAAAAAGCTTGATTTCTTCTTGACCTTTCTTCAGGTAATATCCTCTAGAAATGGCAGGTTTGTTTTGGACGTGACAGCTAATACACAGTCACAGTACTACCTGTTTACGAAAGACCCAGTGCCCATGGACGTGGATTTCCTCGTCCAGGATACTTATGCTTTGACCCGTCCCCAGTGGAAGATTGCCACTGATCTTGCTGAAGCTACCCGCCTTTTTAGTGAAGCCGTAGCACAGAATTACAAAATAGAGGAGTCCACCCAAGAAGCGGACAAAGCTCCTGAGCCAGATCCGGATGGAGAGAGTTCATCTTCTGACGACGGCTTTGAAGACGATGCAATCCCAGATGCGGACGAAGACAAGGATGACGTAAACTCATCTAGCGACGAAGTCGAGGAGGTATGCATCTTAGAATTTTTTCTTTCCTGCAGTGACAAAAATGCAAAATATCTAATATCTGTGCTTTAGACCGTTCGTGGCCCAGATCAGGATCACGATTCCGAATCTGAAGAGGAACAAATCTTCGTTACTCGCCAGGAAGAGCAGCTTGATCCCGAAGCAGAAGCTGAATTTGATCGAGAATTTGAGAAAATGATGGCGGAAAGTTTGCAATCCCGCAAATTCGAGCGCAAAGCAATGTTTGATGTACCCCTGCCAATGAGACGCACTCCACACAATCCGTCATCGGGTGCAGAAGAGAACGGCGAATCCAGTCAGCATACGCCGAATACAATGGCATTTTCCTTAATGACGAAACGAGGAAACCGACAACAGGTCTGTCTTTTTTTGATTTCCTATCTATCCTCTTATGCTATGCTCGTTTAAAAAAAAAAAAAAAAAAAAAATCATTCCCGACTCTGGCACAGAGTCTTCTAACCAATTTTAATTTAATTTTTGTATAGACACGCACGATCGACCTACCCTCCGACTCCAGTTTTGCCGTGGCGATGAAAACCCAACAACAGGCGGAGCGCGAAGAGCAGCAGCGCATCAAGAACTTGGTGCTAAATTATGACTTAAGAGACGACAATGAACCCAATGATGGTGAATTCAATACTTCCTCCTTTTCCTGCCCTAAGAACCCACTACTGGAGGAGAACCCCAATGCTAAAGGAATAATGCGTAAAAAAAAAGGCCCAGAGAAACGTTCCCATCGAGACACGCGGACCGCAGATAAATCGAGCTCTAATCGTAGCGGGTTCCGTTCCCGCAAGTTGCAACTTAGCGATGTTGACTGGTATGATGAAAATTAAAGATTTCTTTCACAACTTTTATTTCACCGACTGTCGTGTCCTTCTTCCCATGCATGTGTAGCCAGTTGTGTGTGGTCGTGGCAACCCACCACACCTCCAGACTACTACTACATATTGCCACATTTGGCCCAGGAAAGAAGGCTGCTTGGACCACCCCTGCTGCAAGAAAAGATATACGCGCTAACTTCTGGCTTTGTCGAAATTCCACTTTTTGTATCCTACAGGACTTGAGAAATGTAAACAAAAAACGAATGAAAGCCAAACATACCCGCCTCAAGGCAAAATAAAAAAATACGGGATATATTGTCAGCACATATATCCAGAAACCTCAATTTGCGGCCCCATGTCTACCTTCTGGGTCGCCGTCGAACCCCTCGCCTGAGAGAATTGAAAAGCTGAACGACACCAAGAAAGAAACAAGAAGATATTATACCAATTGAAACGCTGTAGTACAGGAAATGACGAATAGGGCAGATGGAGAAGCGCCATGGGCTCCGGACCAGATCGCTCCATATAATAGCACTTGATGGGAGGAGTACATCCCAGTACGATTCCATCTCCCGATTCGCACGAAGAGAGCCAGCAGCCCCGACCCCCTGACCATCTAAACGCCTCCCTGCCTCAAACCATACTACTTTGCTGTTCGTAGTTTCCCCTGAATCTGTCCACACATGGCAAAAAATGAGACAGAAATGAAATCGAGAAATTAAAAAAAATAAAAAAAAAGTACAAAATTTTTTTAAAGAAAACGTAAAAAAGAAAATAAATACAAAATCACAACCCTCCGTTTATGGTTCTACTATGCGTGTCCCCCTTAGGAGAAAATGCAGGGGGGAAAGTCTTTTTTTTTTCGGAGTGAGAGAAAAAGGGAAACCGAATCGCGCAATCCTCCCCTTTCTGCTTTCACATTTCCTCTCTGGCTTTCCTTTCTTTGGGAAACGACATGTGCATGCACCACGCCTCCCCGCTGTCCTTCGCATACCTATTTTACTTGCTTCGACTTGGCGGGATGTGAATAGTTACAAGAGGTCGGGAATTTTAATTTATTCGACGATTGAAACGAAGAAGAAATGAAAGTTTTTAATCCAAAAAAAATAAAATAAAATAAAATATTTTTTGCCTATGTACGTATGTATGTACAGATCTATATTTGATATTGTTGCCTGGTGCCTTGTTGAAGATAATTTATTTCAATGCCTCTTTTGACTGGAAAGAAAGCTGTGGACGGACGACTTTCTTCTTCGCCAGGTGGGTGGAGGGAAAGGAAGGGGAAGGATAATGTTCATTCATTCACGGCTTGTGCAATTTGTGTCTGGTCTATATAAGGCCATCCATCTATCGCGTTTTTTGAGAACAAGAAAAGAAGAAAAGAAAACCGGGAATCTATAACTATACATAAAAAAAAAAAAAAAAAAATCCCTGCCAGGATTTTATCTATACCTCACGATCCCCCGCCGCATGCCACACCATCATTCATTCACCCACGCCGCCAACTCCAACGTAAACAACACCGGCGCCTCCCCCGGCACCTCCACCTCCACAACGTCACTGCGCACATGATTGCTCGTACTAACCTGGCCGCCAAACTGCGTTTTCCAGTCAGTGATGTCCCATTCGAGGCCGCGGGTGGTTATCACGGCGGGGCCGGCGATGGGGATTATGCCAACGTTTTCGGCGAAGGGCATTGTTGTTGTTGTTGGCGCTGGTGATGACGCTGGCGCCGGTGTTGGTGATGTACCCATCAAGGAGCCGCCTGGTGTATGGATTCTATTACAGCCGCGGTGGAGGAGGAAGGAGATGCTTTGTTCGGAGATTAGGTAGAGGTGGTTTTGGTTTCGGTTGTGGGGCGGAGCGGAGGATGAGGATGAGGATGAAGGTGAAGCTGACGAGATGCATAGGTGATTGATGAGCGAAAAGGCCTGATCTACTCGTCCGCCCAGCCCGCCTAGGAGGAGGACGTTGATATCTAAATCATGATTGTCTGCTTCTGCGGGTGGCGCCGTTCGGTCCCCGTTGCTTCTGGATGCGGCGAGGCTCTGCGTACGCGAGCGCAGATAGCGCAGGCATTTCGTGACGTCTGTAGAATATTGATCCGGGTTGTGGATGACGGGGACGTGCAGGTCCTCATAGTGTTTACGGACCTCTGGAAGAATGGAGTCCAGATCCCCAACTATTGCATCGGGGAGCTGGTTGTCGGTGTGTTAGAAAGGAACACTCTTGAATGGTCTTTTTATTGTTGCACTTTTCTTTTCTTTTCTTTTCTTTTCTTTTAATATATATATTTAATTTGTTCCTACAACTGCGCAATTTGGGGGTTTGAATATATGTATCTACCTCCGTTGATTCCTTGCCTGATGTTCGCATAAGATTGTACAAGTGATTGGCCCCGCCATCTGCACATATTGTGAAACGTGCTGGGTTGGTTCCAGAGAATCAGTTTTGTCCAATCGATTAATATATATTGACGAGAAACTCACCATGCTTGTTGAGGACTCTGTATGCATGTTGGTTGATTGGCTGGTTGAGAACAATGAGGGCGAACGGGGAAGACGGCGGGGCAACAGTATTGAAAAACTGTGCCGGATACCAGTCCATCCAGCCTATTATCGGACAAATGAGTCCAGGCAAATAATACCCAGGTAGTTAGCACATGTACCGTAGCGGAAAGGGATCAGTCTTGCATATTTTCTGCCTCTGCAGCTGTACCACGGATGCCCTATCTTAGAATATTCCGTGTCGTTGCACGCCCGCGGCGGAAAGTAATTCCGGTAGAGGGCTGGCTTTCCATGTGACCTTCTAGGACCCTGTCAGCGGGCGCCTCGTGACGCCAAGGCTGCCAAGACTCCCACCTGAAAGGGGCTGCAGATTCAGCCCAATCGAGCGAGACGACGATACGTTGCCCGATCGGGCCAAGCGCGGGCTCTCGACGTGCGGGCCTAGTAATCCCTTGGTAATCCTGATACGCAGCAGCCAGCGGAACATGCTTTTCCCGGACCACGTTCCCATACCAGGGGCGTATCAGTTGGTACGGCGCTGTCGCAGGGCGCCCGAAACGGCATAGTCAGGGAGAACGACTAATACCGCCGTATGTGCGCGTACTGGCACACGCCAGCACAGGACCGCCCATACGGACGGAGAACGGGCCATACCAACCATGGCCGCCGACCCCTTTCTGTGTTTCTCTTCGTTTCTTCCTCCCTTCCTCCTCCAACTCTCTCGCCTTCGCCAGCGCCTGTAGGAGATATCCCTGCCTCCTCTTCCTCCTCCTTTTCTTCTGCTTCTTCTCTTCTTCTCCTTCTCTTCTGTCTCTTCTTGCTATTTCTTCTAAATCCGTACTCTTAACTCAACTCTTGGTGAAGGCCTTCCCACAACCTTCGCTCCCAATTGAGTCCTACGTTGCCCGTCCACCTTCGTTCAGTCGTCCGTTCCTTATTTTATTTTATATAAAGAGAGAATATCATTCTTCATTCGTCCTGTCTAGACAGCTCTCTGAGCTTGTACCTCCCACCTCTTTTGTTGCATTCTCCATCCCGTATCCATTGGGCCGAAAAAAAAAAAAATCTCTAGGTAAGGCAGTGAAACCCCATGTTTCCCCCCTGTTGTTCGATCTTCTTTTGTTTTAAGTTTGTTCCCATTCCACCCTGAATTGGCACTGGACTCTGAATTATTTCCGAAATATTTCGATGATTTGAAGAGAGAAGAAAGTACGGGGTGCTGCCGTGACAACGTCGCGGCCATACACACATACATTGCCCCTTGCTCCCTCCGCTACGTATCTCAAGGACTACAAACTGACATACAACTGTTTTTTCTATGCCAGACATCTTCCTTTTCGCTTTTTCCGAATCCAATTCCTCCTTTCCGCCGTTGAACCTTATACAAGATGGGTAAGCTCCGATTTATTAGCTACTTCTGTCCAGCATCATACCAGAGAAGAGCATCGCCCCCCGTGTCCCTGGTTCTCTGGACACTCGTCAATTCCGTTCTCCCTGTGTCGTGCTACTGTTTTCATTATTCCCTGATATCTACAACTGGACAATAGAACCTATTATATAGGCATGGGCCATTTAAAGTTTCGCGTTGTTTCCAGCAGGAGTTGCCAGCACTACAGCCATTGCGCCACTGGAGCCTTGAATACCCCCAATCTCCATGCATCTTCTCTCGCAATTTTCCCCATAACTACAATCTGAACGTGGTGAATTTTACTGCAAACAATACTGACAAGCTGAATAATTAATACAGCTCAAGGCGCTAACGGTATTCCGGCGCCCACACGACCCTCTCCAGCTGCTGGCAGTGCTCCCGCAAAATCGCCATATGTCGAACGGAGCAACCCCATGGGTCAGGGTGCTGCCCAAACGGTCACCTCCAAGGACCCCAAGGCCGCTGCCCAGGCTGCTAGTGACATGAGGAACGTCGTCCGCCGCAAGTTGACCGGTTATGTTGGATTCGCAAACCTCCCAAACCAATGGCACCGTAAAAGTGTTCGCAAGGGTTTCAACTTCAATGTGATGGTTGTCGGTATGTATATTTCCGTCTGCATCTGCACGTGATTCTTCGTATCTATGCTAAAACGACTATTTAGGTGAATCTGGCTTGGGAAAGTCTACTCTTGTCAATACTTTGTTCAACACTTCTCTGTATCCTCCAAAGGAACGCAAGGGCCCTAGCCTGGATATTATTCCAAAAACCGTTGCCATCGAGTCTATCAGCGCCGATATTGAGGAAAACGGCGTTCGTCTCCGTCTGACTGTGGTTGATACACCTGGTTTCGGTGACTTTGTCAACAACGATGACTCTTGGCGTCCAATTGTTGAGAACATCGAACAGCGCTTCGACGCTTACCTCGAGGCCGAGAATAAGGTTAACCGCATGAATATTGTGGACAATCGCGTCCATGCTTGCGTCTACTTCATCCAGCCAACAGGCCACTCGCTGAAGCCGCTTGACATTGAGGTAATGCGCCGATTGCATACCAAGGTCAATCTGATCCCTGTCATTGCTAAGGCGGATACCCTCACCGATGAGGAAATTGCTCTTTTCAAGCAAAGGGTACGTATTTACAAACCTCCCTTAAGTTCAGGCCACCCTTGAACAAAATATCGTACATAAATATGGAAAATTCTGACACGCGACAGATTCTGGCCGATATCCAACATCATTCCATCCAAATCTTCGAGGGACCCCGATACGAGCTTGATGATGAAGAGACCATCGCCGAGAACCAAGAAATCATGTCCAAAGTTCCTTTTGCTGTTGTTGGAGCGAACTCGGAGGTCACCAGCAGTGAGGGCCGCAAGGTCAGAGGTCGTCGTTATCCGTGGGGTGTCATCGAGGTTGACAACGAGGAACATTGCGATTTCGTCAAATTGCGCCAGATGCTCATCCGTACTCATATGGAAGAACTCAAGGAACACACGAATAATGCCCTGTACGAGAACTACCGATCTGACAAACTCACACAGATGGGTGTTGCGCAGGACCCAAGTGTATTCAAGGAGGTCAACCCTGCAGTCAAGCAGGAAGAAGAACGCACCTTGCACGAGCAGAAGCTCGCAAAGATGGAGGTCGAGATGAAGATGGTTTTCCAACAAAAGGTGCAAGAGAAGGAAAGCAAGCTCAAGCAGAGCGAAGACGAGCTTTTCGCGCGACATCGCGAGATGAAAGAACAATTAGAGCGACAACGCGCAGAATTGGAAGAAAAGAAGTCTCGTCTCGAAAGTGGAAGACCTCTCGAGGACAAGATAAAGAGAAAGGGTTTCTCGCTCCGTTAAGAGTCAACCCATGGCTGATATGCACTCTGGACATCATGGGATGTCGACCTATGACATGCGGACAACCTCTGTTTGATTTCTTGTTCTTCTTTGAGTTCCTCTCCCTTCTGCTCATGGTTCCAGCGCTCTCTCTAATACCTCTTTTCGTTCTCTTTCCTCTCCTTTCCTTTCATTAAGAGTAATTCGGCTCTCTTACACATTCTTTTGCTTTTTTTTCTTCCCTTTCTCTTTCCCTTTCTCCTCTTTCATTTATACCTTTTGCTCTCTATCTCACTTCTGTAATGACTTCGACCCATTTTTCCCCCCTCTACTTATTGTTCTTTTCTCTTGAGCCGTTCCCTCCCTCCTTCGTTTTGTTTTTCCCTTGTTTATTTTCTTGCTTGCTTGTTTGCTTACTTGCTACTGAGTCTCTCGAACCAATAAAACGGAGAAAACCAAATTTGTACCAAACTTAATAATCTATCTATTCACTAGTTTCAAGAAAGCCTTTTTTCCTTCCTTTCTTTCTTTTCTCATAGGAGGATTTGAGAGGGCGGTTGAAGGAGTCTGCAAGCACGGTTTTTCCCCAACATTCAAAACACGAAAAGGGTATGCTCCTACGCAGATGGTGGGGATATATGAGTGGGCGGGAGTATTAAAATTGTGGCTTTTCTTTTCTTTTCTGCTTCTGCTTCTTCTACTTCTTTCTAATACTCAGCCTTTTAACTTCCTCTTCCCCTTCAACCATGTCGTGTATCCCAATCCTATCAGACCTTTTTTGTTTTTTTCAAGAGTGTATTACCTAGTTGTTTTTTTCCCCTCCCTTACCCCCTCCCCCCCGCCATTTCCCTCCCAACACCAAAAATATAAAAACAATACAAAAAATAAACCCTTCATACGCTGGTGTATTTTCTTTCTTTTTTTAATTCTGGTTAAAGGACAATAAGAGCGTGTTTGTCAAACCCCCTCCATTTCCATTACCCTTTTAAGTTATACAGTTATATCTCCTTTATCCATTCATCTTCTCGAAGTGAAAAAAAAAAAAAAAAAAAAAAAAAAATCCCCTGCTCCTTCGTCATAATTCCATTCTCTTCGTGTCCCTCACTAGATTTTTCCTTTCGGAACAGGTGGGATGGGTGGTGATGTAGTACATAGTGATGGGTAATTGCGTAGCGGGGTATGCAGTTCCTCCTGATAACGAGCTGGAAAGCGCTAACAGCAATGGCCAATGCATGTTGCATGCGTTATCTGTGCCTGGTTGGATAATGTAGGGCGGTTAATGCCATTGTTTTACTTTGGGAGAGGGAGGGATGTTTGTTGCCATTGAGTGTACACGGGGCAAAGAGAGGAAGGAAGAAAGAAAAGAAGACTTTGTTTAAAAAAAGGGGGGTGGGTTGAGGTCCTTCTTGCTCTTTCTTTCTGTATTATTCCTTTCTTTGTCCACTGGTGTCCTAGCCGCTACTTTCCGTATCTCGCGAAATGAATGATACATGGAAGTCGAGGAATGGGTAGGTATCCAGGGTAAACTCGATAACACCCCCGTCCATTGTTCTCCGCTGGAAGCCCAAAAAAAAAGAAAATGAATAAAGCCATCGCCTGCATTTCTTAGTTTCTCATCGTCTCCTTTGCTAAAGGGAACGAGGAAGAGAAGAAGGTTCGTCGTTTTGTTATTACCTGCTGCTTTATTTCCTTTACATTATATGATGGATGCTGTTGTCATAAGTCACAACATATCTTGTATACTTCGAAGGAGGTAGGGGGAAGGCCGGAGGTTAGAGAGTAAGGGTTATGGATACATATATAGACATCCATTAAATTATACATCGACCCCGCCTCTTGTTTCCATTTCTTCGGATAACTCCTTTTTCCAAAAGGTACAGGTAGGTGCCTTATGAATACGTGAAAGAAAAACAAAACCAGCAGCGCTCATCTGCGGGGCAACCGGTTGTCTTTTCTTTTATAATAGTATCTCTACACAAAGCTCATGGGGAGAGTGGGGACGCGATTGAGCCGGTCATGGCTATCCATTGCAATCGAGGTAAATGAGTGATGAGTGGGATACGGAGAAAGACTAGGCTCGGTGGGATCAAAATTTCAGATTTATTGAACTATCGTATATAACATCCATGTATATATAAAAGTGAAACTCTGTAACTTTATTCCTTGAGTTCTTCTCAGGCAGTTCAGATACGTATCCACCTCCGCTTCGTCTGCGGCATACTCCGCACCTAAATCTGTACCTCTTGTCTCCCCTATATCCTTCTACACCACTTCAACATACATACCCACCTGCTAGCAACACGACACCCCCTAAGCAAACTCAATCAGAACAAAAAAGCAATCCAAGGGGCGCACGGCCCGCCCCCCCCCTCACAAAAATGTGCAAATACACCTCTCACGAACAATACACAGCCTGCAACCACAAGATTCCCTGCCACCTAAAATACAGCATAACCTACTGCCAGGAGCCCAACGGCATCCCCCTCCCAACCCATGCCGTCAAAAAACTGCTCACGGAGCCCGGCTTTCGCCCCTCACGCTGCTGTGAAATGGATAAATGGCAGGACACAGTCCTGGAGTTTCAGGGGCTGTGTCCAGCTTGCTCAGGGGGGGCAAGCGAGAGTAGAGAAGAGAAGGGCCAAGGTTGGGATGAGATGCCGAATTTGATTCGGTCGTTTGAGTGTGGGCATTCGAAGCTTTGGGTTCGGGCGGAGAGTTTGCAGAAGTGTTTTGTGTGTGAGAGAGTGAACAGTTGCAGTGGTGCTGGGGGGATGCAGCAGGAAGTACAGAGACAGAAGCAAAAGCTTGATATCAGGACGGATGTTAGGATTGAGATTGGAGATTCGCGGATTGCTGAGTTTTGGGAGAGGGAGTACTTGTTTTCAGAAGAGGAGGCGTCTAAGATCCAATTTGAGAAGTGGGAAGTTGAGTGGATGTGTGCGGCTTGTCGGAAGAAAGGGAAGGGGGAGGATGAGAATTTGTTGTCATCAACATCGCGAAAGCTGCTGAGTGCATGGAAGAGGTTGCAAGTATCATTTCAAGAGAAACAAAAAGAGTAGATTTTTGGACGGAGTATATGCCACTCTCTTTCTCTTTTTGTGCCTTGTGTTCATTATTTTTGAAAATTGCATAATTGGGTAGTTTTTTGTCTTTATATATGATCTGGGGAAGAGATCGTGATACAGTTGGAACAGTGTGATGTGCTTTTGGTTAACGCACATCTCACATTGTGCAGCAAAGAAAATGCAATATTCATATGAGCGCAGTGAATATTGAAGCATTTGATAGAGAAAAGGAAGCCAATTCATATGTTTGAAGTATTGGAAATCCAGGAGGCTCCAGAAGGCTGTCATAGGCAGCTTTCAAACATGTTTGGAGTAATGACCAATGACCAATGACACACTAATGGAGAACTAAATTGTATACTGTGGTTAATATGTTAAACGATGAATAATATAATATAATGCTTTCAATGCAGGAGACACAGACTGACGTCTAAGGATCGAACGAAGCTTGGGAGACAGCGGGATGACGTCGAGGCTGGTGTTGCCACAACACGGGAGAAGTGTACAGCCACTGGTACAGTCCACAGGATACTGTGATGTACACACAGAGCAGAGTGGCATAATTGGGCTGCTTCTATGTCGGCTGCTTCTTTAGATCGAGATTTCCACTGGGTGAGCAGAGCGATTTCTGATGTTTGCTGCTTGGTGTTTTGAGAAATTGTGTAGAATTATTGGATTCGTCACATGATATCTTGGTGCCAGGTATTGTCGTATTAAATACAGTTGGTGCGATTGCACTGGCTCGCCAGGCCCGCCAAATATGATGCCTGGTAGGGCGCCAATACGCCCTCTGACGCTGTTCGTTACACACCACGCAAACATCGGCCTTCCAAGGCACAAATCCTCCACACCTGACTTCTGGCCTGAGTCCACCGTGACCTTTTGATATTCTGCAGCCTGGCTCAAGGGTCGATAACTACACAACAACAGCTGTTCCATCCAGCTGTACCTGCTTCATCTCTCCTCTCAACAAACTTCTGCCCTCTCGCGCCAACCAGCTAGCCTTGAGCTTCGACATTTAACTGTGCCTTGCTGCAGATGGCTCCTCCACCCCCTTCCACCCTGCCCTTGGGCGAGCGTTTGAAGATGCTCGCCCAAACCCTACAGTATGTCACCCCGTTATGGATGATCCCGAAAGGGAGTGCCATTTGCTAATGTATTCTCAGGTTCGGTTGGTTTCTTGGGTATGTCCAAAATTGACTTGCACAATTGCTGGCGATTTCAGCCCTCTCCAGCTACCTTTTGAAGCGGTGTACGAGGAAAATGAGGAAATATAGATATATACATTGTGGAGAAGTGAAGATGGAGATTCGGGAATGATTTCGTCTTCGATATTGGGTGATATCGCTTTTGCAACAATGCAAAAGAAGCACAAATGGCTCTTCTTTTGCTAACATGATATGTCACACCGCTCTAGGCATTTGGCTTTGATTCTCTCTGTCTTCCGATACTTTCTCTCCTACATTACATTCAACTACTATTCCGGCATGGCCAGAGCGTCGTATCGTTTCGCATTCGTATCCGCAGCTGCTACATATGGAATTGTCGTCTATAAAGCATATATCGCCCGAGGTCGTCTCGGAGGATCTATTCCCGCTACTGCCATGAAATTGGCTGGTGACGAGAATGTCCAATACTTATGTCAGTGGGCTCATTTGCTCTTCTCTATGTTAAACATATGTCGGAAAGTTACCTCGCAGCTGACAAAAATTCAACCCGAAAAACAGTCATGGCCCTCGTATGGCTCTACTCCCGCCAGATCCCAATCGCCCTCTTGCCCTTTGCTATCTACTCCGTCTTTCATGTAGCAACTTACACTCGCACCTATCTCATCCCAACCCTCCAACCCCCCAAACCGGCCGCGCCAGGCGAAGCAACCTCCCCGTCCGGCCGCCCAGTCACAAAACAGTCGCCTCTCGCTGAAAGCATCGGCCGCTTCGTCAAGAGATACTATGACGCCAGTATGGGCCTCGTAGCTGCCTTTGAAATGAGCCTCATGTTCCGCCTCATCGGCTCCGCCCTGACTTTCTCGAGTGGCAGCTGGGTGCTGCTGGTCATCTATTTCTGTTTCTTCCGCTCACGATATGCGCAGAGCTCTTTTGTCCAGGGCACCGTGGCCCGTGCAAGTGCCCGTATTGATGCAGCGATCTCGCACCAGAACACCCCGCCGCAGGTGAGACAAGGCTGGGAAGTGTTCAAGGGTCTTGTCAGACAGGCCTATGACATAACTGATGTCCGGCGGTATCTTGGCGGGTACCAGGGTGCTGCTGCGGGAGCGAAGAAGCCCCAGTAAATGTTCAAAGATGACAATAATATAATGACTTGATTTGATTATTGTTATTATTATTATTTTCGGACGGCCCATCTGATGCTACCACATTTTCTTTTTTCCCGCAACCTCGGTATCCGAAAATGAACATAATGACGATTGTACACAACAGCAGCAACAACCATGACGACACTTGTTTCTCTCGCTCACAGCATGTTTCCTTTTTTGTGTTAAAAAGCCTTGGCGACTTATTTTCCTTGCTCTTTGTCGTTTGCGTGTCCAGAGTACAGGCGTGGCATTCGCATTCCAACTATTATCTCTTCGGACCCCTGGTTGCCTAACATGTTCACGCTTAACGGAAGGAGAAGGCAAAACTCGGGGGATACGAAGCCTTAACATAATGCAATGCGCGCACAGGCTAAATAAACAACTGTCTTTATCAGTCTGAACTCGCGTACGTCTAACTTGGTGCCTTTCTACTCCTGACACCCGCGGACAGACGGTCGAGGACAGACAGACCAGGTCAATTTCCTTTTATCTCTTCCTTGTGCTTTCTTTCTCTTTTCTTTTTCGGCGGGATAGGTTGGGGATGCTTATCATGCGACCACGGCAAATACATTTAAGACAATGTTTACTATCTAAGTTTGAGTAATGTTTGTTATTGAGTGAGTGGCTGCAGTGCAGGAGGTGGAGTTGGGGGGGAGGGGGGAAGAAGTTAAAAATTCGAAGATAGGGAGGAGATTTTGGTAGCAGCATTTTTTTCTTTCCTTTCAAAACGGGGAAAATAAAAATAAAAATTCCAAAAAAAAAATATTTACTTCGTCAATGGGTCTGTACTTCTAGGCATTCTCATCATTTTTTGCGTTCTTGCTCTCGTTTTTGTTTGCTTGTTTCCTCTGTCGATATCTCTGCTGGGTTTACTCCATACTTTTTATCGGATTTCTAGGCTTTTTGGAAGCTTCATATCTACTGTTTTTCTCAGCGATGTTATTTACTTGTCTTCTGCTCTGCTGCCTCATTAAACCCGAACAGTCATGCTTTCATACATTTACTTCTCATCTTAGACAATAGCTCATTGAGCATTGGCCCTGGATCAACATTCTGCCGACCCGCCCAGCTCCATTGCATCGAGACCAAAAAAATAAAACCAAAAAACACCGAGGGAAGAGAAAAACCACAACTCCAGTATCGATTTACTCCCACACGCACGCGCCCCCGCTGCTCATTTTTTGTCTATTTCATTTCATCTTTCGAATAGCACATGAACAAGGATGGCATCGCCGTCCGCCCTTCGTTTCGAATTCGGTAATTAATCATTCTTTCTTGCTCAATTCGATGCCTTGAGTGCTCTTGTCAGCCCTCGAAGAATATCGAGGGGGAACCGAGACAAGAGGACCCATTTAGAGAAGATAGATATACACACACATAGCTAGATATCTCCGCGAAATCCCCCCGTCCCACGCCCTCTTAAGCCCGAGCCGGTTTATCCGCAGAAGCAAGAGATAGACCGAAAAAAGAACCAAAAAACGAAGCAGCGAAATAGCCCGCCGCTAGAGGATATAAATATATTATACATAATTGTACTCTAAAAGGAAATACCGAAGCGTTTCAACTATCTGCCTGATACAGAAAACTTAAGAAAAGAGCAGGGGAAGAAGAGAAGAGCGACGGGGGAGGGCGCGGCGATGAACCTGAATCCGACGACGACGACGACGACGACGACGACGACAACAACAACAACGACCTCGTGGAATCCGATGCCTGGCCTGTTCTCCTCTAGCTCGACCACCAATAGCACGACGAGCACATCATCGCCCTCGACTGCTATTGCGATTCCCACCCCTACCCCCATAGCTACCGCCACAGCTACCCTCCAGCCTTCTGCTGTATATGGTGACGGGAATTGGGACTCGAATCGGGCGCATGCGACAATGACGACGGAGTTTGGAGGGGAGAGGAGAAGTAAACGGGCGAGGATAATGGGGGATAATGATGAGGTGGATGCCCGTGCTCATATGCTGCATGAGGAAGTTGATGTTGAGGCGGCGAGACCGCCGTACATACACGTACGTATTACACGAAGAGGTGCTATTTTGGGTCCGAGCGAGGGTTGGATATGCAAACAATAAGTTGCTTTTTTTTTTTTTTTCGATTTTATGGCTAACATTCACACTTCTCTCCGTACCGTTTCCAGTCGATGTTAGCTGGTGGCATCGGCGGGACGAGCGGTGACCTTCTCATGCACTCGCTGGACACGGTCAAGACACGGCAGCAAGGCGACCCGCACGTTCCACCCAAATACACATCTATGTCCTCCTCGTACGCTACCATTCTACGGCAGGAAGGGATTCGGAGGGGGTTATATAGCGGTGTCACGCCGGCGTTGCTGGGCTCGTTTCCCGGGACAGTGATATTTTTCGGCACGTACGAGTATAGCAAGAGACATATGCTGGATGCGGGGGTCAATCCATCGTTATCATATCTCGCGGGCGGTGCGTATTAGAGTATTTACATATCTACCTGCCTGCGGTGGCTGTTTACTCTCCGTCCAACTAACATTATAAAAACGTCAGGATTCATCGCTGACCTCGCCGCCTCCGTTGTCTACGTTCCTTCCGAAGTTTTAAAGACCCGCCAACAACTACAGGGACGATATAATAACCCTTTCTTCCGCTCCGGATACAACTATAGAGGCACTATCGACGCATTCCGCACAATTATCCGCCAAGAAGGCTTCGGGACATTATTTTCTGGTTACAAGGCGACGCTCTTCCGCGACCTGCCCTTTTCCGCGCTGCAATTTGCGTTTTATGAGCAGGAGCAGAAACTCGCGAAAAAGTGGGTGGGCAGTAGGGACATTGGGTTGCCGTTGGAAATTCTAACGGCTACGACGGCGGGGGGCATGGCGGGCGTGATAACTTGTCCGCTTGATGTTGTAAAGACAAGGACCCAGACGCAGCAGAGTCCGGATGCGTTTGGCACGTCAGTTCCACGGGCAACTTCTGTTGCTGCTGCTGCTGCTGCTACTGCTCCTGCTGGTCCTTCCACGACAGGAAAACACCAGACGAAGATAAAAGAGACGGCTCCGAAGACCGTACAGTCCACCAGATTAATATCGACATCTTCCCCATCGACATCCACCGTGAAGCCTGGAGCGCCGATATTAGATACCTCGTCAGTATTTACGGGGTTGAAATTGATATACCGGACGGAGGGAATTTTAGGATGGTTTCGAGGCGTTGGACCTCGGTTTCTGTGGACGAGTGTGCAGAGCGGCACGATGTTGGTGCTCTATCAGTATCTGCTAAAGCAGCTGGATTCATACCAACAACGGCACGAAGGGGAGCTGGGCGACGGTGGTGGAGCTGTTTTATGATTTTTTTTCAGAAGACTTCCAATCCCAGGAAGCCTGTTCCTTTTCTTCGATGGTATATTTTATGTTATATTTTACTATACTTTATTTCGTTTTGCTCCCCTCTTTTTCTTGTTGCTTCCTAGAGTTTATCTGGACCATTTTGTTATGGGTCAATCTGCATAGAGGGAGGCGTTTGGGATTGTTTCTATTTTTGGCCAATTGTGTATGTGTGTATGTGCATGTGTGTATATAGGGCGTGTGTTTTTCTTCTCCTTCTGCTTCTTCTATCCCCTTTGGTTTATCACTTCTCCCAGTGTCTTCGTATATCCTTTTTGTCGGTTTTGATTGAAATGTGCATTGCAAAGGAACGTCAGGATGTGGCTCGTACATACACCGGTGGCGGGAAATGAAAGAACTCTACTACAACATCACATCAATCGAGAGATGTCCAAAGCTATCCAAATTTACAGATTTAATACTCTGCAAGAAGACAGTTGATGTGAAATAGTTGACCCTGATCCCTTTCCTGGCGCGTCGCAACTTGGGGAAGCCGTGATGAAAACACGCTAGCCGCCCGAGTAAACAACAATCCCAGCATCCACCGCCAACTCCTCTCCCCGCGACACTTCTCTCTCTCGTTGACCCTCCACCCGCGTCATCACCCCTTACCACCAGCATTGTATACCCAGTTACCGCTATTCACGCTTCAGTAAATACAATCGCATACTCTACGCGACTCATATTCTGCTCTCATATCGTCCCCTGCCATGTCGCCCGCTTTACCCTACCTGCGTGGTCTGCGCAAGAGTGACCTCGTCGTTCTCGCTGAAGTGTCTAATCTCCAAGAGTATGTCCCGTTGTCTGTATTTGATATATGCCTTACGAAGCAATACCATACAGCGTTGTGCACTTTTGCTAACCGAGATACTTCTTTTGTGATCGGATTGTATAGCTTTGAGGATTACAAGAAGACAGAGCTTGAGGCTGCACTCGACGACCACCTCTCGACGAACCGTGCCTCGCTTTCCAGCGAACAGAAACTGGCAGACTACTACAGGCGTCTGTCGCAAACATCGCGCTCGTCTCCTATCAAAAGAGAACCCAAGACTGAGCCCGTGATGTCCGGCGACGACGGCAGGAGACCTAGTCGGTCCAGGCGAACGATAAAGCCAAAGGAGGAGGTCGAAGCCACGTTCGTCCTTCCCGTTTTCCTCTCCCTCTCTCACTTGGCTTCACGCGTCATTTCCTGTCTCCATTCATGCGAGACAATAACATAACACACTAACCAGTAAATCCAGAGATGAATCCGACAGCAGTGCCAGCAAGCAATCAACCCCGGCCTCTCGCACCCCCGCGCGTCGCCGCTCACTTCACTTCCCTTCCCTCCCACCGTCTCCCGCAGTCATCACAGACGCGATCGATCGCCAAACGACCAAAGCCCGCCAGTCTATGTCTGAGGCCTGGGATGCGTCCGGCCTAACCGAGCGCTCCGACGCACTGCGCTCATGCCTCAGCAGCGTCCGTACGATCGAGCTCATCACCCTCGCTATGGAGCTATGTGGTTTGCTTTCCCAAATTGTCCCCATGCGCTACCTAACCACGTTCCCCGCGGTGTCAACAGTTGGAACCCCAGAGTACGCCGTTAAGGTCCCTGACGTGTTCATCCTGCTGGAAGCGTCCTTCTGGGGACCCTTCTCCCTTTGGCTTTCCACGAGCATATTCCTACCTTCCGTGCTCGCGTACTTTTGCAACCTAAGCTTGAAGATTTCGCAACAAGGCAGCAGCCATGCTTATGGCACACGTCGTACCACTTCCTCAGCAGCTGCAAAGGCTGCCGAAGTGGGTAACTTCGACCCGCTCGTATTTAACGTCTCCAAGGCCCTGATTTCGTACCTGGTGTACACGAGCAATTGCACGTTTTGGAACATGTACCGTCAGATGACGGTTACGACGGTTTCCGGTGCTGTTCCTGGCGGACTGCCTGGTCTGATGACAGGGGCCGCTATTGGGACGTTGGGGTCTTTGTATGAGGCGATTTTGAGGAGGTAAAGTTATTAGTTTGTGTTGTTTCCTTTGCTACTATTTCTTTATTTTTCCTTGGACTAGTCGTTCAACTGAATCTTATATGAAATTGGAAAGGACAAGGGATGAGGGGGGGGATATTGCCCTGCGTTGTTGGTAGGGTCAGTTTTAATCTCTGGACAGCTTAAAAGAAAAGGAGCAGATCCTGCGGATTGTCAATGATGGCGAAATAATAGTTTGTTTCTGAATGGTTTGATGGGCGGAACCGCCTTGAGCTTCTTTGGAAGGATTTTGAGAGTGTGATTCATTCAGGATTTGGGTTGGTTAATTGTTTGACTTCCGTTTTGCTTTTTTGATATTTTTTTTTCTTCATCTTGTTGTCTCATGAAAACCCTCATTCATTGGGTATGGAATGTTGTTTTTGATGTTACTCTATTCTGTTACGTGTGTTTTGCCCTTCGCCCCTGGCCCTGATGTTCTGTATCGGCCATTTGCCATGTCCCTTCATTCACGAACTGGGATACTGCCTCTGCTTTTGTTTTCGTTTTTCGCTTTTATCTTTTGCTTTTGCTTTTGATCTCTGCTCTTTTCTTTTGGCTTCTCTGGCGATGGGATACTTCTGGATGTCTTCTCCTTCCCTTTTCTATACATATCCTCGCAGTGCTTCTCGTTTTATCCTTTTTCTTTTTGCGGGGGAGTGGATTGGCCTTGTTATTTGCGTTGATGTTGAATTTTGCTTTGGGATTCAATTGGGTCGTGTCCCTTTCAGTAACTACGTTATTCTTCTAGTTCTCCTGCTCGTTCTCACTTTTGTTTCTATTTTAATTTATTGGATAGGGAGTGTTTTTTTTTTTTTTTTCACATATATTTATATGTTACTTAGTATTTATTACCCCACCCTCCCCTGCAAAAAAGGGTTTATTTAGGATTTCGTTTCTTGCCTTTTCCATTTAGTGAGCTTTTTGCTCGTTCCCTGTTTTCTCTCTTTTGTTGCAATTTTGAATTTTGTAGGTATGGGATGAGTGAGGCGATTATAAATGCTTCGGATTGGGAGAGGGAGTGTTTTCCGTGAACATCTCGGCTATTGGGGGAGAAATGCTCCACAAGCAAATCATTCAAAAACTTGCATATCATTCTATTATTGTATAGTTCTTGGTGGTTTGAGACACAGAAGAACCGGAAGGGGATGGGAGTAAGCAGTATATATACACAAGTACAAGTACAAGTACAATTGTAGACGTACATCGTACATCAGTGTTCTTTATTTGGTTGTGGAGAAATTGGAAGAAGATCGGAGAGAGAATGAGATGGGATATGGAAAAGGGGGAAAGCAAAAGAGAGAGGATTCTAAGGCTAAAAAGAAAGAAAATATGGCACCGCGAACAAAAGACCTTCCTCCCCTTTCTTTCCCCCCTCGAATGCTGAATACAAGGAGAAACAGGCGCGAAACACTCTTGGGGTATTTTCATGTATGCCCCTTCGTTTTTTCATTTCTGTTCTCGTCTTCCTCACTTAACTCATCTCAACACGTTTTTTCTTTTCCGCTCGCAAAAAGTGAAATATCTATAATGTTGTTGACGTTTTCGACTCTACTTTTGGGTTTTTTTCCGTCGACGATATCGCGACAGCAGGGCTTTCTGCATGTTTTTCTTGTAGGTCGCGTGTGGAGTCGGGCGCTTTTGTCTCCGGTGGTGTCTCTGTATTGGAAGATTGTGCGGACCCTTCAGATAATTGGGCATCGACTTCTTCTTCTTCTGTTTCGGTGGGGTAGATCTCGGGATGCTGGCGGAAGCAGTTTTGCATACCCCTATAAAAGAAGGCAAAAATCAAAGATTTTAGTATCAGCCGGTTTCTATAGATTGAAGCAGCTCCATGTACAGGTGCGTATGGAATTGAAGAATTGATAATCGAGAACCAAGGAAACATTGGGGGGGAGGGGAGGAGAAAAACTAAGGAGGGGCGGCGAGAGAACGTACTCGAATTTATCAATGCAATCCATCCCCTTAGGTTCCTCCGTCGAATAAACAAAACAGCTGAATGCAGCTCTAAATTCCTCTCCGCATGGGCCATGCGCCATGCCCCCTAGACATGGGCAATCCCAATTGATCTCTCCCGTCTCGGGGTTAAAGGCGCCTTCGCTATCGGCTTCCTCTTCAAGTTCCCCCGGTGTTAAAAGTCTTGATTGAGCTTCTGACGGCGAAGTCTCTATCTCTGTAGTGGGGGCAAGGTCTGGCTTTTCTGTGGAAGAGGGAGGCGGAGGGGTTGTAGTTTCTGACTTGGGGGGCGTCGAGGGAGGTTTCGATGTGGCTTTTGCTCTCTTCGCTGCCGTTATGGAGTCGAGGGTTGGTAGAGACGTGTCATCTTCACTCTCATTAGAAGTGAAAGTAGGAGGTTGGAATGAAACTATGCGGCGATTACATGAATATTAGATAAAGAGGTAAAAATGGGCATGAAAAGTCAAGTTAGTATTTTTTTTTTTTCGTTATTTGTCTTACAGCCAGGTTCCTCCGCGAAGACGGTGCTTGTGTTATAATAATAGACCACACCAGCAGCAAGGGCCCATCTCAATGCTGTGCCCTTCCAGCTTGAAGGCTTACGCGATGGCGACGCGGAGTCGGTGTTTATGAATCGGTTTGCTTGGGCAAACCGGACAGGTTTGGGAGTGGAGAATGCTATTCGAAAACAAGATCGCGATGCCGGTCTAAACATCATGAAATACGGAAGTAAGTGCCAGCAAATCTAGGGAAAACGCAAAGAAAAACTATTCAATGTCAGGGAGAATGCATTGAGCTGGTTAAATTATATGTTCAAAGGAGCCGATCGAGATGCTGGCATCAAAAATTCGAGCGTGGCGGTTGGCGGATTAGTAAGCAGCAGAGCAAGAGCGGTTCGGTTCTACGTCGAGAATTGCTGAAACACTCGCAGCGATTAGAGAGTGCGGCTAATGGCCATGGATTCAGGAAACAATGTGCCAAAGAACCTCTATTGCAACATTCATCTGCTTCTGATTCTCAGTTTAGCATATGAACTCGGTTTCAAATGTCGATATTCAAGTTATTTTCCAATTCTTTCCGTTGTACGAGTAGTTAGCCATGAGATGAACCAAGATATCTGTCTCTCTTCATAATCGAAGTTACTGGTGCTCTAATAACCTTGTCTTCAATCACAATATCTGATCATTTACAAGGCTAATGCCTCTGGTCCTATTTTAGCATCAAAAATGATTTGAGTCTTCAAAATAACGGACCTACGTCATTTCGCACTTGCGGCAACAAGGGTTAATTGAACACAACAAAATAAAGATAGATCGGGTTCAGAGCTTCAAAGCCCCCTCCCTACCTATATGGGTTGTTTTCTTTGCAAAAATACGTACATTCTGTGCCATGGAAATGTCCCCATAAATTCCGCGCTATGGCAAAGTACCTCGAGGCCCTTTAGAAAGATATAGAACGCTTCCTCCATCTCAGACGCAGGAAGACCCCAGGACCTGTCTCCGGATGTAAACTTGTAGTTAAAAGGGTTAATGATACGGAATTTCAGATGGTAATCATCTATGGTGATTTGGTAAGTTGTATATAGACATGACCAAATGCGGCTCAAGTTCTGCGCAACCTCCAGGCAACTTTATTTCCGCCGCAATCAACATTTGCAACCTCCAGTGTACGGATATCTTTCTCAAAGAGCATGGCCCATGGTGGTGTGATTTGATCTACCACTATAGACTTTTACCGCAGCCAATCACCTTGCAGGGTCAAATGTTGATCTGTGCAACATCATCTAGAGCAGAAGAATGGGAGATTGAATTGTTCCTCCTGCCGTTGAGAAGCTGTGGCTTCGACAAACGCAGGTGACAGACCAAGGATGCCACGAAGGCTGCAGCGTTCTCCGTTCCGCTGGATTTAGCGGATGGTTCCCACAGAACAAAGCTGCAACGTCGGGGTTGATTGGCCCACCCCTAGCGGTCAGTGCTGCTTGGGGCTTCATACGCACGAAGCCCTGGAATTTCGCTTGTGGACGGTGCAACTCGGCGGCCCGATGGATGCATAGCTCCACACGACCGACAAAGCCTAAACTGGAGTGCTTAAAAATGGACATTTACAACGCACCATGTCCCTGTGATATCTAACTGGGGATTGTTTCGTCAGGCTTTGAGATGATCTGACGCGCCGATGTCAGACTGGCATTCCTTTTTGAACCTGTCCTCCGTCCTTCTCTCTTTAGAGACTTTCATTCCTTCATCCACGTGTCATTTTACAACCCAGTTTTGGATATCTTATTCTTATTGTTATGTCTGCGCTTATAACAGAAACAAAATATATCTAATCTAAACTAGGAAAAACCATGAGGAAGCCCAAGGAAAACCCCAGGACAACTGTCGCCATTATTGGCTCAGGAATGGCAGGACTTGTGACAGGATACTTGCTCAAGCAGGATCAGAATCAACAATTTGATGTCCAAGTTTTCGAAATGGTACGTTTGATGCTTATTAGTACTATCCATGATTTCCCGAATCCCCCAATTTCCACCCCAAGTTAATGGCAATTTTGTTAACTATAGTATTTTGTGTACTTATTAAACTTATGTGTAATTCCCATTTGCCAAGTACAAATTGCTTTACCAGTTTCCAAATTTCCTGTGACTTCAATGTTGGTCAAGTTTCGGCTGGCAAGCTTGAAAAAGAGCTTCTCTATGGGTTTTGTTTGACAGGATGGAACACGACAGTTACTCTGGGTTTCTCAACATTCCATTTATGAGTTCTTTAATCGATACCCCTTAATTAGATGAGCAATTCATGTAGCAGACATAACCTTGTTTGAATGGTATTGACAAAATTGACAGCAAGATAAATTATCCCTCGACTCAGCATCAATTACTGCCCCTACAGAAGATGGGAAGGGGGTACGGGTCGATCTCCCAATGCGGGCTTTCGCGGGCGGATTTTACAGCAATTTGAGGAGAATGTATAAACATCTGGGCGTGAAATACGTTCCCATCCAATTCCTATTTCCACTGTCGCAAGTGCCAGGCAGTAGGAAATCGTCTCTGTCCTCAAGCCATGGAAGAGAAAATGATGCCGATTGCCATGGGGAAGGCGATGATGAGAAAACTATTCCCTCAAAGCCTTATTTTATTCATTCGTCTAACAACCATCGCATCCCTCCCGTACGACCTGAGCACTTGGGATTCTGGGGTTGGACTACAGAGTTTGTGTATCTTTCTCTCTGTTTTTTGTGGTATACCCTATGTTGCTTTCTTATACCACCATACTCGTCGAGAAACCGATACCAATCCGTGTCGTCTCTCACTGGCGCAACGAGGATAGAGGACGCATCCCTGGCCGAAACACTCGGCGAATACCTTGAGCGGATAATGCTTCCTAAGTACTTTACGCAAAACTACATAATCCCCCAATTTTCAGCGGTGACAACTTGTTCGCACGAAGATCTTCTCAAATTCCCGGCCAAAGACCTGATAGAATATTCGACGCAGACGTACAACGTGCCCTACTACGTCGTGCAGGGTGGTGTGAATGTCGTCCAAAAGATCCTGGCTGAGGGGCTGAACATCCAGCTAAATTCACGAGTAATCTCCGTGGAGTCGCAATCTGGCCCCTCTTCTAAGGTGCGCGTTTCGTACCGAGTGGGCGGGGAGGGCACTCTCCATCAAAGGGATTTTGACCATGCTATCTTAGCTGTCACGCCGGATGTCGTTGGCGCTATATTTCAACCCCTGAGATCGACCATGACGCACCTGCCAACCACCATCGTCGAGAGCATCGTGCATCACGACACGTCTTCTCTTCACCCGCTGTCGCAGACTTGCCACTATGGCAATAAGGAGAGCAATGCCACCAGCAGTTACGGGTATTCATCGTCACCGCCCCCAGAGACACAGGTCATCCATGTCCGTTCGTCGCCGGCCGGCTTCACGGAGGCAATCCACGAATGTGGCCGTTCCGTTTTTGTCACAACTGTACCCATAACGCCCATCAATCCTTCAAAGATCATCCACCGAACGCGCTTCACCAGAGTGCTGCGTACGCCGCAGAGCAAAGAGGTTGTAAATCGCATTTTTGGACGTGACCCCGCTGCCTCTGGGGTATCGGAGAAGAGTCACCAATGGCGGAATGGAAATGGGAATGTTTGGTTGGTAGGAGGCTGGTGCTGGGATGGGATGGTTTTGTTAGAAGGCTGTGTGGTATCTGCGATGCGGGTTGCTGATGCGCTGGGTGTCCATGTTCCGTGGAGGACTGTGTCGTAGGATGGATAATATGCATTGGTTGGTTGGTGGATTGGAAGGTATCAGCATTTTACGTTTTTTGACATGAAGATGGATGCGCAAGAATTTTTCATGTTTGTGGTACCTTGCCATGCACCATATATTTGATACGAAGATATGATTGAACTATTGGAATATCTTTTGTTTTTTTTTGGGTTACTTTATCTTCATCCCAGTTATTTTACCTTCTTGAGGACAGCAATATGATAACCATAACCAAGAGCCGGCTGCTCGCTAATGCGTAACCTGTTCGTTCTCGTTTACTTACGATTTGAGAATACAAATTGTCGATATCAACATATTAATAATATCTCCATCCACAAGTAGACACAATAAAAGTTTGGTGTTGATAGGCAAACACTGATCAAAATTCTCTTATCCTATATGCTTAATTATGTAGCGACTATTAAGCCCAGAAAAAAAATATAACAGGATACAGAATAGAAATAAATAAAGTATACAAAATTTTACTCAATCCTTCGCGGCTTTTGTGCCAAAAAGAAACCGACTAAGTCGTTCCCGAGCCCAAGGCCTATGTTTTTGCTTTGGATTTGCGAGCTTTCCGCGGCCCCTTCTTTGGTTTAACATCCTCTTCGCTATCTTCCTCGTCGTCATCATCGTCAGCAACATTCTTTTTGGTCTTCTTCGTTTGTGGCTTTGCGGCAGCCTTGGCTTTCCTCGACGGGGCTTTCTTCGGCAATTTCACATATTTATCCTTTTTCAAGTCCATATCACTCTCGTCGCCTTTAGTTTCTTCTGCACCCAAAATCTCCTCACCTTCGTCAGACTCATCAATCGCATCTTCGAGGTCAGGTTTCACCTTGGCAACGTGCTTCGGCGCAACAACACTTGTGGCTTTCATAAACGGGAGGGGATGGGACTGTTGATTATACAGGCGTGTGAAAGTGGCTTTTGTTTGCGAGTCAATTTTTAATTTCTTTTGATCCATCGAGGCGAGACCAAGTTCGACGATGGAATCCCAGTCCTCTCGTGTGAGGAAGTAGCTGTCCATCAAGTCTATAACGCCTTCAACCGAATCTTTGCCTTGGGCTTGTAATGGTAATACCAGTTTGTTCCATAGCGCTGGGAGGTATTGCTGGCGGATTTCGTGTCTGTCACCAGAAGAACGTAGACGCATATGGCCCTGTATTTCTTTTATCTGGCGCGCCATTTTACCTACAAAATATTATTAGCTTTTTTTCTCCTTTTTTTTGGTGGGGGAACGAATAAAGGGCAAATGTTGGAAATTTACTTTGTTTGCTATTATTACCAAGCCAGCTTGTGAATGCTGGGCGGTCTGTCATGTTGCCAGCCATGAAGCTAGCAGGTCGGACAAAGCTAAATACCGCATGTGTGGGCATCAAACTCCATTGTTGTTGACTTCCATGTATCATGCGATCCACTAGATCACCATCACTGATGCTTTGGGCCGCATTGTCAGCCAACTCTAACAACTTGAACTTCTGCTCTCTGCCTTGGTACGAGTTCGCTGCTGATGGTCTTGTATTAAGGTAATTTTCCTGTAACATTAGGTAACTGAATTCGTGATCGTTAAAATAAAGTTCGATTTTTTCATTCAGAGTTGTTTCGGAGCTTTTAGAGAACATTTGGGCACTCAGGATTTTGCCAACAATATCCCAGGGTTTCAGGATAATATGCTTTTCCCAGGCTTTAGACATTTGCTTGCCTTGGTCGTAATCAAGGGTTGGTTGGTCGAGTTTCGCAGTAGACAACATATTAATTACTTGTCGAATATCAGCGTGGGTGCCTTGGATTAGACTGTCGAGAACCTGTGGGGGTATTTTCAATCCTTCTCGGTAGCAGATAGTGGATAACCGTGCACGGATCTGTTCTACCGTCGGGCGCCTGAATGGCAGGTCAAATGTGACGGAATCGAAAGGTCTCATTTTCGGAAGTCTTCGTTCATTGCAAATTAGTATCATCGGGATTCGAGTCTTTTTAGCCACAGCAGCTAGGGCTCCAACACCACCACGGTCTCCAGCCGACATCCCATCTACTTCATCCATGATAAGAACCAAATTCTTTTTGCCACTCTCGACTTTCTTTCCTTCTCCAGAGAAGTAACCTTGGAGAGAAGTGGTATCCAGCACCCCTCGAAGGCCGGTTTCCACAAGGCTTTTGCTTCGAGTATCACTTGCATTGCTTTCGACAACATCGTAATTCTCGAGTTTGGCCACGAGATGTGCAGCTGTTGTTTTGCCGATACCGGGCGGCCCATGGATCATGACCGCACGGTAAATACCTGTACCATCTTTCCCTCCCTTTTTAAAGTCTGCCATTGAGCTGGTTCTCCAGTTTCGAAGCCAAGTTTGAAGTTTTTCCACAGCACCCTTATTTCCGCATATCATGCTAAGTGAGGTAGGTGCGTACTTTGAGGTCCAGAGTCGATCGTCAACCTGGGCAGGCGCTGGATTACCTGCACCGTTCAGGGACTTGGTGGTTGATGCTATAGAGGCCGCAGCTTTCTTCTTTTCTTCACGATCTATTTCTGCCGCCATGTCTTTGATTCTTTGATCCTCCAGTTTCTTCTTCGCTGCGTGTTTTTCAGCGGCTTTCCCATCCCCTCCATTAGCGGGAAGCCTTCGGATCAATTCGAATAGGCCATCCTCGTTTATGGATTTGAGACCGAACTTCCGAATAGTTTCCAACTTTTTAGGCCCTGCGTCACTACCCAAAACGACATAATTGGTTTTAGAGCTGGGAGCTGAAGTGACTTTTCCACCATATCGCTTCACCAATGACTGGCCTTCTTCTCGACCTAATGTATCAAGAACGCCCGTGAAGACAAACGACAGGCCAGCAAGGCAATTTTCAGCGCCAACGGGTAGATCTTTGGAGCCAGATGTAACAGGGTCTCTGGATCGTTGTGCAAAACTGAATTTTTTAGCGCCATCTGCAGCTGGAGGAGACGGTGGGCGCACTGTCGGAATGCTGTCAAAGATATCCTGGATTCCTTTGTTTTCCGGCCTGTCTGTTTTCGTAGCTTTTGCTTTCTTCACTGCAGGCTTGGAAGGGCTTTTTTGAGCTTGGGAACGGGATGGCTTTTTCTTCGTATCGACGTAGTCATCACTTTCTTCACCCACGCGTAATGCTTCCGATTTACGCTTCCGTCCAGTTCGAGCAGGAGATTTCATGTCGTTTGGGCCGAGGTCCTTTGTTCCGCCATCACGTTTGATACGTGGGGAAGTTTTGGTTGGCTTCGATTTGGGAGATGCAGCCTTTGGTGGTTCTACTTCCATGTCCTCGAAATCGCTGTTGCTATCCCCCTCCACATAGTCGTCGTCACCACCCCTCCCTGGATTTCGATAGCCAGTAGCAAAAATGTCATCCGCCCCAAGGTCCTCCTCGGTCTCCACGATCCGGGAGGTTTTAATTGATTCACGCTTTGGGTTGGTCTTCCGCATTGAAGCTGGGCTGCGAACCGGAATTTCTATTTGGTCATTCCTTTCCACTTTTGGTTTAGAATTCGACTTGGTTTCTAGAGTAACATCTTTGGAGTCTCGTGTTTCGCGAGATTTGTTCTCTTTTAATTGAGCTTTGTTCTTTTTGGATGATGCAAAATAAGCAGATGTCGTCGTAGGCTCTCCTTTCGACTCTTCGGGTTTCCTAGGTGAGAGGATTTCAGCTTGGGAGTAGTATGGGTTATGAACTCGAGAGCATACTGTTTTTTTTGTGGCTGAGGTTTTGTTGGAGGAGCCTGCTCAATATCTTCATCTTCATCACTATCTTCCACTATTTTTCTGTTGCCTATAGGTCGTCAAAGGAGTTAGAAATATATCAAACTTTTTGATCCAGTAGAAGGGAGTGTCTCACGCCGTTTTCTCGAGGAGGATACATCCTGAAGAATGAGCATTCCGGTCAGCAACGAAGACAAAGCTCGAAACCAATTTGAGGTTTGTAGAATTGATTTCTGGTACAAGCCACAAGCTCGATATCAATCATGGAAAATGTCATACCTCTTGCTTTTTGGCAGGGCCGCTTGCCTTCCTGGAGCTGTTTAGCTGCCTTCCGCCGCCAAAAAAGTTCCTAATGTCTGCGGGCATTGTGTATCCAGACCAGTCACTTTATGAAGAAATGAAATTATATGTTCCGAATGGGCCCTAACTAAACCAGCAAGCCTACCATAGCCGCAAGCAGAGATGTTGAAGATGTTGGGATGGTTCACGTCTCCCACGGAAGGACGCGCCAAAACACGTGAAGCGGCCAACGTAATCTCGACCTCGCTAAACCGCCAGTATACTTTTGAACTTCTATCAGCCTTGAGGCTGGCGGCACTGCTCGTCCAGAGCATTTGGCCCTTCTCGGAGTGAAGGCAGGTTTTAAACAAAGTATATATTTGAGAGTATAAATTTAACTTATCTTAGATGGGATTATAGGATGATTCATGTTGATGGTTTGATATCAGGGTTAATGCCGCAAAGCGTGGCCACTGGATTATACATGGCCAAGCGACAAATTGACGTCTGAATAGTATTGGAGTAGTACAGTAAATAAAACTGTAGTAATAAAGTGCAGAAATGAAGAAGTTGAAGGGACAAAACTGCAGAAAAACAGAAACTCAACATGGCACTTGTTGCCCAAGACTTTATTATTAACTTGTATGTAGCAGTTAAAATAGATATACATTCTGGTTTCTTAACTATTCTTGCCAATATCTTTCAAATCAATCACCATTTTATTTTTCAATGCCGTTGACATTGTTTATCTTTAGTGTTCCCTGAACAAAGTAATAAAATGTATTTAAGCCAAAGCTATTCATAGACCCCTCGCTAATAAAAACTGATTCTAGCACACTTCTAATATACTTTGACAATAAGTGAACCAACCCAGGGATGATCTGTTGTGCAGACTACTACTCTAGCTCTCTATTAATATTGGCAGAAATTTAGTAGCATATGGTAATGCTTGCTTTGGTTCTTTGGTGAACAAAGCTCTGTTTCTAGACCAATTTATAGGCAAGAAACAGAACAAAACCTAAATCAAGCTAGTTTGTTTTGCGACACTGTCTGAGGCACCCAACGAGTTTGCAATTCAAAGTCCTGACGTTCCTCTCCGGTTAATGTGCGCAGACCTTCCTCCCGTAATTTGGAAAAGTAGTCCACTGCTGTATCGAAATTCTCGGGGGTAGTCCAACCACTTCTATCCACAATTCCTTCCACTGAGTCCCAGAAATCCTGCGTCTCGTTGAATCCTTCTCCGTCCTCGTGGTGCTGCCGAATCTCGTCTTCTGAAAAATGAAAGGGACACGGGTTCTTCGTACCTAGCTCAGACCAATCCCTATAGGGAAGTTGTTAGTACACCTGCAATATAGGATGCACACAGAATTGGCTCCCGGCCACCAGATACTAAAATTGACGACAACATACCTCTCGAGACTAATAAGGCAATCTCTGAATGGAAGGATGTCGTCGTCCCAAGAATCTCCAGCAAAATCTACAAGTTGAGCCAAAGTTTTGCCAAACGGTTGCCTTCGGGCTTTGTTTAGTAGCGGGTTGCGCCTTCCCGTTTCGTGCTCGTAGATATACAGTTGAATAGACTTTGAAACTTGATCTCTAATCCGTTCCTTTTCACCATTATCAAGTTCCTTGAAATTTTCTGGAAGCTTCAACATTATATCCACATTGTAGTTGATCAGCCGGGGAGTTCGAGCCTGTAACATTAAGGGTCCGGTCCAAACGGACTGCCAGTCTATTATGCTTGAGATCTTCCCTTCGTGGATGAAAATGTTGCCGTCGTGGAGGTCAGGATGCCATAACACTGAACGAAGTAAGTCTGGATCATTGGGCAAGAGGCTACATATCGAAGCAAGATACCTCTGTAATAGCTGGGTGTGCGCCTGTGGTGACAACTGTGCTTGGGACAACTTCACATAGCCGGAAACTGGGGCACCAGATGGAGAAACTTTGCTCATGTATGCCATTTCTCGGTGCGCAATAGCTTCAACATACTCCTTAGCAGATTTCCCTGGCCAATGGGTTTCTGTGTGAGTTGCAACTCAAAAATGTAATATAGAGAAGCTTTTGGAGTGCATACACGGCCCGCGATCTATTGTTAAAAGTGATCTTTCCTTTTCCCAGAATTCCCTAATTGCGGTTGGACCAATTACAAATCGTCTCTTGATATCTTCCTTAATGGTCGTGGGGACATCGCCAAGAACTTCCGCTGCCTCGCAGCCAGGAAAGCTGTCGCACGTAAAGTATAGAGAGCCCAAGCTTTGAAAAGAGCGTCAGTCAGGGTACCACGCACTTCATAAGCATGTTATGGAACGCCTTACAAACTGAACGAGATAGAGAGAAGCTTCTGCTCAATGGTGACAATGTCATCTATGATTCTTTTCTTCTCTTCCAAATCCATTTGCTCCCACAGATGCGTCAGTTGCTTGCCTTTGGCCTCTTCCATAATGATATATTCCGAGCCAACGGGATTATCAGATGACGCGGACCAGGCAAGAACTTTGGGAATGGGGATTTGAAGAACTGATCGCGCCTGCGAAGAACGTTAATACAGATAAGCTCCGCACCGAGTCACTTTCATATAGAATCCTCACATACAAGCTCCATGGTAGCGACTTCTGAGGCACTTGTGTATCGTGACGGACCAGCATTTGGATGGGGTATTCGGGCGATCGCGACCGCACCATCATCCATCTGAAGACGGAACACTTTATTGTAGTTGCCTTCCCCGATTTTTGTCATGGAGATGCATTTCGAGGAACCCAATACCTGGGCGGTAATAGCTTGCAACTTGTGGACGTTAAATTTCCGATAACGTTCCTGTAGCTGCATATTTTCATCCCAAAGCCAACGTCCTGACGTGTAGCGAAAAAATTGTTCAAAATCTTTCTCCGATGGAGAATGGACACTGGATTTTTTCCTTGTGAAGGAGTTTATACCTTTCGGATCCCTTGGAACATCTGGCAAAAGATGATGGACAAAACGAAGTAAGCTATGCCTTGAAAGCTTCCAAAATAGATTCATAATTATGAGAGAACGCGATCCCCCGAGTGCAAGAACATGAAAAAAACCAAAAAAAAAAAAAACTCCCCTCCCGTGGAGGCGAAAGCGACTGTATATTTGCAAGACGTCCAAGAGACTAGTTAACTAGTCAACCAATAATTGATGACGACTGAAGCTTCGGCCGGAAAAACCCTCGGCGTTACTTCGTATGCCATACTCAGTTAACTACCTCCTATTCCATCAGCGTGCTGCTTGCCCGTTAGAACCTACAACGAACATGAGATTTACTTTCAATGTGTTTGCAGATAATTGGTGCTATGGGTTATCCTGACCTGGGAGCTTCAACAGCCCTCCTAGGATTAGATGAACTGCTGACTTGGGTCCAAGAGGCCCGTTTCGTTACCCTGTGTCGTACTCTGTCAGTATCTGTTAGGCCACTGGGCAAAAGAGCTCAATCACCACCAGCGCCATGGTGGTAGTAGAGGGACAAACCAATCCAAACACCCAACAGTATCTGTGGTAGCTGTAATCACCGACTCAAGCATTTTGCTTGTCTACGACCAGGAACAGCTCCTCTTTTTCTATTTCGCGATCATATCTCGCAAACTCCATTAGGTGTATGGGTCATGATAGAAGTAGCGAGTTACTTTGAAGTTCGAGATGGTCAGGGCTGAGGTGTCTACTGGCACTCTTGCACTGGCCTGCGACAATCGGGATACTTCCCCGCCCAATAGGGGGAAGACGTGAAGGCTAACTGATAGTAACTGGACAGGATTCGGGCATCGGGGAGCCGCTTTGCACCTTGTGGCATACCTTTGTAACTTGACTTGCTCGCCCAGAAAATCAAATGCAATGCCTTAAGAGATATAACAGTCCCGTCACGCCCTTTAGGAGCGTTCACTAGCAGCACTCTTCCCCTCAAACTCAATACTCCGACAGTGCCATATACTTCGATCCGATCTTTGAACCAATATAACTTATCGCAAAATCATCCTTTGGGATCAACGCTGAGAACAGTGCGTATATTTTGCTAACAATCACAACATCCAGTTAACAAGCAACAGGCACTGCAACAGGCACTGCAACAATGCCTCCTTCTATCAAGTCAGCTCGCAAGTTTTTGTTCGGCGTTCCCTGGACTAGAGTCCTCCCTAAAGTCAAAGGCACGTCTCGAGGCCATCGACTCTACCCGTCCCAAACTCCGAAAAATGACTCGAAGAAAAATTATCGATTAGACAAAGGCTCTGTTGTTAATGGGAAGCACGAGATTATCCTTCAGGCCAACAAGAATGCGGAGGATAGCAGCGTCCGAGAGGCAGCAAATAAGAATTCCCATGCTATATTGGCTAAAGTCGTTTATGACCCCGAGAATAACCCGAATGGTGATGGGGTGCCGGAAGCTCTACTCGCTTCCTTCAAAGGAGAGAACAAAGACGAAGACAAGGCAGAAGGAAAGAAGTGACGCAATAATGTTGAACTAGGGCCGCTCCTGTCAGCTGCTCGGCGTTGTACTTTAGCAGGGTTAGTTGGAATCGATTTCAGTTGGACAACCTCCTGCCAGAACTCCAGAGGGTAATCGACCGAATCGAGCGGCGAACTGTCAAGGACAGCTGTTAGAGTTCTTTCAATAGCTGTACGCAGCCTGTACGCCTCTTGAGGTCCGAGGAAGTCATCTAGATATAAAAGCATAATCTAAGTTGTGGTCTGACCTACTCTTATTGCACTAGAGCCAGCTATATGTATCACCTTTCAAAACAAGCGGGGTGACAGTTTCATTTTGCTTTTTTCCAAGAACCCCGCTTCTGCTAAAATAAAGAAGCACTGTGAATGGAAGCTTCAATTTAGAATGCAGACAGGAGCACATGTAGAATATGAAAAACACCGATCTAGTTGCAAGCAGATCAAGCAGATCGAGTGCCGTAGAGCAAAGAAACGTCACAATATCGGTAGCGATGGTTATGGTTTAGCATATCTAACCTTAATCTGTTTGGGAAAAGATTGAAATCCAGTCTCTCATGGACTTATTACACTAGCACGAGAAACAGCAAATGACTTCAATGAAGCTGGTTGGTGAAGCTTCATCTCATTCACGATGAACAGTGCACGCATCCTCTTGGCCCATGCCAGGTCTCCACTTGCTAGTCAATCATAAGAACACTGGTGCTGAGCTTTACCAATGAGCTACATGCCAAAAAGGTGCAATTACTGATCGCGAGATCAGTCGCTCGGCTAATATAATGTCAGCAAACTGGTTGCCCACACCAGTTCCCTGACACCAATGAACCAAGTGTGTTCAACTCTGTTTAATTGAATATTTTTGCTTCATTATCTATTCAGTAAATAATAGAAAGAATAATGAAGAGCAGTATTTAAAAAACTTATAAAATGAGTCTTCAAAATGAATGAACATTGTTAGATAATGAGAAGTATTCTTATCATCTTCAAACAATCAATCATAATAGACTTCCTCATAGTAGATTCCTGCATGAGATCCACAGTCATCACAATATGCCACAAGACTGCCATCGATGAACATCTTATCCATCGAAAGCGCCTTGGGTCAGTTCGCATTGTAAAGCCCGTCCTCAAGCGCCTGCAGGGGATTGGGTTCCCACGGGATCCGGTTCCTGATGTAACGCTCGGCGTTGTTCTCGTGGCAGTTCTCCGAACGGAATATACTTTCATAGGCTTCGTGTGGCATATTGTCACACTCGGCGCCCTGCGGCTCGCTAAATAGCACAACACGAGATCTCTTCTTCCGAAGCGCATCCAGAGCCTCTTTCCAGGTACCACTAAGCAAACGCACATCCTGCAGGTGGATGCAGTCGATCGAGTGCGGCAGCCGTTCGAGGAAGAGCAGCAACCTAGGAAGATCGATGGCGACTTGGTCAAAGGAGATGTCGATCAACTTATGTCTGGACTTTGACCCTATGATTTGGCCCACGTCAATTCTTGCCGTTTCGGCACCTTCGCCTCTCATATGCAATCCGAGATTTTGTAGGCTTGACGTGTCCAAGAAGGCAGACAGGAATTTGCTAAGATCATCTGCGTCTTGCTCCGTAAGATTGCCCTCAAACGAGAATGAAAATTCCTTCAGCTGCTGCATTCTAGACGAAAACTCTCGTCGGATATCCGGAGCCAGCACTAAGCTCCCAGGATATCCCAGAGTTGACAGCTTGATATTGATGTTGTCAAGCAATGCACCCGCTCTTCGGACAGAATCTATCACATTGACGATGCATTGATAGTTAGGTTGCTCGAGCCCATGTTTCTTTGCATCATAACCGGTTATTGGCTGGAGCATGAAACGATGCAGTGCATCCCAGATACTGCCCTCAGGTACCATCAGTCGCCGGTCCTTCAAGGATTCAAAATCCACATCGTTAAAGTCTAGCTTCCGCGGTCCCAGCATCCTGGCAATTGCAGAGCCAACAGTTTGAGAGAACTTTTTGGTTCTTATTAATGACTCCTGCTTCTCCAGAAGGATCAGATACTGTCGATGTATTTCTTCCAGACGTGCTCGATGATCTTCGTCGCCCTCAAAATATCCACCGTCATCATCAGGATCAGCTAACTCAAGCCGACGCAGTGTAGATACAACCGCCCTTCCATTTGAAACCATTTCCAATGCTGTCTGCTCGGGTATGTGAAAACTCTCCCACAACTTCGCGCGGTCGAAAGGGTCAACATGGTCTTCAACTTCGTCTGCTTGGTATGAAATGAACCGGTGGAAGTCGGTGAATGAGAAGTTGTAAAAATGAAGGACAATTTGAACGGCACGAACGCCCTTGGCGATAGTGGGATGGCGAGAAATCTCTTCTAGGCGCGCAAGTGATAGCTCATTGAAGTTGACACGCACAACACGGACGAGCAGCTGCGAGCTCACGTCGCAGAATCGCCAACAGACCAGGCGCGTGTTCTTGATATCCTTTGTGCCTTGACGGTAGAATAGCAATGGCAATGGGAAGTCAAACTTGTCTTCCACGAACTCGAAGATCTTGAGAAGAATCTCGTTGGGCAAGTCCAGAATATTTAAGTTTCGCAGATACGGACGCGACAAGTTGTTGATGCAGCATCGAAGAGCACTTTGAACACCCTCAAACTTTGCCTTTGATGCATTTGCTTTCTCCAGTTCTCGGTCCAGATTATCCACGGACTCGAAGAGACCATTGTGGGCTGCCCATTTCCACCATTCTGACTGGAGCAGGTCTCCGTCCCAGAAATCTTCATCCAATTTCTGACGAAAGCGACATGAAAAATTGGATTGCTCGGGGAACCTTGTCATCTTGGCGTACATCAAACGACAGATCTCACGCTCCACATCTTGAAGCTGCTCTTCCGTAATTCGGAGGCCATCATACGCAATTTTGAGGACTTCATGTTCACTGGCGGTTGGCACGTTCACTATCGCGCGATGCAATCCCATCTTAATTTGTTGCTCAGCTAAGAGGTGGTTAGTGGGGGGGCATTGATACACTGATGCGCAGCGCCTTCCCTAGTAGATTGACCATTGATTGTATATCCTCCGGTTTCACTATGTACTATGTGTAAAGCTGATGTCGCATTTTCTGTCCAATTTCACGATTGTTTCTCTGTCTCTAACGCTCCCGGGGTTGATGGGCATGGCGGAGTCGGTCAGCCCATGTGCCTATCTCGTGGTCGATCCAGGTGGAATTTCAAAGCTTTGTTCTGAGCAGAGTGATGTGGATATTTATCGAGATGTCCGGATTTTCTTTTGCGCCGCTTCCGGCTCGGCAATTTAAAGTTATGGGTACAAGCACAGTCCCGTTCGTATGAAGAAGTGACTTTTGATGGTGTCAACTCTCGTATCCGCTACCCTTCCTCCTTATCTAAACTGCATTTGAATAGACAGTCAATATATATATATATATATATATTCTTCTCTCAGCATCTTCTGCACAGACACAGAATGATCACAAGTCCATGTTTACTACTACTATTGCACGTCAATTACTAGGAGCAAGCAGCCTGCCTCCTTCGCCCCCTCTTCTGGGGGTGGGCAAACGAACCTCTAAACCCCAGGGGATGAAGGCTTCTTTTATTCCTTCAAAGGGTGGAAAAACCCAGGCACAGCACTCCGTAGCAGGAGCTTCACGGAACATGCAGCTGGGGCAAGACAGAGCGAAAGTACGAAGTCATATTATTCATTATGTTGCTATTAAACGATATCATCGCAGATATCATCACTAGATACCATTGCTAGATATTATCGAGAGATATCATTGCTAGCTATCATCACTAGGTATCATCAGCAGATGTCATCACTATATATCATTTCTAGCTCTCATCAATAGATATCATAAGTGGATATTAATCATTTAGCCAAGTTAGTAGATAGATAAGCAGGTAGATAGGCAGATAGTCAGCTAGTAAGCTGGCATTGATAAGTAGGTGGGTAGCTAGATGGTGATGTTATTATTGAGCATGCAGATTTGTTGGTAGGTAGGGCTCTATTTTATATACAATTTGGAGTAGTTATTGAATATAATAATCAGAAAAGATGTTGATATCTTCACCAACATCTTTATTAGACAACTCTGATATTCTATTCAACGTGTGATTTTTATAATTATATACAGGTAACATTAATTTACATTCATCTTAGTTACAGAATAACTACCCAAAGTAGCTAGATAGCAACAATAACAAAAATAATATCAAGTTGATTATCAACAAGTATCAATTAAATATCAATAATATAAAAACAAATTAAAAGTGTACATTGATCATGTTGTAAAGTACTCGCAACCCCACCTGGGGATTTCAACTAAACAAACTATATGTAGAGTACATCCATACAGCCTCTCCTGCTAGCTGTTATAGTTTATGACCATTTTGGTCGAGCGGTTAACCTTGCCTGCCCATGCTTGAATTGCCCACGTGAAGATGCCGTCTAGATTCTTTCTCTGGTTGCCAGCTCAACGAAGTAGAGATATGTAGACAGAGACGACGACGAAGCATATCATCTTTGCATTCCGCGGCGCTGGTGGATTTCAGGAAAAGTAGGCCCTTTCTTTGCCCTTTCCGGCCCGTTCTCTGCTCTTCCTCGGCCTAAGGTTGGCGTTCCCAAATGGGGCGTTGCCGAATGGAGCGTTGCCGAATGGAGTGTTGCCAAATGGAGTGTTGCCAAATGGAGCGTTGCCAAATGGGGCGTTGCCGAATGGGGCGTTGCCAGATGGAAATGCGCCAGGAATTTGAGGATTCTCTGCAAATGGGGGACTGAATGCTTGTCCCAGGCGCACCTCGCTCATTGGATCTAATGATAGTCTTTGCGAAGGATCTTGAAGAGCTTTACCGACTCCGTATTGACCTGCAGCTGAGGGTGGACTCGCATGATTTTGTGGACCTTTTGGCTCTCCTGCTCTAGAGACGGGGGTTGCCGGGGCTGCGGGAGTGGTCCGCAAAGCTGGGACCTGATTCTGAGGAGTACTGAGCCCTTCTCCTTTGAAGTGTTTGAGAAGCATTTGCGCCGCTGAAGCACGATTTTCCGCATCAACGATCGCCATTTCTTTGATTCGTGCAACAGTGGGTGACTGCGAGGCCGCAAGCGAGACAGCCTTTTGAATCTCACCTACGCTGTTGGAACTTTTGCACATCTGACGAAATCCTGTATCAAGTGTCCACAACATCGTGACAAAGAGCGACCAAACGTCTACTTTATCGGTTTGCTCCTTTTCCTGGAATAACTCAGGGGCCATGTAAATTAAAGTTCCGACACAAGATTCGGCAATGATTTTACGGTTGCAAAGACCAAAATCTCCGAGCTGGAATACATACTGGCCATCCGAACCCGTTACGTAGAGGATATTCTCCGGCTTCACGTCTCGATGAATGATGCCGTAGAATGCAAGGCAATCGAGTGCTTGGAGCATATGATGGAAAAGGGAATACTCGAAGCGTGTGGCAGTCCCGATCTCGACTAATGACTCCAATGTCCCTTCTTTTAGACCCATGAATATCTCAACCTTGGGTCCGCCCCAGCCTTGGGAGGCGATATAATCAACAATGTATGGCTGGAGCACATTAGTTCGTCTGCAAAATGACCTTGGGAGTCTAACTCACATGGGTGATCCTGGCAAGAGTTTCTACTTCACGCTTCAGTGCATAATACACCGATTTCCTAGCTTGTTCTTCTGTTGCTCCACTCACTGGCGTCTTTAATATCTTAACGGCCATGAGCTTGCCCAAGTCCGCGTCAACGACTTTGTATACTTCCCCAAATTTCCCGGATCCAATCCTATCAATTTTTGCGTATCTCATCTTTAGCCCAACCCGTCCTGACGTGTGTGGCCTGGTTTCTCGCCGAGAGGGCAAGACAGTTTCCGCGTCGTCGATAGTCCGAGCGACGCGGGGATTGTCTTCTATGTCCGGGGAGATGTTTTTCCAGTTCTTCCCTATCATCTCAGCGGCAGAGAGGTGCCATTTCAACTCAAATAAAACCAAGTTCCGCCCTTCTCCACCCATTCCAAGCATAGTGTTGACCTTAGCCTGAACAACAACTTTGCGGAGGCGTCCATACTCAAATGGCATGGATTCGTCATCTTCGCCACCAAAGACCTGAGTTGTTTGACTGTGCGACCTGTCGTAGAGCATAATAACATTCGTGTTTGGGTCCCTCTCAAACGAGCACTGAGTCTTGGAGATACTGGAACCTGCCACATAGACATCAACGTCACCCCGTCCAAGTGTTGCAAGGGTATTACACGATTTCGAGCGAACATTGAGACCAATGTCGAGTACGGGTATACCTCCTAACAACGAAGCAAGATGGTCATTCAGCGGATCGGCGACCACAGCTTTGGCCCGCTCATTTTTGGGTATGAGGGAAAATAAGGCTAAAGGATGGGTATCGAGGCGAGGCATTGCTGAAGTGATAACCCCAGAACAAAAATGTTATAGCAGAAACTGAAACAGGTGGATGAAAGCCAGGAGAGTATAAATTCCCAGCTCTGGGAGAAATGGGGATTTGCCTGGAACTGAATGCCTTGGGACAGCAGCGCCATGTCTTTATTTGACCACGCACATTTCACAATAGCCGCGCGACTTGCTGGTCCAAATTTTGGTCCAAATGTCAGTCCTCCCAAATGAGCAGGCTGGCTCGGGATGATTGGGCACGGACGGCAATTTTGCAGTGACTGGCATGTTTGCAACCCCAGTCGATGCCCAATGCCGGTGCCAGGGGGTGGACATTGGGCGGGGTTCAATGGAGTTCAAATTTTCAACCAGAAACACCCTCGGTGTGGTTCAAAATGCAGGGTGTTGGTGGTGTGTGTTTAAGAGGAGTTGGATTGGCTTGACTCCAAGTTTGAGCCGTGAGTGTAACGCTAGGTTATTTACCTGTCAACTTCTTTGTTTACAGGGTTCAAAATATCTGAATCGGGTTTGGAATTATGCGAGAAATTTTGAAGTACCAGCCAGGGTTCAAACTGTGGGATGGTTCATCTTGTTGTTGTTGTGGTCGGAGCGGGCAACCAGTTTCCAACACAAACTTGGAATCAAGTTCAACTCTTGTCAGGCTCATCCAACTCACCTCAACATCATTAATACACCCACACTGCATCTGTAGGATTAATCAAGAGATAGATTGGGGGATTCGATGAGGGGGTGAGAGGGTGAGTGAAAGGTGAGTGAGAGGTGAGGGCTTGCGCGAAACAGACTGAGGACAACCTGCAATCTTTTAGCTGCATTCAGCTTTGAACTCTGCCATGGCTGTCATTGGTTGGAAGTCTTGTTCCAGTTGGAAATTTGAACCCCTCCAGCTCTTTGCAGATGTTGCCTCGTTGCCAACTGTCCAGGGTGAACGACGGTTGTCGTATTGGTTGTCGCATGGAAATGTCCAGCCCAACAATCCCTGTTTGGCCGGCCAAGCGACGCTAGCGGAGTCGAATGGGGCGACGTGCAGTTTCGGAGGCTCGGTTTCACGGCGATACGCGCCCCTTTCGGCAGCCATCGTGTAGCCCTGCTTGGCAAGCGCGCCATTCCGAGTGGGAAAAATATAAACTGCACACAGGGTCAATTGCCGCGAATTTCGTTGAGTGAACTATCGGAGAGTGCTTCCATCGCCGCTTTTTCACACCACCACCGCATTGCTTTTGCTCTACGTCGCGATCTCGCCTCTGCTGATATCTACTGATAGCAAACAACTTGCCATGGCTTTTCCAGATATTCGAGGGGATGGGCTAATTAGGGCTCAAATGGCCTTGGAAGCGTTGCAGCGGGATCCGCAGCTACTCGATTACACAAGAAGACGATTCAGCGATTCTCCACCATCATACAAATCTCATCAGTCACACAACTCAACATTGTCTCAGAGTCCAATTCCGCCTGGTGAGGACCAGGGAATACGCGAAGAGAATCAACGACGGGAAGAGCAACGGTTTCGTCTCATTAAGGAGCATGGAGCGTCCAGTCCTTACGAACAATTCACGGCTCAGTGGAAGGCGGAGGTAAATCGGATCACCGACGCAGCTATGAACAGGACAGAACATGTCCCGATCGGAATAAGCTTCTACAGTCTCGCGCAAGAAAGTGTTAAGAAGCGGTGGATCGAGCAGGGCATCTGGAACGACAAGTGGAATGGTAGGACTACTTTAGCTTCAACGAAGTGGAAGCATGAAGAGCCAGAAGAATCTGACTCGGAATCGGACACTGATAGACCAGTGACACCCCAATCTCGCTTCTCTTTTTTCCCGACAGAGCCAAAACCCAGGCGGCAAAAGAGTGATCAAGAGAAGCAACTTATTGCAGAGCGGCGGGCCGCACTCAAGCGTGAACGTGAGGCTTCACGCCCTTTTCATCAGTTTGTTTACCAGGTGTTGAAAGAGAGTGAACTGATCCAAGGAAAGACAGGGGGTGAGGGGGTCACTGCCCCTGCTACTACCGCGGACGACATTAATACTCAAGCGTACGAGAATATCAAGAGCACTTGGGTCCGACGAGGGATTTGGGACATAAAGTGGGGTATACTACCTGGGATGAACTGGAAGCATGAGAGGCCTCTTGAGATTGGAGCTGATCTTCTCCCGCTTCCTCAGGTGAACTCCCTTGGGAATGACTCCCACGATGCTGGAGAAGCACCTCTGCCACGTCTTTTTGACCCCATTCCTCCCGATGAAACAGATGCTCGCCAAACATCTGGTGTAGTGAGCACACCTCAGCGAGGACATTCTGCGGATAACTCGGTCAGATTCGCTAACGGTGACGCTGAGGATTCCTCGGAATCGAACCCACCTTCCGGGAGACAACGAGGAGAGGATGTTTTTCCCGTGACGGGGCAGATGGAACGATCTGGCGGTCAGAGATTTTCTAGCGAAGATAGACAACCACCACTCAACAAAAGTTTTCTAGGCCCGGTACATTCATCAAGGGTATCAAAGTCTCCCCCAGAGAGACGACGTGGACGTCAGCAACCACCGAATCCATCCGCAGAAGTAACCTCTGGTGGGCCGTCGTTACCGGGACCAGATGTAACTAGAACACCCTCTAAACCTGCTAGCACACCTCTACGTAGAAGCAAACGACTACAACAACAGCAACCACCGGAGCCTAGGGAAACTGAAATCCCAGGTGAGACGGCGTCTACCAAATCACCTAAGGCTGTATCCAAACGAAGACCAAAGCAAGCCACTGCAGCCAATTCAAAGTCCGTATTATCGGCTAGGTCTCAGGGAATATCCAAGAATCGACGCACAAGTGCCAGGAGGGGGAAAAAACAGGATGACCGGTAGAATTGGAGAACTTTGGGTTTGAGGTATTAATTAATAAGGAGAAGGATTCCAGAGGGAAGGTCGTAATGTACAGTACCATTTTTATTCCGTCCTGGTTTTGAGGACCCGATCCGTTTATCAAGATATACATAGCTCGTAGTAATTTTAGTCAACATCAAGCCGCATTTTCCTTATGCGTTGTCAGTGTTATTTGAATATCACAAAACTTTGAAAGATCCAACCTCTCTATGTTTGCCAGCCGGTAATGAAGTTATTCACATCGCCCGAAGACAAAACTCGGAACGCTTGATCGAGCACTTCGACTGGGAAGGTCTCCCTCTGTGCTGAGGAAAGATCGCGCGGGTAATTTCCTAACTTCTGACCGCATATTCCTTTGTGAGTAAGATAACACAAGTTCCAAAGGACTTGTTTTGTATAGCTAACTAACCAACTAGTTAGTTTATAATTTTATTGTGTTTGAAAAAATGTAGTTTCAACTAACTGGTTGTGTTGGTTCGTACGTACGGGTAGTTAGTTGGTTGTCTGTTGCTTGCTCGCTGTGGATTATGTCAACAGAGGTTGGGTTCCTTTTAATGGCCCGTGCACGCTTGGATTATTTCGCAGTTCACAGCGATGAATGACGCCGTCGTCCGTTGAGAGGAACAACGATTCAATCCCACGTCGGAAACATGGCCCCCCGATTAAATATTTTCCAGGGGCTTCAGTTAAACTCTCTGCGATCTACATGTGAGTACAATTCCCCCCACAGATCACGTTCTAAAGAACATACAACTTACGCATAGTTTTTGATATAAAAAGCTTCCACGACCTTACCCGCTTCCGCACGATGTTTCTCCACGACCTCCCCATCCTCCAACTGGCTAGTCCCAAAACACCGCGAGAAACGGAAGTCGCAAAAGGGCCGTCCTCGAATGCCCACCGGTGGTTCCTCTCGGGGAACAACGGTCATCTGGGGCGACTATGGCCTTCGGATGAAGGATCATGACCGTCGAGTGTCGGCAGATCAGCTGAAGATCGGCTATGAAACGATCCAGAAACGACTCAGAGGCATGAAGTACAAATTCTACCCACGAGTAGCTGCTAATATCGGTGTCTATACAAGTGGTAACGAGCAGCGTATGGGGAAGGGCAAGGGTAAATTCGATTATTGGGCTGCGAGAGTCGCGGTTAATCGAATAATTTTCGAGCTGAAAGGGGATCTCCATGAGAAGGTGGCGCGGGAGGCGTTTAGGTTGGCAGCGGCCAAGATGCCTGGTATGTTTCTTTGAACCAGATCGTGGTTTTCGGGCTGGATATTCCGCTGTCGCAGACTGGCTTTAGAGGAGAAGCTGACCCCGAATCTTCCTCACAGGGCTCTATGAATTCGTGAAAAAGGGCGATCCTCCCGTAGTGGGTCTTACGAAATTACAAAATGGTGTCACGCTGGAGTCATTGAAGAGGGCGCGAAGAGAAGTTCCATTGAATTCAGAGAAAAAAAACCCTCCATCTTCCCCAGAGGGTTCCGCTCCTTCGCAATAAATATCCTTCGTTTTTTCTCAGTTTACATGTACATCACGGCGTTGTAATATTCATATATCTCCAAGAATAGAAGACTTTCCCCAGATAAACGCTGGTTTGTATTCCTGCGGTGCGGAAAATATAACACGGATCATGTCTGGAACCTTACTGCGGCGAGGTTATAGGAATTGGCAACGGGCATTTTGGGATTATAAAGTGGGAAATGAATACAATTGATTTTGTACAATTGGATTGTAGTGTTGGACGATGGCATATTATTCTCCCTTACTCGATGCACCTCAAGACCAAGCCATAAACCATCGGATAGCAATAAGCTAGATCCCAATTTCGCAGATTTCTCAGAACAAAAACCAGTCACAAAAAAGCCAGGTAACGCTACACGCTAACGACATGGAGAGAGGTGCAAGTATTTAGAATTCAAGGCCCATCAAGTAACTGCCATATCGTTAGAAGAAAAAAAAGGTAAAATGGCACATGAAATCTTGGTGCATGAAACTTACCTCTCGAGTACTCGCATAAATTTGGCAACAAACGCTTCAAGATGAAATATAACTTTCTGTGGCGATTTACGCCATTAGCATGTTGTTCTATAGAACACATCCACTTCATTATTAACGTACACTTCCAAGCTTTATTCTATGTTCGTAAAAAGCTGCCCATTTGATAACTTCAGGTTTCAACGCGTCGTCGATTTTGGGTATTAGTTTGAAAGTCAATGTCTGCGGATCAAAAAGTTAGTATACAAATTTCGAAATTCTATAGATTGAGTGGAGGTTGCATGATTCACCCTGAGTATGGTTGTTGGGGGGATACAATGCGTTAACAGATCGTATAATTTTGCTCGAACCTGAAGAATTCTTCCAGGTGAACGATCTGCCATGATTTCATCTGCAATCAAGGAAATCAATGCCTCCCAGTCTGGTGGCGGGATAGGAGTATCATCCGTGACTTTCTCGCTGTTGGTAATGAACTTTGGTCAGTCGAGCTTATCTCTCGGGGCTGGCGAAAGCTGTTGATTGAAGCTCACTTTTGTGCATATATAGCTTCTAACATGAGAAGAGCACGCCTAAGATTCCGCCCGCTTTCCTTAGCTATCCGCTTGTTAAGGCCTGGCGCCTCTGTCCAGCCTTCTTTTTTCACTGCAAGTTTCAACACTTGGCATATTTCAGCCTCGGCGGGCGCGGCGACTCTAACAAGGAGGGTTCTGGATCGAATGGGAGCGATGATATTCGCTGTGCTGTTGGCAAGAAGAATAAGTCTCAGGTTTGGACTGTATTTTTCCATCGTCCTTCGTAGGGCTGCCTGCGCATCTCGCGTGAGATGATCTGCCTCGTTAATCACAACGACCTTAAATCGCTGCTTCGCGGACAAGTCGACCTGCTGCGTTTGCGCAACCTCCTTTAGAAGTTCCTGCACCACAACCCGGTCGTAATTCCCGACATCGGACGGCGTGATTTCAAGGTGGTAGATGGAGGAGACAATATTGAATTCCAGCTTGCGATTGCTGGTGGTTTGAAAGATCCGCGCATCGATCTTAATCTTTTCGACTCCGGGACCAAAGAGTTCTTTAAGTGTAGCAATTATTCTAGTTTTCTTTCCTGCCCCCGACGGTCCATAAACGAGAAGGTGAGGGAAATCGCCGCTTTGCGCCTGCGAAAGAACTCTAGTCAGTGGAGAAGGACTACTTGTTTTGCTTGAGTTGTTGATTTCATACAAGCGATTTTAATCGAGCAGAAAGGTCATTATGGTAGGTGAGAGCATCAAGGCTTCTAGGCCTAAGCCTATCAACAAGAAGTGCCATTTGTCAATGGTAAATAGGGTATTGGGATGTGAAATGTAGGTGTTCAACCGTGGACAACTTCATATCGGAGAGATTTAACTTTGACGCGTGCTGGCTGCAGGCGCGATTAATTGGTGGTCTGTGCTTCTGCTTACTACTCCAACGGTGAGAGGGGAAGACCGAAAGGCAGGAAGTAGTACCGTATTCATTCAACGTTGAAATTATTTGAATATAGTTTTATGTAGATGTGAGAAGAGACATGCTCATTACTGGTATTTCATTCTCGGAAACATCCAGTTTATCCCGAAGAACGCCGTTTATGATTTGAAGCTCTGATCGCCCCCCAAAAAAGATAGTATACAGATAATAGTTACAAAAGCCATAATACTTCAAATGATTTCTCTATGTACAGTTATCGCCGTTGGGCGGGTAGATGTAATAGTTTTCGTTCGAACTGTTCGATCGCAATGTAATAGGGCGGACTGTAGGTGGAATTGGTTATCCAATCTTGCAAGAATGATTCACCAGTCCATAACCATTCTGAATGGAAAAGGCATTGAGATGTTGTCCGCAAAACCTAATGCTAGTGGGTAGTTTGTTTGAGCAATTGAAGTGAGAAGACTAGGTTGGAATCGCCATTCCTGGAATCGGCTTCAGTACCCCATTTGAATCATATCGAGCCTCTGCAGTAGAATGTTCCATTAGCTGCTAATCCGAAAAATCCACCAGACACCGACTCTAATTGAAGCCTCCAACTTACTGAAAAAAGTATACGACAGCGTAATAGTTTCAATGTTTCTCATAGCCGGATCATTGACAAAATCCGGATCTATGAAAAAAAATACCGGCATATCCACAGATTCGCCTGCGCTCAATCTCTGTTCCTCGAAGCAGAAGCACTGAATTTTGCTGAAGTATGGAGACACCTGCGCCGGAGTAACGCTGTACGTAGCAACGCCGATGATGTCCTCGGGACCCTTGTTTGTTGCTGTATAAAACGCCAACGCCGTTTCTCCCGGGAGAACTCTAACTTCCCGCTGCTGGGGGGTGAATTTCCAGGGTAGGACGTCGGATACCGATCCGTTGAATGTAATTCGTAATCGACGGGATGAGGTTACGGGTTTGAGGCGAGAGGCGGGGTTTTCTTCTGTGCGGTGCGTTTGGACAGGCTGACCGTTCCAGCCGGTCTGTTGGCATATCTATTTTTACCGTTTAACTAATGTTAGCGACAATATGTAGACGTCGTGCGGAAACTGTTGGATAGTCAAGAAATATATATATCAAAAGAAAATAAAAGACGAAGTACCATTTTGTACATGGGAACCGATCCGTATGCGAGCGCAACAGTTCCGATAATTAAGCTGATGGTATAGTACCTAAAAAAGAGGCATTGGCATATTTTTGTAAATCGACTGTGACAGAAGAAGGGATGACTGAAAAATTACCACTTACAAGGAAGATTGATTTTTAGAATACGACATCTTACTCTGTAGAGAGGGCGAGGGAATCTGCTGTAGTCGTGCAGATGGGGTAGAAAAAGGTCGTCGGGAGACATGACGCTGTTGTCTGCATACGAACGAGCAAATGGAAAGTGGCTCCGGCCCTAGAAGCCTTCGACTCCATAGAGAAGCTATCCGTGGCACCATAGTAACAAATCGTATTTCTCTAGCATTTGTGAGAATGGGTTTGATCTAATCCACGAGGGAAGTTCTAACGTCGCTTGAGCGAGATCGAATCCCGATGGATGCCCGTTTAGATCACGTGATTATAAACTACTCATTCTGCAGTTGACCAGATCTGCCATGCGGATATAGTTTTGACCGTGTAAATATTTCCCGCGTTCATATAACATTTTCAGTTAAAGATGTATACGATGGATATTTTCTTCAAAGCTGGTTCAAAACAAAGTCAGGTGTCGTTTCCCTATTTTACACAGAAGAAAAAACAATTAAAGGAACCCTACTGCAGAATATGATAGATATCGTATGATAATAAAACAGTACAGTTAGTTATATATATTGAATTGGCTGTCGTGAATAAACCACCAAAGCTTTCAAAAGATCTAATGATTGAAGACCTGGGCCAGAACTCTTCCAAATACGCCTCGGATCATTTCTGGTCTCTCCTGGATAGCAGTTATGAGTATTGCGGTGCTCACGGAGAATGCGGCTTGCTCTCTCCATTGATCCTGTTTTGAGACAGAGGAGGAACGGTTAGTTTTTCGTGTTTAATAAAGTAAGAAAATAAAAAGAAGTTGTGTAACCAGGACAAATTCAGGCATATTCAGTGAGGAAATTTTCCGCTTGGTGGCATCTCTATCGTGAAAACATACCTTCTTATCATATCTTCGCGGCAACAACGTCACCGCAGCCCTCGGCGCCACAAAAAGCGCAAGCTCCAGCCTCTTCTTCGCGTTCTCAACCAAAATGCTCCACCCGCACATCATGCATCCAGCAGCAACACATAACCCGGAGTCCCACATCATAGGCGTGACAAGCTTCGGGCTAAATAACCTAGGTCCCAGTCTCGTTCGCGCCAGACAAACGGAGTAGTAGAAAATACTAATAAAGCAACTGAGAAAGGCAGAGGAGCGGAGTGCGTTTTTCACCGCGTTGATGAATACGGTTACGGACCGTGATCGCCAGCGCAACGCGAGATGGATAGGTAGATATGTGGCACAGGAGAAGCGGAAGGCTTTGACAAATCTCCACAGGGCATGTTTTTCACAGCTGGGGCCGCAGCCCATGTGCACAAGCTCGCAGGGGAAAGGGATTGTCTTCTCTGGATCCCCCCATTCCCGAGGTAAGTTATAATCATCGCACATGGATTGTAATGGAGGTTTATTTTCTGATGGTTTTCCGTACTCCCACTCGGTCCGTCTGGCTGAGCGGAGTGCTTCGATCAGCCGGTTATCAATCTGCGCAGCGTCTTCGATCCACCTGCTGTAGGGGGCTGGTAATCTCTCTGGTAGATAGAACCACGCCCACATGATTATGGCAGAGCTTGTAGCAAAGACTCCAGCGTCTGCTAATCGAGGAGAGATAGACTCCGCATATGTCCATCTGCTTCGTGCCGCTCTACGTTTTCGCCAACGTTCCCATGCCATGCATGCAACAGCATCCGTTGCTCTGATGACAGCAAAAAGACTTAGGTCAAGTGTTTTCCCGGCCAGACCAGGGGGTTCTGGAGCTTTTCTTTGGTTTCTCCGTTTTGCCTTTGAGGCTATCGCAGCCTCTTCCTCCGAACGCGAAGTAGCAGCACTTGGCGGGACTTCACCATTAGAGTTAATGATGGGAAAGCAGATCCACGCGGATAAAAGGGCTGCAAGAAAGCGAATAGTGCGTAACAAACTCTGTGTTATGGCAGGTCGAGCTTTGCCTTTTCCTCTAGTCCAAGTTCTCGTGATTCTCGTGAAGAGAGGCTCAAAGACTGCTGGTAGTAGAGTTGACCCTCCGACGAGCAAGGCGCAAAAAGTCGGAAACCTGTTCCAACGAAATGGTCTGCTTAAAATCTTAAAAAGCTATTAAGGGGGTCGCCAAAAGTCAGTACTTTTCTGGTTGGTATAGTCCATTCGTAGTTCGAGTGAATAGATACGTAAATCAGAAAACCAATGTAGGGGATTTTTAAAGAATCCAGACGCACGCGATTGAGTTTCTCTTCGTTGTTCAAATCTTTTCTGCGAATTACATGGAGAAAAGCTATGAGTTTAGGTCCAGTGACAGTAAGATATCCCAGGGCATAAGCGCGGAGTATTCTATGTCCAAACTCAAATTCAGGTTGTCAGTATTAATAATATAAATGAAAAAAATGGCATACCGCATCTGTAAGTTTCGTGACAGGCAAAATACGTCCCAACCACGAGAAATCAAGAGTGGTCACAGCTGCTGGCGAGAGCACTCCACCTACGGCTTTAGGATGTTCGCGTTCACTCTGCGAGGTTGAACATGGAGAAATTGTGCTTCCATGTTCACGGCTCGTGGAAGAAAATACATAACCCCCTTGTATAAAATATTGGGAGGTATAATTGGAGATTTTCGGGGGAAGAGAAAATCTAGAGAAAATGTGCATGTTAACGAAGATATTCTCCTCCTGGCTAGTCCCGACTTCTGTCAGAAAGAAAGGAGCCGGCGCGCGATGCTGATGTATCTCTACCGTATCCACAGGCGGTTGGTACTCACCCACGCAACTACGCCCAAGGATGTTGACAAACGAAGATAAGGTCCTGTTTCGAATGATCGAGAGTGATCAACAGGCATGCACAACTGTGTTTACTGGCTAAATGAGGATAGTGCTAATAATAACAATATAATACTGTAGGGCAGAAACGTCATCGATGAGGATGCCTGTAGAGTAAGAAGAAAACATGCGCTACCTCTGATCACGAAGTTCCCGGTCTGTTTAAGGCCATTTGCATCCTTGATTTTTCCAAGCGACAGGAACAAGGAGCGAGTTCATCGCATCCAAGATGGTTTGGCAGTCACTTGATCTGAGCTAAGCTTTTGTTGGAGGGATTCGATTGGCTGGCGGTAACTAAGCTTTTTTGCCCCACTAGAACTTTTGTAGATGTATTTTGAATGTATTGTATATTGCAGGCAACATTTTTTGCGATACTCTCTCACCCCTACTAAGAGAGGGCTAGGGATGGCGTAGGGTTAGGATGAGGTGTTAGAATTAGAGATTAGACTAGAGGTTAAGCCCCGGTTCAATTCGTGGGTTTAACGCGAAATACAGGGTTGTGAATGTCACGATAAGTTTGAACTCTGCCGAAGGTCGTTTTTTGAGAGTTCTGTCATTGTGTAGTTAACCAGATAAGCCACATTAGCTAACCTCGGCTTCCAACAGAAAATCATGGGTGTCTGACTGACTACAAGTCCCAGACAAGTAGTGGGGGCGAAGCGAATTGCCACGGGTGCCTCCGGGCCGCCCGGCACCCGGCATGTTTAACTGTAGACCAGGTATGGACCCCCTATAGCTTTAGCCTCCGATGTGATCTTCTTGTCGAGTGCTTGATGCCTACCCGTGCTTGGTTCCCACTGCAAGGCCAATGTAGAGCAAATAAACAGAAAATCAAGGCGGTGGATTTGATGTTGAATACAATCCCCATGCGGCGAGTGACGTCAGTTTGGATGCGCTCTGCGTGATCAGGTAAGATCTGGAAAGATACCGACAGGGACATATCACGCCCCGATCTCAAAAGCAATCACTTTTAACCTCGCAGCTCCTTTTACGGCAATATCCAGGAACTGTTGGCCCAGAAAGCAGCCTTCAGAAAGCCAGAAATTTCAGCCCAGCCCATCCTCCCTCAGGCAACTGTGCGTACCACCACTTTTTCCAAGTCTTCCCACGCTTGTGTGATCTGATCGATAACTTCATTCATACCAGCAGCATTAATATTTCGCAACTCTCCAATGACACTCTAACAGATCACGAGACAGGAGCATCTCATCTTCGGCTCCTGGGCCTTGCCGCATTGTAAAATTTTCCATCGCTTCGCAAAGAACACTATTTCCCCAGTGGGGTATGTTGAGTAGGTCTTGAAACTAAACACATTTGGAGTATCCTGATACTTTTCATCAGTAATTTTGAAAATTTTCTAGAAAAATGTGCTCTTACTGTAGGTTCAAAAGCACATCAAAATTTTCGAAACTGATTACGTATAGTGTCCCTCAATGTTATTCCATTCAACAGACTGTTGGTATTTTCTGCACGCATACCAATTTCATTGTACAGATGGAAAACAGCGAAATAGAGTCTTCCATATGTTTGTAGTATTCTTTTCACTCGGCATTAAATTAGCATATTAAGCTATGATTTGAGTGAAGAGATGTAGTGAGGAGTCATGCCAAGCGGCAAAGGAAATGGTATGATGTGTACTGCCTTAATAGTGATAGATATCTATCTGTTGAGTTATTACACAGCGGTATGATATCCATCTCGATGTAGACACTTTTCGTGGAAATGGATTTTGTTGTGATTGGGGTGGCTCAGATACGCTGGCGGCAACAAGCTCAGTGTTTTTTTTAATGCTTGATGATTGGGGATTCAGTTTGCTAAGTCGCCTGACTCAAACTCACTATAGCAATTAATTAGCATTTACATCACAGACATATGGTTGGTGAAAATATGCTCAGCTTACTTGGTTGCAAGAGTCCAGATGCCAGATTCTCAAAGATGTTATAAAGATACTGATCATCACCTCCACAACGTTCCACACCATGACTAGGAGAATCCACACCTTCAGCCAGGAACCAATCGAGAAAAACATTTAGACAGGGTATAAATCTCTGATCGGTTTTAGATCCCAAGTGTGGGACACAGCGGCTAATGCGATCTCTGGCTTGTTTCATCTTACACTCTTGTTGACTTAGGGTTTTCAGGCACTGCTGATAATGCTGAGAGCCCTGCCTCTACAGAAAGCTGTCGGGTTGAAAATGCGGGGTCAAATTTCGGATTTATGGCGGTAATGAGCTCAACCGATAGTACTAGGCATCTGGCTTAAATCCCATGAGGAACTTACTTGAAGAACCGTTCGTGGGAATGAGACACAAGTGAGAATTAAAGCAACTTTGTGAGAGAGTGGGGAGGGCTGTTAGACGAGAATGGAATAAATGTTATGATATGAGAAAACCCCTGGATGGGCTCCCAAACGGGCCTGGAAGCTGCAAACAGCACTGAGCACGGAGGAGTTACGCGAAGTGGATCTAGTCAAATAGTTTAAAATGTGGATGAAACGGGCCGATTCAAACTGAGCAGGTACCAGCAAATTGGGTCTCTCTTTTGGGACGCAGCGTCGAACTGTTCCTTGTCGCCTGGGAATAGAATTTCTTGCAGCTTGTCAGAACCTTGAAGATCAAAGATACCCAAAACTCCCCAATATGGACTAGACTCGCCGAATAACTGCTGACTAAGAGTCAGCATCAACTTTAGGAATAGTGTGTATTATGCGACCAACTCTACGGGATGCAATTACGGGACTTTACTGACGAAAAAAACGACGATGTGGAACGGCCGCAGCTGGCTGGTTGGCGGAAGGCTTGGAATGCACCGCGTCAAAGATGCAGCTGCGGAGTTTTCTAGTGAGAATCTCTGTCACACGAGGAGGGGAGGTGTGACGGTCTTGTGGGGTTGGCGTATTGGCGCGTACGGCGTATGTCCAGTGACGAGCGCAGGATACGACGGACAAGCTCGGAGGCTGAAGCCGGGTTGGGTTCAGAGCATGTGATAGTCCTCCGTTCGACTCCATCCAAAAAAAATTCGCAGAGCAACATCCACCTCGACTTCAGGTTTTGATGCTGGTCAGGCTAAGACATCCTGCTTCCCGCTCGCTAACTGGCAATCCTGCTGCTTATTTTCCCCAGATTTTTTGACTCTTCCCCCTGCACTTTATAAGTCCTGGTCTTCTCCAGCTTTTCCAGAACTTCCGTCGCAATCAATATCTTCATCATCATCCCACTTCATACTACCCACCTCTAAGCTCTAGCCTTTGGCATTCTCTGACGGAACTCCTGGGTGTGTGCGCGGACGAGCGTCCCCCTACAATAATAGCGCCGCTTCTTTGGCCTGGTTGTGCTGGAGTGCGCAGACGCCTTGAGCCTCCTCCCCGCCACATCCCCGGACTTTTAATTCTTATGCCCAGATTCCCACGGCCTGGCGGACAACAAATGTTACACCCGTTCGGTTGATGGGGTTGACACGCTTGACACATATATGCTTTTTTTGCCGCCCGGATTGATAGGAACGAACGTGTTTATGTAAATCGCCGGTTCGATCCGTCATTCAAAATGGAAATGAGTACTCCTGAACCTATCCACCAACATGATCACCACCTGAGACGGGCCTCCCCACCCCCAGGCCCTTTTGGATGTATGTACAAGGAAATATCTTCATTTTTCATTCCTTCCAATCCAGTGTCAAAGGGTGAAATAATTAAAAACAGAAAAAGAATACCAACTGAATAATAATAACGTCTACAGATCCCTTATTCAACGTCGACTCACCTTACGATGAGCCACCTGCTCCTCCACCTGGACCGTCGCTTCTCGATGACACCGAATCTAGCATGCTTAACAATTTCTTTATGTCAATGGATCATCTGGACAGCAACGATTTTTGGTTTTCCCTGGGGGACCAAGACAAAGCAGGCGGCAACTTTGGGATCGAGTGGCCTGAGGAACTTCCTCCTACCTTTGAAGGTTCAACCACGTCTTTGGGTCCATTTCCACCCTTCGCGAACGATATACATCAAGAAGGGATTAACATGGAAAAGACATCGTCATCGCACAGTTCAGACGTGTTAGCTGCCGCATCCATGCTCTACCATAAAAATGGTCTTGTTTCGCATGATTATTCGACTAGCCACATCTTAGCGGAAAACAACAACCATTTTAATGATGTTCACGCAAATGGAAATAATCATAATATCAATAGTTCGAGGACGAAGAATTCCTTTCTCCCTTCTCGCTTCGTTGAAGCAGTGCCACCGGGATCTTCGCCCAAGGACTTTGGTCTCCTCGGTAAAGGATTCCATACCACGAAAATGTACTTTGATGTTGAACGACAACTTGGACCCGAACAGCAACAGAGAATTGGTGCTCTCCGATGGGGCTCAGACTTGAGATTTTCAGAACGATACCATGCCGCCATAGACGAACCTAGCGAAGAAGAGCGCACCAAAGACCTGCTACAGAATCTGGACTGTCTGGAATCGCAAAGTAGCACCGGAAACACGCGTGCTTCAAGCCCAGCTCGAAGATCTTTCGATCGTGCTATGCCAGAATGGGCCTCCCTAGGCACATGGTCAACAACAGCAAATAACGGTGTCCAATCGTCGTCAGCATCGTCAAAATCCATCACGAACGATCCAACACATGCTGAAGATGGCGCAAGACCCAGGAAGCGCCGAAAAAGCAAGAGCAGATTAAAGGATGAAGATATAGACATCGAACCACCAAATAACAGCAATAACAATAACGAACCTAACGGCCGCCAAACTTCACCAATACCCAGACGTTTCTCTTCCTCTGGCACCGATACAACATCCACAACAGTTACGACAACGACGACAAAGCGGAAGAAACCCAAAACAGGACAGAGCGGCAAACCCCGCGAAAACCTCACGGAAGAGCAGAAACGAACCAACCACATTCTTTCCGAGCAGAAACGACGAAACCTCATCAAGCAAGGCTTCGATGACCTGTGTGCTCTCGTTCCAGAACTGCATGGTGGTGGCTTCAGTAAGAGCACAATGCTCATTCAGGCAGCGGAGTGGTTGGAGGATCTACTACATGGTAACGAGCTGTTGCGAAATCAATTGGATGAGTTGAAGAGGAGGCACGCTACTGCTTCTACGTCTTCTGTCACTACTACTACAACTACGTCGATGACTGATATGACCACGGCATAAAACTTAACGTATTTCCTTTTTGTCTTGATTTTCCTTTTCTGTTTTACTTCTCTTTATTTCCAAGTATTTTATTTATCACCATTCTGATACATATGATTTTTCCATTTTCATTTCCTATATACATCCCTATCATACTATACCTTTTTTTTTAACCTTTTTCCAGAGTCAGCAGGCATACATGGTTTTCTCTATTGTATCTAACTACATACCGCATTTGGCATTTTTCACACCCCAATATTTGACTTGCTGGGTCTCAAGTATCGAATGGGGGGTAGGTAGGGATGAAACGACACATTCACAGCTCTATTCCAATCAGAGGGAGTAACAAAAGAAGGGGAGATAAACAATAATAGTAAAAAGGTCTCAGAAGCAGCATAGCATCTCCTTCATTTTCCTGTACGTATATATAAACAGAAACGCGAACGATGACATATACAGCATGTGGAAAAAAGAAAGAAAGAAAGAAAGAAACTGATTCTTCTTCCCTTACACTCTTTCAGCCTTCCTCGACGGATGCTCCTACAAATACTGGTACGGTAAGTGTTAATGTGACCATCCCGAGCGGCAGGTCTTCGTTGCTTCCGATATATTCCTATTTGTATTGTTTAACTAGATCCCGCTTGACCGCTCTGGTATGTGGACGCAATAGCTTCATTTTTATATTTTAACTTTGGTTTTAATATCAGACCTTTGCTTTCTTAATTCGAGAGGGCTGTTGAGAGTTATTTTTATTTTTATTTTTACTTTTATGTTTTTTCCCTTTTGGGGTCCATGCCATGTGTTGTTAGTTAGTAACCCTATCCAATACCTCGCTTTTCCGCCCATCTGACACTTAAATATAGGTAGATATGTTAATTTTATCATTAATAGCTCTACCGTCCTGCCCTTGAACCAAGGAAAGAGGCTAGATGAGAAGGGATGCTTATATATTGTATATAAGGATTTCAGGGATAACTATAGAAACTGTCCTTGACAGTGCTCTGCGGAAACGTGGCGAAACTTGTAAAGGGGGAAAATATTGGTGACCTGATGTCCATCAATTCCAATCCAGGAGCTGTTGTTTCGGGAGACCCCTTTTCACCTTCTGCACCAATGGCCAAAAAAGAAAGAAAAGAAAAGGAAAAGAAGATAGAAATGAACGACTTTCAAAGTGACCTACGTGTAAACACTCTTCTTGTATCTATGCAGTTAGTTCCGGTGGCTGGGTAGGAGGAGTATGGGTGGCATGCGCAAGATTGTTTTCTTTGATGATAAAATGTTTAACACCTAATTACCTGATAAATAAAAATCAAATGGGATTGATTTGACTGCATTTATGCGGGGAATTTGACAGGGAAACAAAAGATGTGTATTGCTGTTGCGAGTTTGCACCTGAGTAGCCAGGAAAGGAGAGAGCACGGCAGGGCTAATCGGCCAGCTGCAACATTCTCGCTCTGCGTGAGTCTAGGAGTTGACTGAGGCTCGCTGGCACATCAGGATGTGGGGCAGCTTCCACTATGACGACGAGCAATGGATGGGTATGGTATCAAAGACCCCGGGTAAGGCTGATCATGTTCACGTCCACCTGGGGGTTATGCTAAAAACTGCATGTGAGTCTGCCTAGCCAAAATGTGAATGAGAGGTATCCATATCGGAAATCAAAGGATACTCAATAAGAAATAATAAGCATAGACAGAGGAGACGGACGGAGAAGAAATTCAAAGGCTAGATATGCAATATACCTTGGCAGGATAGGTACGTTACGTTGGTATGAGGGGCGGAGAATTGATGTGGAGAGGCGGACCGAACGAGGATCACAGCGGGAAGAATCCACAGGAGTTTTCATTCCTGAGCTGGAGTACGGGCAAAAGGACCAAACATGGCATTTGTTGTGCTGGTGAAAGAAATGTGGGATTTTCTATGGTATACATCCAACGCCCCCAAGAGCTCCACAGTAGCCATGACAGCTCATATCCATTCCGCAAAGCTCCGTTGGCTTTATCTGATTCATGAGATACATTGACGAGCTCCGTCACGGGACTGAGCACTAGGGTGCGGGGCATTTCTTCGTTTTCGTATGTATTCCGTCTTTAACAATCGGCTATCAATAAGTTGACAGACCGGCCGGGAATTCACATGTGAAAGGGAAAGATGCACGAGTTTGGTTCGGCGAGATCTTCCCCTGACGTTGGGCTGAAGTGACTGGCATTTGGGCTACCAGCTTCAAGCCAAGCCAGTTCTATATAGGAGGGTATTTATGATCGTAATTCCAATCGGAGAGCTTCCATGGGCTAAGAACAGCTGTGTCAGTCATCCGCCGGTATATATCAGATGTCAACATCAGATGCTGCTGTTGTTGCAAGTTACACGCTGGCAGGTTCCGAACTTGCGAACATCCGTTCCAACAGCCTCAGATCTGCAACTGGGATGAAGCCCAACGTAGGAGTATTGCGGACGGATTGGTAGTATCAATCCTTCAACGCGCAGCTGGACTGAATTGTGATTCATGAAAGCGATGGTGGCGAATAGTACTGAGCAGATCTGAAGGGCTGAACCACGACGCACTTTATACAGGTTCACACGGTTCACATAATCGTGGTCTCTCCGATTGAATTTCACAAGGAGATAGAAATGCTATATTATTTCGATCTTCTGGCTTTCTCGAAGATACCCACGTTACTGTCAGGGCTTGAGGTTGAAAATATTCATGTGAAAGAGGTCCCCTTGGATTCGATATCACGTGGAGATAAGATCTTGGCGTTGGTTTACCGTGCCAGCGTGGGAACGCGACGATAATCCAAAACAAAGCAGACCATATTGACACCTGCAATTCATGCTGTGGGCTTGATCTGACATTTGTATCAAAACTCCAAGGCCACTTCATCTCACAGCAGTCATGCCTCCAAAACGAAAACAGCGATCTGACGATGGCCCCGACCAGCAAGAAGGAGAACATGATCGCAAGAGATTCGCAATATTGAAACCTCGGACTCGGCATATCGCAGAACGTACAATTAAAACAAAATGGACCACGCTACCTGATTCTGTTCAAGGGATGATCAAAGACCTTTTCCGATCGATTGAGCGGCCTGTTGTTATGAGACATCGCGACGAAAGGAAGCGTATCGAAGCCCAAACGGCGGTTGTGGCAGTCAGAAAAAAGTATGTAACGGGACATCTTGTATCAACCATTGAATCCTCAAAATTTTGGTGTTTGTATTGAGGCCAAAAGAAGGTTCATATCATAACAGGCCCTTGCTCACCATGTATTTTGTGCCGACAACAGTCTAGGGAGACGGTTACCTCGAATGCCATTCCCGCCTGGTACCAAAGACGCCGATTTCGACTACGAAGCTGCATTGGATGAGAATGTTAGTATTCTCGAATTCGCATTGATTTGAACATAGAGCGACAACTGAGAACGTTTTGTAGCGTGCCTTGGAACTTCAATTGGCTGCGGTTGTTAATTCTGCGGATTTGTTAAGAGCAGAGATCGCCCGGGAGGAAGCTCAGCTAGCAAAAGACAAAGCGCAACTCGAGGAGCTGGAGAAGAATGCGAGAGCAGCGCAAACAGAAAGGAAGCGACAGACAAGAAATGTACAATATGTTAATTCTTTCAAAACTTGCCAGGGCTTCCCCTCCGAAAAGGTACTGATTTGTCAATCTAGGCTCATCCAGTCATCCGGCACCTGGAACGTCTTGGACAGCAAAGCGACGGGAGTACATCCCTCACCTTTACCGGACTGAAGGATAACAAGAGTATGCTGTGTGAGGTATGGAAAAAATCCCTCAAATCGATTATTTCAATTTATCATTTCAATTTATTTTATATTTCTTTTCGGGGATTTTTCCAACTGACTTACAAACCTCAAGCAGATTGATACCGACTCAGAACTCTATCCTTTGATTAAGCAGCTTCGCAGCCATCTCGAATCGATGCAAAATAATGTCACCCAGATTGCGGGCCTTAGAGAATCCATCATTCGTGCCCAATCATGCTTAGATCTTCTTCCCCTAGGGTGACTTCTTCGGATGTTCCCGAGAAAAGATAGAATCTTCCAATGTACGTCCAATGCGGAAGCCATCGGCCCTCCAGAGAAAGTATAGATGTTGCTGGACTCCTGTTTCGGCTAGGAAAAATATATAGATATCAAGTGGCTGAGAAGCAGAACCCGATTTCCCAATAAAATGCGGATATTGAATCAACAGGTTTTATTTCCTTACATACCATTATGTATCTATCTGAACATCTCCTTAGATTTAGGCGTGTAATCACCGCGTAAGTGGAACAAAGCTCCAGAGGAATGTCATTTGAAACATCTGGGCACGAAAAGCGACCTCTAACTTTCCTACAATTTGATTGTACTCCACACGGGGAACGGGATCAAAGAAATACAATGGCAATATCTCTGGTCTTTTAACCACCATGTTTGTCGCACCGGCCTGTAGCATTATTGGAATATGTGTTTGGCAGGAGATTGTTTGTGGCTATCCTTATCCCTGTATCCGTTGCAGTAAACAAAATACTATTTATGCAAGCGGGTTTGAAGTTCGTCCCTCGGCAGTGTTCAGATTTGTCCCAAAGTTTACGGTTAACAGCGCTCCACCATTCGGCCCATGCGGGGACAAAATCGAGCGCAGAGTTTAACTGATCCTATTCCACTCTCTTTTTGTTATTGTCACTTTTGAAGGCCTATTTACTGCACAGAAGACCCATCAGCCCCAGTGCTAACCGCTGCAAGGCATCAAGCAAGACGATCCATTCGAGACCCAACTGGCGACCAACGATCTTCGGGCGGAAAGCGACCGCGCATCGGCAAACGCTCATCGCACTGCAGTGATACTGATTAAATACTACGCAGTGCAATCGGCTCGGCGCGCCCACTGGAACTAACGTGCATCCGGTTTTCAGAGCAGCAAGCCGTTGATGACCAAGGACGGGGAAACCCAGCTCGCGAAAGACGAAGGGGAAAAGTCGAGTAATGGAGGAGTCTTGGAGACAGCTACGCCATCGAATTCAACAGCAGAGCGCGATGCGCAAACCGAAGAGATGAGCACAAAGAACAATCAATCTCCACCTAAGGTTGCAGATGGGACGCCTGCAAATTCCAGCCCAAAGAAGCGTCGCAAAGTTAATCACGGTGGGTTAAGCAGTTATCTCTTGCAAGCTGAGAATGGCGTCGCTCATATGTATCATTTTTTTCCGCTTTGATTTATGCTTGAATCCTGGCAGCCCGGACGGGAAGAGTAACTGCTAACCGTTTGTTACATCTGCAGCTTGTGTCTATTGCCGACGATCGGTGAGCACTCCTTTTTTTTTTGTTTTACCTAGATGTGCCCGCGGGTAGCTACCAATTTGTTGGCAATCAACGCATAACTGCATAGTCATAGAGTACCAGGGCCGTTATGGAATACAAGGGGATTGGCCTGGCTGACATCAAGGAAAAATCTTCATTCATCGACGTTGGACAGCATATGACCTGCGATTCGGTACGACTTTCCATTGTCCTATGGCTCTCTCTACTCAACTTCTTTTTTTTTTTCAAGTGCCTGCTGGAACGTGGCTAATGCCTCTCTTTCCTGGACCCTTAAAAAAACAGGACCGACCATGTACTCGCTGTATAAAACGCAACATCGGCCATCTCTGCCACGACGAGCCGAGAGAAAACGTAAAGCGGGCGAAGAGCGAACACGAAGCTTCTGCGCCGGAGGAAGAGGTTTCATCGAGCAATGATTTCGCAGGAGCTCAAAATATGCCACGGAAGATTGAACCGCATGAGATAAATCAAGTGCTTCGCAATTCCAGTGTCCCCAACCTTTCGACTTCCATTGATCATTCTCAATCTTCTCAACCTCAGGGTATTTCTTCAAACCCGGTCGATGTTAATCCACAGCAGCGTGAGTAATTGATATAGGGCCTTTTCTATACACTTCTTCGTGTCTATTCCTATGCTAGTTAATAACTGTGATCAGTTATGAGTTACAACGATTGGCGATTTGGCACACAGAACCAGTTCCAAGACATGCACACTTTTCATCCATCATATATGTTCAACCATCCCGAAGTTACAAACGAATATAATTTACTTAACGATTTCCTGAGTACGAGTTTACTTGACGACGCTTCCATGTATCCAGGGGAAGAAATGTCCGGCCTCTATTCGGATTCGTCATTACTTAATTCCATGTCAACCAATCTAATACCGCACAATAACCAGTCGTTTCTTCAACAGCAGCAGCAGCAGCAAGCCATGCTACCTCCATCAATACTGTCTGCTCAATCCCAAACTGCAAACGTGGGGAACTCGATTCAACGTCCAAGCAGCAATGTTGGAAATGAAAAGGCCAAGGAGACTTATTACATGACAGCGGCAGATCCGTCGGGAACCGATCCACCGGAAGAGAGGATGAACAAACTACTAAAAGCCAAGTATGATGCGGGCTTGCTGAAGCCATTCAACTACGTCGGTGGTTACGCGCGGTTAAATTCGTACATGGAGAAACATCTAGAGCCTGCATCACGACAAAAGATCCTACGCCAACTCGACAAATTTCGGCCCAAGTTCCGAGAACGAATGCAATCACTTACAGATATGGAGCTTTTGGTGGTTGAGATGTGGTTCGAAAGGAGCTTGATGGAGTACGATCGTGTCTTCGCGAGCATGGCGATACCAGCGTGTTGTTGGAGGAGAACAGGTCAGATTTTTCGAGGCAATAAGGAGATGGCGCAGCTTATCGATGTTCCTATTGAGTCTTTGCGAGACGTAAGATTTATATTTTCCCCAATATAACCTTCGTTGAAGCCGTTCCTAGCAGAAATCGTTTACTAACGTAACAACCTGTTCTAAAAAAAAAGGGCAAATTGGCAATCCATGAAATAATTGTGGAAGACCAGCTAGTCAGCTACTGGGAGAAATTTGGAGCGATTGCATTCGACAGTACTCAAAAGGCAATGCTTACGAGCTGTACGCTGAAAAGCCCCAATTCGAATAGTCGAGCTGAAGGCATCAAATGTTGTTTTTCATTTACGATCCGCCGTGATACTCACAACATGTAAGTACATGTACATCTATCACAACCGACACAATATATATAAGGTATTAGGAATATATATACTGACAGGATACAAGCCCTTCTCTTATTGTTGGAAACTTCCTCCCGATGAAACGAACAGACCGGTGATCATAGCCGTATTTACTTTTTTCATTCTCCTGCGACCGTTCAATAAAATACTTGTGTATATTGTATGTACATGTACATATCTACCTCTGCTATCTTGCTGTATATGCCACCATTCCCCATTCATCATGACCTTGTTTCAATCATGGGAATGGGTTTTGTTCCCATTTTTTGTTCCCTTTCTTTGTATTTCTTTTTGTTTCTTTTGATTTTGATACTTGCCGGCTAGCTCGTTGCAACTAGACTTGCTTTTCTCTTTTGGGTATGTATTGGCATCCTATTGTCGGGAGTCCGTATATATGCTTTCAGTCGATGCCACGATATCAATATTAGACTATCAATCCACAACAGTGCTCCATTATACTGCGACGTTATTTGTTTGTTAAGTATAGCCGGATTGGACATATGGAGTGTGGGTTGACCACGCGTGACTCCTTTTTCGGTCTAGCTGGACGACCTTTTTCTAACTTCACCTGCTCACCACGGAGGTGTCCTTCATCGCCAGTTCTCAATTGCTCAACATCTGCTCCATCTATTCCTGAAATACTACATGAGACCTGAATTAATTTCCCAAGGGGAAAAAATAAAGAAGAATAAGAGAGGGAGCTCGGACATCTATTGCCCCTATAATGATGCCGCAAGCAAGCCGGAACACCACAGCGAAGACAAAGTTGATTTTAGGTACGTCTGCAAAGGTTCTCCCTTCTCTTCCTTTCTTCTGCCCTGCTACTCATTATATCGGTGGCTTCTGGAATGGCACTTTCTGATTACTTCTTTCTCACGGGGCATGTTAGACTTTGGCACATTTCTCCACAAGATATTCCTCAAATCCGTAGAAGATGATGATGACACCATCTTCTGCGATAAACTCCCTAGCATCAACAGACACATAAACTACATCTTGGAGGCACCGAGCGATCCTCTACTAGAGGACCAAGCATTGCTGGATTCGATAGGGACGAATTTGTGGAATGTGTGTACGCGACTTATCAGGAATGATGGTGGAAAGGAAGAACGTTCGTTGGTTTTATGTGTTGGTTAGTGTAAATGAGTTCTGGGCTATCTAATTTTGTGGACATAAAATTTCTAGTTTTGCTGATATGTGACCTCTTCGGGTAGCTCGGGCATTTTCATTTTTTATGATTGAGTTTGGGGCAGGGAATGGGGAGAAGGGAACTGATTCAGGTGAATCTATACTACCACAATTTCCCTGATTAAAACCATTCGTAATGGGATGGTACTGACTGTAACTATTTGAAGAACATACAGATTACTTGAGACTTCTAAAAGTGGCCTTGGCAACAGCACGAGGATGTCTAGGTTCGAAGTGAACAGGATGCGCTACTCTTGAATTGCAGAGCCTAACAAGGTCTATAGATGTTGACCAACTAGGTCTGTGTTTGAAAATACTTGGGAAAGCTGCAGCTCGGGAAGAAGTCTTGTCAAAGCGAAATCAAGGCAGCAGCACTCCTGATGGCAGTATTTGCAAAAGCTCTACCGAATACTATATTTTGCGTATGGTACTGGTAAGATGAAGCTTGAATCTGTTGTTAGTGGTTATATGCTAAGGAACGCCTTACCTAGTCATGGCGTCAAGATCAGATGGAAATTACAGAGCATATGTTCTCTAAGATTGACATGGCATACTTAAGGCATGATCCTACCATGGCCGAGCGGTGTGCAGGAGTCACTTACGATATCGGAAAATCTATGATAATTCGAGGCGAGCACTCGTCAGCTGCGTGCTGGTTACAACGGTCCTATGAAGCATTACCCCAACCAGAGATTGGGCGGATTGGTGAGAACAGAAGAGAACTCCAGTTCGCTGTTCTTCTTGCGAGAGGTAAGTACTGGTTGTCCTCGTTCTGATTATTGGGTTATTGAACTTTGTCGTTTTTCACTAGTCCGTGCAAACATGTTTTTACAACACGAGGATGGAGAAACTATTGTTTCAAGTTTACTTGACATACTTGAACAAGTAAGTGATGCCTTCATCTCCTTTTACCATAATTTGTTGGTTTGCTACTAATCTTGCGCCAGGAATACGGAAATCGACTTCCGGTTATCCTTTTGAACCTAGACGTTATCAGCAAATCGCCCTCCCCTGACAGCCAACGTTATTACGCAAGTACGTACTGCTATCTCGAATGAGGATTTTTCAACGACTTATACCTTGTACCTATGCAGAGCTCTGTCATCTGGTTCGGACAGTTCCTGTCACTGAATCGAATTATGAAATGTTCGTTATATATCCTCAGCTATGCGTATCAAAATTATCTAACACTGGATAAGGATAACTCGACACATACATCGACTAAACAAATGGAGGTGAGCTCTAGACCTGCCTCAGTTGCAGTGCTACGATTTCGTGCTAATCAATCGTGAAGTTCGGAGCTTGCACTAGATATCCTCAAACAGCTGCTGATACAGAGATTGGTTCTGCATAATGACATTTTCATCCTAGAGAAGTGTTTTGTAACATTTGTTTGGATGCAAACTGCGTTATCTGAGCTTACTGCTGGCCTAAATTCGCTTTCAGGTTTGATAGAAAAGCTCGAGGAATCGTTGCGGAAACCCTTTAGCGAGGAAGCCGCCCAAGCATCTTTAATTGTCAGTGTTTTCTTACAAATCGTATATGAACCTTTCTACTAACCAAAGAATAAATAGCTCCTGTGGAAGAAGACCAATATTGCTTATGAACGCAAAGAATATGATGTTGCAGAGAAGTGGTGCTTGCTTGCTCGGCATATGATGTTTGTAAATGCAGGAAATACGAACAAAACTAAATTGTGCAGGTACGTAAGGGCTCCCAGACGCACCAACTCGGGGACTGGGACTCAGCCTAGATAGGAAAATGATTCTCTGCGCGTTGGGGAAAATGGATGCATCAAAAGCACGTCAGTTGTTCGACGACATGCCAGAGGCCTCAAGATCTGAGAGTTTGACACAGTATCTGCTGTACAAAGTTGCATTGTTGGACAAGGACACTCAATTGGGTAGGCCAATATCTACCGTTTGCCTCCGCCAACATAATCTGATCTGTTGTGGACAGCAATGGAGTGTCTTGAGACACTTTCCAAACAGGGCACAGGATCCGAAAAATATATTCTGGCATGCCTTGCGGAGACACGACATATTGAGGATAAATATCAAGAAGTTATCGCTCTACGGATTCTGTTGGATAACCTTGATAAGAAATCGTTGGATGGAATTCATTTGCCAGCACTTCTCCGGTGATTATGTCCAACGTTTACCTGTATTTCGATCAATACTTATTACCATGGACCCGGCTGATGCAACTCTAGACATACTATCCGCCTTCTCGTCTCAGAAGTGAGCAGTTCAGATCAGTCGATACAACTAGATGTCATAGAGAATACTTGCAACGTATTCGAGATCGGTGTGTTTCGCTTCCTTGATGTTTTAAAATGGAGTTGCTCCTAACCCCGTCACCGTTAAGCATCTGCAAAAGCGATCCAATACCGTGATCAGGAGAACGGGAGTCCCTTTTCAATCTCTGAGATGGAGTGGTTTTCTCGAAATAGCTATAACCTCGCCGTAAAGTATTGTACAATATGGGATACTCGCCCCGTACTGTCTCTTGTGAACACATCTATTAAGGTGCGCCACGCAGCTTCATCCGAAGTAATTTGGACTAACCGAACTGACTGGAAGCCAGTTTCTTGACATGTATCCTTCGAACTTGAGTCTGAAGCAGCTATATGCTGTCACTCTGCGAAGGCTACTTTGTTATTTTTTGGGCGCATTACTTAACATGGCTCGAGCACGAACAGAGGCAGATGCTCAAACTCGGGTTCGTCCGCGCTATTTGTGCCTCCAAGGATGTTTGGGTCGGAATTTACTGACAGAGTCCTTCAGGCAGATTATTACCTTGATTCCAGAAATTGTATACAATTCTTTCGAGATGCCTTTAATTGTGAAACCAAAAACTTGGAAGTGGCAGATCGGAATGACTTACTTCAAAAACACCGGACATTGTTAGCGTTTGACTTCGAAGCTGCTGTGCGGTTGCGGCAGTGGGAAAGCCTTAGTGAAATCATCGAAGAATCCGAATCATTCGCAGACGACGTATTATATGGCACGTTTTCGGATGCAATGCTCTGTTCAGAAGCACCTCTTGAGAATGCTGCACGGGTCCTGCAGGTAAATTGAACTAGTCATCTAAACAATGCTTCATACCTGTAATTTCCCCTTCATTGACTTATGGCTGACACTGACAACGTTGAAAATAAAGCAAATAACCACCAACATAGCCCGCCACGGCGAAGTCCGCGACACCACCAAACTTTCCCGCTGGATCCGGTGTCAGTTTCAACTATCCTTAGACTCCAACGTCGAGATGGCAGAGAGCGTACTTGAGCAGGCGTATGTGTTAGCCAGGGAGAGCCATTCCCGGTCTGAGAAGGGTGAACACAGGGACCTGCATAGGCCGGCAATATCCTCGTCATCTTACCCAGAAGAAGAGCTTGAGTGGCTTTCCACAACGGCTTTTAACCGTGCGGTAGATTTCTATACAAAACCAGATGATGCCTCATGTCGACGGTGGGCTCAGAAGTCGCTCGATTTGGCGGGGCTGATGCACGATGGAGGTCTTCTATATAAGGTGCTTAAGGACAGGTTTGAGGGTCTGAGGTGGCAATGATGAGGCTTGCAGTTTGTTTATGGCAAATGGTGAAATTAAGCATGGCGGGGATAATGGTTGTCTGGTGAGGTGGGTTGGCTGCTTTGGCATGGCCGCCGTTAATAGATCTCGTTATTTGGGAGTGGCATTCTCCGTGTTATAACATATGCAGTGAGATGGCCGCCTAAGCAATGTACGCCTAACAGATCCAAAATTAGAAAGACTTTAGATTATATCAAGCAAATTCACTTTTAGTATTATGGAGAACTTTTTGTAATACTATCACACAGCACCGGCACTAACTAACGGGGTTCACTGATGTCCAGTTTAAAATTTATTCACTTGCACTGATTCATTTTAACCAGTAAGCTGCCTGGACGAGACGGGTGAGATTTTGCTAAACTTCATTGACACAAGAGTTGAAAATCAATTGAACATCCTGCAGGGTCAAGCTACAATCAGAGAATCTTTGTAGCACATGGTCCCGAATCGGCAAAAAAAAAAAAAAAAAAAAAAAAAAGTTCGATCAGGCAAAGGAAATGTAATACTAAGACCCCATCTTATTGTCCGAACACCAATTCCTTGCCAACTGCATCGGCAGCCATCTTCTCGAGCGTCGCGTCATCTGGGTCCACAGGGGTATTGTCGCCATATGGAACCATTGGATCCAAACCACATGAGTTACAATTAATCCCGGGTCCAGCCACTCCCCAGAAGCGAAAATCCAATGCGGGAATAAACCGCTTCGGCGCACACTTATCACCTAGTTGACAAGCATCTTCGAGGTCGATGATATAGCTGCATAATTCAACCCAAATGTGAGCAATAACGGGACCGCACAGTATTGGTTCCCAGTGATTTCCACGTACCACTTCTTTTTCTCAGGGTCCCACATTAGGTTGCGCCTGTCCGGATCAATATGAATGAATTTCAAAGCATAGAATTCCCTGCCGATAGGAGAAAAATTGTTACTTGGAAATTGTTCAAAGGAGGAAATGGAATGAATATGCTGAGGGATATTTTACCTAATTGTTTTTGCAAAAGCCAATCGCACTTGATCCCTTTCGGACATGGGTAGGTCACCAAAATTTACCAGGTTGCGTCCGGGTAATCGTTCCATTATAAGGATGGAAAGGAAGCCGCCTGGAACTGGATCCCCCTCTTGCTGAGTTACAAGCGCATAGTCTAGTAGCTTTGGGGTACAAGAAGCGCCAAGTTTGGTGAGCCTGTCATGGTTGTTAAACTCCTTTGCAACGCGTGTGCTGGACGGTTTCGGCTCCGTCGTTGAAGGATCTCTGCCATCATCAGGAAGCCTACCCAGGTGGGTAGAAAGTTAGAAATGAAAAAGGAATGGAAAACGATCAGAGATGAAAAATTTCGAAGCCAGGTCCACAGACTGTATTCTTATCTTTGCGACTCCTTGGAGACCCGGGTTAGGTCCTTCAACTTGCGTTGCGACACATGTACCACATGCTTCTAGGAGCCATTCGCGTTCGTATGATCCCTCGAGCTCACGTTCTGTGAATATCGGGCCAAATTTCCACAGGATATTTGAGTGAGGATTTCGAAAACATGGGATGTCCTCAACCCAGAAAGTTGAACGGGCATTGTAGAGTTCTTCAAGGTCGTCCTTGATCTCCTCAAGATCCATTTTGGAGTTCGGACGGTCATGTCACTGTATATAGCAGCCGTTGAGCGCCACTTCACAGTTATCGTGGGCGAACTCAGCCATTTTAAGCCACCCGCAGTTCTCTGCCAAGTCCTGCTAAACCCATGAGCCAATCACAATCCATCGAACCTACACTAAGTAACAACGTTTGAGTGCATGTAACAGAGTTGAGACTCACCACCAATCCCTCAACGAATTTTCGAGTCTGAAGCAGAGTGACACGTGACTTACCCCTGAACCTCCAATTTTTCTCGCTTTTCATCAAATCGCTCTCTACCTTCCTCTCCGCTTGCTCTTCTCTGCTCATTTTGTCCCGCTTGCTCTGCCCACCCCTCTATTCCCCACGAACTAGTAGTCGACATGGTCAGGACTCGGCAACTTAAGCGGGGAGAGGTGACTTACTCCTGGGCGAAGGACGAGAAGGCTAATATGCTCATCGCTCTTGAGGACAATGACCAAACAAACCACCAACTCGCTCATTTGTACAGTCATTCCACCTTAGTGGAGCAACTTGTCGCACACCACCTGGGAATATCCCCAAAAGAGTGTGAAGTGGCTGGGGGTTGGTTCCATGGTAGCTACAATATCTGTGTCCCAATTTCTGTCCACGGTCGCAGACAGATGTTGATGCGATTTCCAATATTACACCGAGTCGGAGAATCGTTTCGACCGGGCAATTCAGACGAGAAGATACGATGTGAAGCTGGAACTTACACATGGCTGAATGAAAATTGCCCCTCAGTTCCCGTGCCTAAACTTTACGGATTTGCTCTGTCGACTGGCCAATCTGTAAGACATTACATACGTCATGTTGTTCTTTGCTAACAGGAATCGTAGTACACTGCCGCTGAGAAACTACCATGGCTCCCGCGCTGCTTCCACCATATTCGTTGCCAAATACTCAATTTATTCGGCTATGCTGTTCCATCCAAATATGTCCGGCACCAAGGGCCGAGTTTTGATGTACTAAAAGCCGGGTATCTTTTGATTGAGTACATCGATAAGTCTAAGGGTACTATGCTTTCATGTACTTGGGAAGACAAGCGACATGACAACAGTTTTCGTGGCAATTTATTCAAGGGTCTTTCGCGGATATTATTGGACATCGCCAAGGTTCCAGTACCACGAATCGGCTCATTTGTCATTGATGATGATGGCTTTTTAATGTTGAATAACAGACCACTTTCAATAGAAATTCATGAGCTGGAGGGAAAGCAGATTCCGGTTGACATTCCAAGGGATATGACTTACTCCTCAGTTGACTCTTATATTACTGACATTCTTGCATTTCATGACAGCCGTTTTGCTCACCAGCCAAATGCTCTTAAGGACAGTGCCGACGGTGCCTTTCAAGCGGCAGCTTTGGCAACAATGAGAACAGTGTCTTCCTATTTCTTTAAACGCGAACTCCGTCGGGGCCCGTTTGTGTACGTTTTGAATGATCTTCACCAAAGTAATATTCTTGTTGATGAGGATTGGAATATCACATGTCTTATTGACTTGGAGTTTGCCTGTTCACGGCCGATTGAGATGCTTCATCCCCCCCATTGGTTCACAAATCACTACGTTAATAAGATTGATGTGAACCATTTTACAGTCGCACATCATGAGTTCGTGACTCTCATGGAACAGCAGGAAAAGGAGCTCTACACTGATACAACAATACCTGTTGCTAGTGTCATGAAAAGAGGATTGGAGAGCAAATCATTCTGGTATTCCCTGGCTTTAAAAAGTATAACCGGACTTGAGCATATATTTTTCGAGCACATTGAAACGACATTCGCAAATGACGCCGATGACGACCCTACCTTTATCAAAGTGGCACATAAATTCTGGACTGCACAAGTGGATGAGTTCTTAGCTAAAAAGGTGAAAGACAAAGCAGCTTATGACAAAAGACTTCAAGAAGAGTTCGACGTCGACTTCGCCGCATAGAATACCCTCCAATCATCCATCTCGTGGAATGTTCAACTGGTTGTATGCATCTAGCCGCCTAGCGCGTGTCCGACTTTCTTCGTGATTAGCTACAGCAGCTTGCCCCGATGAACTGAGCTGGGCGAGCGTTCTGGGACTTATTGGCGGTAACACTTCAGTCGTGGCTCTAGGCGATGCCGAAGGTGGAGTCATCGAAGGTGGATGCGATTCACGCAGGCTCGATGGATCTGTATTGCATGGCGGCGGATTTGGTGGGTGTGGGCTTGGTGGAAATGCAGTCGACTGATATGTACTCGGCGGAGGCTGATTTGATGGTCGTGGACTCAATACAAATGTAGTTGACGGGGGTGTATTTGATGGAGCTGGATTTGGCGGACGTCGGTTCACCAGACTAATAGGCTCACTAACAGCCGCCGTAAACAGCTGTCTCTCAGTTGGTGACAAGCTGTTCCTTGTTTCTTGCGACCGCAATAGATCACTTAGATATTGCTGTGCCTGCGCTGCTTGTTCGGCGGTGGGAGGTCGTGGCTGGATATAGCCGATAATTATATTTCCGTACTCGGAGCTCCTGGCGCTCCTGGCCCAGTCCGGGGGAGGGAGACTTGTCGAATAATCACTGCTGCTGTTGCTACGATTCTCGTAATAACTCAGAATTGTCGCGAAGGTCTCGCGGGCCCTAAGGATGTTTTGGTCACTCATTTTTTGATTTTTTGGGGGCCCAACCCTGACATTTCTTTCTTGATTAGCGAATGTAACACCCCTGTTTATCCAGAATGGATTTGATCATACTTAAGAGACCAAGGATCGTGACAATTTTCAAAGGAAAAAGCTAAGACAATTGATTTTCTTTTATTTCGAAGTATGACTACAGTGGGAAATCATTTGTTCCCCAGCCTCGATGGCATTCCGCGTCTCTAAGCAAAGTTACGAAACAGAAAGGAGAGAGGAAGAGCCTAAGAATGATGAGATGCCATATGAAAGACCAAGCCTTCCGGATGCACACACCGTTTGGTTCCGTCTACACCATGCTTGGAAATCCTTGTAAGTTTACAGACGAACTGCAGAGGGGACAAGCAAGCCAAATTCAGCCTAAGGCAGTCGGACCATCTGCTTACTCCGGACCGCTATGTTGCCTGATTTTGATTTTCAGCGTGGCCCATGACAAAAGTACTGGTTTGCACACACTACAGCGTAGAAAATGAGGGGTGATTCAACTTCCAAATGTGCCTGACGGGCCATGCTTAGCGAATTTTGGTTGTTAAGGTAAATAATGACACAAGGCGGCAGAGATATTAGATTCCCTACACAAAAACATGCGTTGTCAGTCCCAAAGCGGGGGAAGATAGAGAGTATTTATTGGTCTTACGAATATCGAGATCTGACTTTACCATGATTGACTGTATCTATGGCAATGACTCCCTCCAGCAACAGATCAAACCACGGACAAGAGTACCACAGAAAGTCTACATATTTCTCAACGCAAATGTGGTTAAACCGGCTAATGGCTCTATCCTAACAAATCAAGTTGTCAAGATTTCTAGAAGCCTTGTCGAAGTTATCCCAACTGTCTCTACTTCGACTGATAGATTGCTGGATGCAATCAAGGTAAATGTACAGGTAAAATATCTTTTATCCCCGCTTAATAGATTGCCATGTCCATCTACTTGCAGTTCCCGGTGTAAGAGAGCTCCATGATGTGTTGAACATGGATGAATCTGTCTCATCCATGCGACAGCCTCCCGTATGCAATGCAATGCTTTGAAGGGGCCCTCACAACAATCCGCGGCTGTGGGGGAGTCACCTCCCTCTTCAAGAGGCTATTAATGATGGTGTCTTCTCAGGTCCCCGCCTCTTCATTTAAAAGCATGCACTCAGTCAAACCGGTGGGCATGCCGATATGCCAGGGCCCCATGATCACTCTGACTGTTAGTGGCGCAATCACTGGATTAGGCCTTACAATCCGACGATATGACAGAAAGCCTCAAATACACTAGAGACGAACTCCTCTGAGTGCGAATTTTATCAAGATCATGGGTGCGAGAGGCCGATGGATTGACTGCAGAACACACAATTTCCTTCCCAGGAAATCTAGATGAGTACTGAATTGTCTCGTTCCTATCATACTTCTGACTTTGCACGCCTACACTCCTCAAGCTATTAGCCACTGCGCTGATGATTGGCATTATAGGGCATCTCTCTCACGCCAACCCTAGTCACGTATTTGGAAATGGCCTCTCCCAGCTGGAGCGGTTACTTCCCTATGAAATGCGCCTCGAAAATGCTGAAGTCCTCAGAGTGGCTTGCAGGCGACGCTAGAGATCGCGGTTGATGCTGGGATTACTTTATGTTACTGTTCAGATCTGCTGGGACGACGGCGACGATGATGATCTCTTGGGGTAGCGCAAACGAAATAATTTTGATTACGCTTGTAGGTCTTGTCTGCGAAGCAGGTCCTGCAAAGTGCCATTGTAAATGCGGCACGTATGCTTCGGCAGGAAAAGTCCTTAGCTCAGGTCAAAGCAGGGTTCTCAGCTGATCTGTTGGTGTGAAACAGAATCTGCTGGAGGATATTCTAATACTCGATCGCCCAGGGAGATTTGATTTCTGTGATTCATGAAGGACTGGCCGCTCGCAGCTCCTGTGGATTTCACGAGGCCAGATTCTTTGATTGAGTGATCTGTAGCGCAAAGCCCTGGAATCCGTATTCTTGTGTGGTTTGTCTGTGACTTGAGATTTCAGCCATTTTATTGAATATGATGCCATATCTCAAAAGCTATGAATACGGGTAGAGTATCCAATTTCCTGGTATTCTGCTGCCCAGTATTAGGGTTGAAAGAGCCTTCAGCACTGAATAAAAGGAGCGATAAGTTACCAGACTCTCCACAACGTAACCAGCTTGAGCTTGGACAGGAGTTAGTGTTTGGCCGTTCTATGCCCAGTATATTTCTCCGTAAATATTTTCTTGTTCTTCACGATTGAGAGTGGTGTCATATCACGTGAGTTGGCACCCACATAGTCGCCCGGGCAACCAGCTGCCAGATGGTTGCGAAGAACATCACCGAAAGGCTCAAGTTATCACGAAGCGCGCAAGAAGCTCGTCACGATCTGAATTTGCAGTATTCTTCTTGTCTTATTTGGTACTGAATATATCCCACAAAGGGTCTAAAATTCGCAGAGTGTGAAATATTTGAAACCAGACCGCTTCATCGGAAATTGTGTCAGACAAAGGGAGGGGCTCAAAAGCACCAAGCTTGTGCACCTACCTGTATTGGAGCGAAGAGACAGTGAGAGATTCATGGCGTCCTTCATAACAACCATGTTAGTATCCTGTCCAGGCAATGTGGAGCATTTATATATGGGATTTATGAGACCAAAGCGGCAGTGATATCTACTACCGTGAAAACACCATAAGAGCATCCTGGCTAATTCACTGTTCATTTCATACAGCAATGCGCGATCAAAGGGCTCTTTTAGGCCAAGAACGGCACATAGGGGAACTACCAACTACCAGCTGAGGCAGTTTGCAGAGGCTACACTTGGCAGTGGGAGTCTAAGGAAGGCAGTGAAATTGCCGGAGGGAGAAGACCTAAATGAGTGGCTTGCAGTGAACGGTATGATTATTTAAAACCACTGGAAAGATTTCTGCGAGAAAGATGGCAAAGAGATATAGAAAACTTGCTAACTTTCGTAGTTGTGGATTTCTATAACCAGATCAACCTTCTTTACGGATCAATTACAGAATTTTGCTCGCCGCAGTCATGTCCGGAAATGAAGGCTACAGATGAGTCAGTGATGAAAACATGCATATTTCAAACATACAAGAGACAAGGAAGCTTACAGGCTGGTAGATTCGAGTATTTGTGGCAAGATTCCGAAAACTACAAGCGGCCTACGAAAATGTCAGCTCCTCAGTACGTTGAGCATTTGATGGCTTGGGTCCAAAGTAATATCGACAACGAGCAAATGTTTCCCAGTCGAATTGGTATGTTCACATCTACATTTTGTCAATTAGTAGTGAAGGATGTAAAAATATTATTGTGAGACTAATAATACCGCTGTTCGGATACAACTAGGCGTCCCTTTCCCCAAAACCTTCACTAGTCTCTTGCGCCAACTGTTCAAGCGCCTTTACCGAGTATACGCCCATATCTACTGTCACCATTACCCAGTGATTGTAAATTTGGGCCTCGAACCACATCTTAACACTAGCTTCAAGCATTACGTGCTCTTCGTGGACGAGCACAAATTGGCCAGCGGGAAGGACTTCTGGGGCCCGCTGGGCGATCTGGTGGAAAGTATGCTTCGCAGCGACTAGAATGACGTATGGACTACTTAAGAAGATATTGCATTGATAGGAGCGATATACCACTCTTCTTTTATCAGAGGAAAGGAGGGTAAAGAATTATGTTATATGAATTCCTGGGTTCTCTTTCTCTTCTGGTGCATTTGAGCTGGCGTTTTGTGGGGTTAGGATGTATGTTACCGCAACAAGTAATTCTGTTAGAATCTATGATATATCTGTATACCTTTTCCCTCGAAAATTTCAACATTATTTGTCTCTCGATACCATTTTGCGACGGGTATGGCAACATTTTCTAGCGTCCGACGTCATAGAGCACTAAAAATTACCAGTTTAATACCGTATTGTAATTGGGCGTCCAGATGAATTTTATAATCACGTGCTATAACGAATGCTCTCTTTGGCTATTTCCAGTCCAACGTCAATTGTATCCAGGACTGTGGTCTCCGGCAGCAATTGCAACACCCCACTCTCTATTCAACCCCTCCACGTTGTGTACTTCTTTCCCTGGTATCATAGAGACCCTTTGCTACCATGTTGCCCTCCAGAGCAGCTCAATCCACCCTTCGGGCGACAGCCCACCAATTATCCTCTACTCCTTGGGTTGCCGTTCGCACTGGTGCCAGAACCTACGCCACGACCACAACGAGCCCAAAGCCTCCTATCGCCCTCTTTGGAGTCGATGGCACTTATGCCAATGCTCTGGTGCGCATTGAATGAACCCCTTCCCCCTCCCAACTACGTCACGAGAAACAATTAGAGCTTTCCCAGTCTAAGTCTGATTTGAAAAACTAACGTATTTCGGCACATTTTTGTTCCTCGGATAAATATCAGTATATCGCATCGGCCAAGACATCCAACCTAGAACAAACCTCCAAAGCCCTGGCGACTTTGGGAGAGGTGTTAAAAACCGATGTCAAATTACCCGGCATGCTCAGCGCTCCCACCCTCACCGCAGCCGATAAATCCCAGATTATCCAGGAACTGCAACGAGTTGCCGGTGGCCCAGGGAAGGACAACATCTTGAATAACTTCCTCTCTACTTTGGCCGAGAACAACAGGCTTGGTGTCTTGCAGGGTGTTTGTGAAAAGTTTGCTGCTTTGATGAGCGCCCACAACGGCGAGATTGAGTTGGTTATCACTAGTGCTCAGGTACGGCGATTTGTTGAATCATCTTTTGGATTGATGAATATCGATCGGGTGCCTCTTGAACATGGAGACGACTAGGATGGGGCGATTGCTTGAAGAAGTGAACTGTCGATCTGACTAGACTCCTGTATACAAAAATTTAGAAACTCGATACGAAGACCCTTCAGCGCCTCGAGGCAGCTGTTGCCAAGTCTGAATATAGCCAAGGAAAGAAGCTCAAGGTTGTTTCAAAGGTATGTGAATCCGGGCGTCGAGCTCAATTTCTTGAGACAGGTTGGAATCATTATGCAAACTTCAAACACGGAACTAACCATTGTTTAATTTTCTTCTTATAGATCAATCCCGATATCGTGGGCGGTCTAGTTGTCGAACTTGGCGATCGAACAATCGACCTCAGCGTTTCTTCCAAAATTGCCAAGCTGAACAAAGTCCTCACTGACACCTTGTAAAAACATATTCTCCAAATATGACACCTCGGGGCACTGAGAAAAACCAATAGATATTCCTTCTAAATTTACGTGTACTTTTGCTTTGTATTACCTGTTCTTCCTACACATAGTTACTTTTCTGATCCGCCCGCTCTCTGGCGAGTTTAGAAAGACGAAGCTGAGAACAAGATGAATCGGTTTCTGTACTTTGTCGACGTGTAAATTTATATCCTATATGTATTGCCGATATAGTTCAAAGCATATTTTTGTCCATCTGGCGTCCCTTACTGGCAGATCATCTGTAACAATTCACGTAAAACTCCATACTTCATTGGGCATTGCAGGCAGGTTTTCCGGTACGTGGGAAAAAAATACGCCAAGACGCCCCTGTAAGATAAACCTGACCTAGTAATGCCAATACACACTGTTCCTTGTTCCTAAAGTTCAAGGTAATGCAAAACATCCAAGGGTAGCTCATCGTTGTTGACGCCAACATATCTCCAACACCGACAATATACCCCCCCTTGCAGCGCGCATAAAATCCCTTAAGGCCTACATACTCGCGATATATATACAGTTTTTCGAGTTCCTTGTCAAAGTCGACAACTTTATTACGTCTCAACCTATCGAGGTTGTATTGCTACTTACGAAGGCATATGTCAGTTCGCGTCTTCAACACAGAATACAGGACCCCCATGTTCCCGTCTGCATAGGGACCTCAATTGCATGCATATCCGCTTCCGTTGGCTAAGATCGGTTTGCCTGCAAGAGATATAGCGTCTCCTATGCGGGCAAGCTCTAGAGCTCTAGAGCTTCAAAGCAATCCATGCCGCACTCTGCAATGAAAACAAGGCCCCATTTGTTTGGAGACGTCCAACAACGAGCTCCACCACCTTCTCTTAACCATGGAGCAGCCAATGGTAATTAATATCAATGGAAATAGCAATAGCAATCATATACTAGGTTCCAAAATTAGACCACCAAGCTCGCTTGGGGCGTCCATAAAGATCACGCCAGCGAACTCTCCAGCCCTAAAACCGGCAGCAAGACCTCCTCACAAACCCTCGCATTACTCGACATTATCCCTGCAGACTGTGATCGGGACGACCACATCAAATCCGAATGGCTTCTCCTTCCACGAACCTACAAAATCATTTGCGCTGTGTGCAGGTTCAGCGACAATTTTAGCTGAGGTAGATCAGGACATGAACATCTCACAACGTTTCTTCCGCGCACGGCCTACCGCAGCCCCTGTTAATCCTGTCCAGTCATTCTATAATACGTCGACACCTCCCACTACACCCGACCTGCGGATAAGGTCACTTCAACCGGCAGGTAGATCGTCGGGTATAAACGGAGCGCCATATGCCGGCTCTCCAAATATAGAATGGGGCGAGAATTCCGGCTCGCGAACATGGACTTCACGGGAAAGGATAAAAGCAATCACATGCGTTTCGATAAGCCCAAATGGCAGATTTCTAGCTGTAGGAGAGGCATGTTACACATCCCACCATCTACAACGGAGAAAGACCATCAAAATCCCACTAACACAACGTAGACTGGTTATAGCCCCCGGGTTTTGATATTCTCGACTGCCAAGGACTCACCACTAGATATCCCTGTGTCGATAATGACGGATCACTCGTTTGGCATTCGTAGCCTTGCATTCAGTCCCACCTCGCAGTATTTGGCTACGCTCGGTGATATCAACGATGGGTTCTTGTTCATCTGGAATGTGAACTTGAAAAACGGCGCGGCGAAGCTACACTCGACAAACAAATGCACATCATTTGTCAGGGATATATGCTGGATGGGAATCAGTTTAATAACGTACGTGTAGGGGTGAGATACACATGTCATTGAGGGATATTCACTAACAATTAGCTTCACGTAGTGTTGGAATAAGGCACATTAAAGTCTGGAGATTGACCGAGCCTAGACCTAACTCTCCATCCAAACAGCAACGATTCGTCCTCGATGCTACGGTACCTTCTCCGTCAAGCTCCTCGCCAAGAGCACTTGCTGGAAGAAACTGTCTTCTGGGCAGCTTGGGTGACTGTACATTCACTTGCGTTTCAAGCATTTCAGACGATGAAGCAATTGTTTGCTCCGATAGCGGTATGATATGTATTCTTGATGATACTAACGCACAGCAAAAGTTACACTTTGTCAAAAGCGTTACTTTTGGCATTTGCTCCATTGTAGTTGACCATGAATCCGGCATGGTCTGGTTCGGCGGCCGTGGCCGAAGAATACACAAATCTTCAATTGATGAATTGAAATCATTGATATCCCAATCACCAATATACCCGGACCATGACGAACGATTCTTGTCTAGTCCGAAGACAAAAAGGCCAGCGATCATCTCTATGGGTATATTCGCTACTCATATGGTCACGGTGGATTCCACTCGCGCGATACGGGTTTGCCCTCTCAGCAAAGTGGGCGAGGATAATGTCGATACGCTACCAGAAATATCCATGCCGGCACATCGAGATGCGGTACTCGGTATTGGGGCACTAACGCCTCCCGGGCCACACGAAGCGGACTTCTTTACCTGGTCATCAGGCGGAACCGTCAATTTCTGGAGCCTTCAAGGCAGATGCCGTGCGACAAGGAAAGTAGATCTTGAGCAGTTGCCCGGTAACGATGATGATAAAAACGAGTTGAAAATTGTACGAACCACAGCGGATATGACGACATTTATTTCTGGTGATAAATACGGTGTAATAAGGTGGGTTGTGAGGTCAATGTCAGAGAGGAAACTTCCAGTCTAATGCTCCATTTGCTCATGTCATATCCCAGATTAATCACCGGAGACCCATGGGAATGCACGAACGAGGCCAGAGCCCATGGCGGCGAGGTTACAGACATTGCCGTGCAAGCAAATAGCGCCGGAATAACCATAGTCGCCACCTGCGGTCGTGATCGGATGGTTCAACTTTTCAAAATTGCCGATAATTCCCTCCACTTGATACAAACGATGGATGAACATGTCGGCGCTGTTGGGCGCATCTTATTGTTGAATAACAGCGAAAAGCTACTGTCCTGTTCTTCCGATCGCACGGTTATCGTTCGAGATCGCATGACCCGTGAAACTGATGGGGATACTACGATAGCTTTCAGCCTGTCGAGAGTTCTTTCGCTGAAGGCGTCTCCCGTATCGATGACCCTTTATCCTGATGGAGAGGATACACTTATTTTGTCCACTATAGACAGGCATATCCACAGATTCGATATCCCATCTGGCAGACAGATCCATTCATTCAAGGCATCAGACCCGGAAACGAATGACACGGTCGTGCTCAGCTCATTGATGGCAAACTGTGAAGTGCCAGAACAAAGTCCCCCACTTCTTGTTGGAGTGTCAACGACGGACAAATCCATTCGAGTCTATGATTTTGAAAAGGACACACTCCTGACACGGGAGTTTGGCCATACCGAAGGCGTCAGTGATATCGTCCTGATCGAAACTAAGTCAGCAGATACCAAAGAAAGAGTAAAGAAAACTCTAATAAGTACAGGTCTTGATGGTATAATCATGATTTGGGAGCTTTCCATCCTGCAACAGCAACCTGTGCAAGAAATACAACAGGCGGCACCCGTTCGCGCTGAAGACACAACTCCGGCAAAGGAACTGACGGCTGTTAAGCCTCCACTACGTCGAATTCTCTCAAAGTCTGAACTTGCTGGTTTTCAACGCCTTGACGGTCCATCGCCCAGCCCTACGCCAGTCAGAGAGACATCGCCACCCCGCATCCGAAAGAAGACATCCCGATATACAATTAGCCCTTCAATATCGAAGATCGGATACAATACACCCATCCTATCTACTCCTCCACTTCCCCCACCTCGTCGATCAAGCGTCATGATTCCCGACAAGAGCAGAAGCTCCCCATCCCCACCCAGTCCCAAATCCCATTCCTCCAAAACCCTCTCGGCGAAAATCAGCAACAGCAGCCTACGCCGCCCCTCTTACGATCTCCGCTCTCGCACAAAGTCCAATGGGAATACCATCAATAGCCCCGCTACGCCTTCACCAGCACCTACTAGCGAATTTGGCAGCCTCAACATGTCCACTGAGCAGGTCTGCAGGACATTGAGAGCATACAGGAAGAAATTAAGCGGTTCAACAGACCCCTTAAATGCCGCCCCTGAGCTGGAAAGGGAGCTTGATCTCACTGTGCGCGCACTAGGGGAGCGATCGAAGCGCATCCAGATTAACGGGAATTCACACTCGCACCTCGAGAACCATTCCAAAACATGCAGATCCATCGGAACTTCGATGCCTGTCAAATCGCTAAAACTTGCGCGACGGATACCATCTACTCCAAATTTAAATCGTAATATGAATGGAGGGACCATATATAGGACCCATTCTTTGGACCCGGATGGAGAAGGGTAGGCGTTTCGAGGGCTGGATTTATTTCGTTAGCCTCATACTTGAATTTTTTTTTTCCGCTCTTTCTCTTCCCTGTTTCCTTTCTTCTCTTTCCGTATTTCTTTTAATATCTCTCCCTCGTGAAAATTGCTTTATTTTGTTTTTAATTAACTTTTATTTTTGTTCTTTTCTCTCTTCTTGTGGATATTCCCCCTGGCTTGCATGGTTTTCTATATGTTGTATGTTGGAAACGTGTGTCCATATAAAGCCGCCCTTTTCTCCTTAACTCGTTTCAGCCTATCTAATATAGGCGTCTAATTTTCTCCACTCTACCACATCTTGCTTTCCGTCTACATGTTAATTTCTCTTCCGTATAGCCCGCCCGAAATCCTCTATTTTCTTCCCAGTCCCCTTCTCCTTCTCCATTCCCCCTCGTTCCCCCTCCGTTCTTCTCCTTTGTTTCCCAGTCTTATACATACTTACTCAGTTTCATTTCTTCTGTTGGTTAACAACTTGATAATTAGCGATATTCTAGATAATCTTGTTGATGTTGATTGTTAACTATTTGATTGCAACTGGCTATCTATATGTTGATTGACAAATGGCATTAGTCATGAGAACTCCAAGCGATGTGAATGATTTAGATTTGATTGTGAGCTTGAAATCAATTGTAAATAATTGCAATTTGATTGAGCAAGCAGCGAATGAAATGATTGAGAAAGCAAAGTCAAAAAACATTGTTTTTGATATGAGTAAACTGAATTGATTCATTTTTATTCAAACTTCAGAGTGTGATGAGTAGGCTGTTGAATAGAGAACTGCGGAAATATCTATATTTAGAAACAGTAAGATAATGGCAAAGAGGTGTACGGAGTAGAAGATGTTAGAGTCATATTCATATATTCACTGGTAACGAGCTCACCCTTGAGTCCCAGTAGCCTAGGATGTTTTACTAGTGAGGGGTGTACACTTCAACATCCACGGGTGGTTTCAAAAAACTGAACGTGGTTCAAATTTCAAGTAGTCATTTGGATCGTATATTTTGAGCCATGATCAACTAAACCTACAACACAACTAGTGATTCTTTTCTATGTTTCTCAGACTCTCATCCTCTAACCCTCTAACCTAATCCCCTGATCTAACCTCTAATCTTAAGCGTAACCCACCTCTAAAGAGCCGATGGAGAGGTGGTGAGAGTATATTAATAATATCTTGTATGGGTGTGTTTTAGAAAGATGGACCATTTCTTGGCAAAAATCCGAGCCACGATCAGCATTTTCGAACCACGCTCAACTTAACTAGGTAGTGACACCACTGATGAAGAAATCAAGTAGAAGAAGATATATTATTTTAGATAAACATGACCATTGAAATTTCCCATAAATTGGCAGTACAGAATAGCAATAAAGTATCAGATCCAATGAAAATATCATAACGGTGAAGTCCACCCGACGAGGGAGCAGAAGGTAGCCGTTGGACTTGGGCAAACTTAAAGAGAACGATACCGCACCACAAAAAGAAAACCATCCTGTCTAAAACTCAGAGAATGATTGGGATAAATATATCATTATAATGCTGGATAGGCGCTACTCTATTTCCGAAAACTAAATGCCTGAATAATAAATAAATAAATAAACAGAGATAGAAAATAGAAAAGGAAAAAGATAACGAAAATGCAATCCTAGCCCAGGCCTTCGATCTCCTATATTACATGGCACTTCAAGCCAGATTACAATTTCCTGAGACCCAAAAGTGAACTGGCTTTAGCTAGATCGAAACGCCTTGCAGTTCCTCCCCAGCGGGTTCTTGAACGCTACCTCCATACACAGTCAAAGGAATCACGACCTCAAAAGATTCACAGGAAATACTTTCCAACGACGCCAAGACCATGCCTCTATCATCCCGTTCCACAGTCTCCAGCAGGTTGATTCCAGATGGTCCAAACCCATCATCATCAAGGATGCTACTGGTCACGAATTCAAAGCGAAGCTCCCATTCAAGATTGACCCCTGAAGTGATAATCGTCGGTGTCGCGGAGACAGGAATCGAGGGCGTAAAAGCCACCCTCGTAGCAAACAATGTGTTTTCAAAGCAGCGGGCGTGCATTTTCCGCGTCGCGCGTGTAATGCTCGCGCTGGAGCGGAGGGCAATTGTCGGGCTGACTTTTTCGGTCGTTTCAAGGGACCCTCGTAACGAGTAGCAAGGTAGTGCAGAGCCCGAGAAATCGATCGTGGCAATAATGGTCTCTCCTAGACGATGAGCTGGCCGGTTCAATATTATAACTGCAATCCGTCGTCCGTTGCGAGTTATCTCAAACCTGTTGGCACTTCGGTCCGAAGTCGATGATTGATTGCTTCGCAAAATAGCTAACTCGATTGCGTCTTTACAGGAGAATTGCCCTGTGGGGTAGAAAAGACCTAGACGATTGTCTGTGGACAGCGTTGATGTGGTGATAGATTCGCGCCTAACACAACGATCCAAAATCTCATCGACATAAGACAAAAACTCAGGAGCTGAGGTCCATGATTTTGCACTTATACTCTTTTCTTTAGTAGCGCGTGCAGGGACTTTGTCGAGTTTTTGTACACGGGCTTCATCTCGAAGCAACACGTATGGTCTCATCAAGTCATGTCCTAGAACACCTCCTTGGGCTTCAATGGTTTCATAAGTAAGAGTCGATTCATAGATACTGTGCATTGTAAAATAAAGGACTGTGCTCACCATCAACTCCACTGAGGACTCGGAACGGAACATTTATTCGATGGACCTTCTGTGGCTCTTTTGGATTTATGGCACGTTGAGTACCAATGACCAAATTATAGGAAACCTTGATCGCTTTCCCTTTGTGGCTCGCGGGCAAACCCCTTGGCAAGGTAAACGCAAAGGAAAAGCTCTTTTCCTCACCGGGATCCAAACGCAAGTCGACAAACAGAAGAGATTGCGGCGTGGACAGTAGGGGAATTGCCTGGGACGAGGCGACACCTCTCATGTCTCTTAAGCCATCGAGTTCGTTACTGGAAAGTAATGTAGATAATGAATCACTCAGATTATTCCATCCGCCAAGGGTTCCCCAAAATCCATTCCGGGCCTTCTCAGTTTTGCGAGAAACATCGCCACGTGCGGGATTTCCTACCACTCCCTTGCGTTTCACCTCCTCGAAAAGAGCTTGATTTATTAGCGACCCGTCAACGGTAAAAGAAGCGCTAATTTGGGCGTAGCCCATAAGTAGTGTCTGGGAATTATTTTTGCCAAGTTTCCCAACTGGTTCCATGTTGGAATGATGCCGTCTATGCCGGATCGGCAGTTGGGGTTTATTTGTATACGTCACATATTCTGACTCAAGTGTCTCGGTTGAATTGTTGCTCAAGGAATAGAACTCTCCACTACTGCGTGTGCTCCCGTTCATGCTAGAAGCGGAAAGTATCTTCATAGCAGGAGTTAAGCGGGTAGGCAGCTCTAGGGTAGGAACATCCTTCGTATTCAAGGTGGGTGGAGTGATGGAGACAGGGGAAGTATTTTTGCTCGACAGGGTATCACTGGGTGTGGGAGGAGCCTGCGGAAACTTAAAATCAGTTCGTAAGGCAGGCGGAGGGCGCCCCGAATCCTGCTGAATCTGATTTGGTATTTCTGATTGAGGATGTGTAGACAGCTGAGTTCGGTCCGGAAAGCTTCTTCGGCTGGGTAATGGCAAGTTTGGTATCGAATCGTTCCGCGCAGGACTGTAGTTTAAAGGGCGAGAAGCTATAGAATGTTGTTAGAACAGAGCTGAGCCTTCTCTGTATATTAAAAGAAGAAAATTACCAGGATTAGGGTTCTCTCCATATAGCTCATTCTTCTTTGAAAATACTTGAAAGCTTGCAGATCTAGAATGGGCCCTCCCCATCCTTTGGTTAACAGTGGGCGACCCTTGCTTTTCGGGTTCTAGGGATATGATAGAAACAGATCTCTTGTGTTTGTGGCCCGGAATTTGGATCCCGTTGCGATTCGCGGTAATCGGCGGGAAACTGTGGCTTAGGGAGAGCGGGGAGCTCATAGACGCTGCGCTCCGATGAGATCTGTCGAAACCGGATTGTCGATTCCGAGGGCTTGAGGTTGCCGAACGTCGATTATTGAAAGAGAATGGGTTCAGGGATTTCGCAGGCGAATAGTTTCCTCCATTGACCACTCCATTCATAGGACGCGAGCCACGTCTCGCGTGCTTCTGGGAAGCAGCACTAAGATCCGAACTGGAGCCGCTGGGGGAAACATTCTTGAAGGTTATGGTGCATTCGACATCCTCCCCAGCGAAAATAGTTTGCTCTTTCCATCGCACGAACACCTGTATGTCTGACTGCATGACGAGGGCGGAATAGCTCACCACATCGGTGGGTGGTTAATTGAGGTCCACCGCGCGGGTCGGAAATGGGAGTTGACAGTTGTCGGAAACTAATCGAGGAGAAGACTGGAGCAAAGCTACGAGCGGGGGCATGCTGTCGCAGCGGACAATGGAAAACAACTCAATCATGCGTAAAGGGACATCACAGGATCCACAGGTCAAAGCTGATTGTCAATAGTGACTAACGTCATAACACAGGCAAGAAGGGTGCTGGGGACGACTTGAACGTTGTAACTGCGCGGCAAAGATTGTAGGAACGACCTAGCAGGTGGGAAGCTGTGGCTGAAGTGTTTAGCGGCGGCTGAATAGCTTTATATTACACGCCACCTTGAACTCTGTCATTTGAGAACGTAAATTACAGCATTGGGATAGTCATCGTATCGTATCGTATCGTATCGTAAAACTATGCCTCAGGCTTATTTTAGCATCCTGAGCTTCGGGAATAACTAAGGCTTTCAATCGAGAATATCAATCAGGAACCCCCATAATGAGTTCCATAGACGAGTCATTTAAGTCCTTTGACTCCAGAATTCTAGATCTAGATACCATTACTTCGAGCTAGGTTCGACGCTTCTTCCCAAGAACCTTAGTATCGGAAACATCAGCAAAGCTTGGCCTGTGCGGTCGAACGCCAATTTCCGACAACTGATTCCAAATTCTTTTATGTCGTTTTTCCCAACGTTCCCGCCGTTCTGCAGCAATCTCCGGGCTTGGCCGCCATTTGCTTTTCAAGATTCGCCGGATTGCTTCCGGAGACACCTTGTATTCTTGCGCGAGGGCCGGAGTCGAATATGTGGCAGGGTCCTGTTGATGTAAATGTCGGATGGTATCGAGGGTATCTGGATGAAGGCGCTTTCGTGGATTCCACCCCTCCGGGAACTTCTTCTTTAAAGCTCTTTTCTGTATTTGCCAGGGCTCCAGCTCCCGGGGGTTATCGGAATTTTCTCTTTTTTGCGTTGCAGATTTCGAGCTGCACGGGATTTTTGACTTTGAATCATGCTTTAGAATGGCAGGGGAGGCTTTGGTGGTCGATTTAGAATTGAGGTTTTTATCTCTTCGATCGGAGTTGGGCCTACGTTCGTCAGTTCGATGTGGCTGGTCGGTGGCCGAAGAGCAGCTGGGTGATAGCTCAGGAGTCTCTGATGATTGTGAAAGTATTGGGAAATGATTGCTAAATGAGTGAGAGGAAGCAGGTTGCCAAATTTTGGTCGTAAATTGTTGACATGAGGTGGTCAAGCTATTTTTTCTGTAGTATGTTGTAGGAAGCAGAGGACGGATACCCAGGAAGCTTCTTAGCAACCCTGATATGACAAATGCAGAGGGCAATGAAGTTGGCTTCGCCATCGAAACGAATATTGTGATGCCTCGCACTCCTTTGCAATCTGTAAATTTGTAGTAAAATGAAGCGACTTCTTTCAGTGCTATTGACTTTGCGGGACAGAGCACGTGATGCATATTTGGAGGACTGAACATTACCGCTAGACTAAAAGGAGTGGGGTTCATGAACTACTGCGTATAAAGTTGAACTGTCATCTTCAGAATAATTTAGCGTCAGTCATTCATCCCCGCAAATAGCAGGCCATGAGATTTTCAACGTGTTTCTGCGCTGCCAACTTTATTTTGGCAGTGTCATCAAATGGACAAGGTCACTATGTTGCAATTTGTCAGATAAAGCAATAATGCTCTTTATATGCCGAATGAGACTCAGTAAGACGCTGGGCAATCTAATATAAACTTCTGGAGTTTTCTTTCGAATTAGGAATTTGAGATTTTATTTTTCCTAGCAAGCCTTTACATATTATTCACCATACCGGGAACATGCCGACTACTCTGCGAAGGAATCTATGGGACAGGAGAAGGGTTTGGCTTTCTGATTCAGAGCATTATACTGGTTGACGAAAATTGGCATATTGCAGGTCTAGGGAAATCTCCGAAGGACTATCTGGTTTCTATAGGATAAAAGGAATCCGCGTGGACGAGAAGATATGGTAAACCTCATCCTGTCCGATTTCCGCTTGTGGTCAATTTTGAAGGCATAAATCTGCTGGACAACCATGTCAGACTTCTCAACCAGTATATGGCTGTAGCCCCGTGTCTACTCGGAGGTGACTCCCACAGTGAATTGAACGGCTCTACTTTGCGCCACCCAGGTGTTGTGTTAGGAGAACATGAGGGTCTCTCATTCCTGACAGGTGCCGTTCGTTTAAGCCACTATCAAACAGCATGTAAAGATAAAATAGCACTCTGCGTCTGTGGAGTTCATCTGGGCCAAGGGAGTCGTAGTTATCAGGGAGGACAGGTTTCTCGAGTGTTTTTGGTGTTGGATTATCAGGGCTTTGGAACATTGGAGGACGGCCTATCACAAGTAGAAAAGGGAACAAGGTCGCATGATGCCAGTCTATGATGCAGGAAATCTTGTGTGTTTCCGGACATATAAATATATTCCCGGGTGTGAGATCTGAGCATCATCAATATTGCTGGTTCTGGCAATGTGGATGGGGTTTCTTTACCTCGTTGAAGTGGCTGAAAAGCAATGGAGTCAGGATACTTTTAACTTAAAGGGAGCTCTGATTTGGGAAGTTGAGAATTAGGACCACTACAATGCGGAGCTTCTAAACCCAGTCCCATGCCCCATATCTTTCACCGAGTTTGAAGTTGAAATGCACTACAACCAGGAACCGACTTGGTTTCAGATGAACGGGCTTGTTGAGTACTGGAAGTCAGAGACGTAGGGCTTTAGTGATGATGGGCTGGTTAGGACCGAGGCTTATGAAGATGCTATGGAGAGGAATGTGGAGCTAAAACAGGGTTTACTGGATGGCTCTGATACCCTAGAGGAGGAGCGATGTGTTCTGGAGCAGTGACCATTTCAGGATCATGAAGAAGATGTTAACTGATTCTTTAAAACGTTACGATGTTGCCATACGACTCTAACAACTACGAATGCGATATGGATAGCCCGGAAGAGGTGTGAAACTTGATCCTTGATATAACTAGATCGCTCCAGCTTTTTCGCATTAAGGGGTATTTACTGTCCACATCCCTGACATATATGTATACTTAGGGTTTGTATAAAATAAGTCTACTCGCGAATCTAGCCAACCCTTGGCGCCAAAGAGCAATCAAGTTGCACCAATCATTCTTGTTCATCAGCTCCAGCCTTAAACTCATCCTCGTATACACCGACTGAAACTCGCCTCGCCAGAAACTCAACCTGTTCATGGACGTAATTCCTCGTTTGCTCATTAACGCCAGGAGTATCATCCTCACCTAGCATTCTTGGGCTCGACTCAAACGGGTACATGCTTACGCTCTCATCACCAGCCTGGGTGCTGGCGAAACTGCTTCGTTGGCCAATGGAGCGACTGGTTGAGGATCGGCGGAGCATTTGGGATTTGGAGGGCCGGGGCTTTGAAAAGCGGGATAATATATCGTCGAAGTAGTGTGAAGCGGCGGTAACCGGGGTTCGTGGAGTATGTGGGAGGCGGCAGGTAATTCTGTTCATTAAGTTGTCAGCAGGTAATAACTCAATCTACAAGCCCTATTTGCCCATATCTTAGTTACATACCCGGTATCATGTATCATTTTTGCGATCAGGCCAGTCCAGCCGCACTGATGAGAAGCCCCAAGGCCTCGACCAGTATCCGCATCAAAAAATTCATGAAACCAGAGAAAATCCTTCCAGTGGGGGTCAAAATCAAGGATATCGTTTCCACCATTGACAGCTCTTCGATCATCATCACCCCTGACAAAGAGGTGCTGCAAACGATGTTGGATTTCTTCAGCCACCTGGCCCAAGTTCATATAGTCTCCAGAGCCAGTTGGACATTCAATTCGGAATGAATCCCCATAAAACATATGAAACCTCAGAAGCGACTCGATCAGCAAAAAATTGACACAGAGCCAGATCGGTCCTCTCCAATTGCTATTGCCGCCAAAGAGTCCGCTGTCGGAGTCACCTGGCACATATCCTACTTTGAATTCTTGGCCATTCACTTCCATTGAATAGGGGTGTTCGGAATGATATTTCGACATGGAGCGTATCCCATGGTCTGCAAGGAATTCGGTCTCGTCAAGCATTCGTTTGAGGATCTTCTCCAGCCTATCTTTGCTCACCAGAGAGAGAAGACGTCTGTCGTCCTTACCGCGGCGCTTCATGCTAGCTATGTTACGTTCAGCGACGTCGAATTTGTTATCAATAAACCAATTCATTCGTCGCTTGAAATCAGGAAACTTGTTGATAAGCTCTGGTTCCAGGGTAAGCACAGCGTATAGCGGTATTAATCCCACAAGGGATCGGACAGGTAATTGATGGCTCCACGGGCCCCCATAAGAAATCGCATCGTAATAGAACCTAGATGCAATTAATGAATATGTCGCCATATGAATCGTCGATGGAACTTAAAAGGCTTACCCATCCTCTTCGTTCCATAAAGACGATTGTTCGTTTCCAACCCTGAAAGTCATCGCGTCGCTGATCAGGATGAAGTGCTCGAAAAATTTTGAAGCAACTGACCATCGTTAGAACAAATTGAACGTGAAAGCTTGGTGTGAATGTCTTACTGTCTTCATATATCCTTCGGTGCTTTGCCAATTCCAGTGCGATGTTAAGCATCGAGAGAGAGTAAAATGCCATCCATCCAGTGCTGTCGGCCTGTTCGAGGACACCGCCTGTTGGTAACGGTTCCGATCTATTGAAAAGACCAATATTGTCCAAGCCTAGGAAACCGCCCTCGAAAATATTTTTGCCGTCGAAATCTTTTCTGTTAACCCACCATGTAAAATTCATGAGCAACTTTTGGAACACCCTTTCCAGGAAATCCAGATCCTGTCGCCCATACATTTTTCTTTCAATTTTAAAGATTCGGAAAACTGCCCAAGCGTGTACCGGAGGGTTGACATCGCCAAAGTTCCATTCGTAGGCCGGAATCTGTCCATTAGGATGCATGTACCATTCTCTAGTAAGGAGGTCAAGCTGTTTCTTAGAAAACTCGGGATCCACCATAGCAAGGGGAATGCAATGAAAAGCAGTGTCCCATGCAGCGAAGAAAGGGTACTCCCATGAATCAGGCATGGACAAGACATCATCGATATGCAAGTGCTTCCACTTCTGATTGCGAATTGCTTTTCTTTCCGACGGAGGCGGCGGCAACCCTGGGTCACCTTCTGCCCACTGGTCCCATATAAATTGATAATGCTGTTTTGTCCACATCATCCCAGAAAGAGCTTGTCGCTGAATGTTCCTCAAATCATCTGCCATCGGCAAAGGGCTGATGCGGTAGTAAAAGTCGTCGGCTTCTTCAATGCGCTTTTCGATAATATTATCCAAAACCTCCTCATCCACATAGAGATCATTCCTTTTGGATATGCGGAATCGAACAACAGCGCATTCCCCAGGAGGGACGCCATCTCCTTCATCGAAAGCATACCATGCCGCAAACTTGGTGCCCTGACACTCTGGATTAATGGCTTCCTTCTCTTCGTCAACGATATACCTATGAAAGGCATCCTTAACATATGGCTGCTCGTTGTCTGTACCATACAGAAATTTGGCATTACTTTCGTTTTCAGTGAATAGAGAACGAGGCACGACATTCTCTTTCGCGCTATCGGCAGTGGGGGGTGATGGCGATAGTTGGACATATCGAGTACCAATCTTGCAGTGGTCTGACTGGACAGTTAATGGGCCAATCTTTTTGAGTGACGGTTTTTTTCCATTCTCGCGGCCCCATCCCCATGTGTTCCTAAACCAAACGTGCGGGATGATGTGTAACGGAGCGGGTTCCGGGCCCCGGTTGTACGCGATGACACGAAAGAGCAATTCGTCTTCATCCTCTTTTGCTGTTTCAATAAAGATGTCCCAGTAGCGATTATCGTCAAAAATTCCTGTGTCAAGAATCTGGTACTCCCTATCCTGTTTCCCACGCCTTGCATTTTCTTCCACAAGATCTTGATAAGGGAATTTCTTTTGTGGATATTTGTACAAATATTTCATGTATGAATGCTGTATTCCGTAGTTAATTAGCTATTAGATTATGCAAAGTCACAAAAATAACCATTGGCTTACTGTTGGAGTATTATCCAAGTGGAAATGAGCTTCTTTGATGCTTTCACCATGGTTTCCTTGTGGGTTAGATAGTCCAAAAAGCCGCTCTTTGAGAAAATCACTACTCAAATTTTAGTAGTTTTCAGCCAGAGCAAGGGTTCCCAGGTACTCCCTACTCTTTCTCATTCCAGAAGGCGAAGGCTATATTCTGGAGACCGTGGGTATCTGATACTCCGGCAATTCCGTCCTCTCCCCAACGGTATGTTCTCGATCTAGCATGATCATGAGGGAAGTCTTGAATTTGGATAAACTGTAAGTCAATGCTGCATTCTGTGTATGATATTCAAAACCTACAACGCCATGCATCTCCGTCCGCGCTGTGAGGTTTTGCTGGTCAGACCAGGAATAGTTTCTTGCATCTTGCATACCGGGCAGGACACTCACGAATAGTCCTCACGGACTGAGCCGTTCAAATTGTTAGCTGCGAATTTCGTCGCGAACTCCGGATGTACCAACTAACCTGTTGCCCACTGTCTTTCTGCGACATATGGTCCCCATTTTTTCCAGTATTTTATTCGCTTCCGATCCTCATGTAGTCGTTTCTCTTCCTCACAACGGTATTGGGAGTCGTCCATGAAAGCCAAAGGTCTCAAATAATATCTAAACAGGGGCCGAAGAACCAATTGTGGAAGATCTTCCCGCCCAGCAGTGTTAGTTACGCCAGTCTATTACTGTAAGAGTTGGGCCTCGTTCTCTTCCGCGAAGCCCAACTTACGGCAAAACCTAGCATGCAGCAATGACGTTGTTAAGTTGGATCGCCAGGGACTCTCGCTGGGCACCGTTAATGAGTGGCGATGAATCTTGAGAACTTAGACAGTGAATAAATCAGCGACAAGCGCCTGATACGGAATATGGCGCGCCAATTCAGCCATTCAAATTAAAACCTACAAAGTATTTCTACTCGATGTGGGATCTTGGTGCGGGGCAGGGAACATAAATTTTCCGCCATCGAACAACAATTGCGGGCAATTTATTGGAGACTCAGACTCCTGAGAAACAATCACACCGTACGGCAGAGCGCCTTCACCAGCCGGAAATCTTCCTGATGCTCACATCTCGCAATGTCGGCGTCCTTGGTGGCGGCCAATTGGGCAGGATGCTCATGGAGGCCGCAAACCGCCTGAATATACAGATGACCATCCTGGATGTTGATAATGCCCCCGCAAAACAAATCAGCGCCCACCACGGCCATATTACCGGCTCCTTTGCTGACCGTACTTCAGTACGTAGGTTAGCAGACTCATGCGACGTCATTACTGCAGAAATTGAACATGTGGATACCTATGCGCTTGAGGAAGTGGAAGGGCAAGTCGAAGTCCAACCTAGTTGGCAAAGCATTCGAATTATCCAGGATAAATTTGCGCAAAAAGAGCATTTGTCCCGGTATGCAATCCCAATGGCAGAGTATAGGGAACTGAAATCAAATACCGTTGAGGAGTTGGAAGCAATTGGAGAAGAGCTTGGTTATCCACTTATGCTTAAGTCTAAAACACTCGCTTACGACGGACGTGGTAAGATCTTTTATTACGCCTTCTTTACTCATTTCTTGCCGTGGCATTATCTAATTGATGTTATAAATTTTTTAGGAAATTATACTGTTAACTCAAAAGCATCAATCCCGGCGGCCTTCGATGCTCTAAAAGACCGACCCCTCTACGCCGAGAAATGGGCGAGCTTCAAAATGGTATGCGACTTCAACTGTCTTATGAATAGCAAGGGCCCCATTTCTGACGCTGCAATAGGAACTGGCTGTCATGGTTGTTAAAACGAAAGACGGCGTTCTATCCTACCCAACCGTCGAAACCGTCCAAGAGGATTCAATATGCAAGCTCGTATATGCCCCATCCAGGGGTGTCTCAGAAACAATTGACAAGAAAGCCCAGGAGCTAGCAAGAAACGCAGTCGCAGCATTTGAAGGAAATGGTGTATTTGGCGTCGAAATGTTCCTCTTGGAAGATGATTCCCTGCTGCTATGCGAACTTGCCAGCCGCATTCATAACTCCGGCCACTACACCATCGAAGCTTGCCCCATGTCCCAGTTCGAAGCACATTTACGAGCCATTCTCGACCTCCCCATACCTCAACAAAGCCTTCAAATCCGCCAACCAGCAATCATGGTAAACATCCTTGGAGGCTCAACACCAGACTCACATCTCAAAGTCGCTGAGCGAGCCCTCTCAATACCAAATGCTAGCATTCATCTCTATAGCAAGGGTGCTGCGCGCCCAGGGCGGAAAATGGGACACGTTACCATCACTGCACGTACAATGAACGAAGCAGAGTCTCTTGTCCAACCGCTGCTCGGCCCCACAGATGCCGTCGTCGCCACACTTAAATCACCTATCCTTTTCCATCCACCCAGGCCGACCAGTGCTCGACGTAGACCCACCATTGGTGTAGTGATGGGGTCCGATAGCGACCTCAAAACGCTAATACCCGGCCTCAACCTTCTAAAATACACCTTTGGCATCGAGCCTGAAGTTGACATTACTTCCGCTCACCGCACGCCTGAATACATGGCTGAGTACGCCTCTACCGCTGCCTCGCGGGGTATCAAGGTCATAATCGCCGCGGCTGGGGGTGCAGCGCATCTCCCCGGCATGGCAGCTGCCCACACCTCACTGCCCGTTATCGGAGTGCCGGTAAAGGGGAGCTCGTTGGACGGTGTTGATAGTCTGTACAGTATCGTGCAAATGCCAAGAGGCGTCCCCGTTGCTACTGTGGGGATTAATAACAGCATAAATGCGGCGCTTCTGGCGGCGCGGATACTGGGTGCTTTTGATGAGCAGCTACGGAGAAAGGTAGAGGATTATGCAAAAATTGCTAAGGTGGAGAATTTGGATGTGAAGGGGGCAAAAATGAGAGAGATTGGATGGGAGAAGTACTTTGAGCAAATGTCGAAATAAAATGAAAATTTGTGAAATGACGTAATTTATTTTCCTATTGATTTCGCATGCTATAGATAGAATGGCTGGCGATCGATGGTATAGACAAAATGAAGACTTCTCACCCTGGGTATCAAACCCCTCAGGCAGTTGATTCATGCTCACAGAACCGGATCAAAACGGCATAGTAAAATTGATTCATACGTTAATCATTTATTTAAAATTATGTAGCAAAAGTGGCGCATCGGGCAGCACAGCATGTATATTTTGCTAAGGGGGATGTATACTATCAAACTATCCCACTATGTTAAAGGAAATATTTCCCATTAGCACCGACGGGTTCAGTTCGTAATAACGATATGCGCATGCTCATGCGGTCGAAAGTAAAGTATATCGCTTCCAACTCGGCTTGATGGGTCGTGCATAAGAGGCAAATGATCGAAACATGGTCCGATTGAAGACCCCGACCCAACTCCTTCACCTCTTCACATCGGAGACCGAAGATCGAAGAATAGGCAATGCACCCAAGCACTCGAGCCTTCAAATTTCGTTATTTGTCCCTAAAGTAGGGCTTTGTGTCTCAGAATTGCACTCCTACCCCTTAAGAGGATCGAATTCAGGCCTGAATCATTTTTTGAAGACTACTTCTTAAGGGCAGCTATGTCTCCTTGCTTATGGCTTCTGGTCTGTGCATCCTCAGCTCTGATCAATCAGCTGCTTCCATTTCGACCCCAGCTTATATACAGAAGAATTAATAGATAATATTGAGAGAGAGAATAAATCAGCTATGCGGCAGCAGATAGCCCGCATGGAGTGCGCAGATAAAATGCCTTAGCTATAAAAAATAAAGTCAAAGGGAGACATTGAAAGCCAGGGACATTGAAAGAAATAGAGCGAAAAGTGGTGGAAGCGGCTATCTGTGGAATTATTGAGCGACAGAAATTGGGCCATTGGGAGGGGAAAGGGGAGGAAGGCTAATATTAAAAATGGTCGTATAAAATTGAGAAAGCAGTAATGAGAAATGGTGAATGAATGAAATGGTGGGGTATTCAATGAAATTATTAAAATGACTGGAATTGGTTCAAATAGAACTAAAAAAGAAAAAGGAAAAACAAGCATAAAAAATTTGAGAGGAGCCTTCAACGAGGGGATGGATGGGGGTATATGGAGGCAGGTACTGTAATCTATGTGTGTGTATGTACGACGCATCGTGAGGCATTGGTTGTTAAATAAAGGAAAGAAAATAAAAGAAGCTAGGGGGAAAAGTAAAAGCTCAAGAGAAGGAGAGAGAAAGGAATGAGGTATCAGAAATGGAAGCAGATATTGTATCCTGTCATATCTTTATGCAAGCTGTTGTGAGAAAAGGAGGATAAAAACGGGGGGGGGGGGGTTAGTCTGCATGTTGTTGGCAATCAAAGAGAGTGAAGAATTTCTTAATTCTTATGGAGGCTAAGAGCCGCAGGCTCCAGTGTTCCTTGACTTGCTGCAGTGGGAGTCTTTAGACAGAGAAGCAAGAAACAGACGTGACAAACAAATGAACAGGGTCCCTTTCTCGTTCACACTGTTTCTATTACGAATTTCGATCCATGTCACTGTCCTTCTCTTTTGACTCGCTTCTGGTGAGACTGTCGTCGCGCTTAGCGCTACTATCGGCATCGCTGGACGTAGTTGCTGAAGTCGAACCATCCGTGAACCCTTTGTCCGATTGGTCTGATATAGGAGATGATAAGAGCTACTGACCATGTCTTTCCTCCGCATCCTGGCCGGATGTTATCGTCTCTGCCATGTCATCTTTCGGTTGGTCAGGGCCACTTTCCGTACTATTGGAAGGTTGTTCCTCCGGGGAAACGGAACGGGAACTTGTTTCTCTCAGGCGCATTTCAGCCTCCCTGATTCTTGCTTCCAGAGCCTCCAGCTCGCGGTTTTGAATCGTGACCATTTGTTGCCTGGAGAAGCACAAGAAAAAAAATACATTATCAGTAAATGCGGAGAGCAAAGAACTTGTGGAATAGGCGTGGCTGCCATAATGTAGTGGATGTATTTGAGTATTTGAGTGTTGATTCTTATTGTAGAGTCGCCATGATATCATTTGCAGACAGCTAGAGAGCCGATTGAATTGATTGGATGTTGATAGGCGTACTTATAGTGCACAGATTGTGTCAGGCTGTCAACCTCATTATCCAGCATGAAGGCGTTATCAAGGGCAGCAGCAAGGGAACGGGCCATGGTCCTGCATTGAACTGGTCAACGAAGCTTTGTAAGCAGAAATTCGAAGAGAAGATAGTACGAACGACTGAGGCCGTCCGGTAGGCTTCCATTCTTCCTCTATGTCCGACATGTTTGTAGCGAGTGTGGTTGGCAAGGCGGTCGCTGGAGGTATACAGCGTGGAGGTTTGTATACGGAGCTTGGAAATCGAAGAGATGTAGATAGACGGGGAGAGAATTGAGGGAGTGGTAGATGAGACCAGAGCCAGCTGAGAGTCCAGGCGAGTAATCTGTGTTTTAAATCATGGAGGGGGGATGGATAGGATGGTGGGAGGCGGGAGGTGAGAGGCGAGGTGAGTTCCTGTGAGTTAAATTAAAGTTGTTAGAGACGCGAGACCTCCCCTGGGCCCAATTCTAATCTTGGACTAATCACGGAGGGGAGAGGCGTGACAGGCTCGGAGCCACAGCCAGCAGCCTGTAGGGATATTGAGCAAACGCTAGTGTACCTGCGCTCGGGGACCTTCACGGAGCAAACGCCACTATCGACTTGGACTGTGTGGCCCGTGTGGGCTTCCAGGCAGTGCTCGTGCTCCCCTCTCGTACACTCTGGCAGGCTGACCAAACACGACCAACAGGGGACAGGGGGTAGTGGAGAGGAGGGAAAAATTGAATAACAGAGCCAAAGGGAACGGAACGCGAAACCGGGGGAGGCAAGGTTAAAAAAAGGAGCACGGAACCAGCGAGTCTGGCATATCCTTTGCTATTCCCTGCTCTCTGGTTCTAATTTTTGTCTCGAAGCTGTCTGTGTTTGTTTGTTTGTTGACCTGCCCCTGAAACATGTGGATGACTCAGAATATGTCCCGTGACTGGCTGCGTTTTCACGTGACAATGCCGCATCCAAAGTCCCGGTTTGTCTCCCATCGTCATGAGCTCGACCCGTAGCATCCAAGAAACGCCGATTCCATCTATTTTCCATCACCAGGTTCTTCGAGGAGACTCAGCTGCCTTCGTCACGCCGCAAGTTCCCTGCTCAGTCGACACCCCAGCGTGGCTGTGGCTGTGGAAGACATCGTGATGGTCTGAAAGCGACGAAACACGCTTGCCCACCCTTCATATCTCAGAAAACTCCACCCCAAACCACGGACTACTCCCACCGTGGCTACCACCGTTGAGGACAACAACGCCCTGTCTGGTCGACCTGACTGGCAATGGGGGATGCCGTCGTTGTCATCCTACACTCCTTTCGAATCGCTACTCTTTTTCCAGTTCCTCAGCACCCTAGAATCCCGGCCATCCAACTTCTCGCCTATATCAGAGCTTCTGACCAATAACTCGTTCGTCCGCCAAAATGCAACCTTCGACAAGGACAGACTGACCCCTCAGGCTCTAGAGGCGCTTTATACAAAATTAGTACAAGAAGAGCTGCAAAACAGAGAGGGAACACCGTCGGGACACGGTTCCAATGGATGTAACTCGGACGCGGCGAACTCGAATCCGAAGAAAAGGAAGATACAGGATCAGTCGTCCAAACTCGTGCTTGATGGCGCTTCCTATTCTGTGGTGATTCCTACCCTTGTCGCTCGTTTATATGCCAGGTACAAGGAACGCGTGACACGGGAGATTGAAGACGAAGAACATAAATACGCCAGAATCAAAGAGGAAATCAAGAGGCTGGAGGATGGGGAACAGCTTCAAAACACCTTTTCGAAAATAGACGACCCATTGACGACATCCGAAATATATAAAGAATCCCCACAGACAAAACCTTTATCGCCACAGCCCGTGACGGTTTCTCCCAGTGTCAATGTAGTCCGAGGCCAGGGAACTGCCCTTGAGGAGGTGCAGGCTCTTCAGACCCCAGAGAATCCACCACCCGTTTTTGCAAAAGGGCAGGCAGCTGTTCAGCAAGCCCCACAAGCTGAAGGTAAAAACGCAAAGGCATCACACCCCTCGCCGCTACACTCCCAATCGCAACAGTGGCAGGAAAGTGGCCCACATGCTATCGTCCAAAGTATCCCAGCTCCCTCCCCTGCCCCAAGCCTGGGAAATGTAAATGCTTCCACAACTCCCTCTCAGGATCAAATCTCGGACCGTGGCTTGCAATGCGTCACGTCTAAGGCAGGTCAATCGGGGGTGAAAACTCCAACAATTCCTCGTGTAGGAACTGGGCGAGTGGCAGGTCAAGTCTTTACCTCAACCACACCCGCTGCTTCTCAAGCTTCACAACCGCCATTACAGCCTACGCCCACTGCTACAAGTGGGCCGCGACAACAGCGTACCTCCTTCCAACCTGTTCAATATTCCCCTCCCCAGGCTCAAATGACACTGGCACCTCCAAGCGCAAATTACCAACAGCCATGGTCCCCACAACTAAGCCCATCATCCCGGCATATGCAGTTGTCTCCCTATGCCAACATGCCTTCTTCAAACAGCCAGCTTATGGGCAAGTCCCCACTGTCGCTTGGCCATGTCCAGCCAAACGTGGGCAAAGCACTCCAAAATCCGTCTACGCCTTCACGCCAACCATCGCGGGCAGGAGAGCTTGAGTCACCTCAGCAGATAGAAAACGACGTTAGAGTTAAGACAACGTCGATGGAGCCGCTTCCGGCAACACCAGTTAGTGGCCCCGACGGATTGAATAACGTCACTCCTTCATTTTCAGCAGCCTTAAACAAGAGACCGCCTAGGCTGTCCGTGGACTCTTCTGGTTCGCTCACGCCTTGGAAAATGCCAAGTCCGATTGTCATATCCAAGTCGCCTGGGTCTCCATTACGGCCTCGACCCGAGGATGTGAGCCCAATCAGTGAACGGGCACCGTCACCAACGTTTGAGAGTGAAATGCCATCGATATCCAAAATTCGCTCCGAACCCCGAACTGTGCATGCAGACGTCGACTCCGGCCCGGCAAGGAACACTCGTCAGAAGAAGTCTACGCCAGCACGTAGAGGCAGGGCCCCTCCTAGTGCAGGATCTTCTCCCATGCGCGTTACTCGAATCCGGAGCCATAGTGCTCAATCCAACGTATCTCGTGACGATGAATCAATCACTGATTCTGGCTCTGTTTCTCAGCGAAAAATAAAGCGTGAAATACCGAGCACTCCTGCTGGAATCTCAGATGATACAGAAATGGAACCACGGACATCGAGACGGCTCAAGGTCCCAAGCCAGATCCAAGCGGACGAAATCCAATCAAAGGGAAGAGGGAAAAGGAAGCGGGGGCCTAGTGAAGGGGAAGACATGACTCAACCACCTTCACGGCAAGCATCGCAATATGTACAGTTTACCCGCAACTTCCCGCGAACATGTGCACCAATCATGAACGATGTCGCATCGCATAAGTACGCCTCCATATTTGCGAAGCCACTAACGGAGCGAGACGCCCCGGGTTATAAGAACCTTATTTACCGGCCCCAAGATATCAAGTCTATAAAATCCGCCATCCATCAGGGAAGCAAAGCAGTAGCAGCCGCCACAGAGGCTGTAAATACTCCAAGTGGAGAAAACGTCGAGTCTCCCGGCCCTATCCAAGGACATGGCACCCCGTCGAAAACCAACGGCCTGTTACTAAAGAGAACCGCAGAGCTGATCCCTCCCAAGGGCATCGTCAATTCGGCGCAACTAGAGATGGAACTTGTTCGAATGTTCGCGAACGCGGTGATGTTTAACCCAACGCCGGACAAGACTTTCGGTTCATCTTTCCCGATGCAGAGCAATTGGACTTCTCGAGAGGGGTCACAGGTTTCGGATATGGATGAGGGCGGTATCATCAATGACACGCTGAAGATGTATGATGATGTGGAGAAGGCAGTGTCCCGGTGGCGCGCGGCGGAGCGGGCTGTCGATGATGTTGGTGGTAAAAGTATGTTATCCCTGCGAAGGGGCAGTGCAAGTGATATTAATATGGACAGCGCGGATGAAGTGAAGTGAAACGACATTTGTAATGTAAATATTCTTCTTTTGTTATTCTTTTCTCTTCCTGAGAACAGTGAATGAAGGTACCAAAAAATGTTCTTGCTTAGAAAGGATCTTTTGTGAGGATGATGCTTAGTATCGTTCTGTAATGGATACGTGAGGAAAGCTTCTGCCTCCTAAATGGAGGGATTTGCTTTTCTTTATATGATTAGCGACAAGCTTGCATTCTTGTACTGTACATTGGGCAATATGTTTGTCCAATAATAACCTTCAATGGAGGTGTTTTCCCGAAGAGATTCGTCCAAAAAAAATATAAACAAACCATATATCCCACCCACACAATCAAAAATCAAGCAGTACATCCCGCCGCCATCTCCGGCCTCGTCCTTCCCAATCCATCCTTCGCATAAAAGTCCATCGGATAGACCCCGCCATTCCCCTCATCCCACCCCTGCCTCTCCCCAAGAGCCACAAGCGCTTCATAAGGTGACAACAACGGCCGCGAAAACGCATATCCCCAATCAATACTCAGCCGCGGACACGCAATTTGCACCCAGCACTCCACATCCGACATCGACGCCAGCTTCCCCGGGAAAATCTCACTAAGCAGCAGGTTCACGAACGGTATCCCGCGATCGTGCAGCTGCTTCTCGATCCGGGCCATGGTGTGCGGGTTGCCCTGCCTGCCCAGGGAGCCTAGGATGATGCCCCATTTCCGCGCGGTTCTGGCGGTGGCTATCGCGTCGCGGCGCAGGGTGAGCATTTCGTCGTGGTTGTAGGATTCGCGGGAGAGGGTGCGCGAGTACGGGTCGTAGCGGTAGGCGGGGAGGGAAGGGTTGTGGATCATGGCGGATTCGAGGTGGAAGCGGCCGTCGCCGAGGTAGAGGAGGATGTCGACTTGGTCTGAGGGTAGTTTGGGGGAGGTACAGCCTAGGATCTCACCTTTGCTGAGCGGGGTGATCTGTGGGATGAGGATGGAGTAGCCGGCCTTTTCCAGGGTGGGCTTGAGTCCGTGGATGGTGGCGTTGAATTGGATTGTGCCGACGACTGCGATGGTTTTCCCACTCGGGAAGTTCCGCTCTAGCGTGACGATTAGGTGCTGTGTATCGATGCTTATCTCGACAAAGATATATAGGGTTTTGATGGCGGTGACGTCGACGGGGATGAGGCAGCTGTGCGCGTAATGGACGAGTAAGTCACAGCCTAGAGCACGCGCCGTGTAATCGTCTATACAACAAGCGCCATATGTGACATCGCCCATAATTAGGGTTTCGATCCCAGGGCAGAACTGGGTGAGGATATCGGATATTGTGGTTGCGAAGAGGAGGAGACCTTCGGGCATTTGGAGGGCAACTCTTTTTGCGCCTAAAGTTCTTATTCTGTGGATCGTTTTAGGGATTTCGAAGGAGTAGTTCTTCGGAAGAAGAGAAATTGCAGCTTTTATATCTTCATCTTCTAGGATTTCAATTGGGATTTGGTTTAAAGCTCGCGGAGCTCTCCGGGGCCGGGCTGTGAATAATGTTAGGGGGGATTGTTTACCAACTAAAGCGCATGGCGGGGGATAAAGGAAATACCTTGCTGGAGGGAAGTTGTATCGGAAGTTTGAGAATCTCCATCCCTCTGGCTTTGCGCCTGAGCATCTGCGGTCTTGCGTCCCACGAACCTCTTCTTTGGCTGGCGTGCAGGATTCATGGTCTTATCGGTGGTAAGTTGATAGCAGTTTGTCCGCCGGCGGGGCTGTCTTGTCAGCCAGAACACAGAAATAAAAAATTATAAAAGCGGAAACAAACAGCATAAATGCATATAAGTCTACATGTATCCAACTTCACACCATGGGGCAGCTTTGAAGGATCCTCCAATATCCAATCTGCGATGTCTCTACGGTCTGTAGGATGGTGACTGTTTTAAGCTCGATTCTGTCCATGTGATGTGAAATCTACGTCAGTTTTATTTCACTAACACATCTCACATCTTCTTGTCGGATCAGAGCTTTTGGTCACTGGCAAGGTTGACTGGCGGAGGTATATTTTCAACCCCGATTTATACTGGCGGCCAGTGTATCACCACGCACGATTCGAGGCGGATTGGTTCATGCCCTCTGAAAACTGCGAATGAAACTGTATCAAGACGATGTGGTCCTTCAAATCTCCAGCGAACAAAATATTCCTGGCCTCTAGCAAGCTCATGTGACATCTGTTCGCGCTTGTTTCCGGCGCGATTTTTAAATACACCAAAGTCCAACAAAGGTAGACGAGCATGTCAAGACGTCGCTGATAACTAGATAGACTCTCATCAACTCTCTTTATTTTGAGGGAAATGCACATTGTAGGCCGATCTTACAACATAGCCATGATGTCACGCTTTGGTGTGTGGGGAAACTCTCTCCTACAAAAACTATTATCCTCAAAGAATATCTCCACCGTCCCATCTTTTGTTAGTCTGCCACGAGACACACTTATCGAGGAAGAGACTCTGCCTTACTATAAACCTGAGCAGTACTATGCGGTCAACATTGGGGACGTATATAATGCCAGATATCACATCGCCGGAAAACTTGGTTATGGGGCTTATTCAACGAATTGGCTTTGTCAGGACCTCCAGTACGTTGCATTCCTGAATATACCATCCATTCCGGTAACCCTCCGTTGAACAGGCCTCTTTTTTCAGGGACAATAAATATAGGGTATCGAAAGTGTCCACAATGATACCAGAATTTTCTACGGCAACTGAACGCGAGTTGAAGATTTACGAGCACCTGTCCCAGGTCGATTCTACTCATCCGGGTCAGTCGCTGATTCGCGAGCTCTATGATTCGTTTGACCTCCAAGGGTCTGCAGGGAAACATCACTGCCTAATACTGCAATCAATGCACATGACACTTCTTGAAATGATGAGATTAAATCCAAGGCCGTTTGATCTGCCCCTGCTCAAATTGACTCTTAAACGACTTCTTTTGGCTCTTGACTTTTTGCATAATGAAGCTGGGATAATCCATACTGGTAAAACTCTACTCTATATCTCCTGCAGAATCCATTGCTAACCGCGGATTTCTAGACCTAAAAACGGACAATTTGATGCTCACTTTGGAAGACGACACCATGTTGGCGGACTTCGCAAAAGCAGAAGCCAAGGATCCTAGCCCTCGGAAGCAAGTTGACCAGTCACGTACCATTTACAGGAGCCGGAGATTTCGCCGGCCTCTTAAGGGCAATAACTACGGACTTCCCATTCTCTGTGATTTTGGGGAGGCACGAATTGGTAGGACACAGGAGTCCGGCCCGTTTGTCCAACCCCATATCTACCGGGCGCCAGAGATTATCTTCGAAATGCCTTGGGGAAGTGCCGTCGATATCTGGAACGTAGCATGTTTGGTAACAAAAACGATCGCTGCCCTCTTTCCCTGGTCGTGTATACGACGCTTACGACTTAATAGGTTTGGGACCTCTTTGAAGGCGAGCACTTGTTTGGAGACATCTTCGATACCAAAGGCTCCCACGACCCTTTCAAACACCTAGCGCGTATGGTTGCTCTAATAGGGCCACCACCGAGCGGCTTTGTGAACCGTAGTGAGACAACATACCAATGTTTTGACTCAAATGGTAAGCGCCCTATTTTCAAGTCGGCGGATTTCATTGGTATTTGCCTGGTTTTGAACTGACGAACCCCTAGGCGCTTGGATTGCCCACAAGGATACAGCCATACCCGCAATCTCCCTGGAGAGCATAGAGAAGCGACTCTCTGGACAAGAAAAAGAATCATTTATTCAATTCCTCAAATCCATGCTCAAGTGGCTGCCAGAGGAACGCAAAACAGCAGCCCAATTACTTGAAGACCCATGGTTGCTCTGACGTTTCGGCCAAGGACTTTGTAAAAAGATGACTACCAATCAACTTAATATAGGAATATCGTTTGAAGTCGATTTCTGACCCGTTGATTCGCCCTTTTACCGCCGATGCTGGCATCCCTTGAACGAATTATGATCCTTCGACACTAGTATGATCTTCAAGCGCCTAATCTTTGCAGCGCCTACAATAGTGAACTGACCACACTTCTATGTTTAGGATCGCAAATAACTTGCGCTTTACAAATGAAACACGCAATACATACATATATATATATACGGATGGGAATGGCTCCTCAACGGCACCAGCGAACTCAGGCCAAATCCCCATCGAACTCCTTTTAATATAGAAGTCTTATTCAAGTTTACAAATTACCACCCGTCAACATTGGCCGTATCATCATGTCTCTTATCATTCGTCGTTTCATCAGCTACATTGGCAAAGTCAAATTAAGCGATTTCAAAAACTCGACGCATAGGACTCTTGTCGACGCTTACTGCCACGAACAGGAGGCACGAGTAAGTCAACATTCACTCCTCCCCCACGCCCAAACCAGGCGAATTTATGGTAGGATCCTCGAATCAAGCAAGCCTCTATCCAAGGAACGGAACTTCACAAACCGCATGGGCCCTCTACCACCAACCCTAGTGTGAAATGTGCAGTGGATCAGAGAAACTACTATGTTTTCTTAGAAACTCAGGTGTTCCCTTTCCCATAAACCTTCTGATTTTATATTGAGTTAGCCCTCCGACTATGCAGATATCAGATCAACCATCACCTGTTCATCAACACAGCGCAACGCTATTGAATCTAATTTTATGGATTCGCACGCTATTGCTAAGAAGTGCATTGTGCCGCTATCTATCTTCACTCAATGAGACAAATTTTATATATCTGCTACGTACCCTCAAAGCGGAATAGCGATACAAGGAAAGCGATGGTGAAAAGCCTTCTTTACTATAGAAGGAGCTCTGAGGAATGATAAAACTATTATATCAAATCACTAAATAAACCCGGGAATGAATATTTTAGGCAACGTAAAATGCTATGTATTCTAATCAGACAATTATTTTGTTTGGCGGGTCCAATGATGACATAATTCATCACATAAAAGCTTTTTATTGGCCGAGCTTCCTTCCCCGCGCGGCAATTGGAAAAAGCAAACCATCCACAACTTCAATTTACTCCGTGATAGTAATAGACACTCCTTCTCAGTGTTCAATAATGTTCTCCGCAAGATCTAGCTCTAGAATCTGCCAGGTATTCCGCCACCATAGACCAGCCCGCCTTTTTTCTGCGAAAACAAGCTTTGCCGGAGACCATGTTCGGATCGTCGAAGTCGGTCCCCGGGATGGGTTACAGAATGAGAAGAAAGCAATCCCTTTAAACACAAAATTGGACCTCATCGAAAGATTAGCGAAGACGGGATTGACCACGATTGAGGCCGGCTCGTTTGTTCCAGAGAAGTGGGTGCCACAGGTTCGTAGAATTGTCCGCCTTCTCTGGGTTGTTTCGTCACTCTATGCCTACCTACATTTTGAATTTACTCACTCATATCTTTCCACTCAATTATAGATGGCTAGTACCCCTGAAATCCTATCATATCTTCTCAAAACGCCTCCCAAATCATCTCACTCTATCGCATATAACTACCTAGTTCCCAATATCAAGGGGCTCCAAAATCTAGTTAACATAATGGAAAATGACAGTCCACCAGCATCTGAATCTTCCGACTCCAACGCGCTTCCAAAGCCCACCACTGAGATTTCCTTGTTTGCCGCTGCTACAGAAGCATTCTCGAAAGCGAACACTAACTGCACTATTGAAGAGTCCCTTGAACGCATTCGGCCCATAGTAGCTCTTGCGAAGGAGAAAAATATTCGTGTGCGCGGATATGTATCCGTCGCGCTTGGATGCCCTTATGAAGGTCCTGATGTCTCTCCTCACAAGGTTGCTGAAATAACAGCTACTCTGCTCGAAATGGGCGCAGACGAGGTTTCCGTCGCTGACACTACGGGAATGGGCACTGCACCTCGGACATTAAAATTGTTACAAACCCTTACCTCCGCTGGCATTGCCAATACGGATCTCGCCCTCCATTTCCACGACACGTATGGCCAAGCGCTCGTAAACACCATTGTGGGCCTAGAACATGGTATCCGCATTTTCGACAGCAGCGTGGGTGGGCTTGGAGGCTGTCCTTACTCGAAGGGGGCTACTGGAAATGTGTCCACGGAGGATCTCATTCACACTCTCCACAGTCTCGGAATGCGGACGGGAGTCAACCTGGAGGAAATTTCGAAGATTGGCGCCTGGATTAGTAACGAACTAGGCAGGTCGAATGATAGCAGAGCGGGGAAGGCCACTGTAGCTCGACTTCAGGGTTAACACAATATATGGATTTATATCCACGGTTGCTCCCCCTCTTATTCTATCTTTTGAGCGCTTTGAGATTAGCCCTTTCATACCTCCTAGATACCTAGGCCAATGGATCATCAATCACGACTCCCGTCCCCAAACATCGGCTGTATTTTATTTGGTGCCCTTATGCCTTCCCCTGGAGCCAAAACCTTACCGGCATGCGAGCGTGGAGCGGTAGTATTGTTTTCTTTTCTTCTGTTCTGCTATTCTAGTTTTGGTTTTCTCTCTCTTGCTCTTTGTCCTGGCGTTTTCACATATTGTAAATCTACTATGTATGTAAAATTCGAATAGCAATTTCATTTGTTACCTACGGCGCCGTGGCTGTATGCAAATTAGACACTCTTGGAGCTATGAACAGACTAGTAAGTTTGTTCGTTTCTCACCGATAGTGGCTATTCTCTATAGATAATCTAATACAAATATATAAATACAGATAAAGAGAAACAGAGGAAATCGTATATTGTACATGAATTTTTAAGACACGGATCTCAATCAGTTCCCATATCCTTAGAACATACCTCGAGATTCGATCGTGAAAATAGAGTACGAGGGAAAGGGTCTCACCACGTCGTGGACCCGCGGAGGATAGTAAATTAGGGGAAATTTCGCGTTGAAGAGGTTCGAAATGTCTACGGAATGATGTCGGAGTGGAAGCTCATATTCGCTCGCGCGCAATTGGTTTTGATCTCGAACCGGCGGTGGCTGCGCGTTATACAACCAAGTTCCTCGGTAAAGGTTGCCTCTTAACAACAGTCCATCAACATATCAGCAACATGCGAACAGCTGTCTCAAAGCGAGCTTCATAACCATCCAGAGCCTCGCCCGCTCGTTGGCTAAAATTTTCTTATGACCCCCGAGCATTGCCAACAAGCCAAAAGGCGATCACGACCTGCCTTTCGTTTTATATACGCGTCACTCATATTTTCTTCTATTCTCTGCTCTTCTCTGCTCTTTTTCTTTTTCCAAGTCGCATGTTCAAAAATCCGTAACCCTCCCGTTAAAACTCCAATCTCCGCGCGCACCCCATTTCAACGGCTCGTTCTTCGGACCGCCAACCTCACCGGTCTTGGGGTTTGTCTCCCCTTCAAACTCCGGTTTTGCCCCACGGAAGAGATCTGGATGCAGCTCCTCGCCGGTACCGGTAGCCTCGATTCCTGGACTGACTGTGGATGAATCTCTCGACTGGGGAGACTGGTTGATTTCCAGAAGCGTTCGAGGGGTGCTGAAGGCGCCAGTTGATTGTTTTTGGAGGTTCTCGAAGATCTCTTGTTCTTCTTTAGGGAGTCTGGGTGGAGAGGGCGCATTTCCGAATTGGCTGTTAGCATTATTATCGCCTTTGGCTTGTACAGTGGTTGAGAAGGTTCGAGTGGCGCGGGAAGGGTAGTAGGGGTTGCGGAGAAGGGTGTGAGTAGGTCGGAGACACCGAAAGGTGGAGGGGAAAACCATGGTGCGCGCGGCTAATGGAACCGTAGTAATTTGATCGTCAGATGCAGCGTTGATAGGGACAACGGATAACTAACAACTGCAATAATTATCAATAAAGAGTGAGATCATACTAGTATTCTGCTACGGCGGTAAGAAGCTTTTTATGCCGACTTCGCGGGCCGAGGTGGAGCTCGGCGGAATATCTTTGATCCTATCAGATAAGATCTTCGTTTTCCCCCGAAGAATTTATTTATTTGTCTGGGTGTATTCCGCAACTCCTCTCTCACAGCCACCACCAATCGACCTTCAACCTGCGTCGGGTTGGCACCTAGAGTTGGACTGTGGAAATATCCGCATTGCTCAACTTGGTAATATGGCCCTCCGCTCCGCTGCACGCGGCATCCGGCCATGGGCTCGATCGCCGCGATCATTTGCGGACCCTGAGTCACACCATCAATTGAGGTATGCGTCGGCGAGGTCAGGGACGGGGACGGCCCAGGTAATTCTATTTTGATATTTTTTTCCATTCTACAGACCATTGGGCTGACAGACATGTGGTAGAGTACGAACCAAACTGCGCATCAAATTGATCCAACGCTGGACTCTCCCTCCGCAGCTTTCGTAGCACAGCGAGCCCCTTTCATGGTCCCAACCTATGTGCGACCACCTCCCGTAATAGACTCAGGTAAAGGGTGTTATCTATGGGACATCGAGCAACGAAAATATCTAGACTTTACAGCTGGTATTGCCGTTACGTCTCTAGGCCATTCTGACCCCGGAGTGGCCGAGATCGTATCACAACAAGTTAGTAAATACTCCGACCGACACTCAAAACTGCGCTTAAAAGATTGACATATCTATCTAGTCCAGGATGTTGATCCATTCATCCAATCTTTTCCACAACAAATGGACGGGCACCCTCAGCCAGCTCCTTGTCACCTACACCGTTGAGTCTGGCGCCATGCGTGGCGCGAAGCAAGCATTCATCTGCAACTCCGGCACTGAAGCAAACGAAGCAGCCATCAAATTTGCCCGGAAGGTCGGTCACAGCCTCGACCCTTCCGGTGCCAAACACGAGTTCGTCTCTTTCTTCAATTCCTTCCACGGCCGCACCTACGGCGCTCTATCCGCCACCCCAAACCCCAAATACCAAGCCCCTTTCGCGCCCATGGTCCCCGGCTTCAAGTACGGCACATACAACGACATCGCCCAACTCCAAACCCTCATAACCGAGAAAACCTGCGGTGTCATCGTCGAGCCTATCCAGGGTGAAGGCGGTGTGCACACCGCGACACCCGAATTCCTCAGCGCCCTTCGTGCACGCTGCGACGAAGTCGGCGCCGTCCTCATCTTCGATGAAATCCAGTGCGGCCTTTCCCGCACCGGCTCCCTTTGGGCGCACGCTCACCCTACCCTTGAACCAAAGGATGACTCACCCGCCGCCCATCCGGATATCCTCACTACTGCCAAGGCGCTCGGCAACGGCATCCCCATCGGTGCCACCATCGTCTCCGATAAAGTCAGCCAGCACATCAAAGTAGGCGACCACGGCACAACGTTCGGCGGGAACCCGTTGGCCTGTCGCATAGGACAGCACGTGCTCACCCGCCTGGCGTCGAGCGCCTTGCAGTCTTCCGTGCGCTCGCGCTCCACGACGTTCCGGTCAGGACTCGAGCAGTTGCGGAAACGATTTCCAGATGCTGTTGAGGATATTCGTGGGTGCGGGTTGTTGCTGGGGTTGCAGCTTACAGAGCAATATAAGGGAATTGTAGGAGATATCACGACTGAGGCTAGGGAGAGGGGATTACTTGTCATTACGGCTGGTGACGGATGTTTGAGATTTGTGCCGCCGCTGATTATCACGGATGAGGAAATTAGGGAAGGGTTGTCTATCTTGGGAGAAGCGATGGAGCATGTATTTGCCCGGGCTGCTTGAAGGGGGTGGTTTCTTTTTTCATTTTTCGGGATACACAAGAAGGATTCTTCTATTTGTTTTGTTTTAAAACTATAGATACACTTTGGGCTAGTTATTTTTTTAATATTCTCTCCCTTTCTCACGTGCCTACTTCCCTATCTTCCTGTTGAGTCGTATCAGAGCCGTCGACTACATCATCCAACGGTTCATGGTTCTAATAGTATAGGGCAATTCCAGGCTTGGATTGGCCTGGATGGCAGCCCGTTGACATCCCAAAGGCCTACGACACCAAGTACAGAATCCCACTTGCTGTGGTAGTTGAGACTTTACCTAGAAATCTTTACATTGTGACATTAAAACTAGATATGAATGCAAGTCCGTTTTAGACGACAGTTTCACATCAACGGATTCCACCTCCTCTTGGTTCTGCCTTGCGAAAGACTCCATCGAAAAACATTCCTGTATTGGTGCTGACAGCGTGCGATGGGACATTGGGAGAGTCCCAAATTACTACTGAACATGATTTTAATTTCTCATTCTTAATAATGGCTCGCATATGTATTCTATTCTATTCCCCGAGTTCATATAGCAATACACAGGCAAATACAGCTAATACACAGGCAAACCTAACTACCGTACATGCCAACTGATGTTCTCATACAAACAAGTCAAGTAGTTGGTTAGTTACTCGACAAGCCAACGAAGAAAACCGTCCCACCAATGACAACAAGGGAATCAACCGCCTAGCGCGTTAGACAACATTCGCATCACGACTAGTTAACTAACCCGTTAGTTAGTTAACTACTCCATACTCACTCAGAAAACCTCCTATGGCGTCCTCACCCCCTCTCCCATACCCAACAACCCGCCCGCCAACCCGTTCATCCGCCTGCCCAACAAATCCTCTTCGCTGGGCAAGCTTGTCAGGCTCTCGTCACGACGCCGAGACATTTTCGTCATATGCTTGCGCCACGAATGGACAACGTCTTCATTTTCAGCGAAGTCGTTCTTTTCGCGATGGGTTGAGTTGTAATTATAGCTACTGCTGCGTGCACGGTTTCCATTACTGGTGCTGAGCTGGGGAAACTTAAAGGTGGGGCTTGGCTGTGCTATGTCCCCGTTTTGTTGCGGGGATTGCTTGTGCCTCTCAGCGCCGTTTGGAGGTTTAGGGTAGCGGCTGGGGGTTGTCTTATCAGAACCAGTTCCTCCTTCCGGGAGAGCGACGGGGTCTAGGGAGAGGTAAGAGGATGGTTCAAGAGAACCCGCTGAGGTTTCTAGGTACGTTGGTGTGTAGGCTTTTGGTTGTAATAGGGAACCATCCGCTGTTGATCGAGCGGAGGACGGTGAGGAGCGCAAGGAGGACCGAGAAGTTCCTGTGGAAACTGGTGGCCGCTTGCTCATGTTCAGCCTGGTCATTTCCAACGGCCTATCTTCGTCGCCCGATGAGTCCCCCGTCAACCCTCGATTGTGATCCTGTGATCCAGTACCATCCCCTGTGCCTTTTCGGATAGTTCCTGGTTTTCCCGACACTACCAATGTCGTTGACGATACGGAGTTGACTCTTCTGAATGTCTCTGAGCTGCCATTCCCTTGTCGCCGACGAGACATGATGGATGACGCCGTAAGATCTCCTTCGATCACAGTGCCATCTTCGGCGACATGTGCAAACAGTTTCTTAATCCATCGCGAGCAGCGGAAAATCTGCCTCCACCCTTCGGGAAACAAGGCAGGGAACTGCAGAAATCCATGCGAAATGCCTGGAATCAGAGACACTTCCACGTGCGCTTTTTCGTCGAATGTTCCCATGGATCTCTCAAGTCCCAGCTCCTGTCGTTCGCGGAATCGACGCAGTTTCGCCTGGCGGATTCGCCCTGCGAAAATCACCGTGTCGTCGACCAGCGGGTCTCGTTCCCCGGTTAAGAAGTAGGTTTTGGGAAAGCGTGCCAGAAGCGCTTCCGGCGCAAGGAGCGGGGAGAGGAGGAAGTCTGAGCTGAAGTCTGGACGGTTGTATGGGCCGATGTAGAGGATTATAGTAGCACGCATCATCTCGGGAGATAGGATGCGATCGTTGAAGTAGGAAATCATGGAAGAGACAGCGAGACGTGTTTCGATCTGTCCGGGGTGCTTGTCGGCTGTGGCCACGACTTGGGAGGCAGTGTTTCCTGGAACGGGTTTGTCGATGCTTTCGGTGTCAATCACTGGTTCATGGTCTTCATGAATTACCCCGGCGTGCTGCTGGGCGAAATAGTCGTGGATGACCGGGTGTTCTAGGGAATCGTCGCGGAGGGTTGATACTTGGGAGGAAGCGGAGGCTAACTTGCGATAATCCTCACTTTTCTTTCGGAGGACATTGCAATTCGTCTCTCGCATTCCCCGCTCCCGAATTAAGGACATCTCCTCATCCGTCATCCAGCTACCTATGTTCATATCTAATGACGGGTAAATGAGCACTAGGCCAACAGGAGGGGGTAGCGAGTTCTCTCCGCGTCTTTTCCGTGAATCCGTGCTCCCTGACTGGAGAACCATCAGTGTGACGCCAGCAGCCAAGTTGCCGCCAGCGCTGTCACCCGTAATGACAATTTTAGGACTGACTTTACCACTTAGCCCGATACAACGGCCACGACTACTGACGATGGTGTGGTAAACGTCGTAGCACTCATTCAGGGCGTACGGATATGGATATTCAGGCGCCTTCTTGTAATCCAAGCTCAGGACCGGCACGCCCGTCCTAGCGGCCCAGGCTAGGAGCTTGTCATCACTCATCCGCGGGCCCATGGCCACAAACCCGCCACCGGGGATATCCAGAACGATATTAGTATGGTTCTTCAGCGTACTAAGCGGGCCGTTATAATAGAGCCATGCAATGCACGGATCCCTGTACGACGATTCTTTCGGCCTCGGAATCCGAATCTGAACCGGCGCATAGCCCATTAGGCGCGGGCGCATAAGCTTTCCGAGGAACGACAGGTACGGTGTCGTAGCCTTATTCCACGACACTCGCAGGTGCTCCACCGTCAACACAGCCCTAACTTTCCGAACCTTCTCATCCGCATGCTCCGCGGCAATGAGATAGTAAATTGAGAAGACGATGGACGCTATATCCCGCAGCCACTTTCTCTTGATATTCATGGCCGTCCAGAACCCGGCATCCAGCGCCGTGGTTACCCAAGTGGCGCGGAAGTAGGATCTGGAATATAGATTCGCGAGCGGCTCTGGAGACTCGAGGCCCGTTAACTTGGCAAAATTCCGTGACACATACAGCCACAGAAAGGTCACGACGGTGGCCTGCCAGGGAGTGACTCGCTTGTACAAGCGGGAAGATAGGAGGCGAATGCCCGGTGGACCATGATTGTTGCCCCTGCAATGACATGGTATATGTCAGTCCGTTTCCTTATTTCCTTGTGTTTGGAAGACGGCCGTTGGCAGCCTGCTCTGGAGCCCAGGTCGAACAACCGCGAATTTAGGGAAATGCCATCAACACTCACCGTAGGAGATATAAGGACCAAAATGACACAACGGCGAAGACCTGTATCTTGCGAAACTGGGTCGACGGCCTCCCCAGGACATGATCTATCAACGGCTGTGTTAGTCATGGATACGTACCAGAATTGAGAATTTCGACAAGACAATAGGATGAAAGCAGCAAACCGCACCTATCATCTTTGCCTTCTCCGATCTCGTCAAGGCACCGAAACCCGTATATTCTATATTCTGTGATAACCCCTAATTTTGCGCCCCCCAGACAGAAACAGCGACGAAAGAGAACAAGTTGTCCGTCAGAAGGATCCCGTAACGACAAAGAAGGTCTATTCCAGCGTTTTGCGCCGTCTGACTGCCGCAACCTGTAAACTGCTGACTCGGCTATGTTGCACCCAGAGCGCCGAAATGGACACAAATCCGGAATTGCCGACCACCACCGAACCAGAACGGGTCAATATTTATTTAGATAAAAAAAAAAAAAAAAAAAGGGAAAGAATCGGTGGTGTGAACAGCGCATATCAGTACTAGGACTGAGGATAAGTCGGAAAAGGTTGGAAAATTAAAAGACGTTTCTGTGACGAAAGGGAAGGTTTCAAGTTTGAACCTAAGAACGTTGCCCTGCCGCGAGACAACTGCTTCGCTACTGAAGTAAAATAGGAAGAGAAATAAAAAAATAAAAAAAGTCAAAATGTCGAACGATCAAAAGTCCATGCTATGCTCAATCGTGGCCTCGATCCGCAGAATCAATGAATGAATCGCCTATCGCCGGCGGAAAAGTTGCAAGACACACAAAACAACATCGTCATCGAGGATGTAGGGTGTTTTGCATGTGAAAAATTACCGCGATACACCCGCGATACGCTCGCGATACGCGGCCCTGTGATTGGCTGAGGCCGGCGCCCGTCGTTCGACTTCTCCAGGCTTGTGACCAGGAGGAGAATAATCAAGCCCGCCGTTGCATCAGCTGCGAAAGGAAAATTTGATCGGGTTTCAAAAAGGCGCCAATCAGATAGCTATAGCTACTAGTACTGTACATGTGCGGGGTGTGGTACTGTGTCCTCACGGCAAAACCCTGCTCTGAGTAATAGGAACAACAGAAGAAACAGAAGAAACAGAAGAAACGCTATCTACCAAAATGGGAATCACAAATGAGAGCAAAAACCAAAAAATATAAAATAAATACAAAACACAAATAAACACAAACACAAACATAAACACAGAAGAAACGAGATACCAACAATGGTCAGATCATGGCCCCCCACAATCCAATGCTACGCTATAGTTTCCTGCAGTAATTCCTTCCCCGATCCACCTGCCAATCACAAAGCCAGACCTCCACCACCATCCCCAGTAGCCCTGCCACACAGATGCCTGCGGAGTCACTCACCGTCGTCGCTCCCAGGGAAAACTCCCGGTCGTCCTTTGGGACCCGGTCCGAGATCTCCGCGAATGTATTCACGTACACCAGCCCGCCCAGCAGCCCTTCCCAGAAAACGATGAGGAATATTATATACACGCTGGGGATGAAGTTGAACAGCGCATGGAGGATGAGGATGCTCAGGTTAATCACCTGGAGGAAGGAGGGCAGGTAGAGATTGTGGACGCGGATGAAGGGCGTGGAGGAGCGCGATATGAAAACGCCGGTTTGGTAGATGGCGTTGTAGGCTGGGTAGAAGGCACGGAAGTGCTTGAAGGGTGTTTCTTTCAGGGGGAAGAGGAGTGTTGGGGCAACGCCTTGATTTATCGTGTATTCGGCGATGTAGACCAGGAGAAGGGGGAGCATGCTACATAAATTCAGTAGATTTAGCGAGAAGTTTGAGTTAGAAATGAAGTTATCGCGATTTGGGGGAGCGGGTCGCGGGCGCTCCCAAGGGAACCTGCCTCCCCCCATTTGATAAGCGTTTGGGAGAGACTTACAATGGAAAGAATAGAGCTTGGGCCTTTTTCAGATCCGCTCTAAATCGTGACCAGGACATATCACCCCGGCTAGCTGTCGCCTTGCCATCCTCCCGGGCGTCCGCCAAATCACGTCCGAGCAGCCCGTCCGTCTCATTTTCGCCCTCTTCCAGCCCTCTCCGCCGTGCCCGACTCCTCCCAAAAACGGCGTGTTCATCTACCTCCCCTTCCGCGTCGACTTGCTCGTAGTCGTCCAACTTCGCGACACACCTCAACGGGCCCCGGGGGAGAATCGCGAAGAAGCTCAGCAACATGATCAACGGCAACCCCGCCGAAAACAAGAGCGTGGTTTTCACGCCAAACCCAAACGTCGTGGTTGCCATCGCGTAAGCCCCCGCACCCACCAGCCCAGCCGCGCCAGTCCCGCTTCCCCACGCTGCCAGACTGAACGGTCCGTAAAAATGAGTCAGGCCCAAAAAGCTCAGCTCGCCGCCCCCGCTTGAAAAGCTGGCGAGAATTACGCCGAGCATTTTGGTTGTGATGGAGTTGCCTGTTGGGGAATTCGGTACGTAGGCCGGCGAGAGAGAGATAAGGAGCATACCGCCGGCGGATAGGGTGACGAATATCAGGATGCGGACGGAATATGGGACGGTGTGGATGAAGTAGGGCGCGCATAGTTTCGTGAAGAACGAGGGGACGACGTCAGCGAGGAGGACGGCAGCTTTGGGGACGTTGGGGCCGACGAGGTCAAGCGCCGCGGAAAGAATAATTACGTAGAGGACATTATTTATTAGCCCTGTTATTGTTGAGGGGGTTAGTAGGTCGGCTGCCTATGTTGTTATTGTCGGTGTTGTTGTTGCACGGGGCAAGCAAGCTTTCTCGGTCGTCGGGAGAATAATAGCTATCTCACTCACCAAAAAACCAGAAAGCGATACACACTCTTGTATCTACCCCATTGAATAGGGCTTGGAGCCGTCCGTAGAAGTAAGGCCACGAGGAAGATGGCGCACCGGGGAGTGGGAGCATTGCACCACAAGGTTGTCGGGGGTTCAGGCATAGGATAGCTTCATGGGAGTCGAGGCGAAAAAATGGTTGGCGGTAGCAAAGAGAATTTAGGTTGTGGAACGGAAGGCAAATTGCCCAACAGGTGACAACGAGGTTATATTGTCGAGAAGTAGCTTACCTCCCATAGATCCAAATCCATGGGTGTTTGGCGTGCAAGTTGCTATCGGTCGTTGTATTTCAACCAGATGTTGCATCTGGACGTCATCCACTGACAGGGTTGGATGCAGGTATTGCTTGGCAACATTTAGCCTACTGCTAAACCTATTTCGGAAAGCCGGTTTTCAGCCGGAAAAACTTTCGGCGTGGGTTCGAATCCAAACCATGGCGCTGGTTGAGCACAATGCTCAAAGTTGATCATGGTTCAAACATTGCCACGTTCAACTACGGTGTGATTGAAAACTCACCATTCCCCCGCAATTCTCAGCTTGTGCCTCAGGGGGTGTTTTCTATGTTTCTCACAGAGTATCAATAAGATGATTGTTGAAAGTTGATAGCTATATTTTAAAATCACCGCTAAACGAACTGTCCTCTTTTAAAGGGGTCGCTTTTCTCTATTTCCCACTCAAGCTGTAACCGTTAACTCTAATCCCTTAAATTCCCCTAACTTTGTCAAGTGATATGGGCTCAAGTGTAATTAATAATGTTGAAAGTAAGTGAATTTTAAATAGGGTAAAATCATTCAATCTTCAGTTAAACATGCCTAGGTGACTACGTAGCGTAGGCTCAAGTAGGATCCTATCAAAAGTTTTGAAATGCGCTAAAAATTTAAGCTGTGCTATTGTTGCCATTTTCAAGGATCTTCATTCCCAAGCACTTTAAGATTTGAGCTATCTTTGTTACAGGCATTAATCCCTTTAAGCACTCAGACGCCATTCTTGTTTAGAAGTGGAATGGGAAATACTTTACAGATCTGTAGACTGCGTATGAATTCACAGCTTGACTTCTTAGCATTTAGGAATCAAATCTTTAGAGTGGATCCTCTGTAAGCGTATTGCAGTTAAAAATAGTTCAAAATTCCTGAGTATTATTGCTAAGAAATATTGAGCCCTTTGTTCTACTGCACTCCCAGCTCGAAGTTTGAACGAGTTCAAACTTTCTTGGCAAACATATCGTGGTTAGAAAAAAGTTGAACGTGGGCAGAAATAGACTGCTCCATGGAACTCTGATAAGATATAGTTTGAGTTTAGTTCCTTTTCAATCTTATTTAAAACCTTGTAATTCTATGAGATTGTCATTATATTTTTTTTATTAGATGAAGCGAAGCGAAGTCTCTAAAAATCATGCAAAACTTCAGAGAGAGCGAAGCTCAAAAGTTCCTTCATTTTGTGACTGAAATAATTGAATATTAATGTGTGCAAAAATGTAGTTAGAATCTCAATGATTTCATTAGTATAGAGGAGATTTTTAACATCTCTGATTGATTTGAATGCCAATCTTCATTTTCTATTTATACGGTGGAGACTTTACTTTGACACTAATTCATAATTGGATTAAATACTCCCCCTCTCTTATCCCTGAATTGATATCCGATCGGTTGCTAATAGAATAGAGAATGCTAGCTACTCATCTATCTACCAATTCTAGCTTACTAGCTGGGTACCTGCTACCTCATGTGCATATCTATCTACTGGTAACTGAACTGAACTACTTGAATAAATGACATTCGCTAATGACATCTATTGACGACTTCTAGTAATAACATCCGCTAATGATATGATATATCTAGCGATAATATCTAGTGATAATATATCGAGCAATTATATTTGTTGATGATATATATAATATCTCAGAGCGTGGCTTCAAGTTTGTTGAGCTCATTGCTCCGTTCTACTTCAGCTGCATGTTTCATAAAGCTTTTGCGGTAGAGTGTTATGTCTAAGTTTTTCAACCCTTTTGAGGAATTAAAGATAGTTTCATCTCTAGGATTTAGAGGTTAATTCGCCTAACCCCAGTAGAGGAGTAATAGAGGAAGACTGCCACTACTAATAATTCTGATACAAGATAATATGAATAATGCGCAAAATAAATTTCAATATTTTGTTTCATTTTCTCTTCAATCTATAGTATTTACGTGGTCATACTGTAGTATATCATGGCTATTAAAAATGAGCAGTAGTTGTCTCAAAGCCTTTTCCTTTTAAAAGCTATAGCTTCGTATTTTACACGTTGTTTTAGATATAAAATAAATATTTAAAATAGATTTCTTATCTATTTTTTTCTAATTATATTCAAGTTGGTTTTTTTTTTGACGTAGTCAAATGACTTTGGACTGATACTATATTTACTCTATACTAGAAACTATAAATATAGTAACTGATATATAGAGGGAAAAAATTAAAATGAAACACCGTGAATAGGATAAACAGAAGACGTAGACAGAGTCATTTGAGCAAAGTGAAACTTGAAGAGAAATCCTTGAAAATATAAAAATGTAATATTTATATACTTGAGAAACAGACAGATTTATAAATGTAGAATAGAAAGAAGGCGCAAGCTCATGTCAACTTAAAATGCCGAAACCAAGGAAATCATTTACCGACAACCATTTAGGAGTTGTGCTCAGCTTGGATCCTGGTCCACGGAAATCATCGCGGTTTCAACCATGGTCCAACCTTTCATCAAGGGCGAAATATATTACATCAGCTACAAAAGCGTCAATATCTATAGAAGTGCTTCCGCAACATCGGAAGGCCCGGTGCGGCTTGTATGTACATGTATATATACTGGACAGTCCCCCTCGTGCCATCGGTATAACCAACTCCGTAAGATTTAACAATGTGAGGAAGAGGGTAGGATTTCTCATAGCAGAGTATACTGAGACTCGTAACTAATGTTCTTGGCTCCTTAAAAGGCTAGGTGTTTTATTGAGCACTGCCTATCCTCGTTCGCCCACTTTCCGATGTTCAGACAACACGGCCTTGGAGGGGATATTTACGAAGTTCGCGCGCTATAAGCACTTGAGTGTTAAACAAGGAAGGTAAGGAAAGATCAGGAATTGCCGCCACACTTCAATCGCATTTTGCGACGCGCACATACCCTAATCATTAGGGTTGCAGATCGATGAAGATCAATTCGTTCTTTCTTAACTAGTTAGCCCTTGAGAGTCGAATTGTCGAGACGTTTGTCTTATACCACGATGTCCACAGACCTAATCCACATCAACAATCACAGTGTTGCCTTATCATCAGCAGCTGTTGGTTTTATTCTCACATGTGGACTGCATGATAGTTCTTGTGAGATCAGGTTCAAGTTCCAAAGAATGGAAAGTGCTGTGAATATACTCAACCGTTTGGATCTTCCCCAGTCTTCTAGGTTATTGAGTAGCAGACTGGAGCCTCATATTCTCCTTGTGTGGAAAATGAAAAGATAACTACTGCCGCTTTTTGTTTATTCTGATAATTCCGGGATGGAGGCCCTGATAAAGAAGTTGTTTCAAGCCGATTGCAAAAGCAGCAACATTTTCTCAGGAATTGGAGGGCTGCATATTGCGTAGAATTTCTTGAGGTCACGGCCCACCATCAGCCAGTGATGTGCTCCATAAATCAACTCAAACTCCCTGGCAAGAAAGTTTGGACAAAGCTATCCAGCAAGCCAATCAAGCTTGGCTCCCCTAGTTATGTAACCTGGTTTGCATCCGTGTGTTGCTCGTGTCTCCTGCTGCTGTTCCACGGTAGGATGGGATCCGTAGTTCTCCCTTGGGCCTGGGGTTGCCTGATCCAAAACTTTATCTACAACGCTCTCGCAAATTATTCCCACCTAGGTTATTGAGTTGGTTGGGAATATTTTCGGCTGCCCCAGAGTTACGTTAAGCGTCTATTTTTAATCCGTGGGCCGCGTTAAATCATAAGACGGAGAGCTGGACGACCGCTGGGGTGCACCCGCGATTTTAGAGGCGGGTCATTCCGAGTCGTTAGTGAAGGGACAACGACCATCTCAATCAAAGCCATTTCCAGGTTCGTGGTGGTGATAATTACCGTATTGAGCCGACGTAAGGGAGGGCAAGAGGTGTAGTTAGATGTAATTTCATTTTGCTGTTATTATTATGACTGCGAGCAACTTTTTCAAGGCGGCGCCTGGAAGATCGTCAACTGCAGCCCAGCGTCACAGGGAACCCTTTCACTCTGCTCGGCATGGGGGAGGGGGATTGTGGCACCATATGTCGCTCATTGCTTTTTTTAACCCCACCGTCATTATTGCGGTAACGGTGGCTTCTGACTTGTCCGCAGATACCTCAGCCGGTTTTCACGGCTAGTCAATTGTTGGCTCCTCGGATTACAAGGATGGGGCCTGGACACGTTAGCCGGTAGGCTACTGCTGGGTCCCACCGCCCGCGAAAATTGAGGATGCACGCCCTGATGGCTGGAGGCTGTCGCATGCTTGGGCTCCAACTTTTTCTTTTTCCTTTTGCTTTGGCCTTTGGCGCTGGTGGAAGGGAAGTGCAGCGTCTAAGAAAAGAAGTAATCTGCCGCTAACCCTCATCATCATAGTTTCTTTTTCGTTTTTCACTTCCTTTCTTCCCTCATCGCCTTCCATGAAACTCTCCTACCACCGTTCGCTGTTTCACACCGTACTCAGCCAACAAAGCTCTCTGTCAGCCACACGCTTCCCTCCCTTTTTTGCCATTTCTTTCTTTCAACAATACTATACCACAAGCAAATCATTTGGTCGTCAGAATTTTTGATGTTCCTGTTCTATCCCCCTTCAACCCTAGAGCCCTCGCTTTTCAACAACAGGATTGCCTAAAGGTAGAAGAATATGGATGAAATCCCAACAATGGACCCCCAGCATCCACTCCACCAACCGTTCACTCGCAAATCGACATTCGGGGCTATTCTACAAGAATCCGGACCCGTGCCGTTGCCTCCACGGTTATACGGACCGGGCTCGCTGCCGACAACTAGAAGGTCCCAAGGAACCTACGATCCACTAGGACGACGAGAAAATGAACTCTCGCCAGCAGCACCCCCAGGACCACCTCGGTCGTCCCTGATCTATCCACCTCATGCTTACCATCACGAAATCATCCGCCATGGGAAACCATCCCCACCCCCGGGCCCCTTCGCGTCCATGCATCCCGAGCCCACGCCAAGCTTCCATTCGCGACATTCGAGTCGCGGTTCTGTTATGAAAAGTGGTGAAGGAGTGAAGGAGCCAGGCAACGCCCTATATCGTGAAGGTAAGGGAAATATTTCAAGACCCATAGATTAGTACCAGTGATAGTGTAGATCTGTGGGTTCCCATCTTGTCGTGTTTCCCGAACATTGCGAGGTGATATGCATTGAGATACAAATATCTTCGTTGGGGTGTTTCTCGAACCCTGTTACAGCGGCCGGGACAGCAACAAACCCGCCAAGCTGCGGGCCTGCATTGAGACTCTTCTTTGCTTGAGTCCACGCCCCACGCGCCATGAGCAGACAGAGCCCAGCTCCAACCGGCTGGCAACAAAGCAGGTTGCCAAGTTCCCGAGTCCCCAAGTTTCCCTCACCCAGCTTCCGGTCTGTCTGAAGTTATCCATGGATACCTCAGGCCAGACCCCTGCTGTCCCGTGCCCGGCTTACCTAATGACCCTGGATCGGCTGCAGTGCTGCGCCGGACGGGAACGCTAGCCTGATCCGGGCTAGGGCCTCGGCACTGCCCAGCCGAACCAGTCCCGTGACCCGCCCCATTCCCCAGCAACCTTGGAACCTTGGGCTCTGCAGAGCCGCGTCCTGTCCGCACATGCTGACACTTTGGTTTGTTCTCCCACAGCACGTCAACCTCATCCACCACCACCTGCACCGCCCACCATGTCGTCGCGGGACATGTCGCATCCCTCGCAGCCCTACGAGCAGGCAAGGCGACGGTCTCTGGGCAGCAATGACAGTTCTCCTGTCCATCCTGGTGAGCAACCACCCCTGTTTTCTCCTTGGCGTAAGCTCTCTGTGAAATGCTCGCCCCTGGTGATTGCGCCAGACTCGCGTTATAACGATGTACAAAACTTAAGTTGGAATAATTATACACTATCGCCTCTATTGTGGAAGAATGGCTCTTCCTAAAAAACTATCCTACCGTGTTTGACTGTTATGATGTTCCCTAGACAGAGCTTGCTAACTAGAAACCTTAAAAAAGCCTCAGGGCAGGTTGACCACCCCAGCGTTCAGCAACCGCCTCCACCCCCTTCGTCCTACAATAGTCGCCAGATGCCTCCTCCATCTCCTCCCCAGCACTACCACTCGCGTGGAGGCCCCATTCCAGCCGCCCCTCCTCCCCAACCGCCCTCCTTCGCTCCACGTGAACCCCCCCAACCATCCGCACACCGCCCGGGTAGCAGCATGTCGATATCGTCAATGTTAGGGACTGATTCAGATCGCCCAACTCGGGATAGCGGCCCTTCCTCCCTCTATGGCCGATCCGCCATATCTTCTATTCCATCCGGCTCACATGGACCGCCACAGGGAGCAATGTCGCCCCCATCCGCCACTTCAAGACAACCACAGCCATCCTCTGATTTCCCTCCCTTGAGACGTTCTCACACTCCAGAGAGGGCTCTATTTTCAAAACCGCAACCCCCTCGCCCGTACCGCTCGAGCTCGGGAAGCGCGCCACAAAGCCAACCCCACCCTCCTGATGATACCTTGCGTTTTGGGGGCGTTCCTCGGTCCCTTGGCACGGCCTCGGTATACGGAGACAAGCCACATACAACCCAAACAGGCCCCTCTGGGCACTTTGCGATGTCCTCGTATAACAACGGCCGGCGTGGTAGCATAAATGGACCGATCCAACGGCCTAGCAGCCAGCCGCACCAAGAAGAGCCTGCATCGAGGAGACCCTTATTCAGCCCTGGGCCAAGACCATCAGGTCCCAACTTTGGAGAAAGCCCAACAGAAGCTGGATCACAACGTGCAGCACCTGGATATCCAGGGTCAGAAACAGCGTCTCATGCGCAACAAAGATATGGTATTCAGCACCAAGAACGGCTTGGCCCTACAGATCCGGGGGCCCGTGAACAAGAACACAACACCAGATTACCTCAGGACATGCAACAGCAACAGGCACGATTCGGACCGCATTTTGGAGAACGGGAACCGGAGGGGCCCCCGCGGCGCACGTGGGATTCAGGCGGAATCCAACGCTTGTCTCCTGAAACAGCTCGACATCCCGTTAGCAACGAATTCGGCGGTCTGCAGAGCTACGCAAAATCTCATGAATCGCAGTTGTCCGGGCCTCGATCAACGCCTGGGTCGCATTTGCAACATCACCAACAACGGCCTGAGCCTTTGCAACATAATGATTCAGTGGGAGGCTCAAACCTGGGCAAGTTTCAACAACCTTCGCGCATTTTCTCTCCAACTCCTGGATCAAGCTCCCAACGACCTTTCGGTGGCATGGGCGAAGACCAGAAACGTAAGGACAGTGACGAACCCTTTCAACACCGTAGTCTCCTTAACATTAACGCGGAGAATAAGCGAGAAGGAAGGTCGTCACCACTTCCCCAAGCGGTTCAAGGTGCACAGGCTCAGATAATCGGTCCAGCTGAAGAGGCCGGTATCAAGAGCGAACTTGGCCGTGTATTTTCCGGAATTGGGAGTGGTGTCGGTGTTTCTGCTGCTGGACATCCGGGAAGTGGACCCCCCACACCTATGACCTCGAGCCCCTTTAAGCGGGATGCTATAGTTGCACGTTCAACTGGGGGAGAGATGAAAGAGCCCGCGGCGAAACCAGCCCGAGCTAGCGTTTCTGGACCTCCACGACGTGGTCGAAAACCCAAAGACGATGATGCAAAAGGTGAGGGCGAAAGCAGTGTTGGACCCTGGGGTGGAGGGACGACCCGTGGTCGAAGGCCGAGACATGTCCACCATCACCATCACCATGGCCATCAGTAAGTTTTTTGATATCTATGTTCTTTCTTTGCTTTCCCATTTTTTTCCCGGCTCTTTTCTGACTAACTTTCTGCAGTCACCATCACAGACATAAGCCAGACGATGAGGCTCCAGGATCTATTGCCGTACAAAACACCATTCCGCCGACTGGCGTGGCCAATTTTCAGCGATCACCTATTCTCCCTGAAAGTGGTGTTGTTTCCTCCCCCAATGTTGGTCCACATCACCACCATCATCACCATCACCACCACCATCACCACGTGCCACGGCCCACCAATGGTGGTGTCCCGCCCTCCACTTCAACCCCTGCCGCCCCCATACGCGAATACAGTACAGTTGTCAATCTGCAACCGCTTCTACGAAGTGTTGCACATCGTCCCAGGTATCATCTCGGTTCGACGCTGTACGCCCCCAAGATCGGAATACCTACATCCAGGGCATCCCCAGAAAGTTCAAAATTTGGATACGTGAGTACACCAGTCCCTATTCCGCGGTTTGAAGGCAAGGAGAATTGCACGTATACGATACGCGTCCCACGGTTCCGCATCGACGCAAGCCACCGAGAAGAGATCTGCGCGCGACGAGCGCTCTGGGGCACAGGTGTGTATACAGATGACTCTGATCCCGTGGCAGCAGCAATACATTCTGGATTTATCCGCGGCGAATGGGGAGAGGATGTGGACGTGTCCCTGCTAGACCTGGAGATCAAGGAGGAACATCAACATGCACCCAATGGCAAGAACAGCACCGCCTCTACATTTCACAAAGTCTCTTCCCTGGATGAATCGCCAACCAAAGGCCCCACAACTGCTACTCCCAAACCCGTCGACGAAGTCGAACCAACAGCGAACCCCACCGCCAAATCCAAATCCAAACCCAAACCCAGAACCCCACCTCTCCCACCCCCCAACAAGGATCTCCACATCACCCTCTTAATCCTACCCACCCTCGAGCGCTACGACTCAACCGTGATGTACGGCCTCAAGTCGCGCGCGTGGGGAGATAACCATGACGGGATGAGTTTCAAAGTTGAACGGATTGACTGGGTGGATGAGGGGGGCTCGAAGGGGGAGGAGCGCGGTGGTGAAGCAAGAAGGAAGCGGCTGAGGAACATGATGCGGTCCGGGAGGATCTGTACGCCAGATGGGTTGAAGGGAAGGGGTGGAGTGGAGTTGCGGAATGGGACGAAGGTTGGGGGGTTGGGCATGGGAGTGGGAGTGGGAGCGGGAGTGGGCATGGGCATGGAAGGGGGAGAAGGGGGAAGAGGATCTACTGCTGTAGAGCCTGTGTCGTGACTCGTGAGGTCTGGTGCTGGGTGATTTGTAGCATACCATTATTTCTTTGACACTCTTCCTCTTCTTCGTCTGTAGTATTCTATTGTGTGCTTTTACTTCTCTTTTTCTTGATTGTTCATTTTTCTTTCTCCCTTTTATCTTCGGCTTCTGTTCCTTACTCTTTGTCTTGTGAGGTTTTTTGTGTTTATTTTGCTTTTGATATTGGATCAAGCAGCGGTTGTCGTTATCTGATTGGTTGTATAGGTGTTTTAAATCTGACTGGCTAAGGCGTCTGATTTTCTTCCAACTTATCTAGATCCTTGGCTGTGGAAAACAGCGATCAGGAGGACTTTTCATCTGATACAGCTAGCGGGGCATCACCCTTTGGCCCGGGACCAGGGGCGTTATCGGAGGAGTTCCTAGTGCTTAGCGCTGTCACACTGTCCATAGCCTAATTCCCGATATACGCAGCGTAACTGTCTGATAGAATTTTTGTTTGCCATGTCGTCTGCCTCATGTGACCTCGCTCCAAACAGCCTCGGCACTCGGTGATTTCCTGGGGATCCGGTGGTGGAGGATCGCGACAAGGACGAATGGCCCATGGGCCATGTGGATGGCGAATTTGTGCCGGAGTGGATGTCGTAGAGATGCGGCCATGGGCGTTGGGAGGAAATAGGCAGTATGCAGAAGAACTACGCGGCTCCTTGTATGGCTGGCAGGGTCACTCACTTTGCTCCATCGAGCCGAGGAACATCTGCCAGCCAAACTAACTTTGCTTCCTCTCGAGTCAAAACGGCCCAACTCGCCCGCTGTATATCCACCGTTTCTACATCCCTTTATATCCTTCTTATCTGCTCCTCCTCCCCTCAACGTCGTCGCTAGTCTCAAGAGGGATGTTCCCTGCTGCTGCTCGTGGCCGTCTTGCTGTTCTAGGACGTGCTACATCTACCCTAGGCCCAGCCCGTACCACGGTTCGTTTCGCCTGTGCTCCTCTATGTACTTTGATTCACTGTTTTGCATGATCGTGGAGTCGCCATAGCTTGTTGTCTAGCTCACATGTATGCGATCTAGTCTCTCACAATGGCCCCTCGCCGCGCCAACTCGTCTTCGTCTGTTCCTCAAGGTACATCTACACGCATACCCCTGCCCCCTCATATGTTTTCGGACCTGTGAAGAGAGAGAGGAAAGAAAATGCACCAGGGATTTCTTCAAGCGTCTAATTGGTCTTGTGGCTTACTTTTGGATTGCTTTGCTCTGGTATAGGGTACAAAGAGGATCTATCCAAGGGGAAGATGCTCCGGTTCGAGGCTTCCCTCCCGAAACTCCCGGTTCCAGCCCTGGAAGAAACCGGCAGACGATACCTCAAATCAGTCCATCCGCTTCTCACCGAGTCGGAATTCCAAAAGACCTCAAAGGCCGTCGAGGACTTCGTTAAACCAGGTGGTGAGGGAGAACCTCTCCAACGGCGGTTACTAGCCCGCGCTGCTGACCCCCGGCATGCGAATTGGCTCTACGACTGGTGGAACGAAACCGCGTATCTCGCCTACCGTGACCCCGTCGTGCCATATGTCAGCTACTTCTACTCCTACCGGGATGATCGCCAGCGGAGGGACCCAACAAAGCGCGCCGCTGCCATCACTACCTCCGTACTGGAGTTCAAGAAGCAGGTGGATGATGGATCCCTTGAGCCGGAGTATCTACGCAAGGAGCCAATGGCGATGAGTTCATACCAATACATGTTCAATGCCTGCCGTATCCCAGCTGCGAAGGCCGATTATCCCGTCACATATCCTGCCAAGGGAAATGAACATATTATTGTGATCCGCAAGAACCAGATATTCAAACTACAAACCCACGCCAATGGCCAGCAGCTCAATACCTCTGAGCTTCAGCAGCAGTTCGAGAAAATCTACCAAAAGGCGGAGAAAGTCCAGCCAGTTGGTGTGCTTACCTCCGCTAATCGAGACTTCTGGACCAACGCCAGAGCAAATCTCATCAAAACCAGCGCCGCCAACGAGGCTGCGTTGGAGATCATCCAAAGCGCATCATTCACTGTCTGCCTAGATGATGCCTCGCCCGTCACACTGGAAGAGCGCGCACACAGTTACTGGCACGGTGACGGCTGCAACCGCTGGTTCGACAAGCCCCTCCAGTTCATCGTCAACGAGAACGGCACCGCCGGCTTCATGGGCGAGCACAGCATGATGGATGGCACCCCAACCCACCGCCTCAACGACTACGTCAACTACATGATCTTCAACAACCGCCTCGACTACTCCAACCCAGAAATCCGCTCCACCCTCCCGGACCCACAGCCCATCCACTTCGAGCTCAACAAACAAGCCCTCGACGACATCGCCACAGCCAGCCACGCCTTCACCACGGTAATCGGCCAGCACGAGCTCCGCGTCCAAGCCTTCCAGGGCTACGGAAAGGGCCTGATCAAGAAATTCAAATGCAGCCCAGACGCCTACGTACAGATGGTCATCCAGCTCGCCTACTTCAAGATGTACGGCAAGAACAGACCGACCTACGAGTCCGCCTCGACGCGCAAATTCCAACTCGGCCGCACGGAGACCACCCGCTCCGTCTCCGACGAGAGCGTCGCCTTCTGCAGGTCCCACGCCGACATCAACGTGACGCGCGAACAAGTTGTGAAGAACTTCCGCGCCGCGCTCGCCGCGCATACCAAATACACTGCCGACGCGAGTGTGGGCAAGGGCGTCGACAGACACCTGTTTGGGCTGAAGAAGCTCATCGCGGACGGGGAGAATGTTCCTGCGCTCTTCCAGGACCCTGCGTATTCTTACAGCAGCACGTGGTTCATCAGCTCTAGCCAGCTGAGTTCCGAGTATTTCAATGGATATGGCTGGAGTCAGGTTGTGGATGATGGGTTTGGGATCGCGTATATGATCAATGAGAATAGGTAAGTTTTGCTTTTTCTTTTTCTTTTTTCTTTTCTTTTTTTTGGGGGGGTGGTGGGGGGTTGGGTTGGGGTTGGGGTTCCGTTCATAAATAATTTAAACTAACTCTTCCCTCTTCTTCTTTTCAGCATCCAATTCAACATCGTCTGCAAGAAACTCGGCGCGGAGCGCATGAGCTTCTACCTCAACGAGGCCGCTTGCGAGATCCGCGAGCTTCTCATGCCGGATCTCCTGGCTGAGTCGGAGAAGGCGAAGCTGTAAGAATAAAAAAGCAACCGGTCTTATTTTCTGCCTGTACGTAGGTTTGTCGCTGGGGCAGGACTTGTCTGCACGGGATAAAGGGGAACCAGAACGAAGGGGAGGGGAGGGGGGAATATTGACTGGTGCTGGGGTATGCGGAAAGGAAACGCGCTGAGTGGTATTTAACTCTTGGATGAAATGAATATGGGCTTATATACCTCGGTTTTCTTTTACGTGTACATATACCTGGATAGACATACTTCATTCCCTTTTTTTTTTTTGTTTATTTATTCAACCCTATGTTTTTTATATATTTAGTTGGTTTGATTTTCTTTTCTTCGTTGTTTAGAAGAGCTCTGTAGACAGATACAAGAAAAATTACCATTTACTTTTACTTTACTCAAGAGAAATTTCCTTTGGTGGTTTGGGCGTCTTCAATATTCCCGTCCCCGGAGATGGCTAGGTAGGACTGTCAGGCAGTACGCACAACCAGTGAACGCCTGGAATGTAGGGTTCATAGGGTTCTGGTTTCCACCTAGCTATTTTGTACCAGTCTCTTAATATATAGATATAGATATAGATATATTTCTGTGCAATTGAAAACTAAAAAAGTTTTGCGTCGGCAAATCACTTCATGCCTATGGCTTCATCCATATGGAGCCTGCGGGATAACAGAAATGCGAAATGGAAAAATGCCAAAAGTAGTACCAACAATAAATGCATTCATCATAATTGAATAAGAGAAGAGGGAAATGCGTTGGGTTGACTGGATATCCTGGGAAACGCCATACACGGATACAAAAATTAGACAGACAAGAATACATACAAAAAAAAAGTCTGTAGCAGCAATAAATATGATTTTGAATGCTGAGCCATGAAAGGCGGAATAAACTGACAAAAAGAGGAAGTGAGACCAATAGAAGATGAGAGATAATGCCCTTTTCATTCAAGCATCTATGCATCCGTCACTGGCAGGCTATGTAGTACTTACCCTGCCCGGCCAGACATGTGATGATGTACATGCAAAGGAAAAACAATCGTATTATCCCGCGCAAGCAAGATCGCTAACAGGTTACAAATTTGCAACAAACATCAACTTCATTATAAAATGGGTTTATCGTGCGGTTAACAAGGTATCAGAATCGGAAATACCCGGACCATGAGACTGAGAGCTGATGCAAATAGATAAGTGGTAGTGCTATGTGTATCCGAAACAGATTTTATTTGTTTTTCCGGGTCATAGATAAGTCCATACGAGTGTGTCGTGTGCTGGTTGTGGCTGAGGTAATTTGGGATATCGAATTGCACGCGAGTTCCAGCCATCCAGCAACATCGCTTGGCATCCGTGGAATTGGAGAAGTGGGGAGGGATTCGTATGATCAGGCAAAAATAAAACGCAATCGCGATTCAAATTGCGCATCTCAAGGTTTTTCTACATCTTCCGCAGATTGCGGTGTCTGAGATGACTCCTCTGATTCGATTCTGGCTGGTGTTGGAGGCACTGCCTCTGCATTCGATAGGCGCGAACTTGTGCTTGGTGTGTGAGCAGCTGATGAGCTTAGCTCAGCAACTTGGCGTTCTGAAATGGACATAGAGGAGTCAGTGCTAGTGCTTTTAACTTTCTTTGAAAATCATACGACTGGATGTACGTAAAACCATACCTAGCTCTCGAATCCTCACTCGCAGCATTTGATTTTCCCTTGTTAGCATCGCCGTCTCCGCTTGGTAGTAGGACGTCTCGTCACGGCTGCCATGTCGTCCACTGCCGTCTCCTCCTATTGACGACCAGTCAGCAGAGAGGATACCGGTTTCGGGCTCCACATGAGAGGGAATGGCGGGTGAATGGCCAGAACTGCGGCGTCTGGAAAGACTGGATGGAATTTGCGTTGAGGATCTGTGGGTTGGCGGAGGCGCCGGTACGGGAGGAAAAGACACGGAACGTTCAGATGTTGGAGTGGAATCGTCAACAATGGCAGTCCCTGACGCTGCAAACTGTTGTTGTTGCTGTCTCTGCAGCTGGGCTTGCTGTATCCGAATCATTTGCAGCAGTCGATTCTAGGTAGGTAAAAGAGCAATTTGTTAGCTTTCACACCATTTAAAGTGGCCGGTCAAATCTATATTATATTGTCCTCACACGTACCACCTGCGCTTCTTGCTCTTCTTCTAGCTCCTGATGTATCTCACCAAGGGATGGCGTTCTTTGGTGGTGGGGGTCACCAGTGGCGATAGTTGGGTTCCCGCCGATACTAGTTGGACTGTGGGTCCTATAAGAACTTCCAATGGATGAACGGTAATCACTACTGGACAGCTCGCCAGGGCCAGGTAAAGTCGGGTCATTTAAATTCAGATTCATGGCTACCGTGGACCGTCGTCGCTCGTGCACTCTGGTTGCATGCGGAGAACCGCGATTGGCACTGACTGAGGAACGTCTCGAGCGGTCTGTTGCATTCATGGTCGCGGCAGCTGCAAGAGATGTAGAAGAAGAACGAGGGGAGAGCGATTGGCCCGACGGGATTTCTGCCGAATTGGCAAATGTACGGGCCTGGTAAGGGGAGTGAGAGGTAGAGCGGGAGGGCGGGAGAGAGTTGATGTCGGGCGGCATGGTTAGTAATTTTATGTGATGCAAGCAATTCGCAAGGCTGGCAATTCGAATATGGTACTCCAGATACACATAAAAGAAGGCGAAAATTCCTTGAACCAAAACTCAGACTGTGCAAGAATACACAGGAGAAAGTTGGAAATTTTGAAGCTGAGGTTGTAGGTGAAGTTGCTTGGAGCGGGACAAAACCTTCACGTGTGACCGCGTGTGGCCAATCACATGGGACGTCCGTCCAGGATGACATCATAGCGTACGATGATGTAAGAATTGTGCACAAAAGTGTTGGGTACTAGGGCTACCATAGATAGTCAACAAGAATGCAACAATGTTATCCTCTAAGAAAAAGATGCAAGTAACTGCGTAAGGATTTAGTTAACCACGCATTGCATTCTATCGTTACCATATCTACTCCATGCATCCACTGGGGGACATGGTTGTTTGCCTTTTCGGACTTATCAGAGCGGGATAATGTGAAAGTCAGCAATACCATCCAGTCGAACAAGCTGCACATTAGGACCGTAGTCTACAACATACACAAAATAACTTAGAGAACAATTAGAGCTGCTCTTCCCTTTGTTCCCGATAGATTTCATCTCAAGACGTATTGGATCGCGAAATGCCCTCCTTCGTTCATCCGTCCCATTCCTGACCTCTCCCCCTTGTGCATACAGCCTTTTCAATTTTGATGGAGGGCCTGTAGCAAACTTGGAGTCAAAATTCTGGCTAAGCACGATCCACACTGTTACAACAAAAATGATTAGTGTACAACAGGATTGAGCATTGCGCCTGGGCATTAGTACTGAACATCACTGTATTTTCCTCCAGTGAGGTAAACACTGGGTTGTATGGCTCTTCAAGAGAATGTTAGCTTATACGATGTTATGTGGTTCTCGTACGTTCTCCAGTCCCTCAAAATCAGTAGCAGACATGGCCAACAACCAAATTCTCTTCAACTACCTAATTGTGGTACCTCCTAGTCTTCCTCAAAGATCAACAAGATGCCGAATACCTAGTAGTATTTTGTGTTAGGTGGCAGACCTTTTTTCTGGTCTTCTTCCTATAAATACTGTCAGCCACTATTTAGTCATGGACAGAAAAGCAATGTGTCACTGCAGAGACGAACAGTTGTTTAAAGTTTTTAACTACTTCAGTTTCAATTTCAATCCAGCTACGTCCCTCCTTTCCAATGTCTATTTCATTGGGATAAACACATTAAACCTCAAAATCAATCCAGCAACTCTCTCTTGGTCACCAGGAACAATGAGAATGTTCTTTGGACAGAGATCATTGTGCTCAATCAAAGCTGAATGAACTTACTGAATGTCAATGACCACTCCCTGCATACATTCCCTTTGTATAAGTAACACAGTTCATTACCAAAGGCTTTGGTAAGTACTCAATAAGAATGGCAGATGGAGGACCTGTGTCACGTTGAAATGTATCAAGACGAGGAGTACAGTTGGTGAGGTCAATAGCTAGCATAAAGCTATAGAATTGGGTTTAGCACTATAAGCATATAACTATTTGAACTGTTTGAGCCTGCAGTATGCCCTTATCTCGTAGTGAGAGTGGTCCAAATCTCGAATACCATCGTGGGCGTACCCAAGATCCCCATTATTGTGGAACTGCAGTGCATCACGATCAGGAAAATGACGCAGGTTAGGGAAGGCAGGAATGCTAAAATGAAGGCACTGTACATACAACCTTCAAGACCCATGGATTGCCACAGTAATTAACACGAAATATGGAGGATGCTTCTGAGACAATCAGGGTTTCCTCAAACGCCATCTTTGTGAAATTGATGTCGATCTTGAAGCTGTCATCGAAGCCACCCTCACTGTGATAGACGGTGTCCTCATTCCCGATGGTCCCGAAGAAATTGTCCGACATGGTGAAAGAAATGAAATTGTGAATAGTGCAGCACCATCCTGATAACTGCTCGTATGGGCAAGGAGGCGACACTTGGAGTCGAAGTTGAATCATTGTCGTTGGAGTTCATGGTTCGGTTGAATTCACAGGCATAAGCTGAACGAGGCTCAGCACCATTCAGAAATTCCGTCGAACGCCAACAACAGCGATGAAGAAACTGATTAAAAGAGAAAGGGACTTCGTTCCCGCAAGAAACATGCCGCACTGCTCCCAGCCCTGGCTTTATCGTTTCCCTCATGAGGGAGCTCAAAAAGCAATTGATCACTTCTTAACACTCCTTTAGAATTCGTTTTTGTGTATGATTTTTCCCTCACCAGATCTCTCTTTTGGTACCTTTCAAAATATTCGGGCGGTTAGCAGCACCTTTCGAACAGAAAATGAGAGTATCGCCCCGTTATTTCTCGTCAAATAGGAGATTGGACAACCTGGGAGCTAACCCCATGAAGCCTACAAGTTGGGATTTCTACTATCCTTATCGCTGTGATTGTCACCGACTTCCCGCTGCAGGCACTCTATTGCAAACCACGAAGCATAAAACGCATGCAGATTCGGAAAAAATGTCGTTATGAGCTATGAATTAAACAGCACATTCCGAGGCAGCGAAGTCTCCTGAAACAACCACAGCAGGTGAGTCAACGGCAACTTTCCAAACACCCTGGAGGCCACCACCAAGTTCTGCAGCGAAAACAGGGGTAAAGATCCCTGAACTCAGGCGTATCCGCCGCTGAAGGTTGTCAGTCTCAAGACTCCCGAGGTTCGCCTGTTCAAAGTGAACATGTACTGGACATTCAGGCATCAACCATAAACGTCACAGCCCTGGGACAGCGAGGAGTGTATCCAGTTATCCTGGAATATTGTAGAGGAGTGCGAGAACTCTCGAGGGACACGATGTGGGCCATCTCAAGGGTGGAGCGACGAACACAGAACCTTATCGTGTGCCCGCGGTTCTGAGTGCTATGCAGGGTGGATTGGTGTCCAAGCATTCTCAAGTCTTGGGGTGTGGATACTTTTGTTTGGTTTGAGGGTGCTTCCTGAGAACTAAGCATGATATTCCGAATAACAAAGGCCATTTAATCTTCGGTTTTCTTTGAGTGTTGTTGTCCTAGCTGTCAAATCGTGAATACGGCCACGCTGGTTCCATCAGTTAGAATTCCGCTTCGTTGCACTTCTGCTGTATTAACTTTTCTTCTTCATTCTTGATTTCGATGTCTGTTTATAGATAGAAGATATTTTCGAGGTGAGATTACAACCCTGGGGCAGACAGCCCCGGGGCGGAATTTTAAGTCAACGCAGCCATCCCTCTTCAATCTATATGAGGATAGAGGTATCTAGAAAGAGATATCCACACATTCGTTGGTTCGTGACTGGGAGTGACAAGTAGCTTTATAAGGAATTTGATCCGCAGGCCATCAAATAGCAATGAGATCGAGACATCATTCGTAATCGAAGACAGTGAGCCTTCCAACACTGGGAGCGGGATCTGACAAATTCCTTGTCAGAAAGCTCTCAGCCCTACCATATTTCTAACCAGGCTTCCCTATGAGAAAAGGGAAGTAGAAATGCCAAGTGAACAGAACCTGACCTGCCATCTCAAGAGATAAGAGGTTGCTTAAGTTTAATTGATCTGCTTGACAGCTATATTACCAGCAAAAACTTCGCTGTAATTCGATGCTCTGAGTTTTTCCAACCATCCGCCGCTCATGCCGGGTGGTTGATCTGGTATCAGCAGCTTTGTTGGTGATCAGTGGAGGAACTAATGAATGACTGCATTGGGCTCTCAATGCAAACTATCAAGCTACCCTTGTAACAAGCTATTCGTCCGCTCAACGACGGACGGAACTCCGATCGGATCACCATGCGGAGAAAGGTTACATAGTGGGAGGTAGTGTGTTGCGGAATCGCTGTACAGCGTATGTTTCTCAGAAAACATATTTATTTGAAGTTTTTGCTTGCCCTTGCGGATCTGCTGTTGGTTACATGTAAGCAATCAACCAGTGATCAGGTTACATGTAGGCCGGACAGCTTAAAATAAATTCGAGCTAGGAAGAAAAATGGAGACAAAGGGAGAATGAATTTTTCTCTTCCTTTCGACGCGCAAAATAAACAACACGCCGTCACTAAATGGTCGAGTCTCAAGCTCTTGGCCGAAATGCCATTCCCTGCCAAACCTTGCAACCAAAATTGGCTTCCGGTATTGACAAAGGTTTTTAGCTGGTCCTAAGCCATAGTGGGAAAATGTCTCCGCCCGAGGAGTCCCCCGGTCCTTAAAAAAAAGTTCAAACAGCAGCCAAGGCGCTATTACCTGTCAAGTTATGATATGACTCGTGGGACATAGGACAAGTTGATTTCTCCAGGTTTCCCACGAGACGTGTTTGAAACGAGTTTGAGACGTTTCGGCTTTTATGTGAGCTAGAGGGTCAAGTCACGGAGCATTATTCATGGGTTGGTAACCCATGTTGGACAGGGGAGGTTTTGTTTGATCAAACGAAACACAACCCCCCCCTAATGCCCCTCTAATTTTGAGCCCGAAACAAATGGAGGGGCTAGAATGCGGAGGAAGGAGTAGACATTCTGAAAATCTGAGTTGAGGAATGATACCAGAATAGTGGTTAGTCAAATCTGGGAGACGCCCTCCATATATGTGGCTGGAATGACTTTGATGTTTTTTGCCTCCTCGATATGACACGCAGCTTGTGGAGGTTAACTCTCTGAGCCGGGAGCTGATTTGCAGTTGTCTTCTGGGACATTTCAATAGTCGTTTGCACATCGCACTAATTTCCAAAGTTTGCTGCATCATGCATGTGTCCAAAGCACGTTTGGTGGAACTTGAGCTTGGCGGTCATCATGGAGGCGATCTGCACCTAAATCCTCTTGGGATCAAGTCGTCGATGAAATATCCGGCGGCCAAAGGAACCGGTGGTTCGCTAACTTTTTGGGCACCTCCGGCCTAGACCTCACCGGGGCTGGTGGTGTTTCTCTGGGGCATCGCGCCAAACCCCGATTCAATAGTTCCACAAGCGAGCCTGAGCTTTCTCGTTCTCAAAATCGCCCCCGTGTACGAAGTTAGGATCCACTGGCCCATACACAGCTGGGCGTGGTGATCCACCGTACTGTAATTTTGTGACTCTCGTGCGATGTCGTTGCTGGAGTGGTCAACTACTCCTTGCTCCAAAAAATGTTCTGTCTCATCATGCGCTTTGCACATCTTGCTATCTGCGAGCCAGGAGTGAGGTTGAATCGTCAGCATCTTGACCCAGAAGAACCCTCTGCAGGAACTCCGTTTATACTCCCTTGAAACGGCATGTATTTGGTAAAAAAATCTGCCGGGGGCCCAGGGGTGCAAATGGGCTAAAAATGGACTGCTCATGGGCCATGGTCTTTGATCATATTGGTGCTGGGCGAGCGTAAGCACGACAAGGGCGGCAGGGCTGGCTTACATAGCGGTCCTGGCTGGCATCAGCCTCTTTCGTCCCTCTCAAGCCTCCCTGCGAAACTCCGTCAGCCCAAGAATGGGCCCCGTCTGCCCTCATCTCATCAGCCATCAATTGCTTTGGCGTTTCTTTCTTCTTGCTGCGTCGCATCTGCATCCGATCCTTCGTCCGTAAATATACTGCCTACACTCATACCTCAACCAAAGCCGAGGCCCCGAGCCACTGGATACATTAATTACAGAGCTATGAGCAGACTCGAATAACGAATAACGACTAATTTCCCGCCAGCTGACTTGCTCTTAACTGGGTCAATTGAGCTACTCCAGGCCTCTTGAAGCCGTTCGCTTTCGCTATTATCTAAAAAAACACAGACCTGTCGAATTCGCTGCCAACTTCCTTGCCGGCTCTCGCGCCTGTCCGACCGTTCTCCGCCGAGATCCATACGGCTGCCACTGGGAAATTGATGAGGGAAGATATTGGCTTGACCATAAGATATCCAAGGACTCGACGTGATCCGTTGATAGAAACGGCGGGTTTGTGGCATTTGGTTTGGACTCAAGAATTTGCATGTCGTCTCTTCTACAAGCAATTCAAGAACGCACCAGCCTTGAAACACCGATCGCTTCCACTTACTGCGACCTTCCTCTTCGACTACCTATTTGATAAACGAGAGGAGTGACCTTTTGTTTCGACGACCAAATTTATTTTATTTTTATTTTTATTTTTACTTTTATTCTAAAGGTGGCCGGTCCCCAACGAAATGGTTGGTATCCTGGGGATAACTCGATCTTAGACCTCCTAATATCTAGCCCTGCAAGTTTGGCTCGTCATTGAGAGATGGATTCTCCCAATGGCCAATCCGTACTTAGCTCAAGAAGGGGCCTAAATCTCCGTCCAATTCAGACAAATATCAATAATCCTAATGTCCGTCCAAAACGGCCGCCTCGCCCTGATGACGAGCTCACCCCGGAGGTGGCCACCGCGGCGCGAGCTCCTCTCAAGCCGCAAGCTTCAAAGTCATCTTTAAAGAGCCTGTTTTCACGTAATAAGGCAAGTCGCCGTTCCAATCATGAACACACCCTCCCGGCCATTGCAGAATCACAGAAGACGATGGGGGCGAACATAATACCAGATACGATATCTTCACCCAATAGCCCGTCGACAACTCCAATGACGCCCAAATCTTCAGCAGCTACATCTTCACCTTTAGTGGGCAAACCAGGCGCTATCAATCCTTCACAGGCTTCCAAGTTCTCAAAAGAGAAAGGCCAGAAACTGCACAGAACAATCACCGTCTGGGACCCACCGCCTCTCTTCCAAGCATATCCCCAGGCAATCAAACAAGGCACGCTTCCGGCCCCAACACTCTCCGCAGGACCTATTTTACGAATAAAGGGCCACCGAAGAAATAGTAGTGTTAGAGACGACATTTCAGATGTTGATGCCGACGACGAAAGGGTCTCCTCGAGGGCCTCTAGGAAGCGGAAAGATGAAAAGCACAACAAGCATTCACGCAAAGCTTCTGCCTCTATCAGCAAATCGGACTGGACCCAGAAAATTTTCATTCTAGTCACGAGCGGCTATCTTTTACAGTATGCCGGCGATGGAAGCTTCGATCGCCTACCTGAGAAAATGATGGAGCTTGGAAAAAACTCGGTGGCATTTGCGAGTGATGCGATTCCAGGCAGACACTGGGTGCTGCAAATTTCACAAACACTTGAAGAGGATGGAACCGTGTCCTTGGATACGAAGAAGACTTTTCTCTCTCGGTTTGGATTTGCAGATTCCCGAAGACAGGCGAAGACCTTACTCTTGGTTTGTAATGACCCCGCCGAAATGACATCTTGGCTTTCAGCTGTGAGACGGGAAATCGAAGCTTTAGGTGGGAAGGAATACACGCCTGAAACACCGATGGAAGAAGCGTCTCAGGATTCCCAGCATTCCGAAAAGAAGTTCATTCGGCAATCTGTGGTACCTGACAAAAAACAATCACCACCTATGAACGTAGCAAATCCGGGGTCCGCGGAAGCCTCTCCAAAGGTTTCAACGCCAAATCCCAACGAAGAGCGGAAGCCAGAAGGGGACAAACCTGCCGATGAAGCATCACTAAAATCCCTGAATAGACGATCAATTCGCCCACAATCTGTCGAAGCTCCTTCACTCTCGACTACTGGGACGGTTACAGATCTAGATCGATTACGGGAGGGATCAAGGTTATCTTACGTTTCCATCGGGACGAGGACTATACCAAGCTCCAGGGGTTCTTCTCCAGGCTTATCTCCTGTTAGACCAAAGGATGTTACCACTATGTCTCCATACGCCGATTCCCCACCTAGCGTTAGGGGTACAGTTGCGGACTCCAGCAGCACACACAAGTCTAGTCATGCATATTCCTCAATGCGGTCCGAAGATAATGGCACAGACACTCCCAGCGCAGCTCGCCCGCTGTCAACTGTTGGCCCATTAATCTCCAGAAGTACATCTCCTCCCAATTTCAGCGTGCCAGTGTTCAGCAAAAGATTTTCAGCAACGCATTCTGGCGCATCCCCATCGTCTAGGAAATTTTACCACACCTCTCCTCCCGACTCGCCGCGCATAATCATGCCGGGCACTCGCCATCGCTTTTCTGGTCTGGATGACTCTGTCGCACCTTCGCAATTATCAACCGGTCAAGCGGATTCGAAGCAGTCGTTGAAAGACCCAACGAATTCCCAACAGCCTGCTCCTTTCATATTCGACCCAGAAACCCCCTCTCGCACCTCTGTCTTGCCAAAGCCAAGGGAGAAAAAAGCAAGGCGGTATTCGTCTTTCGAGTCGACTCGTGGTACTCACAGTGTATCCTCAGACTATCGCCCACAACTTTCACCAGTGATGAACGATAGCAGTGAAGAGGGAGGGAGTAAAAGCGATACGTTCTCACATCGCAATCCACCGCAAACATACAAGCAAACCAACTACGTGCCTCCAAGAGCTAACAATGAAGTACGACAACTGCGCCGACCAATGAGCCTGCAGATTGGATCCGAAGCCCGTCGCCGGGCAGAGGCAATTCACCCACCACCCACCACTACTACCACCCATCCGCACTTGCCATCCCCTGACACTCGATCTCCTTATCGTCGAAATCGAGCCAGTTTAGCTCACCAAGAAATAATAAGCGCCACTTCACCCCCGGCTCACTACGCATCAGAACCCGACCCAAGGCCCCTGCAGAAGAGCACATCGCATTTATCCGTCGGCCCACCCGTCGCTCCTCCGCCGGATTTCCCGCTGCCAAGAGTCCCACGCAGAGTCTCATCGCACTTCAGGCCAGCATGGCATGATCATCAACAACATACATTGAGGCCCGCGCGTGAATCCGTTATCCCTCGATCCAGAACAGGGCCGGATGGGCAAAGAAATACCCATACACAAATTGTGCCTGTTGATCTGCGGGACATTGAGAATTCGCCGCAACTGAGCGGGATGACAGCGAAGGAGTATAGTATGGTGAATGCGTTCTAGTTCAGCAATGTGGATGCACGCCCTAATCATATATTCTTGGTATTACTTAAAGCCGGGATTGTTTTATTTTCTCTACACATTAGCAAATTCGTGATGTCAATTTCATATTTCCCCCTTTCATGTCGTTGGGTAACTATTGGATTTTGGATATTAACGGATGTATATACACCAAAAGTGAAATGTTTCGCTTTCTGTTTGTCATATACGCACGGTACGGACGTATACATACCCCCTTGTGCCCTACCCATTTCACGTTTTATATTTTCCTTTTCTCCCCCCATCTAGATTTACGAACTCTATAACACATACGAAAAAAGAATACTCCAGCTGGTTCCCCCCCTTTCCTTTTCCTTTATTTCTTTCTACTATGCACTTTACGTGTACTGTACAATCGATATGTCAACAATATATACACATACACAAAAAAACAATATTTTATGTATATACTGCATGTGCTGACCGAAACATTTTTTTTCTCCCCATGATTCGCGTGCATTCTTTCCATCTCCGTTTTCCTTGTTCAAAAATGCGTGGAGGCCAAAGGGAACTCAACGAAACAAGTCTGGCACCTTCCCCAAACGACCATTTCGGAGGCCAGCTTGTGAGATATATGAGATATATCGTTGCCTATAGAGAACCTGAGGGGTCGGTGAGGTTACTTATGTCCATGTTAACCTGGAACACCGATCATTCGTTATCCCTAGATAGACATAGTTATATATGTATCTACGGGATGGGAAACGGCACGGAGACAACGGAACGACGTTACGCAGTGTATTTTTATTTTACAAAAATCGCCGGTAAAGGGCGTGAAAAACTTTCTTTTGTTAAACAGTCCGATAACTAAAGGGTATTTGATTATTACATAGCTTCCAATATTTCTTGTCACTTCTTCTTTTTATCTTTGGTTGGTTCCTAAAACGCCTGTTTTTCACCTGCGTTTGGAAAAAGGGTAACTAAAATATTCTTAATTATTTCTGCTCTAATACCAACCAAGAGAAATGTAAAAATCAAAGAAAAAGGGAGAGAAAGAAAACCGATCATAGCGTCCTTTCCTCACGGGACAAATATGAAAAATGACGAGGAAAATGGGGTTAAACACAAGTGGTAGTTAAAATAACAGAATGGTAAATAAACTAGCACAGCTGATGGGGCCATGGCCAAGGGAAACTGAAATAAAAGGTGAAAAAAAGTGCATTTCAGTGCTGGGGCCAAAAAGTAACGAACAATAAAAAGACATTTATAACAATTATTCATCGTCCGCTTCTTCCACGCGCGGTGCAAGATCTCGTTTTATCGCTTCGCCCGCTGCCACTCCTGTTGATGAGCCACCTGTGTTGGATGGAGGAGCTTTTACGGAGTTGGCTGACTTGGAGGCGGAGGACGCGGCTGTGCTTGTGCCTGTGTTGGTCTTCTTAGACTTCTTCTTGCTTTTCTTGCTCTAAGTGATTTTTTGCGTTAGTGAACATCATCGATGATAGCGAGGATATATAATTGGAGTCAAAACAAACCTCTTGCCAGCCCCACACTGGTCTGAAACTATCAAAGAATCCCACATCCTCAAACAAATTGGGGTACAGCCAAAGGCCCGGTGGAACCGCAAAGTACGTAACACAGAATAAGATGAGCCGGAAAATCGACATGGCGAAAAATAGGCCCAGCAAGCCCATGGCACCAATACTCAAGTACCAAACACCTTGCCTCAACATAATGGGCCACAGCGGGAACATCACAACTGCCATGATTACTACCAAGACACCTGCGGCCATAGCCTTTTGCTTCCACTGTGGGCCTTCATATAGCCATACGTAGTGCATCATCGGATCTATCTCCTGGTTCTGCTCTACTTTTACTGTCCACAGACCCTTCACGCGGTTTTTTGGTTTCGCATGGTTGTGGCCGGCATGTGGATCAACTTTGGAAACTCGAAGTGCAAGGAGCGAGAGTGGGAGGAGTTTGAAGGCATTTTCGGCCGAAGCCTTATCTGTCACTGGAGGAAGTAGAGACTTGGCTTTCGACTGAGCTTTGGCGTATGCAGGCGATTGAATAGCTCGTATTGCTCGCTTAACTGGTTTATTTTTAACAGTACATGTTAGCTTTTTGCCGTATGATTGTCGATTCAACGGGCAGATAATAGCGGACCTTTGAACAGCTCTCTCCTTCGCCCATCCAGAATGCAAGTTCTCGGCTTCAAATTTTGTGACCTGAGAAAATCTGCCACTGCGACGGCACGGGGGTTTGGTGGTGCATTCGAGTTCATAGGAACATGTTGCGGATGATTTTCTCCATGCTCATGTGCATGCTTGGCCTGCTGCTGCTGCTGATGTTGTTGCAAAGCTTTGGCTTTCAGTTGGGCTATATATTGCTCCGGCGTAAGGCCTTGTTTCGCAGCCTCTGCCGCAAGCTGTTGTCGTTGCATATTGCTAAATTCCTCAGGGGTCATTCCTCTCTTTGCAGCTTCAGTTGTGAGGTGGTGTTGCATGGCAGCAAGCTGCTGGGGGGTTGGCTGACCGGGAGTCACCATTATGGAGGAGCTGATTAAATAAAAAACAACAAAAAGAGGGATCAGCTTGAAAAAAAGTTATTTCATATGTTGTCTTTTGGCTGATTTTCAGCGGATTTCGAAGTGGCCAGATCAGATACTGAGTCATGTGACAACTATGCGTCTAGTGCGCTTAATCTATCAACAAAAGCTTGCAAACGCAATTATGTCATCGCCTATTTTCCCTTGCGGCAATCGGCTAGCTCGGAGGGACTTTTTTTGCGCCAAAAGTTTGCTGAGTAAATCATGCTTAGCAGTCAGCATGCGCAATTGCAATTGCTCAGGGAACACAGAGTCGCTCTGATGCGGCTTATGCCAGGCGACTTCCAGCCATTTGGGCGTTCGATTTCATTCCTTTCATGATGCTCAGGGCCCTTGGCCCCTCGAGAATCATTCATTCACGGCATGTCCACAACAGGGAATTATACGCCTGACCACAGCGCTCTTCTGGTCCGTCCGTGGACAGTTGTGCAGCTGGTAAGATTCATTTTGTAAAGAAATTTGTTTCGCTTGGTTGAGCCGTTGTCCAGCTAACAAATACATACACCACAGTCGCAACGTGATGTTTCGTCGCAGATACCTCTTAATCATGTCGCGCATCCAGGCATCGATGTGACCTCAGCTTGTTTTGGAAATAATATATATGAAGAACAGGCAATGGTGAAATGTATTTCGAACCTTTTAGCTCTTGATAATCGCCGTTTCCATGTCGATCTATACTGGTCCACAGACTATCGCCGGTGGACTTTTTGTCCCGTTACCGTCAATTCCCCTGTGCCGGCCTCCACTGCCAAAACCCGTGTGCGCAGCCGACCCGTGTCAGTCCTTGCTGATGATGTTGGATCGCAATTGTGCTCTCAATCTCTCGATGTCTCCATATTTCTCAGTTTATTACGCAATTACTTTTCCGACACGAACGATACGCTCAATGCTCACATGTTATATATTCTACTTAATGTTCATTTTGCTGCGTCATCGAACTCCTCTGATGAGCCCAGCAGTGCACCAGCTCGTGACAAGCTTCCGTCTGGTCGAGAGCTTCTTGGATCGCTTTTCCATGAAGCTTTGGGGCCGTATATGTACACTCCAAAACTACTTCAGGACGAGAGAGCAAACCTGAACCAGTCGTGGTATTCTGTTCCCAAATTCGCCCACCCCATAGCTGAATATTTTACGACTCACAAAGACTCGAAAGATGTCCATAGCACTCCTGATGGCTGGCCATGCGAAGCCTATGTAGAAAGACGGCGCCTAAGACGATTTCTCGTCGGCTGGGCCAGTGCAGATGCTCAGATGGCGGAGTATGATTTCAATGGAGACAGCAATCTTATTTTCTCTATGGGCTCACTCGCAAGATCCCGAGGAGTTACCATATCTAATGGCAGTGATGCAAGTGGTGATTCTATAATCAAATCTGGGTGTCTATTCGACCGAAAATCGACAGACCCTCCTGATCTGAGCGCTTCATGGCCTGAATCAACCGTCACTGAGCAATTTGATTCTTATCCTGTTCATTCGTTGTGTAGTGAGTTGATGGCCTGTGGTATCTCACCCATAGTGAATTCCACACTTTCCAATGTGACAGCCGATGAGAATTTCAAACCGTATAAAATCGCTTCACAATCTTCGTCGTGGGCCTGGGCGCAAGGCCAGCCTCATCCAGATGATTCTCCTACAGATCTGTTTCTATCTACTCTTAGGTGTGCTCGGGCAGATGCTTCTTTCAAGGGACGCTGGTTCCCCGCAAAATGCTCTGGCGGTCTTTACGGAGCATGTCGTGTTGGAAATGAACCGTTCCAATGGACCCTGACACGCGAGCAGGTTTCCTATGGCTCTGTCGCAGCTCACTGCCCGGAAAACTCTACCTTTTCTGTCCCTCGTACAGGCCTCGAAAACACATATCTATACCAGTACCTCATCTCCCTGCCCAAGAATATGATCGACCCGTCGTCTGAAGATTATGACTCGCGTAGTGTCTGGATAGACCTCAATTCACGCGATGTGCCCACTTGTTGGGTTTCCGGGGGCCCTAATGCTCAGTGTCCGTACGAAGTGGACGAAGCCGCTGTTCAACGGCGGACGGTTCTTGTTCCTACGGTTGCAGCTATAATTGTGTTGGTCATTGCCGCGTTGACAATATTTGTCAAGTGCAACTCCAATCGCAGGAATTCGAGGTGGAAAAGGATTATTGAGGGATGGGAATACGAGGGTGTTCCCTCCTAGTACATATGTTATCCCCATTTTGAATGTTTATTATTCCCGTTAATATGACCTACAACTTTCGCTGTATTTTTGATATGGTGACACTTTTGGACATACTTCCTCGCATATCTCGCCTTTACCTACTTCTTCTTTCTTTCTATTTTTTGTCTACATGTAACTACCAATTATTTTGCATTTAATTTATACATTAAGTTGAGGTTGGGCGAGCCGAAGGACCAAGAGAAGGATATTTCAACCCTTGGGCCACTCGATCAAAAACCTCTATCTCGTATAGAGAATATACACTGTACAGTTCTATGAAATGAATTACAAACCCTATCGTCGCACTTGAAGTGCATCACACCAACCAATTCGAAAATGGTAAATCATCCGACAAATACATCAGAATCTCATGACAAAACGTCAAGCATTTCCTCCACCCTTCCAAATTTCTCCTTCACTTTCCCCACAGCCTTTCCCCTTTCAATCTCAGCCCGGTCAATCCGCTCCCAATCCTCCCAACTTGTCGGACGAAGGCCCAGCTCCCGCACTTCAGGAAGCACTCCTTCCCAACCAAGGCCCGAACTTCCACTTTCAGATGAATTAAGGAACGCATGTCCGTGACTACTAGTGATATGGGACGCCCAATCAGCCGCAATAGCATCAGCAGTATCAAACGCGTCCGTCATTGTCGACGCGATGACGCCAGTGGGGCCTCTCTTCACCCACCCAGCACAGTAAAGGCCAGGTAGTTGTATGGCTTCAGAAACCTCCGACAATTTGGCAGTTCTGTTAGGTGCGGGAGGTATTGCAATAACGCGGCCCTGGCCGTCATTAGGGATAATACCGCGCGAAGAGTTGAATTGGATATTCAGGTCCTCGAATCCGGGGAGCGGAAGGGATTTGTATCCGATGCTCCGGAAACATGTGCTGGTGGGGATATCGATGTGGGCAACATGGCCGTCGTCTTGGAACAACGGAGTTACTTTTGTGGTTGGGGAAAAGGGGTCCGCGGGGTCAAGTTGGTTTCTGGAGAATTTCATGTATGAGAGAACATCCGGATGTGATGGCGAACTATGGAAAGAGTGTGGCGAGAGGAGAAAGTCGAGGGACCAGGATTTGGAAGAGTCTTCGAGTTTTGTGAGCGATCCTTTTGCGAGGAGTTGGGTTAAGCGTTTTTGGGCTCTTGGGAGAGATTTAATGGTTATATCCGGAGGGAAAAGATGCTCGGGAATAGGCTCAAATGATACGGAAGGGAGCTGGAGGATTTCTCGTACTTCTTTGATTGTGAATGCGGCCTGGGAAGTAATACGTTACATTATACATATAATCACGAAACTGAAAGCCCGGGGTAGGAAGAAGCATCCCTACCTGCATCGGACCTCGTCGTCCGACCACTCTGACCCGCTTGATTGTGCTCTTTGATAATTCTTCCAGTGCATATTCCGACATATCCGTCTTTTTCAAGGCATTGACATTTGTAAGGAGAACTCTCGCGACATCCATGGCTACATTTCCCTGTCCGATCACTACCGCATCCTCCCCCGAAGTCAAGTCTGGTGCCAGATCTCTGTATTCGGGGAGGCCATTGTACCAGCCAACAAAGGCTCTAGCTGAGTATATACCACGCAGAGTCCTTTCCCCCGGAATTTCAAGCTCTTTGTCCTTCGAGGCCCCGTAAGCAAAGAGTATAGCATCGTAATGTGGCTTGAGAGAACGCAACGGAAGATCCACCCCCAGGTCAATATTGCCGATAAAATTGAATCGCGGAGAAGTTGCAACTTCAGTAAATTTCTCCTGGCAATTCTATGGCAACCGATGCGAAATGATTTGTACACTTAGCACATTTCCCATTATATTTCACAACTTATCTATTATTAAACACATACCTTCACCTCCGGATGGTCTGGTGCAACTCCAAAACGGACCAGGCCAAATGGGACGGGGAGCTGCTCGTACATGTCCACAAAAGCATCTTCAACCTTGGATATTAATCTATATGCCGCATAGAATCCAGCAGGCCCTGATCCAACAATTGCGACCCGTAGTGGGCGGCGACGGCTTTGAACCCCATGGATGCTGCTAAACTGCTTTCTCCGCAAGATCCAAGGTGTCTGTACTCTTGTTCGTAAGGGATGAAACAATCTATTTGAACGAGAGAAGCAACGAGCGCATATATTCGGAGTGCACAATGTGTTCATTGTGAGGATACCAGGTGATATTTTATATAACTCTCGAGCGCCACAGAATGAGGACCGCCTCAACGAAGTGTGATGCAATCCCCAAGTTGGTGTGGTTGCCCTGCCAACTATCACACTGTATACCACAACTAACGTCACAACAGCGGCAACACACACCCCTCTCAACCTTCGGCGACAGTGAGGGTTACATATTTAACCCTCTTCAATTTTTTGTATTTTTGCAATCCGGGATATCATAAACAGTGCATTCATTCTTTCAGATATCTGCGCCCTAGGTTTTCTCTTCTCACACGCCAGCTCTGCTTACCTCCCGCGCCATGGGACGAGTAGAGCCGCCGTTCATGTATGACCCGCCATCCTCCAACCGGTTCTCTGGTATTTCCGATAAATTTGACCCAAAATCTGTTACGCGGGAAAGCTGGACCCCGCGCGAACCTCGGATGGAAATAAAAGGACCTCTTGTGAATTTCAATACACATCCGGATTCTGTAAGGTCTCCGCTACTGGTCAAACGCAACATAACTAAGAACCAAGTGCAGCTAACGCTTTTCGCAGTATATTGTGATTCCGGATGGAAAATTTAACAAGAAAACAATGAGCCCTAAGACAAAGCACAGGGTAAAGTACACGAGAACCTTTCAACTGGTCTTGAGAGTTTGTACTTTGATCGGAGGCCTGGGACTGCTGTTCTGCGTCATATGTATCAATAAGACTGCCGGTGTAGTGTCGTGGATGATTCGTGTAGCAGTACGTTTTTGCTTTTCTCTAAATATATGGTCTTGCTATTTGCTAATTGCATGCTGTAGCCTGGGGTGACAATTCTACATACCATCTACGCGATCTACCATCTATCTCGGTCTTCTGCTGCACGCACTCCTGCTTCATCCGCGAGCTATATGTTGTTCGCTTCCGTTATGGATGCTGGGCTTATTCCACTCTATGTTTTCACAGGAATCATAGCTCGGGTTGAACAAACCAGCAAGATATATGGTTGGGGGACATTGTTCGATACTGAATTGGCAGCGAACAAAATTGAATACGCGACTTTTCTTGGTTGCTCAATTACTGCGGGCCTTCACTTTGCATCGTTGGTTATATCCATCTATCTGGCTGTTGTATTTCGCAAAATTTCAAAACTTCCTCCGGATATGAATCCATTGGAAGATAACCTAACTTCACGCCCACACAAACGCACCAAATTCAACATAGCAGAGGTCGCAACGAAACACATGAGCGACAGCACGATTGACTCTTCGGATTTTAATCGAGGATCTCTCGTAAAAGATCCATTAATTACCCCTACACGTAGTTTGCCCTTTATGCACACACGTGTTGATTCTGTTGACGCTGTTGACGATAGCCCTAGACAATCCTTCTATTCAGCACAGTCTTACCGATATTCACGATCAGATCTTCCGAGCCAACAGGCACGTCAGCATGGACAATTGCAGCATACCCCAGTCGGCATCACGCGGACGACCGCACGAGATCGTGTCGGCGGTTTATCTCGTCCTCAGTCTGCCATCATAAACACTCCCCCCAAGCGTGAGAGCTTGCGGCCAGAAGCTCCTGAAACTCCTTCCCGTAATCCTAGTGACGTGTCGTCATTATCCAAGGAAAACTGGTTTGCTTACCCTTCATCTCCATCTCCTCCACCGCACACCGACCGAGTTTCTCCATTGCCAGATCATCCTGGATCGCCCGATATGAGCGGCAAGGATATAGGTGTCAAGGATTGGGAAGGCACGACCGATTTATACGGCTTTGGCCGAAGCAACACAGTAATCAGGCATCGTAGCCAAGATAATTATAGCCCATTGAGCAGCTACTCCGATGATGATCATAACATATACGACAAGGAACATACAGAGAATTTGTACATTTACGAGCAAGATTTAAGCGATAAGGGGGGCAGCAATGCCTACGACGATGATAAGACACCATCACCCACCATAAATCCACTGAAAATGAACCCCCCAACACCGCAGCCTTCCGTGCAGCAACAGCTCAACTCGTATGGGCAGACAGGCAGTATCAATCGCATTGCGTTGACAGATGCGCCAAACCCGTCACTTAATAAAAGATACTCAACGCCAATAAAATCTCGAAATCAAGAAAACGAACTCACTAACGGGTCAACTTCCATCGGAATGGAGAACGACGCCCAGTACCACAAACAATTAACCCCTAATAGCGCTGTGAAAAATTCCACCCCGGGAAAAAAGCGATGGACGCTAAGAGGCGGAAAACCGTCCACCTACGAATCCTTACAACCGGACGACGACAGCGATGATGGTCGCGATGCCAGCCCTGCCCATCTCGATAGTGATCGCAAGGGGCGTGTGGTGAGCAACTCTGGAATTGATTTGGGATCAGGTTTTGGATCCGGCTCTCCTGGGTATGGTAGCTATCTTGCCGGGTTGGGCGTTGGGAGGAGACGGGATGTCAGTGGAAAAGCGGCGGAGGAAGGCCGAATTGCTGGAGTGCGCATGGTTGCCGAAGAGGAAGAACGCGAAGGCGCCAAACCCAAAGGACGGCGGCTTTCAAAGTCGGGAGGCGGTGAGATTAGGGCTGCTGGATGGGCTCGTTTTAAAGGGTTATAAATGCTCTTCCCACCCCTCCCCCTTATATTTTCAAAACCTGATAATTGCTTATTTGAGGGACGGACCAACCCATCCTGATATAAACCCATGATTCTTTGTTTGTTTACTGACCATTTTTTGTTCCGCAAACACCCCACCGTTTCCATTTCTTTTCGCAGGGCAACACAAATGACGAAAATATGCCGCCCTTATCTCTGGTTTATATGGTTTTCTTATGATTTTTGATTTTCTATATTCCCCATCTTCCCATCCATGTCAGTATTTTTGTTCAGTACCTGATTTCTTTTTGTGTTCTTGACATCTTGAGTGGGGTTTAGTGATACCGACGAGCTTGTGGGAATATCGAATTCCTGATCAGATGTTGTTTCGAATGGTTTTTTGCACCAGTAGATTGCTGGTAGGGTATTACCTGCTGCTGATACCCAGTGTGCCGCTGATGGAAAGGTGAATTAGAACGAGATATGGAATTTGAGATATGTATAATAATGGATACGAGGCAATTAGCTAGCTATATGGTATCGCTGATTCTGACAGATTTCGAAACGCTGTCAAAGACAACAATGGGCGTTCCTCCTCCGGCATTTATGTCGTCATCGGGCGGCTGCAGCTTCCCAACAATGTAAAACCTTGGGGTGGTTTGAAATCGGTGAACACCTGGCTCTGTGAATTCTCCTATTGTTGAATCGCCAAGAAAAAGCTTAGAAAAATCCCACCGTCGAAACAACGATATTCCGCTTGGTGAAGATACCACTTGGTCCATGCAAATGTAAAAAGCCGTGAAAACCTTCAAATCGGGCTGCTTCCCAAGCCGTTTAACGACCGGTAACCCTGGTACAAACAACAACGGAACTAGATTCTCCAAAATCTCTCCTCCGAAGCAACTATATTCCTCCCGGCGAAAATCTCACTATCCGCTTCTTCATGGAGGATCAACATACCCCTCGAATCGAGCAGCCTCTCGGGCATCACATCTCGTAGATAGTCTCTATCAATCGGGGGCACATGTTTTGTCCATTCTGGCCCGGCCACTGGAGTGTAAGGGGCATATGGATTGTTCACACCATCCCAATCACCTGGAGGAATGTTGTTTCCATCTCTCCTCATCCCTTTGCTGAGCTTAAAATTGAAAGCCTCGGGCATGGATTCGACAAGACAGGCAAGAATTGCATAGCGGATGGGGTCAGGGTCTTTTGGGTCAGGGATCCGTTCCAGCTGCCAGGAATGCTCACTGTGATACCAAAAGTATTCAACTTCATATCCAATTACTGCATTCATACTATCCCCAGCCATCGCTGCCTCGTACATACGATAAAGAGAGCGCAAGGGAGTGTCATGAGAACGCCATAGTGGAATTGCTTGTAGATTTTTGAGATCACCTTCACACCGCCTTGTCCAGCACAGTGATGGGTTGGCAACCAAGCTCAGAGGAGGAAGAGGCTCAGGTATTGGATATGACCATGAGGTTAGAGACGCAGGCAGGAAGAGACGCAGCAGAGCAAGATATGGGTGTTTGTTCCGGTGACGTAGACGGATGATGCTTCCTCGAAGTTCTAATGGGCTTTCTATAGACCGCCATATGTACCATTTCCGTCTCCACCAACTCAATTTGCGACGGGGTCGTTTGGAAGGACGTGTCATATCTGGTTACTCTTCTCTCGGCTAAGACAATGAGAACTTGAAAGAATGAAAACAGGCGATGAGTCCTGGTTGCTAAACCACGTGAGCCTCACATTTGGACAAAGGAGGTTGAAGGAGAGGGCAACAATCCACTGATCATTTAATTTATTTTCATATTGCTTTGGCCCCTACTCATATTTACCAGTAACGAAACCAGCCTCCGTTTGAAACACCTCATTCGAATTCTATTGAGGGTGGAGAGAGTAGAATAGTGATGTGTGCCAAGGATGTGTGACGGAATAACAATCGATTTGACGCTCCTCGTCCGGTCGATTCCTTCCATCCGCTCCAGATAACCTTGAAGCATTCGTTATTTGAATGGCAAGAAATTATCAATCCCTTCTTGTCTTGGTAGCCAACGCGTTTTTGCTTGATCCTTAATTGGTACCAGTTCCCAGTTGATAACTACAGTTATTTACGGAGGCCCAAGCTCCAGTTCCTAAACTGCAACGTCTCGAGTACAGCTGTTTGGCATCAGGAATTTTGACCTTGCTGCATGTGCGGTGCTGAACACTGAGGGAATACCTCATGCGTTCATCTGTGGGTATGCTGTCACTCTCATAGGTGGTCAACGGTCAACTCTAGCTTTAAGGATGTCAACATCATCATTGGGCAGCCTGCGGACGGATTCAGACAATTTCTGTTAGAGTCTGATCCCGGGTTTATCATGTCTTCGACAAATCAATTGCTCCACAGGGCCGTACGCCAATCCATCACGGTTATGACTTGTATATCCAACAAATAACAAATACACAGATGCTAGAGGAGCATGTTCCAGTGGAACCCCTGTTGGGTGGTGAGGATGTGGCGCTGAAACTTCCAACTTGAACTTCTAGCAGATAGGAATAGTGTCTGCCATCCCGGAGTTTAATCGAGTGAATTTTGAGTCTTCCGAAATTAGTGAATTTCACGCGATATGAATCAACGAGATGATTCAATTTACCCTTTAAGCCCACTCCATTGACTTCACTGATATGAATGGCGGAATCAGTTCACTCTTCTGGCATGCGATATATTTGCTCGCAGATACATCTATCCATGCTTCCTCTATTCCCTTTTTCTATTATTTCATAATATTGCGTTCGAGTATTTTTCGTCTGGCTTTGTCCCTGTTACTACCTGGAAGAAGCCAACTCCCCACTATCAAATTACTGCCGCTCTTCGTTGAGTGAACTATGCATACAAGTCGCACCCAAAAGAAGGCCACGGCCTGCTACTATTGGTACAATGGTAGGTGTAAATATACAGCGGATGCTTGCATGTATGCGCATCGCCATACCGGCCAGGTTGCGAAGAGGCCACCGTCGACTACTAAGTTAGGTATGGATACGATTTCCCAACCCATCCATCAGGTAGGATGTTTGGGATTTAGGCCAGACTCTTACTGCCATCACAGAATCCAAGCCAGACCAGCGGGATAATAGGGACCTAATCTCATTGGTGGGTAACGACGATATAATAGAGGATACGGTATGCGTTGATCCTGTTAATTGAATAATGCTGCACAGGACAAATATCTAGCACATGTGTTAAGTTTTCTTAGATTTCAAGTGCCGCTGCGACAGAGAATTCATCATGCACAATCGTTTTACAAACTCCAGCCGAAGCATCTGAATGTCTTACCCTGGCCGAGGCCGTTATCAAAGCTCTGCAATCTAATACGGACTCCAGCGGTATTAAGGCCATGCTTGCTACGAATCCCCCTGAGCGTGTGCTAAAAGCACTCAACAAAGGCATTGATGGGTTTTCCGCTATTTTTGAAGCAGTCAAACGGAACGACGCAGATATTATAGAACTACTCGTTGAAAATGGGGCCAACCCAAATGCAACAGAGCATAATTCCGATATCCCGCTTCTTGCATTTGCAATTTTGCGAGGTGCGACAATTACAATTATACAAACGCTCCTGAGTGTGGGAACGAATCCTCATTCTATTCCTCGAGACTTGTGGGGCGGATCCATCTCCGGGACATTCGACAACGACACTGAGTTGCTAACTGGCAATTTGACGCTAGATACTCGCTGGTACAATAGATTACACCGTGCTTCACTCCTAAAGCGACTGGATTTTGGTGTAAGATACCATCTCCTAGCTTCGAGCAAATTAGAGGCTCCAACCAAGAATGAACGACGGAATGCCGAAAGATTAGGCATCAAATCTCTCCTCCAGTTACCTTATTTCTCTGTCGGACAAAGACTTGCTATAAAACGTGTCACGGAATATGTCCAATCTCATCTTTTGCTTCCCAGCAGTAACCAGCCATTAATGCTGGCATTTGTTGGTCCTCCAGGCCATGGCCAGCTGAAGCTCGCCGCCAGCGTTGGCAAAATAGTACCTTTTAACTCAATCGTTGCGCGCACGAAAAAGATGAACAATTATTCTGCCAATGAGCAGATACCGGATAAAGAAATCTCCACCAACAAACCTAGCAGATTAGAGGTGGTTTATATCGATGACATCGACAAAATTGGTCGGTTGAATCTAATTACCCTCCTAAATGGTCCTACACAAGGTGAGCGTTTGTAAATGTACATGTAAAGTACATACAAACCAGCCCAAGCCAGGTCAATCAGAGCTCTGTTTTGAAGCTTGAAATAACTGTCCAAGCTGAGTTTTTAATTTTGTTTGAATCCCTCCAGGAGCTGGCTGGCATGAAACTAACCGCAACTTCTCAGCTAGCTCGAACACTATCTGTATTCTTTCTGTAACTGACGGTGAGAGCACAATTCTCGACTTTTACGAAACATACCTCGGAAACGCCCCCAAGGACGAATTACTCTCCGCCCCTTGGGACGAACTGGATAAAGCGTTGAAGAAGGACCTCTTAAAAAGCTATGGGGTATTTTTATAGGCTAACTCCGGCCCTTGCCCAGTAAAATAATGAATATAGCTCTAACAAAACAAAACTATACAGTCCTCCCTAACCAGTCATATTGATGCCATAATCCCGTTCTTCCCCTACTCCGATTCCGAAGCCGAGGCTCTAGCATATAAATACATCAACGATCTACGTTCGCGTCTAGCTAATGCCGACGTAGGCGACAATGCCTATGCTGCAAAACCTGCAACTGCAAACGCATCCACATTCTTAAGCGCTATTCATCTCGATCTTGAAGGAGACGACAGGGCGATCTGTGAGCATATTGCGAAGAAGAGCTATGACATGAGTCTCGGGGAACGGTCTATTCAGCAGGGGGTTATCAGGGAAATCCAGCTCCCGATTATCGAGCAGTGGATAAAGAAGATTCCTGAGGCTGAGGAGAGCTTCCGGGGATATGGACAGGCACCGTGGTGTTCCGGGTTGGGCTTGGGGAGCCCCCATTCCTCTACCTCCATGTCTACATCTGGTGGTGCACATGCCCTATCTGCTCAGGGGGTCACAAAAGCTGCTGTTAAGTTGGTGGCGAACGAGCACCCCGATGTGATGGTACGTGGGAGGAAGGGCCATCTTTCAATTTCAGTGTCTTTGGAATAGGGAAAGTTCGGATCAAAATGACAAAAATAGCAGGGCATGGTAAAGCGGTGATGGTTTTTCTTGATTGGAGACGGGAAAGGTATAATAAGTTCTCTGCACTAAGATGAACGGGGGTTACCTAGTTTTGGAAGAGAGTAGCTGGTTGGAGCGGACGGGGAAGATGGGTACTGCGGTAGGTGTTTGATATTAGTTGTTTTATCTGCCAATAACATGAAAAAAAGCAGAGCGTTGGCCTGGGCAGTATCGGAAAAAAAGGATATTGTATCAGAAATTCTTAACGACAGAGGATTTAGCGATAGAAACAGTTATACAATCGGAAAATTAGCAAGTCAAATTTGAGGACAAATGTATTAATTTCCATAGGGTACTTTTTCTCACGTCTGGTTTGGTCCAACGCATTACCATAATGTTATATGACTAAGAAAGCCCTTTCCCGTGTTTTCTCGAATACCCGTAGGTGCTGATGGTTTTTGAAGTGGGGGAAATGAAAAGCAGAAAGAAATTTTCAACCTCGCTTTATTAAATTTGTTTTGTAGATCGTAGATCATCGTCCGTTAAGCGTTGAATCCGAACTAGAATTAAAACTGGAGTCACTTCGTTCCTAACAGGCAACAAAAATGACAATATCAATAACAAGTAATATTCCTTGTTATTATTTTACCCTTTGGAATTCCCAAAAAGAGAAAGATGAAAAAAGCACGGAAGGATAATCTTCTAAAGCGCCAGAGGTCCGCAACAAGCAAAACTAGCTGTAAGGAACAGGGACTTGGAGCAAGAGAAAGTAGCGGGAACGACTGAGCAAGGAAAGAGTGGATGAAGCGTTTGAGATGGGCGAAGGTAGGCGGGAATAGCGTAAAAGAGTAAAAGAAAATTACGGCGAATCAAAATGTAAAATTCATGAAAAGTCTTCCCCAGGCTCTTCGATACTGTTCTTGACACGGAGTAATATTGCTGTTTTCCACTTATCCAGCTTGCTTAACTGATCGTATTGGAATAACTTGTCGCCAAAAGACTCTGCATCGCCCTGCTCAACAGCCTGCGCCAAATCAACGAGGAGCATATGTTCGCGAGTCGTTGTGAAGGAGTTATCGAGGTCTCTATAGTTTTGGAGAGCACGATTGGTAGCGACGAGGTCCTGCAAGACAACGTGGGATTATTTTTAGCTGACGCACGCACAGAGAAGAAAATAATAGGCTAGAAGATAACAGGTATAATTTTACTCTTCTTTTTTTTATTTAAAAAAAAGTTTTTCCTTACATTTGACGCAAGGTGGCAGATGCCAGCTTTCAAGAAGTAGTCTTTCACGGAATATTTCATCAGGTTATTGTTAATGGAGGATTTTGCAACGCGTTCGTAGTGCTCGATGGATTTGTAGTAATCTCCTTTGAGCGCGGCAAGGTCTGCGACTTTGAGATAATGCTTGTTCGCTAGCCTGTTAAACAGAAATATCCACGATCAGTTATCCTGTTTTGCCCTATGGACTAATGTTACCTGAAAGGACGGAGGAAGAAAGGAGAGAATGCCTACGCTTCCGCGTTATCTCCTTCGAACCATTCCGCGGCCTTTTCATAGGCTTCCAACGCTCGTCCTTCATCGCCAATTTCTACCTCGTATATTTCAGCTAAGTTTTGTTGGTGGGTCGCAGCCCGTCTGAAGTTTCCCTTAGAAATATAATGCTGGATGGCAATCTGCAGCACTCGGGCTGCGTCTTCGGGGTCTGTCTTTCGGTATACTTTAAACGCCTCAGTCAAGAGGTTGGCCGCATCGTCTGGCTCGTTCAGGTTGGTGGTGAAAACAGTGGCAGCTTTCTCAAACGCCATGCCCGCTTCCTTATCTACATTTTCCACGATATTAGCCGTGGATTGCTTTTTCCGGCGGTTCCCAGGAAACGGCGGAGCTGAGAAAATATGCAAGAGCGGGGCGGGGACAACCAACTCATCTTCTGTGCCCGGAAAGCATTGGCGGCTTGTGAATAGAGGTCTGCAGCGTTTTCGTATTTTTCCGTTCGCCCACCGAAAAGGCTGAATCCACCTGAAGCACTCTGAAGTGCTTTATCTGCCTGTCATGTTTTCAAACTGTTAGGCCTCCATCGGATGGATGGCGGGGAATATGATTGCACACCTTCTGTAGTAGGACTCGGGGATCCTGTGCCATGGTTGAAACTGTAAAGGCGGTTTGGCTGTTTTAGGGAAATAGGAAAACCAGTAGAAATTACAGCTGGATGTAGATCTGGTGTGTGTGGTGGTGTGTATACCGGTTGATGTTGAGGACGTCGCTGGATATGCCGACGTTGTCCGCAATGGATGTTGTCATGGCTTGGCGGGGTCTATCGAGGTTATTTAGGGCAGAAATCGCTGATCTAACTATAAGCGACACTCTTTTTCGTGCAAAACATCGCGTCCCTCCTCGAATATCAAAAATTGGTCCCAGTTAAGTAGAAATTAAACATTAAAGAGCAGACACTAACTGACTCGGCCTATTCTAACTATTCTACATTGGTTCAAATGGCACTCTGCCGCGCCTGGTCGACGCGACCACTCCTGCCAACGATCCGCAGAACGACCCATCACATCGGAGCAAGAAGTATTCGACCGACTCCGCCACCAGCAACTGCTCAAACCGACGATCCAGCGTCCATTCTCTCAAAGCCCAGTTGGTCTGTCAAATCCCTCTTACCAGAGAACACATCTTCTCCCAAATCACGTACTATATCCTCGAAGCAGCTCCACCACCTCCTCCGGCTTTCCGCACTTCCACCACCGTCAAGCGCCGAAGAGGAGGAGGAGATGCTCAAAACCCTTGAATCGCAAATTCATTTTGTGAAGAAGGTCCAGGGCATTGACACTACGGGTGTTACGCCTCTGCGCAGTATTAGTGACGAGTCGGAGGAGGCACAGGAGGAAAATAAAATCAGCTTAAAGACCCTCGAGGCATCTCTAAAACAAGAGCGCTATATCGGCCGAAGTAGAAGAATTCAGCGCACGAGATCTGAGAGGTCTACCAATCCGGACGACGAGGTTTGGGATGGTGATGCCTTGAAACCAGCATCAAAAACAATGGGGAGGTACTTCGTGGTCCAGTCAAGCTAAATTAGGAAGCTTGGTAAAAGCACGATCTAGAGGATATAACCTGGTTCCATTCCATACCCATCCAATACTCAGTATGTCTCACCCTTCAACCGCCTAGTGTCACTGAACCTATTCTCTTCGATCGTCGTACAAGCTTCCTCCCGTGGAGCGATGTGCTGACTCATCGGGCTGGTAGACACCTTCCTTCTTCTTCGGACCATCTTCCGTTCATTTGTTTATCCTACAAACCTATCAACAATTCGACTACTCCGCCATTTGTACGACTGTTCACTGCCACTTGGACCACATGGGACGAGAATTCCACGCAATAAAAGTTAATTTTAACTACGTTAAATGCCTACAGCTTCTTTAGCGCCATTCAGTCTCATGGATTCGATGATGAACCCAAGGAGTAGTCGAGGCGGTGACCATGAAATGGGAAGACAGGACCGACAAACACAAAATGAGGCTCACCTAGCTTCAGTCCTATGCCTAAACGAACGACAGGACCTGGCCCTTCTCATTGTGGATATTATGGATCAAATGGAGCAGACAATTTGTGATCATTTCAACACAGAGCATTCGAGACCGCAGCCAAATGATAATGAGCCGTCCCCAGACAACCTCGACCCAGCTGCTCTCAAGCAGGAGAAGCCTGGTCTTGTGTCCCGAAAGTCATCCACAATGGAAGTAAAAGCTGAGGCGGAAGCTCTTCGGTATTTTGGTACTTGGAAAGATTCAGTCATTTATCGGATTGGGGAGATCATAAACGCCCCTGATTGTCCAGAACTCCACAAGCAGCAGCAGCGTGAGGGACAGATTGACGAGAGCGCGGAAAACACCGCACCATCTGATTCTAGAAGATTAACCTGCACACCTAAAGGCTCTCCAAGCAGGTATCCACCAGTGGAGACTCCCTTGAATGAACTTCCACGTGCCACGAAATTAATTATTCTTCATTCGGCTCTCCTTCTGCTTCTAAGTCTTCAACACTACAGTGCACATTCGCGAGTTCTGCTGCTCAGGATGGCCGCCAGTCTTGGACTGTCCGTAGATGACTTGGTTAACGATGAGATCCAGGTCGCAGAAGGCCTGTTACAAACTGCCAAGGTACTGACGGCAGATGAAGAAGCCAAAGCAAAGGTTGAAAAGACGAAAAATTCAAGGAAATGGAAAATTGGCCTTGCGTCCATCGCTGGAGGTGTTCTCATTGGAGTAACCGGAGGATTAGCTGCCCCCTTTGTTGCTGCCGGCATTGGTGCAGTGATGGGTGGACTCGGCCTGGGAGCAACCGTTGCAGCGGGATACCTGGGTGCAGTTGCCAGTAGCGCCACTGTTATTGGAGGGATATTTGGGGCATATGGCGCCAGAATGACTGGAAAGATGATGGAGCGGTACGCAAAGGAGGTTGAAGATTTTGCATTCCTTCCCATCCATACACCAATACATCCAGAGGGAGAGAGCATAACTTCTATGACAACGGATCAACGTCTTAGGGTTACAATTGCTATTAGCGGCTGGCTTACTGAGCAAGAGGATTTCGTAAATCCCTGGCGGGTTCTCGGACGTGATTCTGAATCGTTTGCCCTACGGTGGGAGTTTAAAGCGCTAGCGAAACTTGGCAACGCGCTGACGACGATTGTGAGACATACAGCTTGGGCTTTTGCATCCAAACAAGCTATATCCGGTACCGTTTTCTCGCCTATCCTTGGTGCAGTGATGTGGCCCGTCGCCCTGTTAAATCTTTCTCACATAATCGATAATCCGTTTAGTATCGCGAAAATCCGCGCTGATAAGGCTGGTCAGGTCCTTGCGGATGCGTTAATTAACAAAGCCCAGGGTGAACGTCCAGTGACGTTGGTTGGGTACTCTATGGGTGCTCGTGTGATTTTTTCTTGCCTCACAAGTCTTGCGAAAAGACGCGCGTATGGTTTGGTCGAATCCGCTATTCTTATTGGGTCTCCTACTCCGTCGACAACCAGCCATTGGCGGCTAATGCGAACCGTTGTTAGCGGTCGATTGGTCAATGTTTTCTCCTTTAACGACTCGATCCTCGGATTTCTGTACCGTGCTAATAGTGCCCAATTCGGAATAGCCGGTCTCCAGTCCATCTCAGGCGTCCCTGGAATAGAGAACTTCGATGTGAGTGATGTTGTTAGTGGCCATTTGAAATACCAGTATATGGTTGGATACATTCTCAAAAGGATCGGATACGATCACCTGGACAAGGATCAATTGCAACGTCAAACTGACATTTTGAGGGCTATGGATGAAGGAGACGATAAGAAGCTTGAGTGGGAAAAAGAGCAGGTGCGAATTAAGATGAAATTGGAGCAACACCAACAGATGGATAATAGTCGTATGCAGGAACCTTTGCTTGTTGGGGAGCAGCCAGTCGAAAGAGAGGTTGAAGGAGGACAAGAACAGTCTCAGATGAGCTTGGGACCACAGCAACTCCAGGAAAATATCAGTATGCCTGAACCATCTTCTGCTGAAGTCCAGCGGCTGGAAAGGGAGGTGGAAGAACAGACTCAGCAAACCCTGTGCCGTGCCTGACTTGGAAGACTAGAGATTATGGATCAGACTAATGATTGAGTATATCATGGGTAAATTGTCTGCTGGTCGTTACGAACGAATTTTTATTATGCTTAAATGGGTTACTTGCCACACCTCGCGCTCACCTCTGGTAGCTGGATTGGTGCCTGATGTTTTAGGTCGTTTTTGGTTCTTATCGTTTTAGCATGTCTGTTGTTCTCATTAAGCAGATATTTTTAGCAAGGAAGTGGTAAATTGTTTAGTTTCCAAGTGATCTGCGTATGCATATGTTTATCGAAAGTGGTTGGAGTAGGATAAACGGAAGAAGGTATAAACGAAAATCATCAATCAATCGTAATAATAATATGAAAAATAGCCTTCTTAAGTCGTGGATATATCGATTCAGTTTCCCCTAGGACTATACCTTCCAAGCCCCGTAACCCGCAATATCGTGGAATTTTTAAATCGCCATGCAAAAAAGGGGCAAAACGCCAACAAAAATCATCTCAAAAAAGAGCGTCTCTACATCGAAACATCTAAAAAGCTCAATGCGCCTCCTGCCCCCACGCAACAGCCTTTCGAGGAAAAACACGTTTATACAAGCTAATCCCAATAGCATCCTGCGGATTAATCTTCGCATCAAACGTCGCCTTAAAATACCCATGGGTCCCCAAACTCTCCTTGATATACCCGCTGCGGCCCCGCTTCGTCCACAGCTGTAGAGCTTTAAACCAATTCACGTCCTCCGCGTTGAAGAACATGTACCGCACCGTGACGACCTTCTTGTGGATCTTGTACGGGTGGCCGGTCAGGATAACGCGCTTGGCAACGACCCGCGAATGGTCAGGTGCAATAGTCGTGCCGGAGCCGATGAGTTCCCAGTTCTCGAGCTCATTGGAGGATGATATGACAGGGAGGGTGTTGCCACTATTATCCGTGCTTGGATCCATGGCTTCGGTATCCGTGGCCGCGGTCGCTGTCTTTTTAAATACTAAGACGGGTATCGAACCCCAGGAGACGGGGCCGATGAATGTTGCTACGGCGCTGCGGCCTGGATGTAAATATCGGTCGAACTTGTGGACGTTATTGGGAGTGTTTCCGGCGGCAGAGAAGATTGGTTTAATGACCAGGCGGCGGGGACCGCATTGTATGATTAGTTCTTCTTTAGATTTGAGAGGTTCTTCGACAGTGGAGTTAAGGCTCATGTTGATGTTGACGACTGCCAGTTTATGTTCGTGTCGGAGGAGCGAGAAAAGAGAGGTTGGTTGTGAAGGGAGTGACTTTAAGTGGAGAGGCACGTCGCCGAGATGAACATTAACACGGGTACCGGCCTTGACACCACCGACGAGTGCTTCCCGAAGACATTGGTTTTTGGAACCCTTGTAGTCTACGACCTGTAGAAGACGATTCCAGTCTTCAGGCTCATGCGCCCTGTCTTCCTCCACTTCCCATCTACTCGTTTTAAGGCTTTTGAGTCCTCTATATCTTGCTAGTCTTTCTCTTGCAACGGTAGATGGATGAAGTTCAATCTCGTCGGGGAATTCCAAATCATCTTTCGTCTCATTCTTCCGGCTTGCGCGATATTCTTCTATTTGTTGCGCTTCGTCCTCAGGTGATGGGTCGAGAAACATCTCAGACTGTGGATATTCGGAAGGGCCGGCTTCAGTCATAGTGTCTCTATTGTCGGGATTGAAAAAGCCATCTTCTGGACCAGCTGGAGTATCCAAATCCATACCATCATCGATATCATCCATTTCATCGACCAGGTCAGAACCGGAGTCAGAGACGTCATCAAGGTACCATGCCGCCTGGTAATCAGATGTGCCCTTCGGCAGACGTCTCGGACGCGATGAATGCTTGTCATCGCCATCCGAGAAGTAATGGTGATCATCAAGCAGTACCCCTTTCTTTTCAGTATCAGCCATAGAAATAGTATCATCCATCATAACGACCTCCTCAGGTGCGACGGTAGCCATGTCGTCGCAATCAACACTTGGCTGATCCAAAACTTGCTGTTCCACTGTGTTGTTGATGCTCATTCCACCATCTGCTTCCCTTTGCTTAAGTGACAGCGATGGCGCAGCGGTGATGGATGTGATCTTATAATCGCCCCAGGTGGGTATATGGACCAAGCGGTCAGCTTTTAAGCCTCTACCCCGTACAACGCCGGTTACTATAACCTCACCAGACGCCTCAGACGATGGTTCGGGCCATAGTACAGATTCAATTAGCATCCAACTTCTATCATCCCGCCAACGAATACCCTTTGGTGTTGCCGTACATATCCCCCGAACTATGTTGGAACATTCCTGCCTCGAATCCAAAGAATGTACCTTGTCTAGTGTGGGAAAGAAATGGGCGATGAAAGATTTGAGTGAAGCAGTAAATTGCTGGCGCTTTTTGGGAGGCGTGATTTTCTCAAGCCCCTAAGAAATGGAGAATGTCAGTCACTGTTGAATTGAAAAAAAATGAAAATAATGAAAATAATTGGCTCGTAAGGGTGTTTTTCGCATACCTGTACTACTGCAAGCACATTGGATATCCCTTGACCTTCAATCGCACGCAGCATTAATTTGGCCCCTTCGTCTAGTTTATTGTCTGCGGGCAGAATAAAAATGACAAAATCTGCCAAGCGACATGTATCCAGTGCGCTTATCAAATCCTTCCTTGTAGGAATGTACAAGACATTTTGCTTAAATCTCTCTATGCGAACGCGGTACATGCGCCCTTGAATATCTGTTTCCGGGATATCGAGACTCTCGTTTAAACTCCTGATGGCTGCCTCCGTGTTTACGGTATCCGCAAGAGGGATAACGGCAACATGTTTCGACGCTCCATTCTGGCCGGAGAATATGCTCACGGATTCGGATTGGTTTTTGTGCTTCAGTCTTTGTTTCTGGCGTGCTTGATTCCGGCGGTCGAGTTTCGACATCAATTGTTGGTGGGGAGTTTTGCGACTGCCCCTCTCCTCGATTTTGCCTATCGAGATCATAGGTTAGCCTGGACGCAACAATATTATATAGAAAAAATTCAAAATATATTCCTTGTTATTTTTATTCCCCCCCCCCCCCCGTTTACAAATATATATACAAGATCACGCACCTTTAGATAAGTCCTTAAGAGCGCCCTTTGACATATGCTTGGACTTAAACGCCTTGTTTATTGATTTGGTCGTATTCCGGTGGTGGTGCGGGACAGCCACGGCGCTGGGAGCCATGGTGTGCGAGCCCGAACCCTTAAATCTAAAAGGGAGTGAGGCCAGATTGACAGGAATATAAATCAACGGCCGGCGGGCCAAGTAGAAGAACAAGCAACCCTGGAAGCCCTCACCCAGCTGTATATATATATTATTTGATAATTCTCATATTAATTTCTTTTGTGTCTTTGATAAAATTCCAATGTTAACCGGGTCACATGACACATTGTTTGCTGTGTTTGCAAGAAGAATTCTAATTTTCCGTCGCAAATCAAGACCAGAGATCCAATGTGTCGATTATGTGACTGTTCTACGATATTCCTTAGGAGTTTGCTGCTGGATTATTTTAGCAGTAAACCTAAGACCGCTGTGCAACTATGGAGGTTCAAGCTGCTCCAAAAACTCTGGCCGTTGTCCGGAAATCGTCCAAAGACAAAGATCTCGAGTCCTGGGAGGAGAGGAAGCGATTAGCAGAAGCGCAGAAAAAATACGGACGGGGGAAACGGATCAATGCGAAGAGCGTGAAAGATAGGAAATTGCGAAGCAATTTAAAGAACCTAGAAGCAAAGTATAAAGATGCAGCGCTAAAAGCGAAGGATGCCGAGATCCTGCTGGAGAACGAGCATGGTTACTTGGAACCTGAAGGGGAACTGGAGAAAACCTATAAAGTTCGACAAGATGAGATCAAGGACAGTGTGGGCATAGAAACAGCAAAGAAGGGATTCGAACTCAAGCTGGAGGATTTGGGTCCTTACTCGGCTGACTATACGAGAAATGGACGAAAACTTATACTGGCTGGTAGGAAAGGTCATATCGCAACCATGGACTGGCGAGACGGTAAACTGGGATGCGAGCTGCAACTTGGAGAGACTGTGAGAGATGCCAAATGGCTGCATAATGATCAGTTTTTCGCTGTTGCGCAGAAGAAATATGTCTACATCTATGATCATGCAGGGGTTGAGATCCATTGTTTGAACAAACATGTCGAGGCCACACATCTGGAATTCCTACCTTACCATTTCCTCCTTGCCAGTGTTGTAAGTACAAAGATCACCCATTTGGTACCACTGAATCTGCTAACACAATTTCGTCTTCCAGGCTACCAGTGGATATCTGAAATATACTGACACATCAACTGGTCAACTAGTAGCAGAGCTAGCTACTCGCCAGGGCTCCCCGACTTCTCTCTGTCAAAACCCTTATAATGCCATCCTACATGTTGGCCACCAAAATGGCACCGTCTCCTTCTGGTCTCCCAATTCCTCAACAGCCCTCGTTAAAGCACTCACCCACCGCGGACCCGTCCGATCAGTTGCAGTCGACCGACAAGGCAGATACATGGTATCAACGGGCCAGGATTTACGCATGGCGGTATGGGATATCCGTATGCTAAAGGAGGTACATAACTACTCCGTTCCCCAACCTGGCTCTAGTGTCTCCATCAGTGACCGTGGTCTCGTCGCCGTCGGCTGGGGTACACAGCTCAGCGTCTGGAAGGGATTGTTCACTACAGCAGCTGCAGATCAAGAGAAGGTGCAAAGTCCATACATGTCCTGGGGAGGTGACGGGAAGCGCATCGAGCGCGTCCGCTGGTGCCCGTATGATGATATTCTCGGCGTGGCGCATGACAAAGGATTCGCCAGCCTGATCGTGCCGGGCAGTGGAGAACCTAACTTTGACGCCTCCGAAGCCAACCCATTCGAAACCACGAAGCAGCGGCAGGAAGCAGAAGTCCGAGGACTGCTTACGAAGTTGCAGCCGGAGATGATTTCACTCAACCCTGACTTTGTGGGCAATCTTGATCTCGTAAGCGATGCCACGCGCAGAAAAGAGCGGGATCTCGATCGAAAACCTGATGACATTATTGAAAAATTAAAGAATCGGGGCCGTGGGAGGAATAGCGCGTTGCGCAAGTATCTGCGTAAAAAGGGGGCCAAGAATGTTATTGATGAGAAGAGGCTCAAGGCTGAAGAGCTGCGGAATGAACGGTCCTCTAGGGCAAAAGAGAATCTTCAGCGCCAGAAGGCTGGTTTGGGTCCCGCCCTTGGACGGTTTGCGACGGTACGAACCTCCTAGGTCGTAAGAGGTATTGTCATTTATCTCCCGCAAGCCAGAGGCGAGGATATTGGCATTATGCATCGGCGATGCCGCCATTACTATCCCGTTCCCATTCATTTTTCATTCAGCTTTTTTTTTTTTGATAATACCCGCGGCGTTAGTATCTGTATGTTTCCTAAATTCCAGCATTGCATCACACCGGAGCATTGGAGTACCGGATTCGGGACGGATATAGTATTGTAAAGATATCGAAAAAGTCTTGGGAAAGGAGAATATAGAAATTATACAATTGTTTCAATCGAGCTTTTACGATGTAATTATATCATCTCTAGGCATAAATGCACTTCCCTGACGGCATGATATGAGATAGCGTTGAATATGGGGCTAACTCGCTCTGTATTATCGTTTTTCTGACTCCTACGACGTTCGGATAGCAGTGCTCCAGGATGCACGACTCTCTCCTAGGCAATTTCATGGATATGGAAAAAAGGAAACGAAATCAAATTGCCCTTCGTCTTTCAAACTGTCCCAGATCCCCTAACCGCCCCGCCTTTCCACCTTTGCAAACTTACATCATATGCCCCGCTGGCCTTCCACGCGCTCAAAATCAGCTCAACGATATGCTCAACCCCTCGCCCACTCTTCACCTCTGCGAAAACCGTCGGGCCGTCTTCTCTCATCTTCGCTGCATCTCTCTCCATAACAGATAAATCCGCGCCGACTGCGTCTGCCAGATCAATCTTATTCACGACCAACAAATCACTGCCAGTTATACCAGGGCCTCCCTTTCTGGGAATCTTGTCCCCACCAGCTACGTCGATGACGTAGATGATGAAATCGGCTAGTTCACGCGAGTAGTTGGCTGCTAGGTTGTCGCCCCCGGATTCTATCAGGAGGAGGTCGCTTTGGAATTGTCGCTGGAGCGATTGCAAGGCCAGTAAATTTGCACTGATATCTTCACGAACGGCAGCGTGTGGGCAACCGCCGGTCTCGATGGCGCGGATGCGGGACGGAGAGAGCGCCTTATTACGGGTGAGGAATTCGGCATCCTCCCTTTGAGATAGTTAGGGATGGCCGGGCGTGCTTTTGGCTATAACCGGCAAACAAGGGGGGGGGGGATTTTACTGACCTAGTAAATATATCATTCGTCACGACAGCGAGGTTATATTCGTCACGCATTGCTAGACAGAGTGCCAGCATCAATGCTGTCTTCCCCGAGCCTACTGGTCTGTGCATATTAACAACATATTAGCTGGTGTATAGCATAGCTGTCTCGGTTTCATTTTCTTTTCAAGTGCGATCAACCACTGACGTAACAACCAGAGCTACACGAACTAAGAGCTAGGGAGATAATGTCCTACCCTCCAATGCCAATAGTAAACGCTCGATCGTTCCAATCGCGTCCTTCAATCACAGGCATCTCCCGATTCAGATAAGAGCCAGGACCATCGAGGATCTCATGTGTATGACCATGTGCATCACCATCATGTGTATGGGAATGCTGCCGTGAGTGGTCGTGGGTAGCCATTAGTTCGAGCAGCTGTGGGATATGGAGAATAAAGAAAGGTACTGGTTCTCACAGTACGGCTAGATATAATACTTTGGGGTTTTATAGAAAAAAACGGAGGAATTTATTCCAAGGCTGTTTCAATATAAAGTGGGGGAGCAATTCATGGATGGCAAACTTTGAAGCATATTTGGCGGGGTTCAACCTTGTGATATCATAGTTACCAGGCAACAAAACTAGGAAAATGTTGTGTAGAATCAAAGAAACACCATTTCGGAAACCTTTTGCGTTCAAAATTTTTGGATATATGGGGCATCGATATACAAATAGTCTTATAAAATAAGATGGAGTTCAAGAAAAATGAACTTGCGGTGACAAAATATTTTTAGTAGTGCTAGATGGATCTATCTCCGCTTCGAAAACGTACTTCCATTGAAAATTCTGTATTATAGAAAAGACCTAAAAAAAAATACTTCGAAAATAGTTCAGACAGTTCCGCAGAGGACTAAGCGACAGGTTACTCAAAATACCAAGACATCGAAGCACATAGCTGGGTTAATATCAGAAAGTTTTAAAGGAAAAAAGAAATATATCTGCAACAGGTAGCATCAAGACCACGTTGGAATCCAAATAATGTACCATGGAAAGGACAACGTTATAATTTTGCGATTTAGCCAGGCAAATTTAATGTGGAGTTTGCCAATAGAAAGGAGGGCATGGAGTGGTTTTTGTGAGGGAGCAAGGCGTGCGAAAATTAGATGCGACCAAAAGCTAGACGGCATCAGTAGAGATTATAACCCCTAATTGAAATAATCCCTATGACAAGCCAATGCTAGGGAGGAAAGGAATCAAGGATTGGAGCCAAAGCCTCGCAGCCCATGAAATAAGGCCGGAGCTATGCAAAGAAGCAAAAGTGACCGTGGAAAAGAAACCTGGAGAAGAAAATAAATCATCAAATATTAAGTGTGGTGGGAGGAATAATTAAAAAAAAAAAAAAAAAACACCATCAGTGTCGCGTCCAACAGGATGCAGGTTGGCAGCTGTTCTACCCATCCATCCGTTGGAAGTCCAAGCAAAGCACGCCCGCCCCATTTGCAGAAACAAAAAGAGAAAAATAAAATCGCACAAAATATAACAAAACAGGGTGGCTCATATAATGTAAGCCATCCGATCTACCCCCGCAAAACACCTTTGGGAAAAGAAAAAGAGCGCAAAAATGTAAAGACAATGGGACAGTCGCAAGTTGCTAAAAATCTCAATAGCTAACAACAGCACAGAGAGATTCTTGCCACAAAAATGTTTCGAATACAAAAAGACGAGAGGGGAGAAAAACGCGCAAACCGGCAAAACACAACCAGACAAGGGATCCGTAGTGCAATTCCAAGTTTATAAACAGCAAAGGCGCCACGCCATAGAATGAACAACGAAAAACTGCAACCCCTACCAATGGTTATCCAAAATGAAATTTAAAAGAAAACAGAAAAATAAGAAAAAAGAGACAAAAGCGGACGCCTAGGGAAATCAGATTTCAAAAGGCAGCTAGACCAACGCCAAGTCCGCCTCAGGAGGTGTGTCAGAAACGAAAAATTTAAAGTCAAGCTGAAACGATGAAGGAATGAATATTGTAAGAGGGCCGCACTCTTCTTTCCATACAATTAAGCGCACCATCCTTAACTTCAGTTTGAGCCCTTTTGCCTTTTGCCACCAACCCTTGGGCTAGCTTTCGGTGCCTTGGATGCACCGGGCCCTGCGCCGTTTACCTCTGCCATTCCCGCATTATCATCTTCGGTTTTGATAGCGCTTCGGCGGCGCTTATTACTCACATTGGGGCTGGTATTAGCGCTAGTTCCTTGGCTGCCACTTGTATTGGTTCCCTGCTGGCTTTGTTGCGCAACCATTGCAACAGGCCCTGCCATGCTGTTTTGCGCAGGGCTAGGTGTGTGGTTCGCTGCTCCGAGATGAGGAGAGCCTTGTGCGCCTGGTAATCCTAGATGAGCTACTGCAGGTGAGGAAAACTGGGTAGGCCCGTTAAGGTTTGGTGTACGTTGTCCAGGTGGCTGCTGACTTCCGGGGTGGCCTGGACCAAATCCAAGAGCCTGAGGAGCGTTGAATGAAGCAACTAATTGTCGGAGAGCATCGTTTGGAGATAGATGTGGGTGCTGAATGGAATACTGGAACAATGTCTGCATTTGAGAGATTGTCTCCGCGACCTGGCAATGTATTGACTAGTTGTCAGAATCCTGCGATCTCCTGAATGGTTAGGCAATTGGACATTATCATACCTCTAAAAATTTCATGACAGCAGGTGGGACGCCGTGTTCCGTAACTATAGAGTCAGGTGCGATAACTGAGCGTAAAGCTGCCTGCTTTTGCTGTGCTCTCTTGGCCAGCCCTTTGCTAACCTTGGGACTCTGCTTCTGGTCTGGTGAGACTGGTTGAAGTCGAGTACGCGGGATGTACTCTGTGTGGTTCTTAGTGATAAGTTCCAGTAGGTCAATTTTACCATGTATATCGTATTGAGCTCGCAAGGTGCCGTTGGCAACAAGCTGGCGGACGAGTCAGTAAAAATCTAACATATAGCGACAAGGAGCCGTCGTCTTACTTGACAATCGTTAGACATGTAATAAATGAAACATGTCTTAGAACTCTCAACAATTTGGCTGCCGTTAGGGAGATCTTTTTCTTGCACATTTTCAACAATCATTTGTATATGCCTTATACCACTGTTAAACTGGGTGTGGTAGTATCGGGCAAGAGCAGGAGTAGAGATTTCGAACTGTTTGGCCCCTTGCTCCGGGCACCAAACGCCCTTACGTAGGGCTCCGCTAGGCGAAAAGAATTGATCTACAAATCGACTCCAATACTCTATTCCAGGCTGGGGTTTTTGGCTCTAAGAATTAAAGTTGCAAGTCAGCCATCTAAACGGGGTTAAAAAGTCGAGTTAAAGGGCTCACTCACGGAATATGCACTCAGGTGTTCAGCGAATGTCAATAATCGAAGAATGCTGGACCTCTTTACAGGGTTGGCAATCCTTTGGGGCATCATCATTGCCGATCCGGCATTCTGTTGTTGGGCTCTGAGTTGCGCTTCGTGGGAAGTCATTTGATGTGATTGCGGAGGTTGCTGTGGGGGCTGGCTTTGAGAGTTTGGTCCTTGTGGCTGGGGCTGAGATTGTGTCTGGGGTGGTTGCCCCTGCTGCGGAGGCGCTTGGGATGATGGTGGTTGCTGCTGATTCGATTGTTGGGGCGGTTGTGATGGGGTATTCCCTTGGCTGGGGGGCCCTGGTTGCGGATGGGGAGTACCACTCTGCCCGTCGTGCATAGAAGGTTGCGGTCCGCCTCGTTGTTGGGCATTTTGCTGGTTCTGTTGATTTTGTTGCGCCGCTAATTGCAGGGCAAGGAATTGCTGCTGCTGTTGCACATTATGTGGTTGGCCATGATGTCCTTGGGTTTGCAGATGTTGCTGAAGAGGATGAATAGGAAAGTTAACGGGTCGCATATTGGGATTAGCCTGAACAGCAAGCTGTGCCGCATTCAATCCTTGGGTTCCATTGGGTAAGGACGCAGGGATTCCTCCATGCTGTGGCTGTTGTGGAGGCTGTTGTTGCTGTTGGTTATGCTGCTGCGGTTGTTGCTGCTGCTGCGGGTTGTGCTGCTGCTGCTGCTGCTGTTGATGTTGTTGTTGCTGCTGTTGCTGCTGCTGCTGTTGTTGTTGCTGCTGCTGCTGCTGTTGTTGTTGCTGCTGCTGCTGCTGTTGCTGTTGCTGCTGTTGGTGGTGCTGTTGCATCATCATTTGACGTTGTCTCAGCATTTGTTGATGTTGTTGAATTAGCTGAGGGTTGGCAGGGTCTAAAAGTGTATATATGAATCAGCTATGAGTCATGAAATGGAAAATCAAACATAACGCTAATCACAAGAGAAAATGCGTAAGTCATCCAGTGCAAATATTAATTCCAAAAATTCTTTGGAAATGTTACCAATATCAACATGGAAAGCGGGAGGGAGGCGACGGTGAACAGGGCCATTGAAGAGCCGAATTGACAGCAATTGTGAGCGAAAGAGGCTTACAGGCTTGTCCCATTTGCTGAGGTGGAAACATTTGGTGTCCATGGGTAGGACCGAGATGAGATAACGCATGAGCACTAGGGCCGGGTCCGCCAGGACCGGTAGTGCCTGGCGGCATTCCGCCCATCACTGGACCCCCCTGTGTCACTTGTTGGCCTCCCGGAGCAGAAACGCCAGGGTGCATCTGCTGAACTATACCAGCTCCTGGACCTTGTCCGGCGAGATGCGCCGCGTTTGGATGTTGGCCTGCTGCCATGGGATGGCCGGGAGGCATCACCGGGTGGTGAGCCAGGCCGACTTGATGGGCAGGAAAAGGCTGCGCCATCATCATCGCCGGCGGAAGAAGTCGCCGATTTCGGGACCCCAAATAATATCAATCTATAATCCTAGGGGATCAGGACTTGATATGAAGTGTTATTCAATATATCAACTACCACTAATCGACCTGCCGTTGGTGTATGTTATGTAAGGTTTCCGAGTCTAGGACGCGGCTGGCACGTCACAGTTTGACGATCGAACGTCGAGAAGTCGCGCAATTTCGATCATGAGAAGAGATAACCTCGTAGTCTCCGCCTTCAGCACAATAATCGTATCTGTGATATCAGTCAGTTGGATCGTGATGACTGAGTATATGGAGCAGAATGGAATTGTTAGGACGACAAGGTGGGAGGGTGGGGGCTGGGCAAGCGAGACCAGGCCTACCTTGAACAGTCCGGTCACCAGAGCAAGGTGACCATCCAGAGGCGCACAGAATCCAAGCTCGCCGTGTCCACAGAAAGCGTTTGAGAAGAGCAGGGAGACCGATATGCCAGGCGTCGGGATGGGCGCATGTTGAGACTTTCAAGTTCCCAAGAGGAAATGGACGGGGCGTCGTGACAGTCACCGCTAGTATAGATTTAGTTTAGCTTTATCACGTGAATCCGGGCTGCGGCTCTTTGTTCTGAGTCAGCGAGTTGTCGCTTAATTTAGCGGATCAGAGGATTTTCCGCTCCGATATTTAACGCTGTCGAATCGTCGACTTCGTGAATTTTTTTCCTCCTCTTCTTCACCACGGCAGCCCAGCCATGTTGACTTTCTGACCCTGAACAGCAACACCTTGTCATGATATTATGACAATGTCACCAAATTATTTATCGATACGAGTAATGTTTTTAGCACATCAACTTCTGAAGGTTTATAGCAGGTAATTGAATGGTCAGTAACTCTCACTTCATGCACCGCAGTCCCTTTCCATGGGCGTCGTTTTAGGATGACAACCCTCTCAATACTTCTTTCGTTTCCTGAGTCGACCTTGAAGAATCATTCGGACCACCCCTCTCCGGTTGGTCTGCTACTTGCCAGTACTTTTAGTCTGATTACGTCTATTATCGGCACAATGATATTCAAACAATGTCTGTTGGACTTAGCTGATGAAGTGGACTATTGTAGGTTTGCATGTAAATCCTCTGATTCGTCCAATTAACCATAGAACTATGTTCTCGCAACACAATACTTGACGAAGACTAACGTAAGTTGGAAAATTTTCGCATTTTTACTTGATTCCCTCCCAAACCCGTATGATGAAATTTTTTCCCACATTCGCAGTTTCCACGCTAGCCGTCGCATGAACCTATTAAGTCGACGTGTCGTTGAGCGGACAATAAATTTGCCTTACCTTGGATGTCTGATCTTTATGTTCCAATCTACAATTGCGATTACTTTATCCAATTATTTATCTGCACAACTTTGTTAACAGTCACTGTTGGTTTTAGATGTATTTTGCAGGTGGTATCCTCCGGATATCAATTCCAATGGCACAAACTCCATGTTGAAATGGTCGACCGCACGAATATCAGCTGGATGGACGTGCACTTGGAAATTCTCAAGGGATTATATTACTTTCGTAGATAATGGATAGCTTATTCATATCCTGATTTCTATTTGATACTGAGTTTATATCTCAAATAACTACCGGCGCTAGTTTTATTCAATTCCATCTCAAAAGTTCCAAAAACTTCTGATCGTGCAGTCATGACCTCGTCTGCCGCAAATCAACTGTTGATGGCCAAACACAAACTGGTTGTTGTATCTATTTGTAAACTCACCAGGCTGTAGTCAGGATGGTTTTCAATTGTTATTTTCTAGATATCATTTTAGTGGAAATTCTAGCATCACATAGATGTACGGATGAGGCTCTTCACCAAGGGTAAGCCAGTTTTATGATAGACACAGCCAGACAAGTATTATTGCGAATACTCTTGCAGCTTTGAATTAGTCGGTTTTGCCATACAAAACTGGCTGTAACATTTTACATTTAATATATGAAAATATTTTATATGTATTTAAGAACTATATAACCTGAGTAAGACCAAAAATATAAAAGAAAATATAGAAAGCAAGTAGAGGGTCTTAAAAACATGGGGGAGGTATGGGAAGGGCAAATCTGCAAGCATCCGATACCAATAATGATCCAATTGCTTCCTTCACATCATAACCCTGTCTGTATGTTTACTCACTCTAACTAATACCGCCTGCTAAGCGGGGAGGCTGGTAGCTCTACCATAGGATGGGAAGAGTTATCAGCCAACTCCGCAACATGGCCCCAGCTGGAGTAACCGCCTGCATCCTTTTCCGCGACGGCAGAAAAAGAGGGTGGCGGGTAGCCGCCGAGAGATGTTGGCTTAGAATCGAGCTCGCTGGGGTGATATCCAGGTTTTTGCGCTGGTGCGAATAACTCCGGCTTATATGGCGGCTCTGCGGAAAGATTATTATAATGGTTGACTTGCGCTACAGCATTTGTCTTCGTTTTGCGTCGACGGTAGGCTAGGAATCCAAGGGCGGCTAGGAGACATACGCCCGCGCACGCCCCAATCGCGACTCCGGCAATTCCCCCACCGGACATTGATGAGCTTCCCTCCGGCGAGCCTCCCTCTGACGGTGACGAGGATGGTGAGGATGACGATGGCCCTGACGCTGCTGCTGCTGCGGCCCCATGATCTGTTGGCGATGGCTCATTTGTCCCATCGGTCTCTTGCGGGGTCAAACTACCCCGGGTGGAGGATGTCGTTGCTGCAGCAGGCCCCTCAGTCCCAGCCCCAACAGAGGCGTGATCGCCAGTCGGTTCGGGCTTTTTTGAAGGTTCGTTCTTCCTTGTTGGGGGTGGAGGGTCGTTTTTCTTTGTTGTTGTCGCACGTGGCGGGGGTTGTGGCGGTTGTGGATCCTCCTGCGGCGGAGGTGATGGCTTCTGCTGTGGTGGTGATGATGGCTTTTGCTGTGGTGGTGGTGACGGTTTCTCTGGCGCTCTGTTGTTACCATTGCCATCTATCGTGTTGACGAGATACGACCTCACCCACGACTGACCCAAGTTCCTCGGGCCCCAGACCAGGCAAGACCAGCCGTTTTCATCCCCGCACTTATCATCGGCAAACATATGAATGCAGAACTGGGTTTCCTCGGGAACCCATTTGTATTGTTTGCCCTTCGACATATTGATCTTGGTGCATCCTTTCGTCGTCCCGCCTGAGTGTAAATGTTCCTCATTGTCTTCATCATGCCAAAGAAAGGTCCATGCATGAGATATACCAACGAGAAGGAGAATATTGAGGGAAAAAGGAAGTAGAGACTTCATCTGAAGAGACAAACAGTTGCAAGGAGGCAGCGTGGTGCCAACTGCAGTGAGGGCTGTTGACCAAAACACAAGAAAACACTGTATCCCGACTTCGGTGGGCGGAAACGGACCTCTTCGAGGACGCCAATCCAAATAAACGCCCGCGGAGATTTCTGATGACGAAGGCGGAGTTGCCCAGCCTGATTAAGTTGAATATTTGAAGTGGAAAATCCTAAGGTATCATAGTTGGGAGGGCATATCGAGTCGAAGGCGGTAACTTGATGGGAAATCCGTTCATGGTCTGGTGATAAATTGGAAATTGAGCAAAAACAAAAGGGGTGATATCCACTTTATCAATTTTCTTTTCCAAAACAGCCGCAAAGGGCGAACCCGTGTTTTTCGTATTCCCATCGCGCTAGTTGGTGACGGAGCTATATGTTAAGTCTGCACATCGCCAGTGATTCCGAATATACGGCGCCAAGGGAAACACCGTTGATTTTCGCCGTATTCCAGCAACGGGGAGGACAAATGCCACATCCCGATCCTTTGGGTGTTAGATATGGCAACTTGAAAATCATACAAGCTATTCCCAGAACGGCAAGATTCAAGAAAAAGAAAATGAAAAGAAGAAAGTATTCTGAACCAGGGGGCTCTATACAGCTCTGACGGCAGATGAGGGTTAGCGGGATCGCAAATAAGGTTAGCTGGGCGCTAAACACAGATCCTGTCCTCTTCACCAGAAGAACAATAATGATCTGTCTGCCACACCAATGCGTGCTCAATAGCAAAGCTACGCCAAAGCATCCATGGATTGATGCGACATGAATTATGAAGGATATATAGTGCATCGGCTGGACTGAGAAATGTTCCAGATTTCGGCGGGTTAACAATACTCCGTTCCTGGATGTAACTACTTAGTCATCGCAACTGTTAGTTCTCTCTCTTCAGCAAAACATCGAAAAGATCGAGGTTTGATAAAACACTCAACCCTCAAGGCATCGTCAGCAATTGTCCGTCTCGTGCTACTTTTGACACGAGCTCGCATGTTTTTAGACGCTCCTTCGTTTCTCCACTACCGCTAGGCCCGGTGGCAGCGGCTCGAAATTCGGCCCTGGATGCATTCCTCTCTTCCCTACCGACTGTTGTCAGTCCACCAATATCTAAGGACGCCTTACCGGATCATTGGCTGTCGGAGCCTCCCCAATATTGCTCGCAGTTTTCATATCTCCTCGCCCTCTGCCTCGAACTCCAATGAACCACCTTCCATCAATCCTACGCTGAGCAATAATACTGACAACACCCATAAGGATTCTGAGGGCCAGGATTCTCCAAAAGACAATGCTGAGACAGAAAAGCCCGAAGTGCCCCCAGCGCCTTCCAAAAAACCTCGAAGTCCCTACGGCTCCGCTGTTCGCCGCGCGATAAGGAATAGAAAACCTCGAGAACGGACACATAGCGTGGCTATCGTTCCGGAATGGTTCCATGAGCGAAACGTTATAGCTCAAGATACCGCGGTTCAGATTGCCATACCGACAGGCCACGACGTAGAACTAGAGCCATTGTCTCATGATCTAGAGGAAGGTGTGAACAAGGTTGCTCAAGGCGGCGACGGTGGTGAGAATGGTGGCTCCGGAGGGCCGCCGACCTCTAGTCCTCGTTATCGTCTCGCGCAAGCGGTTTGGGACGAGCTGTGCGCATCCGCTAGGGCAGGGCTTAATTTACCAGTGTCTCGATACATCGATGAGCGGTCAGCGACAAAATCGCATTTAGTCCTGCAGTATCCTGGAGAAGGAGGGATTTTGTTTCTCGACGCTGTTGTCAAAAAGCTAGCGGCAAATCTCAAGACCCATCTAGTAACGTTAAATGCGCAAGATATTGCTGAACTCTACGCCGAACAGGATCAAGCGGAGCCCGGTACCCCTAGTTCTATTGCAACTATGGGGTATGAAGTTTATCAAGCAAAGAGGACTTCTAACCCGAAGGAGCTTGAGGAAGATATGGAGGAGGGAGAGGAGGATGAAAACGAAGAGGAGGATCCTGATATGATACCCAGCCGAAGACAAGAACGTGAGTTCTCGGTTACCCGGACAATTCCTTTGACAGGCATTCGTGACACGGACTTTATCCAAAGTCTCCTAGGCGGTCGGGCATCAGTAGGTATGGCCAAGGTGATTATTCCACGTTCTCAGCGCCAAGATTTGGAGTCCAGAGAAGAGCTCAGATGTCTTCGTATTGCGAATGAACTCCTCTCCATCCCCCATAAACAAGAACATAAACAACCTCACACACCGGGCGACCAGAAGCCGTCCGAGTCGGTTCTCGAACCGGCCCCCAAGCCAATCTCCGACCAGTCCCAGCTTACTACACTCCGACCTGATCTTATCGTTCAAGTTCAAGACTACAATGATATCCAAAACACGCGCAGCGGATCCATATTCCTTACACTTCTTCATAGAGCGGTCCAGTCCAAGAGACGGGAAGGACAAAGGGTTATAATCATCGGCACTGTATCCGGAAAGAAACCGGAATATCCTCTGGGGAAGGCTTATCCAAAACTTGTACAGAGAGATTTCAACGACCAGTTTGCCAGGACAATTGTGGTTACCCCTGCAATGAAACCACAAGTGGTCGAAAAAGTGTTTTCAGAAGACCTTAAGCGAAGAACTTTTGAGATCAACGTACGTCATCTGCAGAATATGCTGAGGGTTAGATTAAACGATCCGCACCTAGCAGACGCAAGCCTCCTCCGCGGTCCAGCCTGGCCTGTGGACACTGGTGCTCTCGAAAATGCCGGTCTTGATGATGGATATTGGTCCTTTGACCGTGTCCACCGTGTTGTTTCGCTTGCGCTTGGTGGCGTAAAGGGACACGGAAAGCTCGACCTTCAACACATACAACGTAGTATCGATCTTGTGGAAAAAAGTGATCGCGCAAAGGGAGACTGGCTTGCGGAGAGGTATCCTAAGGTGAAACCTCCGCAAACAGAATCGGAACGAGAAAGTCGCTTGAAACAATTACGGAAAACATGTAACACTCATGAAAGAAAGTTGCTCAACGGTGTTGTCGATGCTGAGAGTATCCGCACAACATTCGACGACGTACACGCTCCTCCCGATACAATCGAGGCTCTCAAAACCCTCACTTCTCTCTCGCTGATTAGACCCGATGCGTTTACTTATGGTGTCCTTTCTACTGATAAAATCCCTGGCTTGCTACTCTATGGCCCTCCGGGAACAGGAAAAACGATGTTAGCCAAAGCTGTCGCCCGACAAAGTGGCGCCACTGTGCTCGAAGTGAGTGGCTCTGAAGTATATGACATGTATGTCGGAGAAGGGGAGAAAAATGTGAAAGCCATCTTCACATTGGCCAAGAAGCTCAGCCCTTGCGTCGTTTTCATCGACGAAGCAGACGCCATCTTTGGTTCGCGAGTTGCAGCCAGCACTCGCACGACACATCGAGAATTAATAAACCAATTCCTGCGAGAGTGGGATGGCATGAACGAGCTCTCCGCCTTCATCATGGTAGCCACAAATCGTCCGTTCGATCTTGACGATGCCGTTCTCCGACGACTCCCGCGACGCCTCCTAGTAGACCTGCCCACCGAGCAAGACCGTTTAGCAATCCTTAAGATCCATCTCAAGGAAGAGCAAGTGGACTCGTCAGTGGATCTAGTGGAGCTAGCTAGCCGAACGCCTCTCTACTCAGGCTCAGACCTGAAAAACATGTGCGTTGCAGCAGCTCTAGCATGTGTTAGAGGGGAAAATGAGCTCGCTGCTCAGCATGCAGGCGAAGAACCGTACAGGTATCCTGAACGACGAACCCTCACCAAGGCCCATTTTGAACGCGCCTTGGAGGAGATCAGTGCGTCAATAAGTGAGGATATGTCGTCTCTCTCCGCTATAAAGAAGTTCGACGAGAAATACGGAGATCGCAAGGGGCGACGCAAGAAAAGTTCGGGGTGGGGATTTGCAGCTCCTAGCGAAGCGCAGAAGAACACGGAGACTGGGCGGGTGAGGAACTAAACAAGTGGGTTTTGGTTTTGTCAATGCGACATACATCCATGGATGTGTGATCACGGGCTTTTTTCTTTTTTTCTTTTTTTCTTGAACTTTTTTATACAATTTGTTATATTGTCATTGGGTTTTTATAGATTCCTGTTGCAAAATTAATGATAGACATGTACTTCTAACTTGATATTCTCCTTTATTTTCCCGAGCCAGAAGAAGACGTTGTTATATCTTTTAGACCCTCCTGCGGTGGATGGTTGTTATCATCTACCTAGTGGCTAGCGACAGCTAATATATGGATGTGTGTGTCCAACAATCGGCTTTGTGCCTTTTTTGCTTTATCTCAGTGAACTCAAGACGCCCTGCTCGAAAAGCAGCGTGAAAAACACAAAACACTAACCCACATTAGGAAATGATGACATAACAGTCGCAGTTTGTATGAGAGTTGATTGAAATTCTTTTGCTCCATAGCCACTCCATCACAAATCTATATAATTAATACTTAAATACACAGATTAATATGACATGTGGCTATTATTGAAATGGGAATTGGGGTTTGCGCGCTTTTGGCGGCGCGAGAACAGGGCAGCTGAATCACTCAGTAGAAAACCACAAGATCAATTCATACAATATCTGACAATCTATCTTGGATAATATAGAGAGGAAGTGCATAGGAGAATCAATAAGAAGAAAAAGAAGGAACTGTTATACAATCAAAGACATAAGAAATTGTGTGTGTAAAACAACCATCTTCTATATGAATGTGTTGTCGCGTGCAATCATTGGTTGTTCAGTGTGTGTTCACTCGCTGAGGAAAGACTCATCTAACACTGGCGAGGTAGATATTTGCAAGAGGGATTCTCGGTGAAAATTTTACCTGTGCCGGATCCCCATTACATTATGATATATGGCTATCGCTGAGATGTATTATTACTAAGTGTAGCCATGGAAAAAAAAAGTGGTGTTTCTATTCTGGACCTACATTGGATCTAATAAATAAAGATATGAAAACAAAAATTGATTCTATTAAGAGATAAATGATATCTCAAGCGCTCTTACTTACACCCATTCGTTGAATTGATATAGTTGTTTTAGTTGTTCTTGTTCAAAGATTTCTTCTTACACCAAAACAAACTCTTCATGAAGAATCAACATTCTTACTAAAAAAATTAGTGGCAGATAATGTGATTTTCTGATTGGCTGGGCTAAAATGGCGAATCCTTTGCGAAGTCCGAGGCACTGAGATAACTTTATGGCGGGGAACAAGCAAACGAAATCTTGAAACTTTCAGAGAAGTTTGTACTGACAACAAGAACCCAACCCCAGGGCGATTCTGACCCAATGCTAATGCGGTAACGGCGACTGCTATTCCCAAACCAGCAGACCACCAACCTCTCATTCATCCCAGCCACTCACAGGTTTCTAACGAACTCCATGTCTCAGGAACGGGCTCACAAGTGACACTTTGACGTTCGTGACGTATTACAAAACGAAGGGAAGGACATAAACAAGAGAGGGAGCAAATGGACTTGACAAAACCAGACAAGCCCCCGCCTCAGCACCACGCCTCATCCGTTTTCGCGTCATTACATCGAAAACCCCGACACGATGCGGATTTAGCATCCAAGGCTGCCGAAACGCGTGAAGAAGCCATAAAATCCGCAAAGCGGTACCTCCTTGAAACCATCCGTGATGACTGGTCCTACGAAGACCAATCCGCTACTTCTCCTCCCGAATCGGAGAGCCAGCACTTGCAATCACAACCGCAATCACCTCTGATCTGCCCCACTTTGGATGGAGCTGTACAATTACATGCTCGCGAGGTGCGAGAATGGCGGGAACGGGAACAGGATAGCTCATGTTCGGAGACTGGAGGAGTCGGAGTAACTTTTAAGGAAATAGATCCAGGACTGGTACACCCGCTCTCCGCTACCTATAAGGTTAGTGACCCGTACAGGTTTGAGTCACCAGATGCGGTGGAAGACAGCATTTTGGAGAGAAAGAGGAAACGGCGGAGGGTTGTGGAGGAGGAAATGGCGTGGAATGAAGGGTTGAGGATATGGATGGAAAGACGGAATGCTTGGACAGGAGCTAGGTTGCCCACGACCGCAGCGGATAGCCAGAGGAATGGAACTGTTGTAGGCACTACTGGAAGCAATGAGACAAGTGGTTCTGGGAGCCGTCACTATGGAGAAAATGAGGATGCGGAGATGGTTTCCCCGGATTCTACTGGGCAAGGGGATGGCCCGTTGCGACCTCCATCTGCCTCATCTGCTAGTGCTCCGCAGGGAGCAGATGCTCAGATCCTTTCGCGTAGTGACTTAATCGGCGACATGGATATCAGAGAAGCCGTCTCAACCATCAACGCTGACGACAACCCCAACCCCAACTCTAGCCAACCTCGTGTCCAACATTCTGGGGAGCCACTAATCCCTGTCGTGGAACCCCTCCTCCCAATCACCAACGTCGTCCGGGCTTCTATAAAGCCCTCTATATACCCTTCTATATATAGCAAAGTCGTCATCCAATCTTTGACACCGGCTATACCCATAAATCTGTCAGATGTTACCAAGGCCCTAGTCCAAGGCTGGAAGGCGGATGGCGAATGGCCACCAAAGCCAACCATCACCCAAGATGTACCTGTTGTGAAAAAACGAGCAGGAGGAAATAAGCCCCCTACCACGGAAGATGAGGGGAAATCGAGGCGACTGAGTGGTTCTGGTGTTACGGGGGCTGTGAAGAAGGTTCTGGGCCTATCTGGTATCCATACCGGCCGCCGCTTTCACATTCGTGGCGGGAGTCATGGCGATGCCGTTACTGCTACAGGAGCGCTTTCACCGACTGCGTCGGGTGCTGCGCCGAATGAACTTGGCGAAGCACGTTAGTTTCTGGTAAATCTAGATCGGGGGGCTTATATAGGGAGGAACGGCGGTTGGGGGCTGGTTCGGAATCTTGTGGCCTTTTTAGCATTGGCGCTGCGTTGATTTTCGTTACATATATTCGTCGAACGCATGAGTGAGGGGTAATGGTGATGATTATGATTATGATTATGATGATGATGAGATCGTAGCTTTTTTGTACCATTTCTGGCTTTGCATATTGCATGGTACAAGGTGCGTTGGATTGGGGCAACTGTTTTTTCGGGTATTCTACGTCATTACTATTCCACCATCTCCATTTCAGGATGTCTTGATTCTTGAGCGTGGCTGTTGCGGGCGTTTGTAAAGCTGGAAATGCTTGATTTAATATTCTCGTTCCATTGGGCTGGTGGCTGAGGGTTATCATGACTATTTGTTTTGTGTGTATTTTGACAAATCCATATCTCATCGCTTCTTTAACACGAAAATTGGTAACAGGGGATACACAGTATTAGATGCAGGCATAATGGGCACAAGTGGGATAAGAAAACTAGAATAGCCATAGTTAGTTCACATCAGTACACATATCCCTCTATTACATATGTTGACCTTGTAACCACATCGTAATCCATGTCGTCGATCAATGTAACGAAAGGAGAAGAAACTCCAGCACAAAATGAAAATCATAACGCATACTTCATACACGGTATCTAAAACGCACTCGTACACTGTAAGGTGATTTTTTACTCATATCAATATGTACAAAAACCATACAATAGCTAGCAAAAAAATTCATGAAGAAAACGTCACCAATCTTTCCATAGTCCCAAAATATATTTCAACAGTTTTTATAAACGCCTCTTTTGCAATATCTATTGAGGTGTATGCGGGATCATTGACGAAAATCTCCTTTACCTGATGGGTATGCTCGGGGCGAACGAAATATTTCCCATTATGAAAAGTCCAGCCGTCCTGGAACCGGGACTGCAGACCACGAGTTGCAAAGTCGCGAGCATCTGAAAAGAACGGCGGTGGCGAGGGATAATCGTTAATTTTTTGAGTGTCCTCGATGAGAACCATGTCAAGGGTCTGTGGGGCGACAGCGTCAGCGGGATTCAAGAGAGTGGACGTTGCGAAAAGCATAAACTGTTTGAAGATATCCACATATGCGACAAGCGTGGTAGCTTGGTCCGAAATTCGATAAAGATAGTCGATCGCAGGAAGTGATGTGATGATTGTTTCGAGTAGGGAAATGACGGTAAGGATGATATGCGGTTCGTCGAGTAGGCCGGGGTGGTCTACTAAAAGACGAAGAGCACTGTCCACTGCTTCAAAGTAGCAAACCATGGCCCCCACAAATGTGGAGACGTTGTTGGTGTCACATGTGTTGATGAATAAAATCGAGCCCATTAATATCCGCGTTAGCGACTGCAACAGGGGCCGCACCAGGATCCATGCCCCAGGAGCAATAAGACATATTTCCAGATAAGCCGGGAGAACGCAATGGAGCATGAACAGACGGATGGTGGATTGGTGGCGTTCATTTGTTTCATAAGTTTCGGCCATGACTGAGTAGAGCTGATCAACTAGGTAAGTCTGTTGGCCGTCAACAGCCGCTCGCTCCGATACATGCTGAAGAAAAGTAAAGAGTTCGTTGGCAACCTTGCTGGATGTGAGCCGAACTGCATAACTTTTCAACTTGCCGACAATGTAGTTAGGATCATTCACAGGAAGAGGAAACGTGCTCGGATTTGTGAAAAAAGGATCAAGTAGACATATTTTTTGTGAGTGTTGCTGGAGAAATGCAACGACGCCATGTACAAAATTCACATATGAGGAATGTACCGAGGAATCGACATTGCCCAATTCATTATAATTCAATTTCATCGTGTTCATTAGGGTTTCAATGAGTCCGCGGTAGTGACTCCTAGTATTTTGCACAGCATGGGCACTGACATCTTCAGCATCAGATAGATGTTCCCGCATGTTGGAAAGAATGCATGAGATAAGCGACAATCTCCTCTGGGAAAATTCCTGTAGAGTAATCTCGTACCGACACTTTAATGAACTTTTCGAGAACGGGAGATTCTTCAGTAGTGCACTTGAGGCATCGGTGTTCATGATGGCATTGGTCAAAGAGTGTTGATACTTGAGCATCGAACCCCTCTCGACAATGCATTCGATCCAGTGGTTCAATATCTGGTACTGGCATTCTGTATAGAATGCTGCGTCCTTTTCGATCAAGCTTGCAAGAAAATAGGGCAAAAATTTTCGCGTTTGATGTGTGGCTCTTAATGAGGCCCATGAGTCTTCACCATATGGATTGACATAGCTGCTCCATTCTCGTAACCCGTTATTCACAAGAGTGTAAGCGATCGACGACCAGGAATCGACGACTTTAAGAAGCACAATGTCGTCGGGAGCGTGGTCTTCTCCATAACAGGTAGAAAGAAATCGAGATAACGAAGGGCGAATGATGTTGTTTAGGTACTCAACGGGTGGGTTTGCCTCGGCTGCTGTCTCTTCTTGTTCATACAACTCTGCCAATACCGCCCAACCCTCAAATTCTTGGCTATCATCACATGTCTCAGCAGGTCCTGCCAATCTCCGTGATTTAATGGTAGTACTTGCGTAAGCAACCACAACATCTAGCGCTTTACAAATGAGCGAATGGAAGCGCGTTATCCTAGGGTTGAAAAGCTCCAGTAGTTTGGAGAAAGGGAGTTTCTCCAGGAGGATCTTGGATTGGTCGGCAGTTGTTGTAGCATCAATTGCAATTTTCAAGTTGACCAGGGCATCGCTCAAGAGACATTCTATCGGTTTTTGATACTCAATAACAGCCTTTTCAACAGTTTGGCGAGAAAAGAGTGAATTTGAAGCCACTTGCGCTTCTATATCAGTCCGAGCATGGGAGTGCTGTTGCAACATGTCAGCAACGAAGGAAGCATGCCAATCGGCAAAGGGTATTAATCCTTCGATATCTTCGTCCGTAGATAATTTGAATTTAACCAGTCTCAGCCAGGAACGAATGTTGATGCTGCAGACCTCCTTATGAGCTGTGGCGGGGTGTACAAGGTTACGGATAGTTTCAACTCGCGGTCGACAGGTGTCAGGGGTAGCCCAGTAGAGCGTACAAAGGAGATCGTGGTGATTTCTTAGGGCTTCAAGCTCCTCCAAGCGAAGAGGTTGGTCTTTTGGATACTCCCGGCCGTGGTTTGGCAACAAGCGCCAGGCAAAATTTCGGATCTTTTTCTTATCGTACAGATCCGCCATTTTCTTGAGGCCGAGGGCAATAGTCTTCAGCAGAATATGAAAACAGCTATCTTTAGGCTCCATCTCCAGTCTTGGTTGGCGATCAAGTTCGTCTAGAAACCTTGGTGAGCCGAGGGATTGCTCTTGGTTAAGATTGTAAAGCCAGTTTTTTGCAAAAAAATCGAAGAGCGTGTCCAAAATAACTTTGCTGTGCCGCCAGCCCCAACTATCAATCAAATAAAAACAGCGGTGGAATAGCGCTCGACAATAGTTGTTGAAGGCTAAAGATGACCTTTTTGAAGGAAGAGAGTAAGTCTCAAAGACGGGTACTATCAAGCGCTTGATAGTCTCCCACTGATCAAAGGAGTCTTTAAAGCGTTGGCCAGGGTGGAAAATTCCGAGCTCGTCAAATTCATAAAGTGGAAGCGTCATAAATACTCCATGCCATAATTTCTCCAGTTCATGGGAGTCATCTGGCGTGGGTGAGCTTGATGGAGGCAATACTGCCTGGGAAAGAAGGTCTTGGTTCGTATCACGAAGTATGGGGTCCGTATAAAATATCTTCTGAACAACGAGAAATGCTTCCAAGAAAGGATGATCGTCTTTGATTCCAGGTTCTCGCTTCTCTCGCCATTTGACATTGTCCAGAAACTGTCTGATATCTGCTAATCCTGTTTTGCTTAAAACGGCTTGCAATATCCGATTTTGAATCGTCGTCATGATACTGACAATTTCAAAATATTTGATAGATTGAACTAGCTCATTCGATGCAATTTGGCGTATTTGATTAGAAAATACGTAAGTAAACACTTCCAATTTCAAAGAGAGATGTGGAGTTGTGGTGGAATTAGAGGGATTGTTTGTTATCGAGAATGGCAACATATCCGAAACTTTTGATAGAAGAACTATGCACCTATCAACAAACATCGACCTATCAACCGAGTCCATAAAATATAATTTGTCATTCACATAAGTAATAATAGAACGGAAGATATCTAACGACCGACTTATTTTCGAAAACGAATCAGGTGTTATACGCTCGCTTGAGGGTTCGGAATTGCTGGCTGCTCCTAAAACCGTATCTAACAAAACACCAAGTTCCGAGGATACAGTCTCATTCCATGGGCCCCACTGGTAGGTTCGGTCGGCATACTGTATCACAGCACGACCATTATCATGGGATAGATTACGGGATGAGAGTTTCATTGAACGTGAAAGATCCCCACTTCCAATGAATGTAGATGAATGGAAAAAGGTGCCAACTGGGAGCGGGGAAATGTCAAAATTGATCGTGTACATCGCTGACGGGGATTTAAGACCCTTTAGAGGAGGGCGTTCGCTGCCTTCAATTGATGTACTGGAAGGGATCTCTGCCACATGGTTATCAACGCTAACGGCCCGTGGATTTTCAACACTATCCTCCACATTGACATGTTGGGGAGGACGTTTTCTCCGTTGGCGAGGGCGACGTATCTGACCGTTTTCGGCAGATGGTACGACGTCATCACGGGCGTTGGAATTCTCATTGGATGTCGCCAGACGGATATTCTGTGGATGCATATTTTCGGTTAAAAATCTTGCCAACGGCAAGCCGGTATTTTGGCCTAGAGGTGAAGTCGTGGTTTGGTATAAGGAATTGAGTGCCCAAAGAGAACGTTGAAAGCTTGATGCATGACCCAGACTACGGCTACTCGACATAGGGATGTCCAATTGTGCCGGTCTGGGTGCATTTCGTCGAAGGGATGAAATCGCATAGCCGCCTTTCCGTACTGCCCAGCGCTGGCCAACCTTGCGTCGAGAGTGGGGAGGGCTTGATGGATTCGCGCCTTCTTGGTGTGCTGTAGGGCGCAATTCTAAAGTAGGCCTGATCAGGTCGCTTTTGGTGCTTCTAGCATCGACATCACTCCGGGGCATAGGATATGCCGTACCGGTCCGAACCTGATGTACTCTGTTTTCATTGGCCTCGATGTGGTTATGGGATGCCACAGAGTTTGTGTGTGTCTGTCGTGAAATCTTTGTTGCATGACTTCCCGTCATTTTACTCTGCTGAAGCAAACCGGCCCGCCACTCTGCTAATGATCTATTGGCATCTTCTGTGTCCCGGCTTGTTCCAAGTTTTAAATATGTCCGTGTTGGGCTTTTCCGACCACGGTCTCGGCGGGATCGGGCTTGTCGTGCTGCGACGCGGAGGAATTGTGGCTGTTTCTGCATTGGCTGGTCTTGTACGTCAGCTACATCTAATACTCCTAATCGCGGAAGCCGGGTTTCCGGCAGCTTAGCTGAAGTGCGTGATCTTGTCAGGGTATCTGTTATTCTCGCTTGGTGCAGTGGACGTTTCCTCGACTTTGAGGACGTCTGAAAGCGTGATCCGTTTTGCCTGTTGGATCCTAGAGTGCGACGCTTTCCTTTCCGTGGTGCTGGCGGTAGCATGTAGTCAATACGGTTATCTTCAGGAATGTCATCAGCGACGTCCCCTACAAATAGGTCATCTGTGTCTATCACTTCTGGCAGAATCTCCCGTGAGTTTTGAACAGTGTGGGTTGGCTCATCATCCGAAGTTGACTCATCAGAGATGAGGAGAGCTTTCGGCCGCATTCCTTGATTATGGCTATCGCTCCTATCTCTGGTTATTCTCCGGGCTACTCCTTTACCGTTTTGGCGACGATTGCGTAAGTAACTAAGTCTTGCCTTCTCAGCCGCTGCCTTCTCCCTCTCTTGTTGCTGCTTGAGGTCAAGTCGTGGCCACGAGGCGGGAAGCACCCCTTTGATCCTCCTCCTAAGCCTCTGGATTTCAAGAGCCGCATGATATTCTGATTCTTCTAGGTCTTCCGTTTCTTCTGGTGGGTGGATTTGCTCCACCTCAACCTCTTCCGTCGATAGGGGTGGTTGTGATTGTGAGTTTGAGTTCCCGCTTATTTTCGGATGAGTCTCAAAATTAACGTCTAGTGAATCATCTGCCAATATAGCATCCGAATTTTGAGGGTTTTGTGGTTTATGTAAAATCGGACTTCGTGGCGGAGAAAGACTGTATCCACGAGGGAATCGGAATATGGCTGGTTTCTGAAGCCTATTATTCGGCGATGTCCGCCCAAACGAAGGAGATGACAAGGGAACATCGAAGATACCCTCGGTTTCAAGGGGTGGAGTTTCCATCGCTCTATTGTCAACGACGACCTGTATCTGGTGTTTTCTGGTCTCCTCGGACTCATTTCCCGGCGCGTTCCCGTATGTGCGCATTATTTTTCTGCGCTTACGGGCAGAGTCTTGTCCATCTATTGTAGAAAGCTGCTGTGATTTTGCAGATCGCCAATGCATAGGGCCATTCCTGGAGTTGCCAGTCTGGGGGGATTCTCGAAGTGGTCGTGCAGGTTGCGTTAATTTCTTTCGTTTGGATCCAGCAGACGGAGATCCGGGTGGGAATCGGAACGGCGCAGCCGGGCTACTCGATGGAGGCCCATTTTCATCCACATATTCCTGGCCTTGTGATTCATCTTGAGGATTAGAATCACGGTCTGCAGGTGCAATACGGACCGGGCGTATATTGTTATTTGCACACCATCTCTGGTACTCCACCTGGTCCGCCAGGTAGGGGTGGAGGTTGATGAATTTCCGGCCCCTTAACGTTCTCCCTCCGCCTTGATTTCGAAAAGACGGCGGAGTCTGTGGATTCGACGGAGCTGGCGATAACGATGAATCTTCGCTATCATCCCCTCCATCCCCTTTCAGGTTGTTGGATTGTGTGTCTTTTGTAGCTGGGGTGCGTGGTGGAAAATGCTCATCGAATTGTAGCTCATCAGGCGAGGAACTCCGGTCTGTGCTTGAGGATAAACGGCGAATGACATCCGATGAAGGCGTAGTGTTCCCAGTGGTGGTGCTGGGCAGTTCAATTCTTGAGGCAAACTTATTCAAGCCATCATCACATTGGAGCGGGTCTTCGTCTAGCTCATCCCCTGCATAGAATGCATTACCAAACCCGTCAGGGCCGACATGAGATTCAGGGCTCTCTTCCTTTTGTTCTTGGTCTTGATCTCCTGCGGGATTCAGGTCCTTCGTGATGAGTTCATCTCTATGTGTATCCGAATCCACTATCTTTCCGGCCTCTTCACCCAACCTCTTCGTTGGCTGCCGTTCAGGAAGTTCGTTGCCCGATGCTGGGGAAATAACCTGGCCATCTTGCACCCGATCTCTGTGGTTTCCATGAGCACTCTCGTTCCCGATTTCATCTTCTCCACGTATGCCAAGCGTCGACGTATTTCCGTTCTTTTCACTCAATTTATTGCTTTGCTGACTCTCGAAATCGTCTTCTTCATCCGAGTCTGGAACGAAGCCACGCTCTCGCCATAGTTCCATTTGCAAACCAACGGTGATTACCCATCGCCCTATGCTGTCATAGCAAATAATGTGTTGAATAGGTGAAATTGGCAAAGGTGTTGGGAATACTCAGAAGGGTTATCTTCCCAGGCTCATTAATTAGGCTCTGGACGCGTCATTGAGAGACGCGACTTGAACAACCAGCCACGTGACCTGAATTTGGTGAACAATACTTTTCGTTTGGAGGTAAGATAGATGAGTGTAAGTTCGAGTGGGACAATTAAACAATCACAATCCTTGTCTACAATGGGTCGAATACGTGGGTTTCTCCCAGTTGCTTTAGCTGTAGGATTTGGTGTCCTCAATGGTAGCTAAATAATTGCCCGCCGTTTTCCCAATTTCCGGCAGTTAACCTTTGAAAATCCAGGATATGTGACATTCGCGCCCTCGTTTATGAGTCTAGAGGCAGATAAAAAGCATGAGAAGACACAGTAAGTTCTGCTCTAATTCCCTTATGAATAGGCCTGCAAGTATATGTGCGAACGTCTGCTAAATAATGTTTGATGTCAAACTATATAGCGGGAATGAATCAGCAACACCATCACAACCATCCCAGCCAAAGTCGACCACGAACAATGTGACTGCTACTTCTGAAATTAATAGCACGCCTAAAACCACACCAGAATCTCCCAAAAAGTAACCAGAAGTTGCTAAGCGAAAGCTACTTCCGCAATCTGTGGAATGAAGCCAAAATCACACGGTTGTTGACGGTCCTATGAACAAACCATACGATATGATTATGTCTTCTCACATAGACATTGGAGACTGACACAGGACGGCTCCTGTAGAAATTAAGGCAATTTACGATAGTGAGATGAAACGTTTCTTCCCGGTTCCATTAAGTGACATTTAGAAGGAAAAGTGAAGAATAGATATCGCCCTATTCTATCAACATCAAAGAGGTAAAGAGGATAGAATCTTTGAACCAAATCTCCCGGCTTCCTCTGAACCATATCTTTACAGCTTCCTAGAATTTTTGGAAATATGAATATGATGTGATCCGGGCGATATAAAGAAGAGTATGACCTATGGAGTGCTTTTGGCCGGGAGATGTTTCAGTAGCAAAGACCGAAACGCCAGCCACGCTCCTCAAACACATGGGAAATCAGGGCCTGACAAAAATTTTTGAAAAGCTATTTCGAAGAAAGTACACAAAGAGCCCTGGGCTAAAGGGGGATACAGTGCCAAGCTTTTAAATATATCATTTTTGAGGATAGCTGTAATAGGGATGCTCTCTGGTGTTACAATCCTACGAAGTGTTTTTTTTTTCTTTCCCTTTTTTTGCACAGGTTCGGGAGCGCCGATATATATTATCGCACTATTAAAATGCCTTGCCCAAACGATGACTAACAAATAACAACACCTTTTTGAGAGTAATATACATCATGACCATATTCAGTTGCTTCCCGAAAAAGGTCATCCCACACATTAAAAATGACCCCAAAACCGAATAAACTGAACGCCTTGCTTTATAAAAAGAAGAAAGCATGAAAAGAACACTGCCATCTTCAATGTTTTAGACTTCTTCCACAAGTTTGTGACCCTGGCTAGGCCCAGAGCTCCCGTTCATGGGCATATCTTCAAAGATCCGCCCGGCAGGGGTCCCAAACCACTCCTGCGGAATCCCAATCCGACAGCCATCACGGTTCGAAACATAGCGTATCATAATTGGGTCAGGTTTTTCAGGCTCCTGTAACTCTTGGGTTCCAGGGGTTGTGTCCCCAGCTGCTGGTTCGGCTGCCGAGATCTTGCCCCGTCGTTTGGGGGCCTGTTTCTTGAGTAATTTGTTGATTGTATCCATCTTAATTCATTTCCCCGTTGTTAGTGATATTGCAATTTAAATAGATGACAGTGACCGGGTTATTTTAAAATAAGGAGTAGGGTCTGGTTACCTTTTCTTCTTCATTGCGCTTCTCGCTGAGATTTTTCCGTCGTCGTGCCATTTCAGCTCGCCGCATAGCATGCTCTTCTGCAGTCAGGTGTCTCTTCACCTGCGGTTCTGTATGTTTTATACGCAAGTGTTAAAATCTTATTTTGAAATGTATAGGTGGGAATATATTTAATCCTTAATGAAAGCAATCTTACCCATTGGCAACTGTAAGAAGTCACCCCCAAGCTCCATACGGCCTCTCTGCCGTTTAGTCATTTTTGTTACGTCGGGAGTACTTGCTCGACTGCCAGTAATAGGAGTGCCGCTGTCACTTTCTAACTCTTCTTCTTCCTCGTCCTCGTCGTCCTCTATCTCTTCCTCTTCTACAATCTCTGAAGCTTCATCCGCCATGGCCGTTTCATCCGGTTCCCCATCGGCATCAGCATCGGAATCTAATTCCGAAAGTTCTTCATCGTCGTCTTCGTCGTCGCCATCAAGGTCCATATTCGTGTTCATATTCTTCAGCCTGCTACCCCCGGCGGGCGTAACTGTAACAATCGGCCGTGACGCCGCCTGTTTGGCGCCTGGGGCAATTGGCGGTATATCATCCATATCAACATCGGCATCGGCATCAGTCTCAGCATCTGCATCGACGTCGACATCGGCATCGTCATCCTCACTCTCATTTCCGTTTCCTTCATCATCCGTCCCATCCGCATCAGACATATGCGACTCTTCCTCATCATCTTCATTCATCGATTCGTCAACATCCTCATCCTCATCTGTATCCACTTCCACTAGCGTCTTCTTCGATCGACTATTCCTAGGTCCGGTCATAATCACCGATTCTGTAAAAATATTGTGATGCCGTTTATCAGGACCACCAGTAACCTCTTTGAGCTTACTTGAGGGCATTTTAACTTTCAGACGAATAGATTTGTTTACGTCCTTAGGGGGGCTGGGCGGCAGACGGGACACGGTGACTGATGGCGAGGACAGAGTCTCGTCTCCGGCCCTGCGAGATCTTAAGGTAGAGTTAGAAGGAGAAAACGGAATATTAGTTTTAGTGGTAAGGGACCGAAGAGAACGTTGGGAAGACATTGTAAGGTATGCAATCTTGCAATGGTCGGGTCAAAAAGTAAAGGGCTCTCTCATCATAGTTCTCAAGGCATGTAGGGATTGATGTGGAAGCGGGGGATTGCAATAGCATATAAATGAAGATGTATAAGCAAGATGAGGGGCTGGCAGATGGAGATGATTTTCAACTGAGCCCTGAGGTGCAAGCTGAATTGGTTTTATATGGCAAGAGGCAGCAGGGAATGTGCAGGCGGGAAAGTTTGAGAAATCAACGAAAGGTCACATATGCAAATGGGCATCACGCTGGCAATTCTCCATGGGCAGAGAGATATGTGCGTGAGTACAAAGAACTAGAGTCCCCAGATGCTGACACCTTCCAAACGCCTTTTGGGCATGACGGCCACCGTGCTAAAACTGTATCGTTTATCTTGCTTGCTACTCAAGAGCCAGCAGAGCGACAACGCTTGAACATGGTTAGGATGTTCTTATTTAAGCTGGCGGCAAAGCGCGTCCCGAACCTCCAACCAGCAAAGAACCTCGCAGACGAAGTTAATATGTGATGGGAAGCAAATAAGCGTAGACGCTGGGAGTCACCGCTGAAAGGTATTTGGTAGACCCAAACAAAGCACTGGGCTGAGAATCAATCCATTCCAAAATTGTAAACCTTACCTAGAAGATTTTGGTTGACTTGGGGTCTGGGGTTGCCAGTCGTCGCTATTTTCGTCCGTGCTGCTGGTGCTGGCGACCTCCGTATTATGGTAGTACGACGATTCAAGGTCAGGCTGTTTCCAAACTCGCGTCAGAGGCCTGTCTGCCATGGAATTTCGGTTTTCCAGGCGGTGGGAGGGATAGAAGGCGGATACCGGGTGAGAATAAGCTCACGGCCACCTGGACTCGAGACGGGCCAAATCGCATTGGAAAACTTAAATTCTCAGCGTATCAATGACCGCGAAGGGGGGTCCAGGGCAGTATCATTCCTGGATCTATTTGCCGTGGAGGATAATTGTTGAACAGCTCATCGCCAAACTGTTCAACATTGTTCAAGATAGATGTCGGTGGGGATCCATCTGGTCGATACAGCGGTACTTTATGAGCCACAGTAATTGACTGCTGGAAGAAGTAGTTTTGCCCCCGTAATGCCTTACAGCAGACTTCGGGGTGCCTCCGTAGGTGTTGTATCTGGATTACCAATATTACCATGCTCTGGTCAAGAAGCCGAGGTACAGTCAGTAGTCAGTATCTACAATGGGCGGAACCTTCAATCTCAAATGGCGACAGCAACACCGCCTTCGTTTTCAAGGGGACAACAATATCGCGAAACATTGCATTCTAGTCCCTGTCCTCTATATCTTGTCCTCAGCAATCATGGGTGAAAATTTAAAATTGAAAGCTCCTGCGATTCCTAGCTGGCAACTCTCACACTCGGACAACAACACATCGAATTCTGCAACGGCCGTCAACGCTCCAAAAGTGGAACTAGAGAAGACAGACTCCCCCGCAAGAGAGACTCTCATAGAGCAAGCTTCCGTCTTCCTCGAAGATGAGTCCATACGAGATGCGCCTGCCGATAAAAAGATTGCGTTCCTCGAGTCTAAAGGGTTGGAAAATGCGGACATCCAAAAACTGCTCCGTGTTCCAAGAAGCCCCGAGGCTACAAATGCAGGCACGAAGTCGCCATCTATATCTACAGATTCCGTGAAGCACATACCATCCAGTGCTCAGTTAGCTCATGTAGACACATCTAGTGCGACTTCACCGTCGCCTCCTTCAAACAACCCAAGCCCTCCAACGACACCAACACCGCCAATTATCACATACCCCGAATTCCTTCTCCACACCCAGAAACCACCACCTCTAGTTACCTTGCAGGGTGTTATGTACACGCTTTATGGTGCTGGCGGACTTGCTGCTACATTATATGGCGCTAGCCAGTTCCTTATCAATCCAATGTTGGCGGAGCTGTCACGCGCCCGACATGAATTAGCCGAAACAACCCAACGCAACCTCAGTACTCTGAATGAAAAGCTCGAAAACACGGTTTCCTCAATTCCGCCGCCGCCCATCCACCAGCATTCCTCGCGGCATGAACAGGATTTAATCGATGACGATTCCGCGTCCATAATCTCAGATCCAACAGAGCTGTTCCACAGAGACATTGCAACCCAAACATCCCCGGAACTCTCACCCAACCCCACATTGCCAATCGATGGCCTCAACGCTGCCGACCTTCTATCATCAGAAAAGACTGTGGATACTCATGTGAAGCGTCTACAATCGATATCTTCACAATTGGCTGATTACCTATCCGAAGAGGATAACTCTGGCATCACACATAGCAGTACCGAGAAGTCTCTCGGTGAATTGAAGAACTACCTAGACGGACTGATCTACAACAATCCTTCGCCGTATCTGGGCTCGAACCTATACAGACTATATAACGACAATTCCGGATCAATAAGTGGGAATTTCAGTGACGTGAGTGAAGAGGCGGATGCGATTGCAGCTTTCAAAGCGGAAATTCGAAGTGTCAAAGGAACATTGCTAAGTGCAAGGAATTTCCCTGCTGGTGGAGGAATCAGAGCGCCAGTTCCAAACACGGGTGCCCGGTAGCCCGGTGGAATCAAATTTTATTCCTGCTTTTCCTTCATGTACCTGATGTTTCCCCCTATTATATCTGTTTGAGAGAGAGCGTGCGAACCAATATGGTCATGCCCCCATTTCTCAGGTGCAATTCCTGTATATCCTTTATATCAGTTTCCTTCTTACATACCTATTTTAATTTATCATCAAGCTGTCAATGAACCTTACAAGCAGGATCATTCTGGGCCAATGTATTATTCAATTTTCCCGTTCACTTCTAAACCAAAGTATATATGGCATATATTTCATTTGGCATTATTATACACTCATTGGTGTTATCAATCATCTGTGAAGGTATACGTTAGCCAACATGTTGCGAAAAGCTTCAACGCCAAACCCGCTTTGTTAGGCCCTAAGAGATGGCAAAGTTGGTGAAGCGATGGGAACTTAAAAGCCACTGTGCAGTAAATATGGTCCTATGGCCTCACGGCTAATAAACAACAGGATTTGAATCAGGATGATCTACAACCCACTATGCACCATTCATCTGAGTGCCGACGTCACGTCTACAATTTCAGTCAATTAAAGCAATGTCAACCGCCTAATGGACTCTGGGTCACATTGTAGACTACCACCAGGATTGTCTTCCCTACCTTCTGTTTCTTTGCCCAAAGCCTGGCAATTGTGAATCTCGTAAAACAGACCCGGAAAGGCTCTCTCCTCCGCATCGTCGGGTCCGCCTGCGTTTTTACTGCCCAGTACTTTTTTCACACCTCCTCTGTCATCTGCATTGACATACCATCTTCAACGGCTCCTTCTTAGCCACGATGTCCTCAGCGTTGCTTGCACATTGCAGTAGTATTTTGTTCATCAATCCAATCGATGCCCAGCATACTCCACGGTTGTGGCTACTGCTTTCTGTCCTAATAGGTTTGAGGTGTTGGGTTAACGTCCATAGATGTTAGTGGACGGAGCGGTTTTATGCACACAACCTTTCGACTATACCTCAATGCCATATGGGAATAGGGAAAGAGTAGAAAATAGTCGGTAAATGAAGAAAGGACCAATGTTATCCTCAAACAATCAAACATTTTGGAATTACATTTTGAACCTTCAAACAAAACCACAACTTCAAATTGATATTCATATTCGAACGAAAAAGGCAAAGAAAAAGACAAAAAAAGATGTAGAAGAGACAACAATATATATGTTCATGGTTTCAACCTTCCCTCCATTTTGGGCTTACGTTTACTTCTGATAAATAAGTCACCTGAACAAAGGAAGGCGTCGTATAAATGAGAAAGACGATGAAAAACGAAAACGAAAGAACGAGAACGAAAACGTAGATTTGAAAACAGTTTATAATCGCTAAATTCAAGGCGTCGCTCTGCTCATGCCAATCAACCGTTTCACACCAACCTAAGTTGCAAAATAGTAAAGTCGTTAGCCACATCCTTCATCCCATGTATTCATTGTATGGAATACAATGAACACTGCCCGAATTACTGGGGGGGAAAAAGAAGAGAAAAACTCACCATCCAATTCCCACACTCATCGTTCCGATTAGTGAAAATATCCAAATGTATCGACTGCGCCGTTTCGTAATCGCGGGCCTGCAGCGCCCGCGCAAGTTCAGCCATGCTCTCTACCGTAGCAGGCTTAAGCAGATCTTCATTGTTCAAGTGGTCAAAGAGTATATTCAGCCGTCGCTCTGCGTCGTTGACCTGCGCCTTAAACGAGGTTGGTGCACGCGCTTTGACACGCTGCATGTCTGTAGAAAGGATTTCGAAGATTGGCTGAGCATTGGCAGGAATGTGGGAGCGGTCACCGGGTGCTGTTTCGAGTTATTGTTTTACTCGTACTTAGTTTTGATGTACAAGGGTATTGTATTATAAATATATTTGGGGGGGATGTGAAACTTACGATATTTCGCAGCTGGGGCTGGTTTCCTCTGCGATTGTGCAGTTCCTGGTCGCGAAACTGGTGAAGAACCTGGGGGTGGAGGCTGGTGCTGGGGCTGATGATCTGGTCTTGCCCCCGTAGGGGCGCTAGGTGGCGCGTATGACCCATGTGCAGGAGGAGGAGGATGTTGGTACGCATATGGAGATTGGGCTGGCGCAGGTGCAGGAGGCCCAGTGGGCGGTGGTGCCGCAACCGCCGGTCGAGGAGGTTGAGGAGCAGATGGTTGCGCTGCAGGGCTTGGCGCATATCGATTGGAGGGCGGTGGTCCGGTTGGAGGTGCATTGTAAGGCGAAGGCCCACGAGGGATTTGAGGAACGTTCATCCCTGGCCCAGTTGGGGCATGCTGAGTGGTTGGGGTATATGCGCTTGAAGTTGAGGGAGGTCTTTCGGGTGCTTGGAATCCATGCGGCTGACCCACTGCTGGAGGTGATGTCATTCGCGGGGGAGCTGGGCCTCTGGGTGGAGGTGGGACTGCCATCGAGGTCCTTTGTCTAGGGGGTGGAGGCTGGTGAGGGGACATCGTTTGGGGGGATTGTGAAGGTTGTGGGGGTTGCTGGTGAGGGAAGGGTGAGCTGATGGTAGCAGCAGCTGCGCTCGGGGTACCGCGTCGTGGTGTTGGAGCTTTGGCAAACCCTTCAGGCAAATCATTCCAGGCTGGAAGATTCGTTGCCTGTGTGTAAGATGTAACCGTTGATGGTGATTGATTGGCAGCACGGGGTGGTGGGGCGATGTTTGATTGCTGGGCAGTTCCAAATGCTTGTGGTGGGCCTCCAAGAGGAACCGTTGGCTGATGTTGTTGCGACGGTTGATAGCCAGCTGGAGAATAGGCAGATGAGGCGCCTGTTGGAGCATATGGATTGCTGACTTGCATAGGAGCTGGCGGTTTGTAAAGGTTGTTTGCTTGGGTCATGGGTGCGCTTGGGTTGTACATTCCATGAGGAACATTGGGCTGTTGAAGAGGTTTCGTAGTCAAATGGGAGGCGGCAGAGATATGCGCAGGAGCTGATCTCGCGGTAGTCTTCTCGGTAGCGAGCTTGATCCGATTTCTTGCGACCACCGCGGCAGGATGAGATTGGGGTAGTAGGTCAAGATACCTTTCTGCGACGCCCAATTGTCCATGGGCGGCAGCGACGTCAGCATATTCAATATACTTGTCATAGAGAAGGGTAAGCTTCCAATCAGACGGCTTTTGCTTTTCTGCATCTTCAAACTTCGTCACATGGCGGAACACAGTCACTTTCTCGATTAGGCTTTGCAGAGCACGGACATGGATCGAGAAACTCGTTTCGCCGTTAGTGGCTTCCTGAATAGCCTTATTTTCGTTCTCTTGAAGTTCATCAATCCAGATTCCCACGACTTTCTCAAGCTTTGAGCTAGCCAAAAAGCAGAAAGCCGCATTTTTACGACCTTCCTTGTCGCCTTCGGCTTTGGCCTGTTCCTCTAGCCTGTCTCCCAGCGTCTCGCAGAGATCAGGGAATTCTGCATCGGTTGCAAAGGTGCAGATAGTAGCAATGGCCTCCTTCCAGTTTGCAAGGCCTGCATTATGGACAATGTCCCACAGGTTTTTGCCAACGATAGCAGCCATCAATCTGAGATAGTTCGGCCCTTCCAATTGTTTTTGGAAATAGGCTTCCTGGGCTTTGTCAATGCACTTTTGGCCTCCGCATATCGCAACCATAAAAGCATCAGACATCCGGTCTTCCTGGAGACATATGTCAAGCGCCTTTTCGAAGTCTCCGAGAAGGAGCGCTCGTGTGATTCCTCTATCAGCCTCAGATTCCGAACCAGTGTAGATCTGGAACGGATTATTCGTCTTGGCACCTTTAGACGCAGACAAGTCGGTAAGGAAGTTGTCACTGTCTGCATGTGTATCGAAAATCGAAGATAACCGTTTGTGTTTCTTTACTCCCGGACCACGAGAATCTGATTCCGGCACCCCATTAGCCCCCCCATCTTCACCCTTCCCCAGCCCAAGTTTCGAGAGGCTGTCAGCCGTTTCATCAACCTCGCTCGAAAAACCCAAATAATTAATGACCTGCTTTTTTGGATTGTCAGATATCAATGATTCAATAATCTTCCAGTCAGCCCTGTCCGAATCGTTTTGCGCATTTTCAATTCTAGTTTCGCATATGCTACGTAGATCGCCTGCTTTAAGAGCTTCCTCAAATGTTTGAGTGGTACTGCTGAGAATTGAATCTACTTCGAACGGAGTTATTCTGACTTTAGAGGTGCGAGAGGCAGGCTTGCTAGGGTCAGTCAAGCCGACGGAGATGACTCTACCGCCAAAGCCAAACGAAACACTGCTAGGCCTTTGCAACCATTTGGGGGCTGTTGGCAACGAGAACGTGGAAGCCTGTGGTTGTGACTGAGCCTTTGCGAAAAAGTCTTCATCGTCCACAGGTTGAACCTGGCTTGCTCCGGCCTGTGCAATGGCATCACTCTTGGTATTTTGGATAGTTTGAATGGAAATTCTACCATCAAATGAAGCTGTAGCAAACATATTCGGACTGTGTGGGTTCCATCGTGTCAGGAAAGTCCAGTTCGTCACGACGGGGAATTCACCGTATTGAACCCCGGTTTGAGGATTCCAGCAAATGGTCCGATTGTCCTTGCCACTGGACAATAGTAGATCCGGATCCTGAGCACACCACGAAAGTGATAACACTCCAGATTCATGGCCTCTCAATACCTATTTCAAGTTAGCTACTCCCCGTAAGGAAGGGGGCTGATATGGGCTTACTCTTTCAGGGGCATTGGAATTGCGCAAATCCCAAACTAAAATTAACGGATCTGTCTCAAGAGGAATAGAGGTGATGAGTTTCGTTGGCTATTAAAAGAAGTTAACAAAATTCTATGCATTTCAGAAAGCGAGACTTTAATAATATAGGATAATAGTATATATACCTTTTCCGGATCCCATGCAACAGCACTAACAGCTTTCCGCCCCAAATTGTTCAAAGTTAAACTCTCCTTTTTGGTCTTGACGTCCCACACGGTTACGAAGCCTGCGCTGCTCCCAGTGACTAAAATATGCGGCACTTTCTTGTTCCAGTCAAGACATTCAATGTCGTCCAGTCTCGCATTGACGTTCCCCAGTCGGAACGGATGGTCGATATTGTTCAAGTCTGAGATGAAAAGCTATATAGATAGATAGGGTATGAGAACGTGCTCCAATTGAGTAAGCCGCTTTAGGACATGGAAATACGAACCTCTCCCTTGCTTCCGCCGGTAGCTAGAAGGTTCGAGTGTCGCGGATTGAATTGAAGCGTTTTCACGGGACCGGAATGCTGCGAGGCCCTCGATACCAGCGGGTCGCTTTGATCGAACTAATATTAGTAATGCGGAAGGGTGTTGCAGCTGGTGGAAGCATATATTGATCTAGACAAACCCACCTCGCTCCGCTCAACAGCTTATCAGCATTCCAAAGATCCAACGATCCATTTTCCAATGCACCTGCGATGATACCCCTAGAACTATCCTCCGACTCTGTCCAGGCAAGATCATGGAATCTTTACAAAACAAGCCATTAGTTCCAAAACAATATATTATTTCAAATGTCCCCATTCTGCACGGAAGTTAAAGTAAACCGTACCCAGACTCAGTGCTAAGTTTTGCAGCCGGCTGTAACTCCGCAGAACCTCCCTCCTGTTCCAAAGCAAGATCCCAGAGTTCCAAGTCGGTCTCGTTGGAGAAGTCCGCATCAACAGCACCGGCACGCGTTCCAGTAGCGATGTACGGGGAAGCGGAACCAGGGGACCAAGCAAAGGCCGCTGTGCGGGGGATTTCCCTTAGACGGACCATAATGGGGGGAGAAAGGGGTTTAAGCGGAACTTGGATAGGAGTCCCAGGCGGTTATGTCGTTCGCCCAGGGACGGGGAATACGTAACTAATATAGGTGACAATCTGGGGACCGGAGATCTAGTGGGTAGGAAGAAAATAAGGCGTCTCAATATGGAGAGTCGTCGTTCAGTCTCTCCGAATATTTCCGTATTCTGGTCTGGCAAGGTTGATATTGATCCAGGTGTCCTTCTGTGTGGAGGAGCCACCAACACCAGCCACCGCCGCATGAATCTCCACGTGACCTTCTATATCTGATCCTGGGCCACAGTTTGGCCCGAAAACGATCAATGTATCAATTATCCTTCCAAAAGTTCAAATAAATATGTCTCTTTTCTAACAAACATACGCCCCGAGAAGTTATTCATATCTCAAAGCTATATGAATACAATACTCTAAGGGCGCAATTCCCCATTCCATTCCACCCTCCCCGGTCCCACATACTACTCCTCGCCAGAATGTCCGAATCATCAAGACTAAAGAACACAATCTACGTCGGAGGCCTTGACCAAAGCGTCACACTTCGTACCCTGACAGAGGCCTTCCTCCCCTTTGGTGAAATTGCAGATATCTCGCTCCCCAAGCCCGAAGCTCCTTCCTCGACCGATCTGCACCGGGGCTTCGGATATGTCGAGTTCGAAGACCCCCAGGATGCCAAGGAAGCCATTGATAATATGGACCAGAGCGAGTTGTACGGACGTATAATTAAAGTTGCCGCGGCGAAGCCGCAAAAGGATAGTAATGAGGGCCTGGGGAGTAAGACTGCTATTTGGCAACAGGTGAGTTTTTGCAAATATGTATTCGTTTTTTCTTAAAAGTATAGCTTCTCACGATGATGATTAGGAGGGCTATCTGGCTCAACATGCGGTCAGCGAAGAGGACAGAGTCGCTACTGGGCAGGGCGGAACGGGATCGAGTAACAGCCGGCCTGAAGATCCCATGCAGGGCTTGGAGGGACTGGACGTCGCTGGCCCAAAGCCCGAATAAATAATGCTTGCGGGTGGTTTTCCAGGATACGCTTATAAATTTGACATTTACCATAAATGCGGGTAGCAGAAAACCGTCAAATGAGAATTTGATTGCAAAAATCCTGAGGGAGACGTTACCTTGTTTCTTTTTGTGCGCGTGTAGGGTATTGAAAACCCACGTTTCCAGAAAGGAGAAGGGAAAAAAGGATTATATACAGACACCAAATTTACTCCACACGCACTCACACAGACATGCCACACGCGCGGGCCTAACAATACAGATTATAAAATCGGAACACGGATCCTTCCAATCATCCTTCTCGGATCCCGCAATACACTTTGCGCACACGATTGATGCCATTCTTATTGGCACCAGTTTTTCTGTCATACCCCCAAAACTATCAACAAACCGTCCGTTACAGGTTTCCCATTCTAGTGCTGGATATCTTCAGGCTTGGGTCGCGAGAGGCGGAGGGTCTTGTCCGTTCTGAACTTTTTGATGCTGGAGTATATTCCTGCGCCGAGGGCGACGCTGTATTTTGAGATGCATGGGTTAGTATGTGGTTTTATGTGGAATCGGCTTTCACTTTGTATGTTCTTTCTTTCTTTTTCATCATCCTTCTTCCAGGCGGGCATTTGTGGAGTGAGAGGGCGTTTTGATTTGGTTTTGATATGTTTTGCTTTCCTCGCGGGGTGATAATGAGAACTTCTTACCAAAGGACAGCGCCTGTATGAAGCAACGAAACAGCCAAATTAGTATATCATGTAATGAAATGCAATAATATACGGGTATTGAAAAGTGCTTTATTTCAAATTTGAGAACGTACCAAGCGGGAGTAATTCTGGAGGAATCTTCTTCAGGGTTCGTAGGCGCTGGGAGATGGTGTGAGCTGTGCAATTGGGTCAGCAGAGTTCCTGTCCTTCTCCTTCTTTTACGGATTGTAGTTGTTGGGTGTTAATGAAGGGGAGAGAATTAAATACCACTCTGGTTTTCCTTCTAAATCGACACCTAAGTTAGCAAGGTCGCAGATTTCATGGCAGGCATAAGGCAAGTTTGAGAAGGGATAATTGACTAACGGGCAAAGGACCCAAGAGCGGCCGGGTGACCTGCATTCTCAGCGGGCGAGTAGCGAACATGGTGACTGAATATCACAGGCAGAGGGGGAAATCTCGTGGTGGTGGATATAATTGGAGTGACAAACGGAGGTGGAAGCGAAGTTCGAAGTTGTCGATGTTGGAAACGGGCCTATATCTCGCCACCCAATGAGCAGCCAACTCTCGCCGGCTCACGGGATTTGTTAGGTCAGACCACTCAAGCCAACCAAACCTCATCTCTTTTCTTCGAACATTCAACATCAACGTCTGCCATCTTCAACATCACTGTTTACTGCGGTATACCAACGCAATTGTTGCACCAATCATTACCATCTACAACATGAGCCCCATCCCAGACGCTGACCCCGACGAACCCGTCGAAACCAAGCCTTTCAAATTCGTTACTGGTAGGAACATCGCCTTATTTCTCTCTCGAACACACAACCCATGTTGATGAAAGAACTCCTCAGCTAACTAAGTCGTCCCCGCAACAGCCGGTATGTAATAAAGAGAGAAATGAGCTATAGGATAAGGAGCACAATGATTTCCCCATGGCTTTTCCTACATTCCGAAGAACCCATTGTGAAAAACCCCAACTTTAAAGGTCAAATGGAAACTGACCTTGCCACGGTAAAACAAACAATAAGGCTACGATGCCCGTTTCCCCAATCAAAACCAGTAAGATTTATCCAATTTTTCCGTAAAGCGATTATGATTAAAATTTTCAATTCTTTCTCGATATTGTTCATCGTTGTCGCATGGAGAGCTCGTTTAACTTACTAAAATCCTCTTTGAAAACCACAGAACGAAACACTGCTGGCAAAATTATGTCGACTACCACAAGTGCATCATAGCCAAGGGTGAAGACTTCCGCCCTTGCAAACAGGTAAGAATGACGCAAAATCTACTCCATACCACGACCATGTCTCCAACATTGCCACGCGTCATTGCCTATGTATGCCCAGACCAAGACGATCGATGATAGTATAACGATATTAACATATAGTCTCTCTTGCCTTCTATAGTTCTATCTCGCCTACAGATCACTCTGCCCGAAGGGTTGGACCGACAGATGGGATGACCAACGCGGTATGTTTTCAGCCCTGATATCAAGTTCGAACTCATAAGAACCTACATATATATATTAATCTGTCTTCTGTCAAACAGAAGCCGGCAACTTCCCCGCCCGTCTCGATCGGTAGTCAATGTGCATTATATTAAAAGAGTCCGTTGTCGATGAATTATAAAGGATTGAAAGGAATTTTTGTTTTATTTTAAACAAAAGGAGATGGACAATTAAAAAAAAGGGGGGGGATCAGTGGACACAAGCTCTGTATCAAATATGTCAACATAACACGGGGCATCTATGAATTATTCCCTTGTACATGAGTGCACACTCACCTCTCAGACCCCTACCTCACTACAATTTTGTAATAGTAGAAAATGGTCAATTAATGGTCAATCAGCAACTTTGAGAGGACCTTCCAATGCATATACAGGATATATTTTCAAAAAAAAAAAAAAAAAAAAAAAAAAAAAACGTTTAGGAAGTTGTCTATTCTCATATTATTTTCTTTACTTCAATTTTGGTTGCAATTTTGGTTTGAGAAAAGACGGCGCAAAATATTCAGTTCTTCCTTCCTACCCTCGGTAGTTTTCATTCGTGGGAGTGATATGTCATTTTATTAGACTCTTAAAATAACAAGATGAGCAGACAAGTAACAATGAATGACATGTGTAGCTCACGAAGGTTGAACTCTTGTTTTCTACGTTATTATCTCATTCATCCCGGGCCTAGCTACAAGAATAACAAGCAACTACTTTTTTGCTATTAGAAAAGAAAGGCAAAGAGGTTTTTTCAAAGCCGGGTTTATCTGTACCATTACTGTAGGATATCTATCTATAGGGCCCCCATTTTGGAATCTTCAACGTCCATGTTCGTCCTCTATATAGGTCTATAAGTTTGTTCAAACGAAAAAACATAAGGTGATTGTAGCGCAGCTGTAGCTGTTGATCCTTCGCGAAAAGATCATGGGGAAATTTTCGCAAGGTTAGATATATGAAGTTCATATCACGTCGTAAAGAGATAGAAATGTGGTTGGGTTATCCATATAAACTGGGTATCCAGATTATAACTAGAGGAGTTGACATCGAGTTAAGCTGTTGGGTGATAGAAAGTGGAACGGAAACCGGGAATACAAAATTGAGGCGTAGTGAGGAGACACTGTTTGATCCAATCTAAAGCCAAGGATTAGGTGGTCATCGTCCCCCGTGGGTCAGGTATTTTCTTTACGTGTTTTGCCCTTTTTCTTTCAGGTGTTAGAGAATAGCGTCCTCAGTCCGCGGAAACAAGGCACGGTATATTTTCTTATGCTCTTCCAAAAACAAGAACGTAGCAATAGTTTGCGGTGCCAGGCGGATAAAACTAGGCGTCCAGCCCCGGAACATCCACGAAAACCCTTCTTTCCTAAACACCTCCTTCAACAGGCCAAGGATGCCTTGGCCCCTCGACTCCGCAGGGCTCGCCGTCATGATCCTCGTCTTTATCACATCGACGGGACTACATATAGATGTCGCCACGAACCCGGCCATGAGCGAAGCGGTGAAGTGCGTGTTGATGTTATCCGACATGCCAAAGTGTTGGATGCATATGTCCTTGAAGGTATCGTATGTAGATAGCTGGGAAGCGTTCATGAGGACCGCGCGGGCTGAATTCGGCCACAGACCGCGGAATAGGCTTGATGGGCCCTCCGAGCTGACCATCTGCACCAGTCCGTGTAAAGCGTGTTTGTAGTTTCGTCTTTTGGCTGGGGGAAGGCCTGCGTCGGATTGCATGCGGACGTTGAGAACGTCAGCCGGGTTACCTACCAGCCCGCCAGCGAAGCCTGCAGTTGAAGCCATGAGGACAAGGGTGGGTAGAGAGGGGGAAGATTCCGCCGAGCTAAAATATGATTTCAGCTCTTCATAGATTCCGAACCGGGTGGTTGAGTATGTGATTGCGCGAAGGAGGGAGGCGGAGAGCTGGTTTCGTTCATCCATCAGTGAGTTTTTCTCCGGTTGTACTTAGATGCACCACAACGTGCTCGGGATAGATATAAACGCACACCGTTGTATAGACCCAGGACTCCATTATTCTTGACTATATGAGCGGCAGTCCTGAGCATGCCAGCTGGATCCCCTGGTTTACGGGTTTGGAGGCGGACCTATAACCGGTAGAGATAATTACTTACTGAGCTTTTAAAATCGATAAGTATAAAGTACTTGGGGTGATAGTACCTTCACTATAAAAATTTTTTGCAACAAACGTCAGTCAAACGTATCCTAAGCACGGCAGAAATGAAAAATGGGAATGCGACATACATAGATCCAAGGGATGCGTTGTTGCGGTCGCCATGCAAGACGCAGAACCTCCGAACCAGAAGGGATAATGGCGTGGAGGGAGCGACTGTTGAGCAGGCGAGGGTTCAGAGCCCTTCATATTGTCGCTATCTGCCATTGTAGCAATTCAGCAGTGCACACATACATCCCGTCCGTTGCTGGGCCGAGGGTGTGTCGAAGTTTCGTTCTATATATTTTTATATCTTGAGGCCGAGGACGGAGCGCACCCTGACGCCCATAATTCTCACCCGCCGCCCTGGCGCCACCCAAGATTTAACAATTGGCGCCGTCTATTGGCTGAACCGGGATTTAGCTGACAGCTATGGTACTAACTTGGATAACGGTTCGAGCAAATTCGTGATTTCCGCGACACCAGCTAAAATTTGTTATTTAACTCTGTCCCGGACTGGACAAAGGGGAACGGACGAGCACCGACAGAGGGCCCAGAGACATGAGACTGCTTGCCACTGGCCGGATTCTGCGGCTGGCCTCTAACCAGGGGCGTGCCACAGCAAAGTCCGCAAGATATTATCGCCCTGCGCGGAGCCAATTGACCCACCTCGTCAACTCAAGATCCAACAGCTCGACATCAACAGGAGCAGAAGCAGCGGCTGCAGACTCAGCCCCAGTGGGAGCTCTAGGGCAATCGAAATCCCAGCCTGATCGCCAGGTATCAACAGCCAGGCCGGCCCAGGAGGGCATCAAAGACGGAGACAAAATTCACCATGTCGACGAATGGACCAATACACCGGGCAATATTCTGTCCCATATCGGACGTCGCCTCTATCTAGATGAAAACCACCCTCTTTCTATTACGCGCCAGCTTATAGAGAGCCAATTCACGGGGCCAGAGTTTGGGAACTATGCTGAACCTAACCCCATCGTCTCGACGGCGCAGAACTTTGATATCCTCGGGTTCCCTGCGAATCATCCTGGGCGAAGTAGGACGGATACATACTATGTAAACAAAACTACTGTTTTGAGGACACATACGAGTGCTCACCAGCACAGTTATTTCCAGCGCCTGGGCTTGAATGAGAAAGCATGCCCCGACGAGGAGGGATATACGGTCATTGCAGATGTTTACAGACGAGATGCTATTGACCGCAGCCATTATCCAGTCTTCCACCAAATGGAGTGCGCAAGATTATGGAAGCGTCCTCGAGAAGACCCCTTGAAATACTCGCTGGAAACCGCAGAGACCATAATGAATGACGCCAATAAGATCCCCGCTCACAATGTTAAAGTCGAAGATCCGAACCCAACCATACACCCCCAAAGAAACCCGCTGCAAGCAGAACATCTCAGTGTCCAAGAGACAGAAGCGATCGCGGCCCACCTCAAACGCTCTCTGGAGCGACTTGTCATTAAAATCTTCACCGCAGCGCGTGAAGGAACTCCAGAATCCGCCCACACGGACCAGGAACCCCTCAAAGTCCGGTGGGTCGAAGCCTACTTCCCATTCACCAGCCCATCTTGGGAGCTCGAGGTATTCTGGCAAGGCGACTGGCTTGAGGTCCTCGGTTGCGGTGTCGTCAAGCAAGAACTCCTCATCTCCGCTGGCGTCCCACACCGCGTCGGCTGGGCCTTCGGCCTCGGCCTCGAGCGCATCGCTATGCTCCTTTTCAATATCCCGGACATCCGCCTCTTCTGGTCCCGGGATCCGCGCTTCCTCTCCCAATTCCAAGCAGGTAAAATCACCCGCTTCATCCCCTTCTCCAAACACCCTGCATGCTACAAGGACGTTGCGTTTTGGTTACCACCTTCAGCTGCTGCTGCTGCGGGCGGTCGCATGCCATTCCATGAAAACGATATAATGGAAATTGTGCGTGATGTTGCCGGAGATTTAGTAGAGGATGTGCAGCTTGTCGATGAATTCTCACATCCGAAGACAGGACGGAAGAGTTTATGCTATCGGGTTAACTACCGGAGTTTGGAGAGGACCCTGACGAACGAGGAGACGAATAAGTTGCATGAAATGGTGAGGAGGAAGTTAGTGGAGAAGGCTGGTGTGGAGATAAGATGATGAATGGCGATTCTAGATGTACAGTATCTATATGGATGGCTTTGTTTGGAGGCTATACATCTTGTTTGATTCTTTTTACATACAATACCATGTACTTTTAGAAAAATGCTTTCAGGCTCATGGCTTGTTGGATAACAATAACTCCCACCCCAAGGCCACGCCTCATTCTAATAAAAATATATTTGAAAGCGTCACAAATAAAGGAGGGCTAGAAGCTGAAGAAGAAAATGAAATCCACCATATCGCATCGTACAACCGGTCCCAAGCCTGGCAGTGAGGATGATGAACACATTAAGAGAGGAGAGATATATAATAATAATAATAGGAAAATGGGATGAAAAAAAGAATAATGAAAGAGAAGCAAATGAAAATGGAGATAATAAATATACAAGAGAGACTGGGAAAATGAGGGATATATGGATGAATGTATGTATGAGCTCAACAAAGAAGTAGCTCTCAAAGCAGTGAAGATGATGAATGTACCAGATAGGAAAAACGCCATCGTCCGTGATTTTTCTTCCATTTTATTCAAGATATATTTTTTTTCCTGTCCGCGTTGAATACATGCATGGATATTATACAGAGAATAGAGTGAGGCAGATGAATGGGCCAAAAGGGATTGTAGCTATAATCGGAAATGTGTGGGGTTCTGGTAGGAGAAACGAGACTATCGCCTTCAATATCTGTATTGTGGTTGAGATAGCGGCGACGTTGTATGATAGAGCAGCGAAGAGGAGGACAAGTGGTCCTGTTTCGACTCGCAAATTGTATATGAGTTCGTTCTTAGGAGTTTTTTACAACTCCGACTTTCGCAGCCTGTAATTTTGCGAATCGTATCGTGTCAGCTTTGTTCAGTAGTAAATCATGGGGGAATAGCATCCTACCCTTAGTGTACGGCCATTAAGGATGAATCCTTTAGTTTGGGCGTGCAGCACGTCTCCATCCTCCTTTCCTTCCGCTGCAGCCATGAAGGTTGCCTCGTGTAATTTTGGATCAAACTTCTGAGGCTTGCCGTCTACCAGCTCAGAAGGGTCGAATCTCTCCAACCCATGTTTGTTCAATGTACTGAACAGGACACGCTCGGTCATCCGAAGGCCAGATACCAGTTCCGCCAGTTCTTTGTTCTCCTGCTCGCCCGGACCAGAGATCTTTTCTACAGGGACGGCAGCGAGAGCGCGGTCAAGATTATCAATTGAATCGAGGAGATCTGTTGCGAATCGCTGGATAGCAAAAGACCGGGCAGTCTCTATCTCCCTGCGTGTGCGTTCTTGAAGATTTCGGAAATCGGCAACGGAGCGGAGATATTTATCCTATAATTATGGTTTCAATATGTTAGATATTTGTTTCCTTTGAAATTGTACTGTAATGTCTTCTAGAAGGATTATCACCATTAAAGAAGCATAAAAACTAATGAGACGGACGCAAACAGGCCTCATACCTTGAGATCAACAATTTCCTTTTTGGCAGCTTCGAGCTCCTTTTTAACAAGTTCTTCAGCATCTTCTGGTTTCTTTTCGTTGCCATTCTTTTCTGAGGCGGATTCTTTCTTGGGGTCCGCTCCCTCGGACTCCGTAGATGAATATCGCCGTAATAATCGTGGAGGAAAAGGCTTTATAGATTGCGAAAGAGGTTGCAAATATGCAGGTCTTGTTGCGGGAAAAGCACGGTTGGATATAGAACGAATAGACAACGCAGACTTTGCAGTCTGGCATTGTCGTATCATATTTCTCGAGATCATGATGTGCAGGTAGGGAATATAGCCTACGGTGCAACCGGAGTTAATTGTATAGAAGGGTGGTAAGCTGTTTGGGAGTGGTGGGGGACGAATATTTTGAAATCTATGGACTACTGGAAAAGGAAATTCGAATCTTGCGATGAAATTATAAAATCCAGAATCCGACGGCTGAACATTATTCCGGGCGGAGCTAAATTCAACCATTGACTCGAAACGTAGCTTCAATCTTTAGTCCACCTTCGTCTTCTGCTTGGGATATATATATGTGAAGAAAGAATACTTCTTATATCATTCATCCTCTGACCCATCCTCCCATTAACTTCGTCAAGTATACGTACAACATAACATCATGGAGACTAGTAGTAGGTAACAAAACTCAAACAAATGAATCAGGAATGACGATAACACCAAGGAAGCACAATAGCAAAGGAGAACTTGAATTTGACATCGGCACATGCTTCCAACCACCGGAGTCGACTGTGTCGTTGAAACATGATCGTATCGCTTAAAAAGAAATTGCATTAAAGAGAGGTATTGACGAAAAATTCACCGAATGAAGAAAATTCATGAGATGTTATATGGAAAGGCGGTTAGGACGATTTGTCCGTCGCGAAAGGAACTGCGCTGTGTATAAATACGGCACAGTGATTTGAACCACTAGGAAATCAGCGTGGTTGGGGGTGGGGTTGACGGTACAGGGTGGACCATCTTTTCCATCTCCTTTTCGATGTTAGCGAACAGCGCCTGCAATTCGGCATCTGCATATATCTTAATTGACTCTACCTCCCGGCGGTTAACAAATGGTGGAGTCCCCGCCCTTGGAGGACTCGGGGGGCTTCGGAAAGGTGTCAGGTCATCTGCTAGAGCCTCGCCTTCACACTGTGGGGTCCATAGCGTCATTGTGCCGGCCATGTGCTCAAGCAACTTCTGTCGAATACGAATCCTTCTATTTTCAGCAAGGTCCAGCTTGTAGGCCCATTCGTCAATGGACTGGTCAAGTTCGGAGAGGGCTTCTTCTTGCTTCAGGATGCCTTCCCTTGAGAATTTGGAGACCCGGGGTGACTTGAGGTACGAGATCATTCGTGTGTGCAGCCCTCGACGTCCGGATCGCAAAGACTTGTAGGTTTTGCGGAGATAATCGCACCTTTTATCGAGCGCTCGCAATTCCTTATCCAACCTCAGTAACTTGAAATAAATACAGGGACAAAGCTCCAATATTGCAAAATCAAAGAAAACTTACCCTAGAAAGTGATCTGACTTCTGCGTACTTGAGTATCTCAAAACGTTTGGCCTGTTCCCACGCTTGGATTTTCACCCTCTCGATTTCATCCTGTGGAAGCAATTTCGAGGCAGTGTGCGCTGGGATCCCGGCCGGTAGGATCAGGAATGGATGGTCTGAAGGTTCCTTATTGGGCTTAGGTACCTCGGCACTCTGTACTGGAGATTTATTCCTTGGGGGTGTCTCTGTGATTGAATTTTGAGAGAAGTCTGGCTTGTTACCTAGCGGCATTGAACCCTTCCTTTGCAGCATGGGCGGTGGTGTGATTGCGCTGCGATACGTTTGGCATACTGCGACACTTCTGTTCCTCGAATGGCTGCGAGTGCCTCTACCTTCCAGTGGGGACGGCGAACCCGATGGGGCTGCGGATAGTCCCAAGTCAAATGATCCCGACTGTGTTTCAGCGTTCCTGTCGTGTAAGGGAAATATGAAGCTCTGTGCCGAACACTTCTCAGCTGAGATACTGCTCGTTGGAGCAGCCAACGTTGTAACAGAGGAGTTTGAGCTGGCACTGGAAAAACTGATCGTTGGCTGGGTAGTTGGGATTCGGAGACCAAGTCTAGGCGATTTTGGTGGTACTTCGGGTGGCTGGTCATTTTCCAGTTTGTTTTGTTCCAGACCTGCAATGGGCAAATTACTTTTGGAAGATCCAACCACGTTTGCAGCAAATTGATATGTTTCCAGCGTATCAGGAAGCAGTATTGAGGATGCCCTTTTTATTGACTTATGTCTATCGTCTTCCATGGGTGAAGGACCAAGCACGTTTCCAAATGACTCCCTCGACAAACTTGGTGGCTCGCCAACTGGATCAAGGGCAGAATCTTGACACGTTGGTTGGCTCGACGATACTCCAGGCGCGCTATTTGACCGCTCATGAGTAGGAAATTTACCTGGTATTGTTGCTATAGGAAAGTTAGCGGTAACGACTGCAATTAGGGATATTAGAGGCACACTTACGCGAATCTATGTTCTTTTCCTGGACGGTCGTCATAGGCCCTAATTCTGGAACACTAATTTTACGACGCCGACAAAGCGTTCCACGCTCCTTAAACTGGTTCTTCAGATCGCTCAGATCTGGCGTGCATCGTCCAGATGCCATCCCTGGCTTCTTCCAGATGGGCCAGAGCTGGTACCTTTGGCGTTCAATGGGTGTTTGCCTGTCTGATACTCCAACATTCAAGCTACAGGGAGTCTTCTCACTGGGCTGCTAGTTGGGTCAGTGGCGGTTAAGATTCCTCTGAAATATAGTGAGCAGTTCTTGAATAACTCACAACCGGGGAGCAACAGTTTCTGGCGATGCCAACATGTGCGACAAGTTCCTGGACCTTCTGTTCAACCGCAAGCATCATTATTTCTCTCAGATGTTATGAAAGCAAATTGGCATTGGTCTCGGCTCTTGCGATTGGGATAGAGGCCTGGTTTCTCTCCTTCTGGTAGGCTCGTTTTCGGGACCTATAAATGTCGATGGCAACGAATTCAGGGAATAATATATGTCCCTTCGTTACGGGATAGAGCTGCTCTTATCGGCATCTAAAACGCCATCCTTGAGCCCCAGCACCGAGTAAACCTGCCTGAGTTGTGGGTATTCTCTAACTTCATGATCGGGACAAAATGACTCTAGTCCACCATACTAGTAAGGATCCGGGGTTGAGCCGTGAATATGCTGCAACCCATGAAACGACATCCATGTCTGTAAGATGGATAAACTTTATTCGAGTCCAAATTGTGGGGTCGAAGTACCTGGCCATGTACTCTCTGTGTACTTGGGCTGAGGTATCATGAGGCTAAGTTAGAAGAAACCAGGAAGGGCACCTCCCTGCATCCTTTGATTCTCGGCTCCCCTCAATCATATCCAAATCGTCAATCGACTGTAGCTCAATTCAGCCAATATATATTAGTTATCATGTTAAAGTAGGCAAAAGTGTCAGCGTTGATAAGTTTCTTACGCCAACGTCAAACTAAACAAGTATTGACCCACCAACCTAAGACGACGACCAATTTTGTGGCTCATTCCCCAATGGCCCGTTCTCCCTGAGGCTAGAAGACTCCCCAAACCCTTTATCCATTCTTTGGCTGTTGCTAGTTCTACTACCCTCAGGTGAAAGTCAAACCAAATTCTCTGACGCCGCAAAACAGTCAATCCATCCATATGATTTTGGATTCTAGAAATTCGGTGAATCAATCAGAGGTCCCAGCATAAAACTGGTTGCGACTGAAGTTTGCTTCCTGGAAACTCATTTGGTATGTATGTTATAGCAACTGCGGTTCACATCGGTTTTCTTTCATATATCATTAAGCGTCAATCAATCCTGGAAGGAGTGGGTGTTTTATCATTTCTTTCAAATGTAGAAGGGCCATAACTGATAACCCATTCTCATTAGAAATTCTAGTAAGCCTGGCAAGCTAGTTGGTAGTTAGTTCGATCACATTCCTCTCAGCCTCACACTCACGCCTATGGGCGTTGCGGCAAAATCACCGCCGTATATGATGACACAGGAATGCTGAAACGGGAAAAACTGATTGGACAAGTGAAATATCTGCTGGAGATTATCGGAGATAGTAAAATTGCTAGGAAGGAAGACCCCAACCAAGCCAGGCGTCGTTGGATGATAAAGCACAACAAGAATGCAAGATGCGCTAACACTCAAATCTGATGGTTATATGGCCCAATGCGAATGATATGGGGCGCATGGGAGTAAATGGCTCAGGATGCTTTACAACAGCGTGTCTTGCTCGAACGCGAAGGTCCACCAGTTCACGGTCTCTTGAAGCAAATGCTGGGGCCTCTAGGACACATCTCGACTGAGAACTGCTGGTGGTGTCACAGGTTCGAGTCCGTTTGGTCAAACCATCCTGGCACTCTGCAGGGGTTTGTTCTAAGTGCTCTTTTGCACGGGAATGCAGTAGCGGTTACTGGTGGATGCCGCTATTTTCGTTAGTGTGAGTTTTCATTCCAGACATCTTGAGCTGGGGTTCAAAACCCACGTTTTCACAGGGATCCATCGGGCTTTCGGTGGCTTGGTTCCTTTCCTTTCCCCAGCTATCGCCGGGAGAACGAGCGTCAGGTCTCTCCACCAAGCCCCATCTCACAAAGCTCTCCGCTTAAGTTTAATTCCGCTGGGACTTCCGTTGAGAGGGAATAATCGCCGCACGAGTGATCTGCGTCGAGGTTCCCGAGGCTCCCGTCGGTCCTCATTCGGGTGGATTTCCATAGCGACTCAGTCGAAGCCACCTTAACTTACACATCTCGAACTCGAGCCTACAGAGAAAATGCGCCATACATCAAGGCTTTCGAATTCGAGGTAAATTGACCGAAAATAGTGGCCTGGAACCCAGAAAAGAACCGAGGTTATGGAATGTTTAGCCTTGGTTTGAGTTGGCTTACCCGGGCCACATCGTTTACCAGATGTAATGTATTTTTTTATCAGGCCACGAAACTAAATCTTCCGCTATTTCGATGCCTAACACTGCCTCTCTCGTTCAAAGGGCAATGGCTTACCCCTCGCCTGGATTGATTTGAACGATATCAACTTGAGGATTAGGTGAAACTTTGAATTCATCCCTCAGTAAGAGTTGGAGTGCATCGTGGGTATCCTAATGGCGCCGTTGCTAGGAAGGAAAATCCCCAGGCGATGTCTACTTCAGAAAGAGAGCTACCGATGGCCACTGAGGTGCTGTGCCTCTCAAGTTGTCCATACCTCACTGGAGTCAGAGTCGCTACTCTTCGAGACAGCTTAACTACATGATCACGATTTCTGATCGACACACGCTTAGCGGCCTCGTGTACTGTCTCCACTATGCATGTACACAACATTGAGATATAAAGCTTATGTGCAGGATGTACTTGAGTGAGATGTGATCGATCCTGTGAAAGCCATGGCAATAGCTTTATGAAGATGAAAACGGGATGGTTATCTTCAGTCCTGACTCCTCCTACTCGACTCTTTGCCAGGAGAGCTTGTTTATCCAGCTAGTATTTGTCAAGGGCGAGCGGCACTAGCTGGACGTGTGAGAGCGACAAGCTGGTAGCAGCATTTTGCCCTACAGAGGATTACAAGGTTTTACTTATCCGATTTGCCTCTAATCAAGGCCCCTTGTTTCAGGCACCCTAATCCGGCATTCTTGTTCAATAGGGAAATCGACTATTTTGGCACAATTTGCAATCAAGAATGAAAGTACGACGCTTAGATGGTGGGGGAAAAAAAAGAGGGGAAACGATGGCGAAATGCTTGTACGGGATAGCTTTGCATGTAAAAAGCCACAATCAGCGCAAGTGTCGGACGGCTCTCTAAGGGCGTCTCCTCCCACCAATGATTGCTAAGTCTATGGTCCATCCAATTTCTCGAGTTCGAAGGGGAAAAGCTGAACGAACAAGTCAACGAGCGGGAACATTCTACTCTACCTAACGTTACTCTACCTAACGCTTAACCTTGCATTCAACTTATTCTTCCTGCCACTGGTTGATAAGTCTACTGCCTGCAAGTCATCAGCTTCTCTGAAGCAAAAGAAAAAAGGCAATGGCTGAGTATAGAGCCAGCACCCAATTATAAGTGGACCATCGCGATTCAAGAACGTATCGGCAACGACATTGGAACAATAATATCAATGGTTGGTGGGTTGCACAGAAATATTCGTTGCACTGGATGGTAATCTACGCCATCTGGACCCTCTTGACTTGGCCGGCGACCCTAGACGCTAATTGCGTGATGGAAAGATGAGTTGGTGTTTGAAACCCTGGCAGGGGCCCCGGATGAGGAGGAGCTAGGCTCACTGTGGTGTATCGTCCAAGTCCTGCCAGGGTCAAGGCTGGATTACTCTCAGAAGGACGCCCCAGCCTCTGAGTAGTGAATATAGTTGGCATCGTCCTTGATCGAGCTGACTCCCAATCTCTCCTTCAAACACGATGTTAGAAAATCTCGGGCACACGAACCAGAGAAAACTCTAAAATCGCTCTGCATTGTTTAGGGAATTGCTTAGGAATGTGCGCCACATCCTGAGAGGCTATTATTTTAGAGATCATTGATTTTCAAAGATCAAGTCGATATATATCTTGTCGCAACAGGTTTACAACGAACTGACTATTTTGAGCACTTATTCAGCAAAAATTTTTGCAGCCAATCTGACATCTTTTTCCCAGCTGTTCTGATACTTGTTCAAAGGGAACTCGCCTCACTTCGCGCCCGTTCCCAGACGCTGTTCAAAAGAGAAATAGATGTGATCCTTTTTCGGCGCTCCCACCCATCACTGTTCAGGTGAACACTGTGGTGGCTTTTCTTGATTGGTCAATCAGAGGCTACCCTTCTGGCAAGATCTCGCAATTCCATTGGGGTGAAGGACATCTAGTGCAAGATCATCACCCTAGCTTGGGACTCAAGTTTATGAAGGCTGGCATACTGCCGTATTTCATCGGAGTTATCGGAGAATTTCACCCAGGAAATCATGAGCTAAAAATGCAACAAACTGCATTTTGCATAACGTCGATGGCCAATTGTTGTTGCAAACCTTAATACCAGCTATGGGAGCTGTTGATCGGAGCAGCCTCATTCCAGATACATACATAGTAGTATATCAATGTCCCTTTACTTCCAGCACCGACCTGTTCCGGTAGATAATAGTGAGAGACGATTTCTTGCTAGCAAACTCCTCATCCATGTTTTTTCTTGCATCGGAAGAGTTATTTCCATGCAATTCATTTGACCAGTTTGTCAAGTCGGAACTACTTCACGGCTTCTATCGTAATTACGCTGTCGAATACCTTTTCTCCAGGAATTTGTAACTCGCCAGCTTGAACGAATGGACAGAACCACGCATGAGAGCTGGGTAGTTGTGGCTCATCTGGCTATTCTGCTGCGCTGAATTGTCGTTGATCCAAGGTAACATGTATGTGGCTTGTTTCAGTATGCCAATGACTGGGCTTTTGAGCGGGGGTCAACATCACCGGAAATATAAAATAGCGTTGAAGAGCATTGGCCAGCTACACCAGTGCGAATTGTATTGTAAGTGTCCGAAGCAATGTGGAGGCTCATTCTCACCCGATGACAGATGTAGAGGAGAAATAGCAAAAGCCTCTCATCGAATTCACACCTATCCTTTGTTGCCCTCATGTTTTGCACTAGGCTATGGAGCTCGCTTGCTATGTAGGGTTGGGATTGTCAACCTCAGTCACTCCCTGCAACCTTCCAAAATACAGGGGAAAAATGTACGTAATATAAAATCAATTTGATAGACAGTGATATACAGTTTATCGCTCCTATCTTGCCGGTGACGTATCCCCCCATAGGAACTCAGACATGGCTCTATTTGAACAGAGGAACATAACTCTCCAATCTCACATCATTATCCACCCATCGCCTTGACGACAGATCTTCTTTTGATCTTAGCTCTGACAGGCCTTCTCATTGGATAAATTTCTTTCTTCACCATGTGAATTACATGACACTGGATGGAACCATCGTTCTTGTATGCCAGATCAGATACGTGCTGGAATAACAATGGAACCGCGTAACCAAAATTGCGCGTATTGCGGAGACGGAAGAATCAAAGTAAAGAGGCAAACGGGCCAACGACAGGGACGCAACCCCTGGTTATGAAGGATATAGGGCAGGATGGCAAATCCTATGTCGATTACGGCATGGCGACCCTGTGGGTGTGGATCCTGGAAACTAAGAAGCGCGCGAGCCCATTAACAATTAACGGATATGTATCAAGGGAAATTGAAGGCCAGAGGTTCCTTTATCTTGATCCGCCGGCACACATACAAAATAAAACAAGAAAAGATGCTGGTTCGGAATCAAGCGGCTTGCTTGCGGGAGGGGGGAAGAGTAGCCACAGAAACAGATTGGAACTCATAGGATATTCTTCAAACATGGATTCTCCGCTGAACTGTTTTGTGTATGTACTCCAACCAGTCAGGTTCCTTTGAGTTGTTAGAGGGCAAAGATTGACAGGTTGGAATCGGGTGTCGCTCGGGTTTCCTTTTCAGTTTGTGACGCATCTATCATAAATATATTATTGGGGGCAGAACGCTATGTTTAGATCCAGCTCACAAACACCAAATATTGTGGTGGAAATTGCTTGTGCACCTCAATGTAAACTGGAAACCCGTACTGCCCTGTTAAAGGGTCCAAGTAACTGATGCCAATGAGTTCCTGAAACGCTCCTGGAACAGAATGCGAGGGACTGATGTGATCTCGTATCTTGTTACATGTAGGCGTCAGGGTTAAGAAGCAGTGATGGTTTTGGAATCACACTGATAATGAAATACATCCATGTACAGTACATGTTTGTTGGCCACTCTAGTCCATTCCTTTCATTTTGAGCACTCTCTTATACTTCTCTTGGTTTTGCAGTTCCTGTTCGAGGCTCCATACCGTAAGGGCCGGGGCGGGGAGAGGGGGCAATGCTTATTTAGCAAGGGGCGATTTTGCGTGTAGTTAAAGTTAAGCACGATCCATACCGCACCCCCTGGATGACAATAGACATTGAACCCCTGACCATGCCCTTGCATGAACTGATAGATCGAATGCCAGGGGTATGTTTGATAGGTTAACTAGTGGTGCGTCGTGACGCTATGAACACTCACTGGCTCCAGAAGCGTTTCCAGACGTTCCAGGAGGAGGAAGAGGAGGAGGAAGAAGTGGGTAACAGAACGCCCAACGTAGCAACAGCCTTCCATGTGTCCTGGTATCATCCTTGTGGCAGCTTTTCGCCAGTTAGTTTCGAAAGCTTGGGAGAGCTCCGTTCGGATTTAATTCAGGTTTTAGGAGAGCAATTAAGCCACCCGAGGTTGCGATTGGTTTGCCTTTGGGTCTTTTAGTCTAGAACAACTCGGGCTGTTGATTTTTGTGCCTGGGAGATTTGGTCGTCCGCAAGTGTGAGATAAAGCCCGCACGGGATATGCCATACATACACTTATCATCCACCAGGAAATTCAGAATAGCCTTGGCTGGCAAAATAAGGTTCAGCTTCCTGGCAGCTTTCAGCAAGGCCTGCGGGGGACTGCAGGTCCCTTACTGCAGAGACTCGCAGGGGCTTGAAAACCGCCCTGTCAGCTTCGATCAGCCTAGAGAATCGTATAGGAACTTGAGGTAACTTCTTGTTATATTTTTCAGATTCATCAGCAACTACTTTCTATTACGGCGAATTACCGGCGGGGAACAAATAATCCGGCGCAGTTTTTACCTTTTCCTAACTCCGCGTTACTTTTATATAAAAGAAGAAAGGAGAAAAAGGAAAAAGCACGTCTTCGAGGCTCATCGCAAAGTATCCGCTGCGTCTTCGTGGACTGCCCTGGCCAACAAAAGAGACGGGTCTGCATGAGGTGGCTGGTCTGCTCGTCTAGCCTCCCTGATTTGGATATTAGAGGATATCCTAAGCCGCGATAAGCACTCTCTTCTCATATGACGACTGAGTTCCAGTGATTGAAGTGGACGGGGATACATCAATTGTACATGCCGAGTACATGTAAACTTGGAACCCCTGCTTATCGAGCTTCGCTGCGTGTGTGTCCTTGAATCGCCCGAATCAGCGCCTGACGATCCAGTCACGCATTTTTTGCGGAGTGATGGATGGCCATGCTTGCTGCTAACCTGCAACTGCCAGCGGCTTCTGATGATGGTAAATGCAGATCAAAAATGCGTCGGAGCTTGCCGCCAATGATATCTTAATTGCTAGTAATGACATATGCTCGGTTTTTGTGTCGGTTGAAATCCCATGGATACTAGTCGCTTGCAGCAGCCGATCATCGACGTAGCTGAAGCATGGGCAGTGCTACGGTGGAAATGTTCAAGCTGACATGGAGAGATCCAACCGCAGCCCCAGACTGATTCCGTGGCTTCTCTCGTATGATGCGCCTAGCCTAACCACTGGTCCCAGGATGAATCCAATCAAGATCAAGATCAAGAAGTATGGGGTGTTGACCTTAGGAGTAGGGATAATCGCATGTTGCGGCATACCCTTTTTTTTTTTTTGATGATTTGGTGCATGAAACAATAGCTATGACACAGCGGTAGGAGAAAGGAACAGCGCTATCGGGTATCATGAGGCTCTCAAGTGCTGGATTTATCTACTCACAGCTCCTCTCATAGTCTTGCATATCATATCATGCCAGGTATCCTAGACATGGGGTTGATTTGATATTGATTACTGTAGGGTTAATGAGTGAAGGCGGAGCTCGTTCGAGACTTGCTCGGGATATTCAAGCCAAGGAGGATAACAGGAAGCCCTCCACAAGGAGCATTATATTCCTATGGATCTTTCATAATGTGAGGAGACATATCTAGAATACGTCTTGGATGGCAAAAGGAAGACGGGAGACGGTTAAAAGTTAAATATATAACTAAAGTGTAAAAAAAAAAAAAAAAAAAATAGGGACGGTACCTCTCCAACCCTGTTAAACGCCTCGATGTTATTTAGCATGCATGGATTGATCAACAACGTCTTCCATCACCCAAACTTTTAAGGTAGAAAAATATCTAGGATAATCCCCTCCTGCATGAAAAGCTCAAGAGTATGTAAATCTAAAAAGAAATACAATAGCGGTAGATAAAGGTTAAGAAGATGAAAGGGCAAGGTAAAGGAGTTGAAAATATATATATATATATGTATATTGATTTATACCCTCCCTTCCCCCCCTCTCCTATCCCGCATAAAGATAATCACCCCTAAAAAATAATCTCCCCGACACGCGCTCCACGGAATCTGAAAAGGTGATGCCTCTGGAACTGAAAACCACACCATCGCCATAGACAGAGTCATCGACACCGCTAACGTCGAATCGTCCGGGAGAACTGGTAAGTGCCTCAGCAGCCGCAGAAGTCGCAGGCGCAGACACAGCAGCATTACGACGGCGCGGCCGACAAAACCTGCACGGGTTGTTGACTCGGATAGGGTAGTAGAGTGTGTTTTCGGGCGGGCAGACGTATCTGTTTCCGCAGCGCTGGAGGGGGCCCCAGCTTCTGTGGCCGCAGCTGTGGACGTAGAAGGCCTTGCTGCACATGGTTGGTTATTTGGTGTCTTTTCACCGACGTTTCCTCTTCTTCTTTTCGGTTTTATCCTTTGACGTCTTTGTTCTACTTTTCTTTTTTGTGAGAGTTGGTTTTTTTAGGTTTTGGTGCTGGAGAGGAGAAATTGCGGAAGGGTTTAAATTTTCCGGGTTCGGCGGCGGAATATCATATAATAATATTGAATTTTTGGCTGGGCTGGGCTTTGTTCGGAGTCGAGATATAAATGAGTTGAATATAGGGATTTCTTGAGACCTATATTTATCAATTTTTCTTCCCTCCCCTTCTCTTAGATTGAGACGAATAGGTTGAGATGGTCACCGTCCAGTATTTATATTTGATTTAGCCAAATGATACCTGTGAGCGACTAACAGATGAGAGAAGAAGGCGGCCGAGATTTGTGGTCATCGTCAGGTCCGGGACGAAGTCTCTCGCACGACGAAATCGTTTTGGCCGGACTATATATTATGTTTGAACACGGGATATGGGAGCTGGAAATAGCCGAACTGATAAAATAAGGCAGGAACGGTAGCTGTGTGCTTCGGACGGCGGGATGTTGTATCCTTTCTATTATTATTATTATTATTATATTAATATTAATATTCCATTGTCAAAACAGAAACCGTATCCTGGAGCGGATTGTCTGTCAATGGGATGCGGGCGGGTTGGAAAAATTGAAACATTGATGAATGCGGGGGCCTCATTTTAAAAACATCTCCCACTGGTAAATCTGTTTTGGGAGGGAGGGACTTGGGAGGTAATAGTTGATGCAGCAGATGACTTTTAATAAGAAAGGTCGCGAAGTTCCGAGAGTATTGGGACTGACGCCAGGTAGCCAACAGCTGGAAATATATATTCCTTTAGCTTACCTATGAGGTAACCAACCGGCAAGTGAACATGGGACGCAAAAAGGGTTTCTGTTGGTAGCCAGAATCAAGCTTTAAACGGCAAGGGCTGCATCTTGCATCATCCGAACCATTCCAGGATGTTTTCTCCTCTTTCACCCACGGACGTTCGCATATTGCTCCGCCGTTGGTGAGAAGATATCAAGTTGTGCTATACATCCTAGACACGTTGGCGTTGCACGCTTTGTCAAACCTGGACACACACGAAAAAGGAAGAGCCTCCGTGGATGTGACAACCTACCTCTCCGAATGGAGGGTGTAGGAATTGAGTTGGATCTTTGTTGTTTTTCCCCCTTTCCGCGGCCAACTCTCAGTGAGCGGTGGGAACTAGGGTATCGAAACCCACATTTCATGGAATAAAACGCGGAAGAAATTGATATCTAGAATTCCGATGAGGATAATTTTTTCGGCTAGGGAAGTGGATTTTGAGCCTCTTTTCAATTTTTTTCGGAAGCTGCTAGTAAGAATAGGTCGGATGTAGGCGAATGACGAGTTCTTCAAAGCCGATTTCGGTTTCCTTCCTGCAGCAAAAGCGCCCGTACGAGTCCAGTTGATCAACGTGTAACAATTTCCCGCAGAGAAGCTTGGGGACGCAAGAAGGGAGAGGGATCTCCGAAGGTACTCATTGAGATCAGCTGCGATGCTGTACAACGATAGGAAAAACGGCTGTAGCCAGGAGGAGTATAACTTGGTGGTGGGATGTGTGCACCAGTGGCGTAAATCTGAGGGCGAATGCTCAGTAAGCCGAGCTTTGGGTTGACAAATGTTGTGAGAATGTAATTCCCAACGGCGTGGAAAATTTTTCATTCTTTTCCTTCCTTTTTTCCTTTCTGTCTTCATTTATCCTGGATATCTTGACAGGGCAAGGAGCTCCATTCTGTGGGGATTGTATTGGCATTGTGGGCAAAAAGGTCAAAATCGGGTATGGACTTCGAGGCGCAGCAATTGAAGACCCCGTGGTAGAGTTTGAATTTCTCCAACACTAAAAAAATCTACAAGTAAAGAAAAAAGTATTCAAGGGAAAAAAAAAAAAAAAAAGAATGAATGAAACATCATGTAGCATCCGGGGGGAGTTAGTGAAGAGAAAATCAGCCCTTGAGACTTGGGCCGAGTCGGAGATGCTATCCGCATGCATGTCTTGCTGTTCTCCTCACTGAGAGTATAGATATACGGTACAAAAAGCTCGAGTGATCGTAGCGAGTTAGTTACACAGTGATGAATGAGATGCGATAGATCAGGCATTCTAGACTTTTTCAAAGGCCCAATTTGAGTCTCGAGCAACCCGCAGAGAGCGGGTGTCTTTGATCCAACCTTGGGCAGAAAAGGGACTGAATCCCATCAATCAACGCTTGATCGTGTTATCCCATCACTGTGGCGGAGTTTGGGATCTAAGGACAGATCCATGGACAGAACCTGGCCTCTCGCCCACGCGTCTATGTATATACGGTTGCAAACCCGGCCCCTGAGGGTAAGATGGCCGCGGAGTGATTTGAAACCTCGTCTGAGTACTCCGTAGTTATGGAGAAGATGTCAGAAACTGGAGAAGCTGTTCTGTGGGCGAGCAACCTGGTCGAAGCATTGGGGCGTAGCGGTGCGCAATATCTCAGAGGAACCCAGCAGACGGTACTCCGTAGATGAGACGAGGCGTCGACGAGGAATTGGGTTCCAGTGAGAAATAGGGATTCACCAAATAATCCATAATTCATAAATAAGCCCCGCGGCGCCCCATCCCCGGGGCTCAGCGCCAGTGGCCAGACAGAACAGGACTCCAGACCAGGACTCCAGACCAGGACTCGAGACCGTTGGCTGCCAGCAGACCCAGCTGCTGCGCCATGGTCCGCCGCAGCGCTTGCTGGCTCCGCTCTTCCCCGCCAGTCACGTCGTCGCTTGCTGCGCTTGGGTCTGCCCGGCGTGCTGCCTTCCTCGCAACCCTCGCCACGATGCTGTCTTGCGTAGCTATTTGGAGAATGTCGGCGGCGCTCACTCTGCGGCAATATATAATCACAATACCTTTTCTGGGCTCCAGCACCCCAACGGTTATCTGAACAGCTTTTGCTAGAGAGTTCACTCAACTCAACCGCTCGACTCTCCCCGCCAACCCATATCTATCTTATCTATTTACTTCAAGTTGTCAATAACCATGTTGAGGCAATCCGCATCATCGACAGACTCCTTCTCCTCCGCAGATTCCCCCTCCTCACACACCGCAACCTGCGCCTCCCGTGCCTCCCCCTCCTCTTCAGAACGAAAAAAGGGCCTCTCCCTCGACCTCTCTAACCTCCCTCCCCCCATCCAACCCTCCCCGCCCTCAAACACCCTCCTAATAACCGAACTCTACGACCTGTCGCTCTTCCAACCCTCCTCCCTCGACGCCATCAAAGCCCAAATATCCCGCATAACGCCTCTAAACTCCTTCTCCCCGCTTCCCTCCCTCCGTCGCATCGTCTGCTCCTTCACCTCCATCCCCGCCGCCATAAGAATCCGCCAGCTCCTCGACGGCGAGGCCATTCTAGGCAAAAATGTCCGCGCCAGAGTTTACTTTGGAGAGAACACCCCCGTCGAAGATGCCGAGGAGCGCCGTAAACGCAACCTCCTCGAAGCACCCAAGTCACAGAAGCTGTTCTTCATCAGTCCCCCACCCAGTCCCCCGCACGGCTGGATGATGCGAAATGAAGGCCCGCCCAATAAAGAAGTGCACGCCACCGACCTAGCCGAAGCGCTGGGCAGACTCGGGACGATAACAACAGATGCCACAGGTTCAGACGGTTTCGACAGTGCAGCAGCAGCAGCAGCAGCAGCAGCAGCAGCAGCAGCGGGAGGCATTGATGGTATGGCGGCACAAGACCCGGACACTCCCATTTCCATCTCGTCGGATGTTTACATGCACGGAAACGATCAGGAAGGATCCAGCGCGGCGGCTAGGCGCGCATCATATCCCCGGGCACCGGGCCTGAGTGGAGAGCGCAGCGGGAGCAGTACGCTCATCTACGACCCGGAGCACCATGGCAGCAGCCCCCATTTACCTGCAGTTATGGTCGAGGATACGACGGTTGGCGGCGACGTTTCTGATATGGAGATGGAGATGGATAATGATAGTCTCGGATCGGGGAAACGCATTATAGCGCACACGGCTCGACCGCCCGTTGAGCTTATGGAATGATTTGCCGATAGATTAATGGATGGATGAGCTCTCTTTTGTTTTTTTGTTTTTTTCTCGTCGTTTTGTTTCTTCCTTTCTTTCCGTCCTGGTGGGGACGGGGGAAAGAATCGGGGAAACAAACCGGGGGGCGTTATACTGTGGGTAGTATATTTCTTCGTCTGGGGGGCGATGGGTTGTCTTCCTCTGTACATTCCTTTTCCTTTTCCTTTTCCTTTTCCTTTTCTTTTATTTTTAGTGCTTCATCGTCGTACTGATGGCGTTCTGGGCTTTATTCCGATATTGTTTGTCATGGAGATTTTTCTTTCCTTTCTCTTTTCTTGTTAAATACATTACATCCTATACTGCTTTCAAAAGCGATTTTTTTTGATAACCTCATTCTTCCCAGTCACCACAATATGATTGACCTGCCTTCTCCTCGGCTTCCTACCATTGATCGTGCTTATCTCACTTATCCTTGAATTTAGTGGTGCTACTGAATATATAGAGCAGGCTCTTCGAGACTTGAAACAGGTCGCAGCGGAAGCGGCCAGGGTCAAAGCCTCTGGGCGATGTTGTGAGATTGCGGCTTGCGGCTTGATCCGGTTCGCCGTACTTAGCCGTCTTAAAGTTTTTGACGATTTATTCAAACGCATGTCTTGTCTACGTTGTTTCGCTCTCTGCTGCCTTTGCGCTGTGCTAGGAGGAGTAATGCGAAGGCCTTCCACTGATTGCTTTTTACAAGCTTCCCGCTTATTATCACCGCGAATATGGTTTCCTCTTCACAAGTCACAGCGTGAACTCGTCTCTCTTCATCCCCCAGGGAATGTACATACTAAACGATCAGCAAAAAGTGTCTGCTAGTGCTCGCATCTGCTGATAATGAAAGGAGACATCACTACTCTCAATACACTCAATACACAGCCAGACCCAGTAAATTACATAACGTATAATAAATAATTAACTAACTATATTGCTGGTAACGGATGGTAAGAGCGACTGATAACCCCTAGTTATTCAGAGATCTCATTGAGGGAAATCCCATCGGAGGCCAGTCTGGCAGACAAGGATATTTGCAACCCGTGTCCTCTGATGTATTGACCAATTAATCACCACTCTGAGCCCGTCAACGCCAAAAGGAGTGGTGGTGTCTGTGATTTATTGTCTGTGCACACTTGCTTGCAGTGGGGTGGTCGGGGCAAAGGGACCAGGGTGCACCAGCGAGCCCCAATGGGACAAGTGGAGTGGAGTTAGTCAGCCAAACCCGCAGTTGAGCCGCAACAGCCAAACCGAGCAAACTGACCCAGAACAAGGCTGCTTGGGATGACTACGTATGAACTCCCAACCATCGCCATCAACGACCACCATCCACCATCGGCTGTCGATGTATATCGCTATCAGGAGGACGATAGTCAACTTCCCTCTGCCCTCTCCGGTGCTGCAACGCTTCGTGGGCCGTTTCGTCATCGCGCTTAGCTGGGCTGACGAGGAACTGTCGATGCGAGGGTGAGGTAGCTCCGACCCCCTCGCCGCCCTGTCTCTGTCTTTGTCTATTCGTGTCTCAGCATCCACAGTCAAGTTATACGTTCAACATACGCCGTCTACGAAATAGCAATGGCAATACTTTAGCCTTGTAGTGTTATCCCATGTCCTTCCCCTCCTTTCTCCCTCTCCTTCCCAACCACCACTTGTCCATGGGACGCCTCATGTCGTCCTTTTGAAACCAATGAAGCTATTATTGCCCGTTCAATTCTCAGCAAGTTCCGCGACTCGACATTTGACATACGATACATAACCCGACCCAATTCCTCATTTACCTCCATTATATATATATGCGCGACTTATCACCTGCTCTCTACTTTCCCCGAAGTCATCGAATGGTCCAAGCGCCCTCGCGTCGCTGGAGAGCTTGACGAGAGCGAATGCTTCCAACATCCGTGCATGCGAGCCTTTCCCCTTGCTCTTGTCTAGGTTGATCTGCGCCAGTTATCCATTCTGCCCAACATGGCTAGACGCCAGCGGCCGCAAGATCGGGATCTAAGGCAAGGTTCGGAGAGCTCTAGTGCTGGCAGTTGGCGATCCCATGATACCGCGACGCAGGGGGATCATAGTCATGGCCTAGGCCAGGCTTCTACAAGCCGTCACCCGGTTTCTGTGCGGACTTCGGGCTCCGATCCAAGGTATGTTTTGCCTTTTTAGTTCATTCAATAGAATTTGGAGGGAACGGTTTATTTCGAATTAGATCTATTGATGGGCTTTCCTCATGGGCAACTTTCGTTTCGTAGACTGCATCGCGAGGGGAAAGTTGGCGTTGACAATTATTTGAATCTCAGATTGCGACCGATCGGAAAGCCACGGTCATCTTCAAGGAGTAATAGGAGTGCTAGGAGTACTAGGAGTGCCAATCGCCGATCATATTCCCCCGACGTGTCACCAACCGACACGAAGGTTGGTTTTGGAAGCCATAGGAAAGCCCTCGCGCTTCTCGGTGCTGCAGGCTATCCCCCGCCATATTTCCCGGATATCCCTCGCGAGACCCAGCGTAGGCGCTCGCCGTCATGGACACCACCCTCATCGTTGGAACCAAGCGCGTTGAAATCAGCCCGGCCGCCAGGAACGTTTCTGAATGATGGTTCCGACCAAGAAACCTCTCCCGCCTTTCCGCCCACAGCCACCGACCACGTTGGCCGCAGTGATTCCCCCGACAACCCCATGGAACCCGACCATCGTAGACCGTCTGCTGCAAGTGCCACGACAATTAGTAGCCAAGGATCCAAAGATAGTACTGCTCGCTTCCACAAGTGCCTGCAGCGTTTCTTTGGAGAGGACCAGGGCAATATATCGGATTCGGCTCTCACCCAAGCCCCCAAGGTCCGTGAAAGAAATAACTCTACCCATTCCCTGAAACCCATAACGCGTTCATTTTCCCCCCATGGTGGTGGTGGCCCTCGACCACGCACCGCTCTCCCTTCCAGTGATGTTGCCCCTTGGATGTATCAACGGTTCAATGTAAGCTGGCGCGCAATGTTTCTTTCTGTGGGATCTAAAAAATGGCGTTTCTGAGTGAGAATATTGCATGCGTTTCCTTATTCTACCTCCATACCGCGACGATAACACTCAGAACGTCCTTTTTTGAAAGTACAGCGCCTGATTACATTTCTCTCCATTCATATTTTTCGTTTGGATATACTCTGCCCTTGTTTCAAGAATCTGGCATTCTTACAGATATTTCTCATCTTAGTTTGCTGCCTCGTTCGATTTTACAATCGTTTCATATGAGTAATTATACTAATTGACCTTTTTAGGACATTTTGAACGACGTAGACCAACCGGTACACGCGGCCTCGACGGATCCGGAGCTTGCGCATTTTGCTGGGACGACAGGCGAGAGTAACGTAGATAAAGATAGCCATGTTAACGCCGTCAGACATCGCCATTCTCGGAGTGGGGATGAGAAATCAGCATATCTGGCAACAGATTTCCCCCATATTTTCCAGCCCTCTGATCAAGAGAACCCCAAACTAGCCTACAGCCGTTTAAAGGATGGCGCACTCTCCCCGACTAGCTCTTCTCCCACATTCGCCGCTCGCTCGACCAGCCCTTCACCAAGCGTACGCAGTGGAAATGGGCAAAGGTCGCCCGGAGGCACATCCAACAAGCGGTCATTCTTCACAAAGATACGACGGCATCCGAAAGTTCCTATCGCAAGCTCCCTTCGGCACACGCCTGCTTCGTCGAGGACCGTCCCTGATGGGAACGCCAAGGGACCAAAGTTTTTAAGACGAGATGGCTCCCCAGCCAGGCGAGGCCGGAATGCTAGCTTTGACAGTATCACGAACACTAAGCCGTGGGATATGTCTGATTCCGACCGCAAGAAAGAAAGCTCTGGGAAAGGAGTATCCAAGTTCCGTCACCCGCGGTTCCCCTTTAGTCACGATGGAGGACAAAAGTATCAAGACAAAAATCAACGTAGTATTTTCGATGAAGATCGGGTCTGGAAGCTAGACACTGATCTGTCAAACCTCTCTGGTATTGTCGCGCAACCCCGTTTATCACCTACTGATGTATACACTGGGCCGCCACACCCTGAACTGAAGGAGAAGGATTTTCAGAATCCCTTCGAGGTTTCCATTGCTGGTGACTGGCACGCTCCTGAGAGTTGGGCAGTGAGAAGAGCACAGGACGATATCTTATCCAGATTTCCTGGGTTACCTGATCACAGTATACCTGTGGATGAAGAAGGCCGGCCGTACTGTGTCCGCATATTCCGCATCGACTCCACTTTCACGACGCTTTCGGCTACCCTCAACACGACTGTGACGGAAATATTAGAAATGCTGGGCCGAAAGTCATTCTTGCAAGATGAACTAAACAATTACGACATCGTTTTACGGAAGAATGATCTTTCCAGAACACTTGAGTATGGCGAGAGACCTATTCTCATGCAGAAGAGATTGCTCGAACAGGCAGGATATCAACAGTCCGACCGAATAGCAGATATCGGCCGGGAAGACAATAGCTACCTTTGTCGCTTCACGTTCTTGCCAACTAAACTGTCGGGTTATTCCAGTCTTGATACTGATTTGGGCATTAACGAGGGTCAAAAGTTCAGCCATATTGACCTGTCCGGTCGGAGTCTCATTACCCTCCCCATCACCCTCTATAAAAGAGCGAGCGAGATCATATCCTTAAATCTCTCAAGAAATCTAGCACTGGATATCCCGAAAGATTTTATCCAAAGCTGCATCAACCTTCGTGAAATAAAATATATCGGAAACGAAGCATGGCGCCTTCCAGCAAGTCTAAGCTTAGCGACACGGCTTACCTATCTAGATATCTCTAACAATCAGCTTGAGAACCTAGACCATGCAGAGCTTCACAATCTCCATGGACTTATAAGCTTGAAAATTACGAATAATAAGCTGTCCACGCTACCTGCGTATTTCGGCGATTTCCCTTTGTTACGAAGCCTGAATATCTCGTCCAATAGTTTCACGTGTTTCCCGGAGTTTTTGTACAATTTGAGGAACTTGGTCGACCTGGATATCAGTTTTAACAAAATTACAGAATTGTCGAATATCGGACGACTCAAGACGCTGGAGCGGTTGTGGGTGACTAACAACGGACTACATGGGCCGCTAGGCGAGACCTTCAGAGATCTTGTGAATCTCAAAGAGATAGACGCCCGATTCAACAGCATTACTAGTATAGATAACATCACTCAGCTTCCTCGCTTGGAGCACTTGATGGTTGGACATAATACCGTGTCCACATTTTCAGGGTTCTTTCCAAAGCTACGCACTTTCACCCTTGACCATTGTCCCGTGACGGAGTTTGATATAACCAACCCAGTTCCGACTCTCACGTCTCTCAACATCGCGTCCGCTAAGCTTGTTCAATTCAAGGACTCCCTCTTCACGAATATCCCAAACCTTACCAAACTCATTCTTAACAAGAACCATTTCGTTACCCTTTCTCCTTATATTGGGACCCTACGAAAACTCGAGCACTTTAGCATTGCGAAAAACCCGTTATCAACTCTACCACCGTCCATAGGTTGTTTGCAAGAGCTGAAGAATTTGAACCTTCGTGAATGTAATCTCAGCAAACTCCCTGCCGAATTGTGGTACTGTTGTAAACTGGAGACCCTGAATGTATCTTCCAACCTCCTCGATTCCTTTCCGAAAGTCAGTGACTCACCTCCCGTTCCTCCTAACGAATTGCCTGTAAATGGAACTCCCGCAACTACCCCTGGCATCTCATCACCGAATTTCGAAGAACTTGGGAAGTTGGAGGATTTCGAAACTCGACGACCAAGTTATGCCTCCGGTGGCCTTCTTAGCGTTGGAAGCTCTCCGAGTAACTCATACACCAATAGACAAGGTTCCGTTGTTTCGTTTAATAATGCCGGG